CTAGCGATCATACGCGGTCTTGATGCATGGCAGCAGTACTTGCTCGGTTCCCCACACACGTTGGCCATTCGATCCGATCATCGCAACCTCACGTACTGGAAGAAAGCCCAAAAGCTTAATCGACGACAGGCACGATGGCTCCTTCAACTTTCCGAATACGACTACGAACTGCAACACGTCCCAGGATCGCAGATGACTGTTGCAGATGCTCTATCACGACGACACGATCACGACGACGGATCTGAAGACAATGATGAACTGGTCATGCTACCATCCTCCGTCTTTGCTCGCGCCGTCAATATCACACTGAAGGACCAGATCACCGCCGCACACGACGTAGACCCCATGATTCGGGAAGCACTTGATGCGCTCCTCGGAAAGGGACCACCGCCTGCGCGCACGTCACTCGAAGACTGGGCAACTGATGGACAACTTGTCTGGTACCGGGGCAAAGTATATGTTCCTCCGGATGAACATCTACGACGACGTATCATTCGGTTGCACCACGATCTCCCTGCCGCAGGACATCCTGGTATCGACGGCACCAAAGTTCTCGTACAACGAGGCTACTGGTGGCCTGGAATGACACACTCGATCTCGGAATACGTCAAAGGATGCGCACCCTGCCAGCAGATGAAACCTAACACGCATCCCACGAAGGTCCCGCTCTACCCTATCCCCGCTTCGCTTCCCACCCGCCCTATGTCAACGATTACGATGGACTACATCACACACCTTCCGCCCACTCCGGAGGGATACGACTCTTGCTTAGTCGTTGTGGACCACGACTCTACGAAGGGGGTAATTTATACGCCTTGCACCGAATCTGAAGACGCTGCAGACACTGCTCGCATGCTACACGACACGGTTTACCGACGATTTGGACTCCCAGATCACATGATCTCCGACCGAGGACCCCAGTTCGCGTCTAGAGTCATGAGAGAACTGTGCAAAATCCTTCAGATTGACCAACGAATCTCTACGGCGTACCACCCTCAGACGGACGGACAAACGGAACGAGCAAATCAAGAGCTTGAGGTTTACCTTCGTATCCTCTGCGCAAACAATCCTGAAACCTGGGCATCAATGCTTCCCGACGCCGAGTTTGCACATAACTCTAGGAAGCATTCTACGATCAAGATGTCCCCGTTCTATGCAATGATGGGATACGAACCTCGCTCCATCCCAGCCGTTCACGAACCCACGAACATTCCCTCAGTTGAAGAACGACTCAACAATCTACAACAAGTTCGGAAAGAAGCCGAAGCCACGATGGAACTCGCACAACGCATGGTAGAAGACCGTATCCGCAAGGGATCACCGACGTTTCAGAAAGGACAGAAGGTCTGGCTAGACTCGAAGAACCTTCATCTCCCTTATCCATCCCGGAAACTATCGCCTAAACGGGAAGGACCATTTGCAATCACGGAAGTCATGGGACGCGGAGTCTATAGACTAGCACTACCGAAGCAATGGCGAATCCATCCCGTCTTCCACGCCGGTCTTCTTTCCCCATATAAAACGACGGACACTCACGGTCCCAATCACACGATGCCACCACCTGACCTTATCGACGGAGAAGAAGAATACGAAGTGGAGCAAATTATCAATCACCGAGGAAGTTCCAGTCGGAGACAGTACTATGTGTCATGGTGCGGTTATCCTTCGTCAGCCAACGAATGGATACCGGAACGGAACCTAACCGGAACATCAGATGATCTCCTCTTGGAGTATAAGACAAAGCATCGCATTGGAGTCGTCCGCATCGACTTCAACCACGAAGACGATAACCCACTTCCAGTTCTCTGAATCTTCTTCGTCTCATCGCTCTACTCGACATGTCTCGCTTTGCCATCGCCCGCACTCCATCCCCCATTCTCCCCACTCCCCTCCTCGCCGAAACTCGTCGACTCTTCTCTGAACGACCCGAGTTGCAGGAAGCCCCCGATACCCGCGTAAACTGGAGGATGGTCCAACACCTCTTCCTAGATCCCGACACCCAGCTCATCGACCTCGCCTACCCCCCTGTCGAGATCCCCCTCACAAACGCGGAACAACACGACTCCCTCGACGCTTTGGTCGGCGTATACGATGCCATAACCGAGGTCACGATGAGGAGACATCTACGTCAGGACATCGTGGCAGAGTTCTTAGCGTACGAGCGAGACGCCGTCGGTGCTCTCACAGCGGCTCTTGAAACGTTGGAGCACACACGTTTCCCGGAGCTCCTCGCGCACAACGATCCCGACGCACGTGACCCCACGAACCTTGTGTACCCCGGAAGAGACGCGACCCGTGACGACCTCGTCCCCGAAGCAGCACGAGCCCTCATCGACAATAGAACCGTGTGTTTCCTGGGGTGCAACAACGAGCAGCGACATCGCGTCCTTGATTGTTTCCTGTATACCTGCCCCAAGTGCCGACGTACGGCCCCGGGCCATACAAACCGTGCATGTCCCCAGGTGGGACCAGCGACGACGCACGGTCGACGTCTTTCCGAGATCCTCGCTGCCGACATCCTTTCCGAATCGCACCTCGTCCGGCTTACCAACGCCGCTCAACGAGGAGCACGACAACTCGCCGAAGAAACCGACGAGAATAACCTCGCAGAACCGTATTCCCTTCGACAGCGCACCTCTCGTCGTCGTCGACACCTCCCTCCATCTCCCTACCCGACGGCTCGATATTACGCCGTAGCTCGAGGCCGACTTCCGGGGATCTACCGGATAGGTACGCACGCGGTCTTGAGCCGATTGTACCGTTCCGGAACGCGAGGAATGGTATTCGATACTTGGGTGGAGGCCGAGAACTATATGCATGAGTGGCATATAGGTCCGTTCTACGATGAGGACTATGATGAGACGAACTCCGACGGAGGATTCCGCGGAATCCTACCATCGGACCTCGTCGCACGACCTATACGTATCCCTACGCCACCTGCACATCTGCGTCGACCTCAAGGAATCCCTCCTCCCCGACCCTTATCACGCATCAATTCACCTCCTACGTCGCAGTCGGAGGAGGACTTCCATATCGAACCTACGCGGGCAGAACTGGCTGATGCACCGCCCAGGTACTCCCAACCTCCACCGTACTCCGAAGAAGGACCCCTCGCTGCACCAACACCTCGACCCTCTTCCTCGTCGTCGTCCATGAATACCGACGGCTTCTTCACGCTTGAGGCCCAGCTTCTCGCGCAACAACGAGACGAAGGTCCGCGAGCATCTACGTCCACACATGCGGAAGAACTCGTCGACCAAATCTTCGGTCGACGAATCCTACAAGTCGTTTACGGTCCAGATGGGGAAGTCGTAGGGTATTCGGTTGGTATCAACAACGACGATCCCAATCGCACCTTCCTTACCCCTTCGGAAGTACCACCGGCCGTCGCGACTCGAAACACCAACGCCGCCATCTACCGAATCCGTGCCAATAGACGATCGGCAAGTATACCTCATGTCGGATCTCTTCAGGTGTTGGTCGAGTCCAACGAGGAGTCTCGCTCGGTTGAAGACCAACCTTCGAGTCGAGTACCCTCTCCTTGGGACTTCAACAGCGACATCAACGACATGTATGCGGACGGTAACGACGGCGGAGACGAACAAGATCCTGAGGCTTAGTGGTCAACGCGGACGTCGACCATAGGAAGGGGCTTATGTTACAAGTCGCCATATTACGTACATTTTCATTTCCTTTTACTTGTTATCCCTAACCACCTCACGTGCATGAGGACCGGTTATGTACTATACCGCACCCGGACTATCATATGATAGCTGAACCTTGCTGACTCGTTTCTTCGTCATGATTACCACTCTCTTCGTCAGCGATGACATATCCTGACTCATGCTTACTATACGTCTTGACTCAGACTCGTTCACTTGTATATATACCTGTACAATAGAGGTCGGACTCTTCAGTTCGACCTGGTTAGCAATCGACGCTAGCTTTCTCATACCGCTACCGCTTCGGAACTCGACTAGGACGAAGGGACTTGCGTCCTTCCTAGGTCTAAGATACAGAACTCTTCTTTGAAGTTAGTAACCTTGCAAGCTTGTGGCTTGTAGTGTTCCACTCGCCTAGCTTCGCGTAACACACGGGTGCACATGGGCGTCGGCGTCATGGCGGGTGAGTCGGGTTGGTGAAACCTGTGGCCTCGGACTCAGCAAGGATTTTGAAACAACTCTCACAGGCCTTCATAGAAAGATTGCTTTCGACTGGTCATCACGGCTAGTATAGTCCCCGTAGTCCCTCGTCTCAACCTCAGATCCTTTCGAATTCTCAAAGACTCGTTGGACAAGACCAGGACGCATGTGTATCAGCATGTATGCCGTCAAGACCCCGCGAGATATTGTTTATACACTCTTTTTCCATCATTAACGCCCTCGGAGGCAGCCCAGGGACTGATCCCTTCTCAAATGTGCCCTACTGAGTTGCATGTCGCCGTGTCGCATCTGTCTTTAGCACACCGAAGTGTCATTGTTTGCACCTCAAGTCAAGGTGAGTTGTTTGAAACGATGCGCCAAATCATACTCCTCAGACCGTGGTGTTTACCAACTGTCGCGCAAAGCTCATACAATACCACCACTGTCCCGCCTCCGACTGGTTCATGTCCCGACCAAACTTCCTTCCCATAACTGCGGCTGGGACACCGCGTCCTACGATACCCCAAACGACACCTGCGCCCTCGTCTCGCTCGCGGCTTTGTTCTCTATCGCACGTTCGCGTGCCCTGCGCTCGCGCTCGAGAAATACGAACGACGCGACAACCTGATCGCGGATCTCTTGCGCCTGGCCTTCCAATGAGAGGGTCGCGACCAAGCCTCCATCATCAGTGAGGGTCCGGCGGAAGCTTGCAATAGGAAACGCGGTCTGTTCTGCCGTGTAGAGCTAGGGGCAAGTTCCTTCCGGTCAGCTGCGAAACACGACATAGCTTGAGCAAAAGGCCTAGTACTAACCGCCAGGGTTTCGCGAGCGCGGTTCTCCCGCCATTTGTACTTGCGCCCTCTCTTGTCCTTCATCGTCACATCCCTGTCGCTCATCATTAGCATGTCACCGCCCCCATACTGCACGACATCGATGCAGCCGTTCCGACTGAAAGCACACACCGTCCGAACGGCATGATGCTCTTGCTCAGCCACTTGCCATACGCCACAGACTTGTCCTCGCCGACCCTCACCTTGGACGAGCCCCAACCGAGGTCGGACGTCTCGAGAGTGGCTACGTTCGCGCCGGATGCGTCGCTCACGCGGATGGCAGAGCCTCGTGCAGTGCGCGTCGCGCTCACTGTGTAGAGAGGTCTACCATCTGAAGAGAGGGTGGTGTTGAGTGGATTGTCGGGTTGGAGAGTGAGGGTCAGTGCGGGCGCGTCCATGGTAGCTGCCCTCAGCGTGTCGGCTTCAGCATGCAATCAGGATGATCTACTGCGCTGCTGAGATGTGTGCTCGCAGTCGGACCAGCAGGTCATTTTGCATGTTCAGCTAGCGGACTCGGAGCCCGCCGTATTCAAGGCTGTGCCGCGAGCTTGAGACTGCCGTTCAAGTCACTCGCGGCATCTCTGCGGCGGAGGAGACAGACCGCAGTCTGAGCGCGCTCCGACGAGCCACAAGACCACGAACAACGACTGCCAAGCACAAATATATGCGCAATGCGCATGCCTGGCACTGTACGGTCAGGGGCAAAATGCGGGGAACGACGAGCGTCCCATGTGACCTACCAGCGATGTTAATCGTCTCGCGATGTCCGTTCTGGCCCCGGACCTTGCGCTCATCCAAGGGTTCGAACCTATATATCAACCATATGTAGACAGTGCATAACAGCAAAGGCGCGCCTGCAGTCTGCGTCGCCCGATAAATGCTGCCCCTGAGACAACCACTTATAGAACAAGCCTCGCACCCGAGTCCGCGCCGGACGTTCGCCACGCAACCCCCACCATAGCACTGCACGATGGCCGACCACCCTGAGATCATCATGCTCACACTCACCCCGGACAATCCCTGTAACACGACTGTCACCGACGCATCCGGGAAGGTGCTCTACGTCGTGTACACCGAGAATGGCAAGAACGCATCCACGACGCGCGTTTTCGAGGGCAACTCCGACACCGTCGTCGCGGAGCTGCAGTGGTCGGACACGGGCCTAGTCCTCGGGAAGGTCACGCTCCGAGGAGGAAAGACGGTGCCTACGCGCGAATGGATGAGCAAGAGCAAGATACCGTTCAATGAGTGAGTAGTGCCGCCTCTTGAATTGGTGGGGGAAATGAACGGAGAAATGTAGCAGCGTGGCGTTCAAAGACGAGAGTGGAAGGCGGTATAAGTGGAAGGGACTCTCACCTGGGCGGGCATTGGAGGTCAGTCGAACCACTGGCGCTTTACTCCATCTTCCATGAACAGTTCTTCCCGCATACAGCTCTATACGGAAGATGACGGCTTCAAACAGCCCATCGCGGGATTCCACAAGTCCATCACAGACCGGAGGGTGGCCCCCCGAGAGTGACCCCGGCGACGTTACGACTCGCGCCACGCGCGGACGAGCTTCGCGAGTTGGCGGTGTGCTCATTCTTGTTCCTTGAAATTGACAGAAGGACGAAGGAGAAGAGTTTCGGTGAGACGGGGTTGAGGATGATGGCCAGCCCGGGTGTCATTTGAATATTGGGTATGTATATGGAACCAAGGCTGTTGGCACAAATGGGACAAGACGATGCTGCACAGTTAGTGACCGAGTAAGGCATTGAGGATTTTTCTGCTCATGCTGCCAAGTGAGATGGCATTGAGAATGCCTACGGTAGTGATGAGCTATGCGACTGTTCAACAGTGTGAAGCCCAGATCATCCAGCAATGTTTGCGTCGTCTCGCGGAGGAAGTCGTCAACGACATACATTCATTTGTGAGCTTATAGCAAAGGCTGAATCGCAAAAAGGTCTTCAGAGGTCCGACGAACGTATGGTGCTAGTGTTGCATTGGCTCAGGGCCTTTCCCTCCGTTACTCTTCTTCGCCAGCTCGTTTCTACGCGATGTCAGTAAGTATCCTAGAGCGGAAGCGAATGTTGGACGCACCTTAGCTGCACACTGAAATCGTCCTCGATGTCATCGTCGTCCCAGTTATCCTCCCAGAGCTTATCCCCACCACTCTTCGCCGCCCCCGGTGGCGCACCGCCGAGATGTGCCAAGTCGGTTTGCGAATCATCCCAGTCTATCATGCATGCGGTGAGCACCCATGTACCGGGATGCCTATGGCGAGTTGCTTGACGCACCTGCAACAGTGAACTCCTCGAACTCATCGTCCTCCTCGAGCATGCCCAGGTGGGGCACGGACTGCTCGCCCTTGGGCTCTCCCTCCTTTGCTTCTGGGGCTTTTGACGAAGATGCTGCTGTAGACATGGTCGCTGTGTAGGTGAAGGAAAGATGGGCTGTCGACCGGAGCAAACGGATGTGCACAGTTCGACGCGTGGATCGAGGACGGGGACGCGTCAGACTCGGTCGTGGGAACTTGATCATGTGCGGAGACACGATCGGTGACCGCGACGCGTCTGTGGCTGCCACTCAGCGCTGCGACCAGTACATACTCACTCAGTCCCAGTGCTGTCTCTGCTTTTCCCTACCTCGCGACCACGCCACCAGTCACACCCTAGTATACAAATATGGTCAAAGAGACAGACGAGACACGGAGGGCTCGCGCGAAGGCACAAGCATCTTCGCATCTCCCGAGAGCCGTCGTTGGCACCTCTCATTCATCGTCACCTCCGCAGGTTGCCACCTCGGATGGCTTGGGAGGCGGCAGGATCGAGTACATTCGCCAGGCATTCCACGCTCTCGGCGCACCAAGCGTTTCTGCAGATGACATGCGCAGGTTATGCAAGGGACCACTCGCCGATGCTCTTCTATTCATGGCCGAACACATGAAGGGGCGAGCCAAAGTTAACCAAGCGCGGCAGACCATCCAACAGTACGTCTGCGCAGGAGACAGCATAGATGCCGCTATGTAGCTGAAGCGTGTATATAAGGATGCGGGAAGCAGGCCCTTCTAGCGGGGTATCCTCCGAAGGGCAGCAAACCGATTTCATGAAGGCCAAACATGCAACAGCGAGATTGATCGGGGCGAAGAACGAGTTCAAGGAAGCTCGTAGTCAACTAGACAGCCGGCTTGAGTTGGTTTCCAAGTCCCGTACGTAAAGTATAAGCCTTTGGGGTCCCGAGGCAGTTGATTCATCACCCCCATAGAGCGCGAATTGGAACGATTGCAGGTTCTCCTGGACGCCAAGCGGAGGTCTCTTTTCTTATTGCAAGTTCTCGAGAAAAAGGAAACTATCCGAAGTTCAAGGATCAAGGAGGTAGACCGGCTGATGGGTCAGCTTCAGTGAGCAGCTCACCAGATGCATCACCATTGACTCACAATTGGCTACCCAGGACAGAAGCAGTAAAGCTCGTTAGTGCCTCGGCTGCTCTTGAGCGCGGATTTTTTACACGTCCAGATTTGATTAGACAGGCGATGTACCTGTCACGAACACCGCAACACAGGGACGACCAACGAAACGGATACGGGCGGAGCACACGCAGGACGTTCTGGCCGTAAGTCGACTCCAATAGAATCGCCATGACGCACCATTTACGCATCGAATAAGGCTCTACAGGCATACCACATCCGCCTTGCGGGCTCAAACACCTCGTCTAATGACCATCGACATGGCGCCGAAGCACGACGGAAAGCCAGTGAAGCACGTCTCCGTGAGGCCTTAGGCAAGAGGACTGAAGAGGATCTGGTGTTAGTGTCGCTGCCTATGCATCCCTCGTCCTGGGCTGAATGCTGATCACCACGTCGACGAAATAGTGAGAAGTGCCAGAGAATCGCTCGAACACGAGCAGAACGGAGTCTCCGGTATGAGTCGCCGGTCCCTGCGCGAGCGTCGGACGAATTAGATGACACGCTTCTAGACGATATGCACGCCCGCATCGTACGTTCCCCACCTCATCCTCACGGTATGAAGTAACGTTGGCGAGTAGAGTGAGAAGGAGGAGAAGCTGCAACACCTCCTCAACGAGATCGCAGATCTTGAGAGAGCATGTGCTAAAATCATTCAATCCGTGCGTCCCGCTCATTACCCAATCACATTCTGGGTGTCTACAATTATGACGCAGCTATCGGCCTTTGATGAGCTCACGCGACCAGAGTTGTCTCGGTCTCTTGAGGAGGAAGTGAAGGCCGTGGAAGGATACGTCGACGTGCTGAGGCATTCCATCATGCAAAGCGGGGACATGCAGGGGGCACACGAGGACCCGATCATCGAGGGGAAGGTGAGATGGACTGGGGTGAATGTGCTGGACACCACTGATTAGGCTCGCTGTAGTCCTGGCGCCAAGCACTACAGGATGTCCAGGCCGATATCGAGCAAGGTGCGTCGTTTTCGATGTGCCACAAAATGCCTTACCTTACTAACGCACCCATGCATCCATACAGCACATGCGAAAGGTACATTTGCCCGTTCTACGCTTCTTCTCGACACCTCCGCCATACGCGACTCCGCTCAAACCACAAGAATCGAGGAACTCATCGGTACGCTACCGTTCTTGATACCCAACCCCCAAACGACCATCGCCAATGCTGACCTCGACCGTACTCCTGTTTTCAGCATCGCATCAAGCCCACCAAGCCCATGTCAACGAGCGCAACTCGTCCCTCCTCGCGCGCAAGCTCGAGAAAGCGAAGATTGGCGATGCTCTGGGCCAACAGATCGAGAAGCTGTTGGCGGAGAAAGACACAGTCATCGCGATGAGTGGGTCGAGCAAGTAAACTCGCTTCGTGTGGCGCAATCAAATCCTACTGCTCGCGAGCTAGGACTTGCATGGCCTCAGGGTGCAACGTTTTCGAGCGACAGTGACATACTAAACTAATCGTCGAATGTGGTACTCGGTTGAGTACGGGAAGCTTGATGATATTGAATAGCTTGTGCGTCCATAGAATTGTGTGAGACCCGCGCAAAGCGAGACAGACAAGTGAGTTGGAACAGCCATGATTCGACTCGAGAATGGAGTTCAAGTTTACGACCGTGTAAGTACCGGTGACCGGCGTTCAAATGTTCATGACCGAGTGCGAATGTACAGTACCAGACTCTGCAATCAATGATCCACAAGGAAACAGAAGCTCAATAAATCAGGCTTGCGTGACGTTCGAGGTGATGATTGGTTGTGCAGCTCAGTTTGCAAACACGTACTGTAACAGTGTAAGGGGCAAAAACGCATACGGTGTGTGTTCTTGCGAACACACACCATACGCCGACCAACCTGGGATTCGAACCCAGAATCTTCAGCTAATCCCAGCCGGAAACTGACGCCTTAACCATTAGGCCAGTCGGCCGTTGCAGTGTGGCATGAGTTAGACAGCCACGTAGTGCCAGGGCCACAACTCGTTACATAAGTCATTGAGTGTTACATTCACTAATAATAGATCATTGTTGATTCGCCCAACTTGCCTATTAAGGCAGCTTACCTACTCTTTTGGGGCATTCGCCGTTTGGTCGTATCAGTTTCAAGTATACTGGCGGAGCCGACGTTGGATTATGATCGGCACAGGTAACGCGCAGTACGACTGGAAGCACGTAGCAGCAGTGACCTTGACCTTGCCTTGACCAACCTGAAGTGAGCAAAATTAGATACTTAACTCAAAGTGGGTACACTCCCAAAGCGCATGCGACTAAAACAGTGGCTCAGGCCGCTCAGCCACTTGCGACATTGGCGTCGGGCTCGCGAGATGCGTCGCGTATGTACTGAAAGGAGAGCATTGCGTCACCCCTGCGGTCACCATCGGGTAGCGGCGGCGGATCACTGCTCTCAAATTCTGAATAAGGGAAGGCTCGCACCATATGCAGTCATCTTCGTTCGCTTGGTGTCAATTTGGTGACGACCGACTGACGTCGACCGATGCACGCCGCTGGGCATCGTGACGGGTGCCCACCTGCCTGCGTGATGCATATAAGTCCCGCCACGGCCTTGAAATTTCCCCACCTTTTCTATCCTGACCACGACATCGCGAACGCCCTCGCCCTCGAGCTCAACATCGCACACAGCAGACACCATGGCATCCGCAAAGGGCCCGTACAACCTTCCGCCCGGTGAGCGCGGCGTCGACAACCTCACGTACAACCCCATGGCAGACGCCAGCCCCGATAACGCCGCGTACGAGGGCACCAATGACGATTTCCATTCCGTCGGCGCCCGCGGTGCGGACAACCAGCCCTCCTTCCGCGACGCCGGCAAGGAAGACCTCGAGACCGAAAGGTCCGATGCGACGGGTAGAATTCCTCGCAGTGCGTATGCGGGTTGCTAGATTTTCGTCGGGACTGATGATGATGCTTTCTACTAGGCGAAGTCAACGAGCTGTTGGATTCCGCCACTAGCGACGAGCGCAACGCCCAGGGACGCACGCGCGGTAATAAGGTCGACGCATTCAGGCAGGAGAGAGACCTCGACAGGGCATTCGACGAGAGCGGCGTCGCTGACGCTGATCAGGACATCGAGGTCGGCGCGACTACTGGACGCTGAGTGCGCCCAGGTCCAAGCAAGCAATGTCCGGCAATAAGTTCAAAGGGATTGTACATTAGAGCCGCACCTGTACTCGTTGTGATATTAGCATCCTTGGGCGTTTCCCTCTGGACATGTTCCTGTGATATGACGAGTATTGGAAGCCCGTGCTGTCGTCTCGAAGTCGATGAATTCAACGGACACCGTGGCGAGGCAGGTGCGGTGCACTCAATGCCGCTGACGTCGGTGATTGTGGTCCAGCATTTCGATTCTAGCATAGATACTTCGGTCGTTCGAAGGAGAGAAACGAGCAAAGCAGCCGGCTGAAAGGACGTCGCCACAGTGCAGGCGATATGGATGACAATGTTGGTGCCGAGGAGGAGGCTGCATAGTTGAAGTTGGTGGCGCACATCTCAGCCACCGATCTCATCTCATTTGGCCCGCGCCACCGGAGCGCACGAAGGCAACACCCACCTTGCACCGCGCCGCCACGAGCCCCTGTTCTCCCCACACGTCCTCGCTCCTGGCACGCGCGCACCCCCACACCCCGATGACGGTCTTCCTCCCGCTGGAGGCGTCGTCGCCCGTTCCGCAGGCCCCCGCCTTCCTCGTGCCCACGCCCCAGCCAGCCGCACACCTCGGGAAGGTCATCAAGGCGATCATGAAGGCCCGGCGCATCGCCGTCGTCTGCGGTGCGTAAAGCGGGCGCGAGTGCTCGCACGGTCGTTGCTGATGCGTGCCTCGCGTGTAGGGGCCGGCATCTCCGTGCAAGCTGGCATACCTGACTTTCGGTCGTCTGACGGCCTCTTTCAAACGCTGAAGAAAGACAACCCGACGCTGAGCTCGGGAAGAGACTTGTTTGATGCGTCCGTGTTCAACGTGAGTCTCACTGATGTTCAGCGCCCTTCGGAGAATGCTCTCGGGGCTTGTGTACCGCTCGGGTGTTCGATCTTTGGCTCGCTGGGCCGGTTGTCTTGCCAGCGCAAGGCGGTAGCCTAGGTTCAGTCGCATCTGTGGCGTGAATGTCCTGTGGGCTGCCGAATGAAGGATCAACTGCAACATGCCAACCGAACGCAGGGGAAAGCAGAGGACCGAACTTCGTTTTGGCCGACCACCCCACCACGGGGAGGCTGCAGCGAGCCAAGTCGTGGAATTGGGGCAGGGCACTGGTCATTGCAATGATGGGTCCTACTCGGAAGTGAGCTCCTGTGCCTCTACGGACGTGTTCAGAGGCGGGCATCTGGTTGTGTTGCAACCCTTTCTGCGCCGAGTCTGCCAGTGATCTGTTTGAATGTGTATTCTGTTTCGAGCCAGTGTGCAATTCGGTCGCGAAACACGATCTGCTCATTGGCGCAGATATCACTGCGCCGGTACGATTATTTTCCGCCGCTCATTCTCTGTGTGCTTCTGGCTTGCACCAGGGTCATCCGACTGCACGAGGTCAGCCGTGTACGTAAGGTCTGATTCCGTTCCCTTCTCACAAGTGGTTATTTCTGTCAACCGATATGTGCTGACGATTCCCAACAGGCCGAGGGCACGACGTCCATGTTCTGCCAGATGATCGCGCAGCTGGCAGAGCTCTCCGAGGTCGCGCTCCCGACCGCGTTCCACCACCTACTCCGTGCTCTCGACGAGCGTCGCCGGCTCCTGCGCGTGTACACGCAGAACATCGACGCGCTCGAGCAGAAGTGCGGGCTCACCTTTGGCGTCCCAGAGTCCGACGCGAAGCGGAACAAGCCGCGGCTATGCAAACCCAAGACAGACGCGGCGAGCGAGGCAGGCCCCTCGAGCGTCGTGGAGCGGGCGCAGAACCGGCTGCCGACGCCGCCAATGGAGACACCGCGGTGCATCCCGCTGCACGGGACGCTGCAGCAGATGCACTGCCAGATCTGCACACACTCATTCCCGCTGCGGGAGCACCTGCCGGCACTGACGGAGGGTAGGCCACCGTACTGCCCGGAATGCGCGGCGCTGGAGGAGACGCGGCAGTTGGTCGGGAAGCGGTCGCGTGGAGTGGGAAAGCTGCGGCCGAGCGTCGTGCTCTACAACGAGATGCACAAGGACGGCGAGGAGGTGGGCGACGTCGTGCGACGCGACCTGATTGGGAGCTCGAAGGGGAAGGGTAGGGCGGGCGCAGACCTGCTGCTCGTCGTTGGGACGAGTTTGAGAGTGCCGGGGACGAAGCGGATCGTGAGGGAGTTTTCGAAGGCCGTGCACGCGCGCGACACGCCGGCGAACGAATCTACGTCGACCGTGGGCCTCGCTACGCCAACGCCATCGCCCCGTCGGTCGCCGGCTGATGAGGAGGAGCAGCCGATACGCGCAGTATACCTGAATCTCGACTTTCCGGTGCCGACACGTGAGTGGGAGGGTGTGTTTGACGTGTGGATCCGCGGCGATGCGCAAGAACTCGCTCGGCTCGTGCTGGAGGAGATGGACCGAGAGGTGCGCGCGAAAGAGGAGGCAGCCGAGCGGAAGCGGAGGAGGGAGGAGACGGCCCTCGCAGCGAAGCTCGAGGTGCATATGAACGTCAGTCCAGATTCACGAACGGGTGGTGGAAGCGGGAAGAAGCGCAAGGCGCCGTCATCGGCGGGGGAGGGGTCTGCGAAGAAACAGAAAGTGACGCCGCCTACTCCGGTGTCGATGAAGAAGCCTGCTGGCAAGGCGAAGAAACCGAAGAGTGTTGGTGGGGGCGTCTTACCCGTCCCCATGGAAGAGAAGCGGCAGTCGTCTAAGCCTACGAGCGGGTTGAAAATACGGATTCCGCCCCGACCCATCGTGCTCATCACTACCCCCGTCCCGAAGCCCAAGAAGCCTGCACTGGCTACTCCTACACCCTCCCCGCCTTCGTCGCCTCTGACTCCTATCCCTTCGTCCGTACACCGTCATAGGAGTACGTTATCCCCCCTTTCGCCCATCCTCAGCCCGACTCCCAAGCCGCGATTAACGCATGCATACGATGACTACTGGGACGAGCGAGGTGATTTGACCGAGTTATCGGACAACGATTCGAGTGGCGATGAGTGTGCGGAGTCGTACCTTCCTAGTTTTCATCGCAGTCGGCGCGGACCTGGAGGATAGTCTACAGGACCGAACACTGACCGCCAGCCTCAGTCGGACTGTCTTTAACTTAATAATAAGTCCTATTATAGTCTGTAGATCATTCTTACTCTACTATCCTCGCAATGTGCATAAAGCCTGCTTTAGCTGGCTTCCTCTCCTGAACTGAAGACCTCATGAATGACATGGCGACATCGAAGTGTGCGGTACTTCGACTCTCAGGATCTCATTATTGCATATCGAGCAGCCACCGAGGGCGCTTGGCCGAAGCAGCAATGATCGCACTTGCCGAAACAGGAAGCGCATCGGGGTCGGTGGCACAAGATTCGAACGTCTTATGAACAAGGCGCACACTGCTTGGTCCTCATCCACCTTCTCCTCTACTCCCTCTCCCGTCTCTCGCAGCGAGAACCGCAACTTATGTCTTTCTTTGGCGCGCCTAGCTCGTCGACCGCCGCCGCCGCCGCGACGGGTGGCGAGAAGGACATCGAAGTCGCCGACCCGCCCACGGACTCAATCTCTTGCCTTTCTTTCTCCAGCCAGGCTGATTACCTCGCGGTTGGAAGCTGGAACAATGAGGTTAGTTGTCTCGCCACTGGCATTGATGTCTGCGCGTGCTGAACGCGTACCGCGCTCGTGATGCTAGGTTCGGATATACGAAGTCGGTCCGAGTGGACAAACGCAGGGTAAAGCTATGTACACGCATCAAGGGCCCGTGCTGAGTGTCTGCTGGAACAAGGTGCGCTGTTGCTGTTGTGGCACCCTTTGTGCACCATCGTGACGTGAGCTCGGCATCCTAGGATGGCACCAAAATTCTCTCGGGGGGCGCAGACAATGCAGGGCGCATGTTCGACGTTACGACGGGCCAGTCATCCCAAGTGGCGCAACACGACGCGCCCGTCAAGTGTGTACGCTGGATCGAGTCGCCACAAGGTGGCGTCCTCGTCACTGGCAGTTGGGATAAGACGGTGAAGGTGAGTACTGAGTCCCGTTTAAGTTCCTGCGTCTCATGCCGAGCATATGCAGTACTGGGACCTTCGGACCCAGAACCCTGTCACCACAGTGCAGCTAGCTGAGAGATGCTACACGCTTGATGTCTCTTACCCCCTCATGGTCGTCGGCACGGCGGAGCGCCACATCCAAATCTTCAACCTCACGAACCCGACAACACCGTTTAAGGTTCGGTTGTGTGTGTAACTGTTCCGCTCGGGTAGCGCTGACGCTCTGGTCATAGACTATGCTCTCGCCACTGAAGTGGCAAACCAGGGTGGTATCATGCTTCCCGGCGGCCAACGGATTTGCTGTTGGTAGTGTAGAGGGCCGTGTGGCGATCCAGTGCGTATACCTTTCCATGCAGCTTATACACCTCTAAGCTCACCCATTCCGCGCGGGTAGATATGTCGAAGACAAAGACGCCTCGTATGTCGGCTATCAAACCTCGGTCGCGTTCCCTTGCTTACTCTGGCGTCCTTATCAGGAACAACTTCTCGTTCAAATGTCATCGCAAGGACGCAAACCCAGCAAACAAGGACCAGTCGCTTGTCTATGCTGTGAACGACATCACCTTCCATCCTGTCCACGGAACGTTCTCTACATGCGGTGCGTCCCGAGCATTTTCAATATCCCTTCGGAGCTGGCATACTCATCACCCTTGCAGGATCTGACGGCACAATCAACTTCTGGGACAAGGATGCGCGAACTCGTCTCAAGAGTAGGCTTTAACGTTTATTCTCTGAATACGATCTAATATGACCCCCCTTAGCCTTCGACCCTGCTCCGGGCCCGGTGCCTGCGACTGGCTTTAACCGGACGGGCTCTATATTCGCCTATGCGGTTTCGTACGACTGGTCGAAGGGACACTCCGGTATGACGCAGGGACATCCGAACAAGATCATGCTGCACGCATGTAAAGACGACGAGGTGAAGAGAAAGCCCACGAAGCGGTAGAACGATAGGGGAGTCGGTGATGGGCGGAGGAAGGCAATCAGTGATACGCACATTAGCGTCATCCATCGTGTTCTCGTATGTAGTATTTGACGTCTGCAATTGCATCTTTCTTGCTTCTCCGGATGTACTGTCTGTTGTCTTTATACGACGTATCGTAGGCCGGAGCAGTGATATAACAGCGTAAATTAAACGTGCATGCGGAGTAAAGTAAAAGGGGCGTCATTTGGTCATGGTGCGGTCTCGGCACAGCACTGTCATTAACTTGTCTTCTTGACCATTACATCGAATCTAAATCCCTATCCCTCCCGCCGACCAGTAGTAGGCACGTCAACTAAGTAGCAATAGATACAGCAAACACACAACAAGCACACAACTCTCGCTCTCAGCTCACTGCTGCTTGCCCAGGGCCTGCTTCTCCTGCTTGGCCAAGTGCGCCTGCACCTCCTTCATCGGGTCGAGCTCGCTCACGGGCTGCCTGTACGAGTCGCCCATGCGGTCCGCCCACGTGAAGTACTGACCGTAGTTGACGGTGAAGTAGAGGTGGTGGAGCGTATGGTGGGCTGGCCCGTTGATGATGGTCTCGAGCGGGTGCCCGGTGATCATGTCGGAGTCGTGGATGAGGATGGACCACATGTTGACGAAGACGAAGAGGCTGAGGTAGAGGAGGCGGTGGAGCGGGAAGAGGTAGATGAAGGCGTGGTACGGGATGGACTGGAGGTAGCCGTCGAGCGGGTGGAATGCGTGCGAGGCGAAGGGCGTCGGCACGATCCACTTGTGGTGCGGCTTGTGCAGCCATTTGTACCACAGGCGGTGGTGCTCCCACCGGTGGATCCAGTAGATGCCGAAGTCAGTGAAGACGAGGAACCTGCGAGACCGTCAGCGCCGCGCAAGAATAGGGGTTATGCAAGGACGTACCACAGGGTGGAGAACGCGAGGTAGCCCCAGCCGTATTCATCCACGTTGTCATACAACTTCGAGTGGCCCCTGACCTCCGCTATGAACCACGGAAGAGTGAGGAGCGTCATGCCAGGGAACGCCTTCAGGCTGTGCTGAATCTCGAGCTTGACCTGGTTCTTCAGGAAGCGCGGGTGCTTCATCATCTCATGATTGAAGATGTACCTGTACGACAGCCACGCGAAACTGAAGTAGAGGAAGTGGATTCCGAGCAGGGTGAGCACGAAGAGGGAGGTGAACTGGCGGAGGATGTAGTCGCGTGGCCATGCAGACGCGAGAGAAGGCGCGATCGGTGCGAGCTCGTGAGCGGAGGGTAGTGGTGGATGGGGAATGTAGGATAGAAGCTGGGACCACTTGCCCGGTTGCGAGGTAATGACAGGCAGTGATGAGCCGTTCAGCGATGCCTGGAGGAACGCCGCACTGGGTGATGAGGCAAAGGCGGATGCAGGTAGCACGGCTGCCCAGAACTTGTCGAGGGCATAGTCGTCACAGATGCTGAGCACGAGATCCATGGCTGCGCGTCGCTTTTGGGTGGTATATGGCGGGGAGGCGACAGGGACGACGAGGACGGCGACGTAGAAACGGCGGCGACCCGTCCAAGTCTTTTATGCGGCGATTGGCAGGAAATGTCAGACCACTTTCTCCTCCACTCACGCACGTGAGAGGCGCTTACTCAGGCGCCGGCCGATGTCGGTGCATCCGCAGGCGTCAAAGCCACCGTCTCCAGCTCGCCTCGCCCAGCCTCCTCTTTACCTAGGCTCCCGGCAGGCCATTTCATGGGGAGTTTCCGCAGTCGTCGTACGACGCAGTGTCCTGTAGCTACGAAGAGGTCAGGCATAGCAGACTACCTATGAGGCGTCGGTGCGCACAAACCTTCTGCACTTCCCCTACTCGCCCTTCCGAAACGTGCTCACTGTTTGTCGGCTTCGTCAGCGTGCGCCACTGGTCACTCGTCTGGCATTTCTTGTTGAATGCAACCGTGGTCAGTCGGTAGCCAATGAGCAGTCGACGCCGTGCGGACCTTTTCCCAAAGAATGTCCAACCAACGTCTGCATTCGCATCCAGATATAAACCATTCACAGGCTCCATTGTGGACATGCTATCATATGCATCGCATCGTGGAATGGTGGCAAGACTGTATCTGAAATGGCTGGGCCCGGTGCACACGCTGGTCTCCTTTACAACCTTTTCGTGCCACTCTCCAACGACCATGTACGTGCTCGTACCGGCTGCCGAGGGGTCAGCGTGAACACCTCATCTCACTCACCTTTGCCGATGTCAAGAAATATGATAGTCGAGGACATGCCTTAAGAGCGGCGCTCCGCGGCCGCATATGCATGGGAATTGACCGGGACCTACCAAGGACGGCGCGCGTAACAAAGGCCCCCAGCGCTGCCCACGGAAGTACAAGTCCGGTGCCACCGGAACAGCGTTGGAACAGAGTAATGATGCTTTTTCGTGTTCTGTAGCCCGGTAAACGCGACGAGTCGAAGCAGCTTCAGGCAGATGAACCACTGCAGGCGCCACAAGCGATTGTTTCTACTCACTTAGAGAAGCTTGAGCGATTGGGTGCCGCGCGTATCACCAGAGCGTCGTAATTAATACAATGCTTTCTGCCAGTTGAGGGGTACGTTGTGCTGCTTCCTCTGTTGACTGCGACGGTCGACAACGCTAAGCATGAGTGGTTCCAGGTTCATGGTGGTGACCAGCGATCCTGCATAGGATAGGCGCCTTGGCGTTGTTTCGCGACCGACGTCGTCGTCGTGAGACTCCAGCGAGACTCCAGAAGACCGTCTGTACAGAGACCGCAGCGTGGAACGTCATGAGGCTCGTACATTGGTGGTACATCGCCAACAATAATTCCAGGTGTGTCGAGTCAATGACAGGAAACCAAGGTTGCATGCAGCGAATGTAAGTTGCAGTCCGCTCGAAAACAGTAGCAGCCTGATTTCACACCCCACTCGCAGGTGCATTGTTACGATTGTACGTATTGGGAGTATCTGTCTGGTACTATTCTCGGCCCAAAATTGACCTCAACTTGATGTGCGACCTGACCTCACCGGTAATGGGGTTCCAGCTAGTAGATGCCCAGTGACATACCGATGACGAGACAACAGCAGAGGGAAGTGCACAGCAGGATTTCCCGAAGGTCACTGATATATAGCGGTACATACGCGCTCGCGACGCGGTGCGGGGTCAGAGCTACCGCAAAGCAGCCCAAGTTTAGCAAAGTCCGTCGCTGGTCCGTCGACTCTATTCAATAGAGCGACCATGTCTCAGCGGAGTAACAATACAACTTAGGGTACAGTTACGTACCGTTTTCGGAGAATGAAAACAGAATGGGCTACGTCACTATTTGCCTACGAGCGGAGTCAAGCTTCTACGGTGGCGTCACGGTTGGCTTAACCGCAGCGACGACCGTGCTTGCCAGGTGCTCCGCCAACCTCGACTTCGTGTTCCACAGCAGCGTCGCCGACACCCAAGGGGTGTGAACGACATCCTCTATGACGGTCTCACTTGCTCGTGGCGGGATGGCACTGTCCGTTCTGCTTGCGCTGGTCTCACTAACCTCACCTGCATACGCAGCTCAGAACCGATCGACATTGCGTGGTAGCTTCTCTCCATATCAATACGACTTGTCGGTGCGTGATTAAATATCGTGGAATTAACATCAGTCCTGACATTCAGGATATACACCAGCCATTGGCTGTGGCTAATACGAGGCCAGGTATGTACTACTCGCTGTGTCTCGGGACGTTCTACTGAGCTCCTAGCAGAGAAGTGCCCACCGTGCTTCAATTGTCAATTGGACGCATTCGATTGTGGACAGTTCGGAGAGTGTTCAACATATGATGGACAGTGCAAATGTCCGCCAGGATGGGCAGGGATTGACTGCTTGACACCACGTACGTCCCGTCGTTCCATGGAACATTACCGGAGTTCACCGTTCAGGCAGAATGCGACTCTCTGGCGGACGGAGAATGGAGAAGACAACGAGAACCGGGTCAAAAATGCGACTGCAAGGATGGTTGGGGTGGTGCGAACTGTAACGGTACGTTTGAAATCCTCCTTGGGTTCCGCCTCGCGCTCATAGCTCCTAGTGTGCAAGACGGATAGCGCGTGTGTCGGGTTTCCTCTCGCTGGGAAGCCAGTGGAGGACGGAGAGGAGGTCAACAATATGACATGCTACAAGGGCGGTGTAACTGTCTTCGAGAACCACCAAATATGCGCAGTGACGAGTGCGTGTCTCGCGTCGGGGACTCCTCCGTATCGCTTATGCGCCTCCAACAGACCGCAAGATCATCGATATGCTTCCGGATCGTCCTCCCGAGGTGACGTTCAGTTGCGACAAGCCGGCAGCTACTTGTCAGTTCCAGTTCTGGACTGCGCAGGAGGAATCGTTCTACTGCGCACTGGACACGTGCTCGTTTGGGATGGAGGCGGACTATGACAGCAACACCACTCGCTACGCGTGTGAAAACATGAAGTGCAAGTGTGTCCCTGGTCGATTCATATGCGGTGAGAACGGCAGTGTCGGTGAGTGCTATGTCATCTCTTCTTCCGGAATGTACGCCCACTGAGCTCGTGTCATTGAAGACATCTCGGACTTCTTGAAGGACGAAATCAGGGGCCCTGTTTCTTTCAGCTGCAAGACGGGCCAAGACTGCAAATTCGAGGAGCCTGCCATGAACGAACTGATTGATACTATGTTCGGTGATCGTTACATCACATTGCAGTGTGACGGCGGAGAGTGCTTGCACTATTCCCAGGTGCCCGGCTACGTGGTAAGGGAGCATCATTGGTCGATAGACATTCGCCGATTCTAATGATTCACTTGAAGCCCCCGCTCAAACCGGATAGCAGTCGCTTCATCGCGTTGAGCGCAGCAGGAGCAGGCTTGTTTGTTATCATTGCAACAGCAAGTGAGTAGCCTCTATGAAAATCCAAGTATGTTAGCTCACACCATTTTACAGTCTTCTGGTACGCAGGGAGGACACGTTCAGGTGACTTTGGTCGCATTCGGTTGCCCGAGAGCGAGACCGCGAGGCTCATGTCCGAGCATGTCGCCACGTCCTTGCACTTCTCTGACATCTCCTACTCGCTCGGAAACCGCACAATTCTCGACTCCGTCTCTGGCTCGGTCAAGCCTGGTCAGCTCATGGCAATCATGGGCGCCTCGGGCGCGGGCAAGTCGACGTTCCTCGACATCCTTGCACGGAAGAACAAGCGTGGCGTCGTGAATGGGCGAACGCTCGTCAATGGACGGGAAGTTGCAGACGAGGATTTCAAGAAGATGATGGGCTTCGTGGACCAGGAGGACACGCTGATGAGCACGCTGACTGTGTATGAGACCGTGCTGTACTCTGCGCTGCTGAGGCTGCCGCGCGAGATGAGTCTAGAGGCGAAGAAGTTCAGGACGCTGGAAACGATGCATGAATTGGGAATCCTCGGCATAAAGGATGCACGCATTGGCGACTCTGGTGAGCTGGGTCCTGACCAGTGGCGCGGACACGAGGCTAAATTGGCGCATAATAGGCCGCAGATCCATCTCCGGAGGTGAGAAGCGCCGCGTTTCAATAGCTTGCGAACTCGTCACCAGCCCTTCGATTCTATTCCTGGACGAGCCGACGAGCGGTAGGTCATTTACACTTCGGAGGCGGGTTATACTCATGTATTTCCAGGTCTGGATGCCTTCAATGCACTGAGCGTCATCTCCAGCTTGGTCACACTCGCGAAGGACTACAACCGCACCGTGCTGTTCACGATCCATCAACCGCGCAGTAACATCGTCTCCCTCTTCGATCAGTTGCTTGTTCTCGCGCAAGGCAAGCTGATCTACTCTGGCGATGCGGACAAATGCGGGGAGTACCTGGCTGCAATTGGACACCCATGCCCACCGGGTTTCAACATTGCTGACTTCTTGAGTACGTCCATTCTCAGTGCTCCTCCGTCGGGCAGTTTTTAACGATCGAATGTAGTCGATTTGACAATGCATGCGGGTATTGAGCCTCGCTCCTTGGAAAGTCCGCCGACAGAGCTGTCCACTTCGGACGCAACCAACGTCAATGACGAAGAGCGGGCGTTCAACGGTGGCTCCTCCTCGGGACATTCCAAGACATCAAGTTCAACGGAAGAGACAGAGCTGCAGCCCCGCGCGAGCTCCGTCGCAGGTTCAGCCTCCGGCTACGTGCGAAAGAAGACGTCGCAGCTACTGCAAGCGATCACGCCCAACTCGTTGCCCGGCGAGGGACCGTTGGCCCCTCGTTTGCAGGCGTTGGTGGATGCGTTTGCAAATAGCGACATCGCGGCATCGCTGAAGGAAGAGATTGCTGAGGTATCGACGAACACGAATGCGCCTCAGAGTGGCTCGAGCCAACTGCCTGATGCGGCGTTCGAGACGATGATTACCAGGGGACGTAAGCGGGCAAGTTGGGGCACGCAGTTCCGCATCCTGAGCGGGAGGGCATTCAAGAACTTGTACCGAGACCCTGCTCTCCTTGCTGCCCACTACATTGCCGCTGTTCTGGTCGCACGTAAGTGTGACTTTTGACGAGTCGACGATAATCACTGATGTTTTTGTAGTCATGGGTGGATTCTTCTTCCACAATCTCTCGTAAGCGATGTTTTCTGTTCGCATGGCTGGACGGTTACTGACTCTAACTCAGGAACGACATCGCAGGCTTCCAAAACCGACTTGGATTTTTCTTCTTCACTCTCGCGCTCTTCGGCTTCTCTTGCTTGTCGAGCTTGAGTCTGTTCGCGAATGAGAGGATTCTATTCATGCGGGAACGGTACGTCGTATGAATGCTTTTGGGCAACAGATTGCTAATACACACATTACTCAGTGCGAATGGTTACTATTCGCCGCTGACCTACTTCGCATCCAAGGCAAGTCGTTAGTTGGCGTTGATGCCGGACCCCAGCTCACCAGGTCTCTTGATAGGTTCTGTTCGACATCCTACCATTGCGTATTGTCCCGCCGCTCGTGTACGGTGGCATTGTCTACGGTCTCATCGGTCTTGTGCCTGAAGTCGCAATATTCTGGAAGTTCATCCTAGTGCTCGTGCTCTTCAACTTGACTACAGCTAGCGTGATCCTCCTGTTGTCGATCGCGTTCGCAAGCACCAGCGTGGCGAGCCTTGTTGGGACCTTGATCATGCTCTTCAAGTATGTTCAGTATCTGAACGCTCGCCCATGTGCTGACAATATTGCCAGCCTGTTGTTTGCTGGATTGCTTATCAACCGACAGACCCTTGGAAAGAAGTGGGAATGGCTCAATGTCATGTCGTTCTTCCATGCAGCTTACGAAGCTTTGGCCGTGAACGAGCTAAGGTACTTGCAACTAAGAGAGACCAAGGTATGCAACGTGACATCGATCATGTATACGATCATTAATCGACGTGCATCTACACAGTATGGTGTGGACATCGATGTGCCAGCTGCGGCAATTCTCTCGACCTTCGGACTGCAATCACAGGTCAGTCCTCGTAGCCAGGCTTCCTCCTCTCAAGGCGTGCTAATACGGATTGTTTCAGTCCTTCTGGTGGCCGGATATTGCCCTTCTCGGCATTTTCTTTGGCTCGTTCACCATCATCAGCTACCTAATCCTTCACTTCTACGTCAAGGAGAAGCGGTAGCAAAACAACGTTCGCGTCATGTTGTGTGGCATAGCGGATGCGATTGTCGAGACTCGAATACGAGCTGTCCTATGCATAGTGACTGTAATGGCTGTATCATTGTAATATTATTGGCATCTCGCATCTCCCTCTCAGCCCGTCTGTCTCGCCGCCTCCGGTACAGTAAACATGAGATTGACGACCCGATTCACATAATTGGACTTGACTGGATATAGCAGAGAGCATTCTCGGGGCACGTGCCCGGACGCGAAGCGTGTAAGTCAAGTACGCGACATCCTCCAGGCCCTACGCCGCTTGGCTGGGGCGACCACAAATTTCGGCTTGCTACCTGGCTCACCTCTTGCCTTCTCTCTGCTGTTCACTTTCATCTGCTCACCGCTACTTTTTCTACTTTATAACTCTTGACGCGCAATTGGACTTGAAGTCGCCACCGTTTGGTGATCCAGCATTTGCGATCACACGAAGTCGACGGCAAGACGCCACCGAGGCCGTGTCGTTCAGCAGGCACACTATACCCTCCTCCGTCGTCCTGAGACAGTTCAGCTAGTGAGTATCTGCTCTGCCTAGTCCAATTATGAAGTGCAGAGATCCTCTTAGTGCCTGTGGAGACGGGATTATACGATCTACTTGGAGTACATCCAGGGGCCTCCGATGGTGAGCACACAATGTGGCCTCGGCGCCGCTGATGATTTAGATGATTTATGGGCCGTTTGAATGCGCAGATGAGATCAAGAAAGCATACCGCAAGAAGGTAAGCTATGTCCATACTAATGTCAAGCCCATGCTAATCGACATTGGCCCGTCTGTTAGGCCAGGGAACACCATCCGGTACGTCATGCATGTCGAGTATGTCTGGGCTGGTGGCTGAATGTGAATGTTTCCTCGAACGCAGGACAAAGTACGTTCGCTGCTCTCTCCGGCATCCTTAGAGACCGACGTCTATTCAATAGAATCCAGATGACCCGACAGCTGGGGAGAAGTTCCAGGAGATGGCCGCGGCGTACGTTGCTGGCTATATTCTGACACTACTCTTTAACACGGGTTTTTCAGATATGAGATCTTGAGTGTACAAGAGACTCGGGAGGTCTATGACGAATACGGCATGGACGGCCTATCCAAAGGAGGTGGAAGAGGGCCCGGCATGTCCCCAGATGATGTCTTCGCGGAGATGTTCGGTGGCATGTTCGGTTTCGACTTCGGCCCAGGCATGCGGAGACGAACACGAGGGCGGGATACGACGGTGCCGTACGAAGTCACGTTGGAGGACCTGTATAATGGGAAGAGCGTGAAAATGAACATGGAGAAGGAGGCAATCTGCGGAACATGCAAGGGGTGCGTTTCTCTGCCCACCGCTCCATGACATCCGTACGACCCATCGAACAGGACAGGAGCTAAGGGGTCTGCAAAGCCGAAACCGTGTGTGAAGTGCGAGGGTAAGGGTTGGACAATGATCCATACTCAAGTAAGTGAGCTGATTGCCACTCCGCCTTGTTCTTCACTCATGTCACGCTACAGCTTGCTGCTGGTCGTATTGGGACAACCCGAGCGCCATGTTCAGAATGTAGTGGCCATGGAGAAAAGCTTAGAGAGAAGGATCAGTACGACCACCAACTTCTGTGCATCACGGTGATGTCTAACGCATACTGGCAGATGTAAGAAGTGCAAAGGCAAGAAGACGGTCAAGGAGAAGAACCGGCGAGAAATCTTCATCGAACCTGGAATGCCTGATCGGCATCGAATAGTGTTAGCTGGAGCTGGCGATGAAGAGGTATGTGGCTTCCACCTTCATCCGAGGCCTTGTTGACGTTTCCTATGTAGCCAGATGTCCCGCCGGGAGATGTCATCTTTCTGCTCAAAACGAAGAAGCACGAATCCATCGAGCGATCGGGAAATGACTTGCTCACGACCGTGCACATCACCCTCTCAGAGGCGCTATTGGGCTTCTCGCGTATCCTCATCACACATCTGGACGGCCGCGGAATTCAAGTCACAAGTCCGCGGGGAAAGATCATAAAACCTGGGGACAGCATTATTCTGCGCGACGAGGGCATGCCCGTGCACAAGAGCCCAGACCACAAGGGCAATCTGTACATCATGCTTGAGATCGACATGCCGGACGAGGAATGGCTTTCAACAGTTGACCGGACGGTGAGCCCTATCCCATCAGTGAGACCTTGCCGTTGATGCTCATCTACCTACTCTATAGGCACTTGAGGGCCTCTTACCACCCAAAAAGCCCGAGATGGAACCGCGTCCGGAAGTCGTGGAACAAGTGCCATTCGAGGAGAGTGACATCGTAGAAGTGCGTGCCCAGCATTTCTCTGGGTCCGCCTTCTTTGACCGCTCTGGATTTGCCCGGCAGTTTGGCGAAGACGAAGATGGGTGGGAGGACGAAGATGAGGATGAAGACGAGGACGAGGACGATGAGGGTGATTGGGGCCCGCATGGACATGAGCCGGAGTGCCAGCCACAATGAGGCAGGCCTGTGCTTGAGGACGAGGTCGGCATTGATGTATCATGTGTTTCTGTTGCGATATCTTAGAGCTGCCTACTGTTGGGCATGATTACTCTCCGCTCTGCAATTATACTGTGGAATGCTTTCGGATCGATTGAGTGAGTCAGAAGCATTAACGGCCGTTATAATCCAGTATGGGGTTCTAATGACCAGGTAACAACATTCTATAGGGATTCATAGAGCCATTCAGTCTCCGATCAGTAGGATCGCTTGCGCGTACATACTATGATACTTACTACAAACTGTGACGAGACTCGGCCTTCACTATATCTTCGAGTCCTACATGCAACTGCGACAGCAGGCAGCAACACTATGAGCTTCATACTGGACTTGTACCTTGTCGGTGTAGCGTGGCTGCACGCACTGCTCGCGCCCTATACCAAGGTCGAAGAGAGCTTCAGCCTCCATGCGACGCACGATGTGCTCATGTACGGCGTGCAGCCACATGCCCTTCAAATGTACGCGATTCTTCTCCATGAGCAATAGCGGGTAACAGCTTGATGTTTGAAGTATGACCACCGTGTCTTCCCTGGGGCAGTGCCACGGACGTTCATAGGAAATGCTCTCCTGGCGTGGATGACTAGCGCAGTAGCGTACCTGGCTAGCCCTCAGGGAATGTTTACACAGAAGGCCGATGTGCAAGTACTAGGTTCGTGCAACTCTGCAGCGTTTGGAATTCGTACAGATATAACACCTACCAGTCCGTTTGGTTCTCGCGACCGTGAATGCCATCGCACTTTGCCTCCTGCGGCGCGCCGTGTCGCGTCGGTTCGGCCGTCTTGTGAGCTGGGCATTCGTGGCGCTCACCATCAGTCAGTTCCATCTGCCATTCTGGATGGGCAGGACGCTGCCGAATATGTTCGCCCTCTTCCCCGGTGCGCAAGTTCGCTCATGAGTCTGCACTGAGCTGAAGGCAGATTCAGTGAATATCGCTCTGTACCAATTGGTGAACCGTTCGCCCAACTCGAGTCGCCTTTCGTCATCTGCGTTTCATCGCATGATAGCACTCCTGACATGCACAGCTGCTATCTTCCGCTCTGAGGTTGCCCTACTCCTCGCTCCGCTTGCTCTGCAAGGTCTGCTAACAGGCTCTACCACGTTCTCTTCGCTACTTCGAGTTGGAGTGATTAGTGGCACTTGTTCCGCGGGTGCGTGCTTGGGAGACGGATGCCCAGCTCTAGTACGAACTAACGACGGTCCGCAGCCCTGACAACCCTAGTTGACTCCTACTTCTGGCAACAATGGCCTTTGTGGCCAGAGTTGCACGGTGTCTTCTTCAACGTCATCGAAGGGAAGAGTGCAGAATGGGGTGTACGCGTGAACTGTGTTTATGCAGTGGCACCTCTGATTTTTGTCCTGCTTATCAGGTCTCCCCATGGCACACATACTTCACGTCGTCTTTGTCCAAGCTCCTCATGTGGAGCTTCCCACTGTCCGTGCTCGGCTTTCACGCCGATTCACGCGTCCGCGCACTCCTCTTGCCTTATCTTGGCTTCATAGCTCTCCTCAGCTGCTTAGGACACAAAGAGTGGCGGTTCATCATCTATGTCGTTCCAGTATTCAATATCGCAGCCGCAAGAGGCGTCACATGGATGTGAGTATTCGTCGATCTCGCACGAACGAATGGTTCAATTACTGATACTCTCGATCGCGCTCGTAGCGTGAGGAAACCGAAGAGCAAATTCCTCGTTCGCCTGTCTATCCTCGTTACTCTCGGTCTGATTGCATGTAATTTCGTCGTGACAAGCCTCTCCACTCTGGCGTCGATGAACAACTACCCAGGGGGCGAAGCATTGTCGACTTTTAACGCTCACTATGCCAACGAGACTCATGGTGTGTCGCCTTACTATGTATCTCCACGTTTCATGCTGCTTACGAATATCCCAGTACACGTCCACATATCCAACCTAGCTGCACAGACCGGGGCCTCCCTCTTCCTCCATGCCTACGCACCGCCCTTCCTCACAAGCATAAACCTCGCACCTCCGACTCAACACTGGGTGTACGACAAGACGGAGAACCTCACGCCGCAGATGCTCAGTGGGTCGAAGGAGGTCACGCATGTCATCGCCGAGAGCGACGGCACTGGCTCGCCTTTACCCACAGGATTCTCTTCGAGCTATTGGACACCCGTTGCAAGTATCCCGGGCTTTGACGGGTGGAAGATCAACCCTCGGCTGCGAGAGTTAGTGAAAGGTAGAGGCAAGGGGTTGATGGAGAACCTGGATGTGTTCGTCCACCCGTTGGAGATGATCCTGAGCGAGAAACTGGTTATCCTAGAACGGAAGGGTCATTGAGGCTTACTATGCATGTATTCCCACGGAATGGAACATATGTAGCCGTTCACGGACTGCGATCTCTTGAGGCCATTATCGGTAAGCTGAAAACCACAGGGCATCGGAATGCAAGGTGAGGGTCAGAAATCGGAGAGCAGTGTATGTACATGCACAGGAAAGCCATATATCAATGCCGTCATGGCTGCCCAGTCAGTTGCGCTTCAGCAGCCTTCCCCCTCTTCTCCGCTGCAGCCTTCGCCTCGCTGAGAGGTCTGCTCCAGCGCGCTTCCGGGGGGTCCCAGATACCCAGTTCCCTCTTCATCTCATCCACGTTCTGGCTCCACCGCTCTTCCCAGTACACACTAATCAAGCTCTTCGCGCTGCCCCCACACTTGACTGCCCAAGGAACGAACTCGCTGAAGAGCCGTTGGCGCTTGGCTGAGGTGAGGCGGAGGTGGCCAAAGGCTGCGGCGAAGCCGGCCATGGGGAGGCCGAGGTTGGCGAACTCGAAGAACTTGAGCGCGAGCTCGGACTCGACGTTGACGGGCAGGTTGCAGATGCAGTGGTAGAAGTCGTGGCATTCGCGGTAGCGCAGCAAGACGTACGCCAGCTCGGGGTCGTCGACGTAGTGCACCTGTAGTAATTGTGAGCACGCATGTCTCCAAAGAAGTGAGCAGATACGTACCGGCTCACGCGTATCGGGGGTCACACCGCACCGCTCGAGCCAAGTTACGTACGCACGACCAAACGACCCCTCTGGGAGCAACGCCAGCTTGTTCATGTCGACGGTCGCCGAGTTTACGCGGGGCCGCTCTTTTAGAATCCTCCTGCCCTCTGGGCTCTCCAGCATGGCATCCCGAAGACGAGGCAGCACAGGTCCGGAGGTCACGTCTCCCAACGCAGCCACCATGTCTGTGCGGGGGTTATGAAACTCATTGTCAATTGCAACGGCATGATTGACGCACCACCTCTCCTAGGGTTCGCTAGCGACATGAGCGCGGAACCAACAGCCAGGAAGCCAGCCTCGAAAGTGTTCAGCGGGATATGTCCCTCGTATGCCGGTTGCGTACTCTTCGGACGCGTCTGTTCATGTAAGACCCTCAGCTTTGGGCTGGCTAGGACTGGTGATACTCTAGGAAGCCATGTTATCGAACGCCGTGCGGTACGCGGCAAAGAGTTCGCGAGAGACATGGTTGTGTGCAGCGTCGCGCTCGACTTGAGGCACGGTGACGGTCGGATTGTGAGACACACGGTCACCTGCACCGCGGCCCTACGCCACAGGCGCGTCTGGATGAACTGCGCCTGAGCTCGGAGTCGAAGGACTTGCAAAGGACTCGTCTTTTTTTTTTTTCGCTGTAGGTCTGATGGATTGTACTGACTACCATTCTCCTCACATTGGTCGGTATCAGCGTTAACGAGGATAAGCGCAGGTCCTCGATTCCTCCACGGAGCATCGCTACTACCCACTACTAGCATCGAGACTAAACTGGCACCTCGTCGTATGAACTGCATTGGTCAGATTAGAGTGACTGGCCAGACACGAGCGTCCCCTCCCCGTCAAGAATGTCGTACTCGTACGAGAGGTTGCCTACCGCTAAGTGATTACTAACCTCAAGCTAATATGCAGGTGGTGGACCGACATCTTGCATTCCTTCCGCCCTCAACTGTGCCATTTCCACTCGTAGCGATGCCATTTCCCTCCTCAGATCAGCGTTGTCTGAGTTCGACCGCTGGAATGACGCAGGTGCAGGAACCGTGCTGGCCGGCGTAGACGCACTGCCCAACAGCGTCGAACCGTTTTCTGGTGTCAGCACTGACCGTTCGGCGGGTACGATTGTGACCTGCTGTCTGAAGTCATGAGCCTCGCGCGTCAGGTTGTCTCCATGTAAAGTGGAGGTCGCTTCGATGCGCTTTTCGTCAAACACGCGGGCGTCGCTTGTGCCGGAAGAGGGAGGGGTCTCGGAGATAGCGGCCATAGTGAGCACCGTCATATCGTCTACTGGCATGGAGTCTTGAATGAACCGACTCGCACAGTGCTGTTCACGGAAAAAGACAGCCGCACCTGGGTAATTCAACGGACGAGAGGGAACGAATGGATCGATTGCCGTGTGATCCATGTCGTCTGTTGCGTAGTGCACCGTTTGCCGCCTCCGCCAATAGATCACGAAGCAGAGGCAAAGCGCAACGAAGGCAACACTACCGAGTACACCGCCAACAATCGCACCAGTGGGAGAACCTTATTCAGAGGTGAGAAACGTTGGCAAGAGAGGGCAGTGGCAACCTACCATGGTGAGTTGAATTACTGGGTGGTTCGCTGCTGGAAGTCGTTGAGGTCTGCGATGTGGATGTAGCACTGCTGGACGAACTTGGCTCGCCATCATCAAAACTTCGTGGAAATTGGGGCCACCTCATCAAGCCAATGATCATGTAATTATGTATGCTGGACTCACGTGTATACAGCCCGGTCGAACAGTAGCACTGACGGCTGAGAACCTTGCACTGCTGTCATCACCAAGGTATGTTCCGTATTGCTGAGGTTCGTCATACTGAAGACGGTCCTGTTGTACTTGTATTGCTCTTGACTCGGATCTGGGGCATGCTGGTACGTTTCCGCTAAGTGCCCGTCCAAGTGGACGCTGATGTTGGTCAAGATTGGAGTCTCGACGGCCGGCTGGGAATTGACAACGATACAATAGAGCCAAACCGCGGTTCCTAGACACAGTGTCAGTCTACCCCTCCTGAAGTTGCGATGCAAACCAATCACCGTTGAACCGCAGGGTCAGGTAGTCGGGAATAGAAGCGTTCGGAAAGTTGGAAGTCGTGTCGTGCCATGTGCCCGCATATGTGTCGTTCGCATTCGGACGTAGGGCACACGACGAGCAATTCTGGCCAGTATTCCAGGCACCAGTGTAAGCGACTTGCACACCGGTCACGAAGTCTCCATAGAAATCATCGATCGTCCTGTTGGTCTGTCCAGCAGAGACGAAACCAGAGAGGAGCAGACCGATGAATAAGGTCCCTTGCGCTCGTAAGTGGTTACGGGGAAGAATTGAGAACATTTTCGTGCATGCGTAGGGGGCACGGATGGTCATGGAGGATATAATGACGAAGGTGACGCTCGGACGTCTACATACAAGTTGACATAGTCAGTGTGCACTGCATATCATCATCACAGTCATGGTGACTTATCGTATTGGCAGGTTGCCACTTCCTGGGAAGAGTGTGGTTGCTGCGATGTGTGTTATGTCAACTGCTTCTTGACAGTTCCACTGATTGCGGACCGACTCGGTGCAACAGATTCGGCTCAACCTCGGCTACAGGGATGTTAACGAATACGACGTACAGCGGCAGAGTATGGGACAGCAATAGTTATACTGAATGTGGTCCAAACGGAGAGATTCAGAAACAGCACATCCTGTTGCACTGCTGCACATCTCTCCAGCATTTCCCTGAAACAACATGAGAGTACAACATGGCATTGATGCTCCCCAGCGCCGACCGGCCTGAGACACCACACCGTATCAGGGTCCGGTGTGGGTGGGTTACTGCAGGCTCGGTAGTGCAGTGAAGCTGGTCGTAGTCATAGTTATGTCAAGTCAGATCTGTCAAGCATTATCTTGTAAGTCGCCCTCTGAGGGGGTCACTGTAGGTGGACATACCAGTTTACCCCTTTTGCGGAATAACGCTCATTGGTACAATACAATGCTCCCAGATCACTGCTTTCGCTTCCTGACCCCTGAACGCCTGCACCGTGGACACGACAGTTGTTACAGCCTCAGAACCGTCGCAGCGTCGAACGCTGGATCTCCCTCCTTATAGCCTCGCTGATTGCTGACAACCCTGACACCGCGTCGCTCGAAGTCACAGCTCCAGTGCGTATGCCCGAACGCCCACACAGCCAACGGCGGGGACCATATGTCATCCATGGATAGTTCGGTGGCGAACGCGCTATTGGTCGGCCCGCCGATATACTTGGGGTCACCGGTACCCTCGATGGTCGGCGCGTGGTGGGTAAAGACAACTATTCGTCGCTCGGGTTCATTCGTACGAATGTCGGTGATTGACTGTCGTAGCCATGCGAGATCCACTATGTGGCATTCCGAGTACGTGTCGGGGTTGAAGTCGTCGATGCGCTTGAAATCCGTGAGCCCCCAGACGAGGATGTCGATGTTCTCCGGATCCAGCGCAGACCAAAGCGTACAGCCCAGAATGGTGAGGGTAGGCGATAGGTCGTATCGCGTCCGGTTCAGAAAGATGAATTCGCCTTTACTTGGGTCTGCAGAGCGCGCGTCTGTCATGCGTTTCGCGAATGCCTCGATGGTCCCTGCGCTTTCCTCCTATGTTATTCCAGATACCTGTAAGACCTCGATATGTCACGAAGAAGAGAGAAAGCGACGTACCAGCGTACTTATGTACGGCTCATGGTTCCCAGACACGAAGAAGACGTGTTTGAACCGCAACAGCTGGACTTCCAACCACAGAAACAATCGTTCATCTCTCGTCCACCCAATGTCGCCGAGGAGTGCTAGATTCTCTGCGCTTGCAGGGAAGTCGTACTGATAGAGAGGTTGAGAACCGCGTTCAATCTCGAGGTGTAGATCGCTCAGAAGTTGGATGTCAACTGTTCCAGCAGGCATGTAGACTGAACTGCTGCCTAGAGGCTATACGATAAGGATTGCGGCAAGAATATGAGGTCTATGCGTTGCGCGGAGGGATGGGACTAGTAGCAGCACTCAAACGTCCGGTCGTGACGGTGGTCCAGTAGAAAACGGTATACGACCGGGTGCGGCAACTGCCGAGCCCAACATTGGACTCAGGCTTTGGGCCTCGACGGTCCTCATTTCACATTCCCTTGTACTTCAACTTCCGTGCCGGCGTAATTTGCAGTGACCCATGCGAGAGTGTAAAGCTGTATGGATGGAACGCGCTCAGTTTAGCAGAGACGGCGACATCGGCAAGTTACACTGGAGACACGGTCACCTGCACCGCGACGGCGCGCGCGTGTGGCGCGGCGGGCGCGCCGAGGAAACGTTCTCAGACTCGCGAGCCTATGTCGCTCATGTCGCCCCTTTTGTTCTGGCGATGAGCGCATCCCTAAAAAAACATGCAATGCTGAGAGACGTATACTCACATCGATTGTGAGGTCGATAGCCGTGGATTCATTGCCATCTACACTACCGTGGGACAAGACGACGTAGCCCGAAGATGCCGTTAGCTAAGAGTCTTAGCTAGGTGTTTTGAAGGTTTTGACAGAACGAAGATGTTCATACCATGTAAAAGCTTCCATCAAGCCCACTTGCAACTACAAGCCCATTCCATTCACACATGTATCGTGCAACCCTTCCCGGCGCCATCGTCTCTCCTGCAACAGCGACGAAGGCATTCATGATCTCCTGCTGCCTCCCCCGAAAAGCGTTGCCATGCACAGGCAACAGAGTATGCCGCCCATTCGCGCACAACGCCAGTAGAAACCCGATGTCCGAGCAGTCTATCTGCTGCTTCCGTTTGACCTTCCTCGGTCAGAGTAGTCGCGGTGTCGCCCTTGGCACGCGATGATCTTGTGCACGAGGAGCGTCGGCGGGGAGAGCACCTCGAGGGTCGGGTCGTCGGGGAGCGAAATCACTACTGAGTCCGCCTCTGACGGCTGGAAGTAGTATTCGGGAGCGTCAACGAAGTCGAGTTGCACTGTGGTCGCGTCGTCGAGCTTGAGGAAGACCTCGAACCCCACGACGAACTGGTCGGAGAGGCGCGCCTTGTCCTTGAGCGTGTTTGCCAAAGTCGGACGCGAGCATTTCGAGAAGTCCAGCGCCATGTCAGATCCTAAGGATGAAGATGCGGGTTAGTACAAGAGCCCAACGAAAGAAGAATATCTGCAGCATACCTCGGTTGCGCGAGTGCCACCCAAGAGCGTCCCGCTGCTCCACCACATATGATGACCCGCGCACCTGGGGCTGTTATGCTGACCCACTCTTTCAGCCGACGAGCAGCTCGACGCAGCACGATCGGCGACAGCAAGGCGCTCATTGTGCTAGCTGAGAGAAGGGCTTTCAGTCTAACAACAATCTCGGAGAAGCCAGTAGGACCCACCTCACCTGTGAGGGGATAATATTGAGCCAACGTTCTCGCCCCTTGAAGCAGCATGGACTGAGCTTTTGAGAGTGAATACATACCTCCCATCTAATGGAAGCTCGACACAGCGATATGCTCGAACTCCGCCTGTCATCCTCTGCGCTGCTCGGGGATGATGTCTCCCAAGCTGAAAGGATTCCGATCATCAACCGGGAGCTTCGAGCTTCGACGACGAAGATACAGCAAGACCTCGACCTACGTGTATTGCATCGTACGATGTGGTGCACATTGGGATGCAACCCAGAAGCTCTTGGTTCAAAGTTAAGAATAGTTGATCTCACCAGCAATATGACGGCCCGTCTTAAAGCCATATTCTCATGATGAGGCATGCTAGTTCTTGATCAAGTCACAGTCGGCCCATAACTGCCCGTCTATAATGGGATGGAGGACAAGATTGTTACAGTCAGTGTCGAAAGTGACAAGGGTCAGAACGCTGTCTCACGCGAAGCCGATCCCGTCGTGAGTAGGTACCCGCATTTGAAGCACAAGCTATCGGGCCCGTGGCAATATGAAGTCGTTCCTCTGCATTGTCCTTGACGGGCAGGGGTCAGAATGTACGGGAAGCGCACACTTACCGCAACGAAGTGCGTGGGCACGTCGCTCCGAGTTCTGAATGGAGGGAGGGTTGTACCCACACATCGACATCTGGGCCAGCCTGGGACAACCCGCAGCGACGAACGTGCTGCAGAGATCTTCCTCCGTACCTACGTAATCGGCCGTCTAGAAAGTAACATGACAATGAAGGTTTAACAGTCGAGGCACAGTGAACGCAAAAGGGCACGCCTTCGACAAGACGTGATCTACCCGATTCATGCAAGGTATGATTGACCTGCCTCGAGGACCGGGATGGCAGCTGCCTCCAGTGATCAATGAGCGATAGGCATATACAGAAAGTGCAGGTAACACACCGCGATATGGTATAGTAAAGTTTGACATCCTGAGACGTCCAGTCGAGCGAGGACCTTGCCACGTTGTCTACTTATCCGTTGTGTTGGTACTGAACTTGCTGTGCTGAGACCGCCATGGATGTCGTTCGCTGAAGAACCATGCGATGCCGCATAGATCCAATCGAATGTCCTTGTACCTTTGTACAAGTACCGTGCACTGATATGTCGGTGACGAGCGTCACCGCAACCGTCCGGATATGTCAAGACTGTACCTGTCGAGCGTGTGTGGGCGGAAACCCTACGATACATTTGATATTGCTACATTTCTGTCAGTGAGTTAGTACTATAGCATGTCCGACTGGTGCTCTTGACTCACGATTCGTCAGGACGTCGCGCTCTTCACCTCCTCCTTCTTCGGCCTGCCGCCAAAAATCCCCGTCCCCACCCTCACGATATCGCTCCCCGTCCTCAACGCTGCCTCAAAATCACTCGACATCCCCATGCTCAGCAGTAACCGCCCGCCCTCGCCCCACTGACCCTTCTCCGGGGCGAGCGCCTCCTCGAGGAGGTCCCGCGTCTGCTTGAGCTTCTCGAAGTCCTCGTTCGGCTTCTCCTTTGAGTCGAGTGACTCGGTGAGCGAGCCTATTGTCATGAGACCCTGGAGGTGGAGGTGCGGGCAGGAGGAGACGATGTGGCGCGCGAGATGGACGAGCTCTGCGTCTGCGGGCACGGGGGAGGTGAGTGGCGCGAGTCCGGACTTGACGTCCTCGCCGGAAGTGTTCACTTGGAGAAGGACGTTAAGCGGAGTCGTGCGAGAGGTCAGCTGTTTGTTGAGGGCGTCCGCACCCTTGGCCGATCCTACGGTCTGGACGGCGTACAGGTTCGGGATCGCTGGAGTGCGCACGGGGATAGTCAATAGTCTGGAGGGCGATGGAGACGAGCAGGACTGACAGTCACATACAGGCAAGGATCTTGGACTTGTTCGTCTGGAAGGTGCCTATGAAGTGCCATCGGATGTCTGCTGGCAGCTGCGAGTGACTCAGTTAAGTGAGGTCTCGTGCGACCTGTCTCCGAGAGCGTACCTGCGCCGCCTTGTCCACCAGCTCCTGCACGTAGTTCTCCCCAAAGTCTCTCTGGCCGTCTTCGTAGCAAGCGAGGATATCCGATGCAGGCTTGTACTTTGACACCGCGACGAGCGTCGGCTGCCTGCCTGTGGTCGCATTTGCTGGGGCTGCTTGCTGGACGCGGGCGCTGATCTCCGCGAGCGATGTCCTGAGCTCCTCTACGCGTTCCAGGGTCGGCCTTAGCACAGTAGCGGGAGTCGTCGCAGACATTGTACGGAGGACACAGGAGATGCGCATGCAACGAGGATGAGAAATGGTGAGACGAGGAGTGGCGGATAAGATTAGATGTGCGCTGGATGCATGACAATGACATCAGTCCCAGCGCGTCTGCGCTGTTCAGGCCGCCGTCCCCTCACCATGACCGGCATGCACCGACAACTCGGACAAATCCATCTTGCACTTGCATCCCAACCACCACCAGCTCGCCCGTCATAGCCATGGACGCGCCGGGAGGTGCGACGAGCCCGCTGGACTGGGCCAACGTGGGCCTCGCCTTCTCCTTCATCGTCTTCGACGCAGTCGTCTCGCTCGCTCTGGGACTGGGCGTGGGCAGTGGGCTTGTGACGGCTGCGCTGCGGTGTATTGTGCAGCTGAGCGTCGTTGCTCTGGTCCTTCAGAGAGTGTTTGAGACAAATAATGTGTGGGCGGTGGCGGCTATAGCATGTGAGTGTCGCCTGTGGTCGCACTATTTTGTTCGACTGAATGCCAGGTCGCGCGACTAGTCTTGTTGAACTTGATGGGCACCATCGAGACCGGTGAGCGTTGAAATTTTATTACGCGATTTGTATATGCTCATCTGTCATCTGTTGTACAGTGGTAAATAAATCGAAGAAGCGATATGCATTCATGGTGAGCGCAAAAGACCTCCCTCGTCGTTGATGTCCTGACCACCACAGTTCCCTTCCGTGCTTGTGGGCATGCTTGGCTCCACAATACCAGTCTCAATCATTGGCATCCGCTTTGCCATGGCAGTGGATCCGTTCTGGACGCCGGAACAATATAGTAAGCCAATTGTCGACTCTCGGAGCCCGTTTCTCACGCGCGAGCCCAGTCCCTGTCGTGGGCATGCTCTGTGGCAGCACAATTTCTGGAATTGTTGTCTCTGTCTCTTACGTGTTGAAAGAGTTGCAGTAAGTCTTTTCCTCCCTATTACGCTCAGCCGAGTCCGTATGACCGCTCTATGTCCGCAGTGATAACAGCGACAAGGTTCAAATGTACCTCGCGTTCGGCGCATCCAGGTTCGAGGCGTGCAAGCCCATCGCGAAGGAGGCCTTGCGGCTTGCCCTTACTCCCAACATCAACCAAATGAGGTAGCGTCCCCTCTTCTTTTGACATTCCTTCGAGCGCCCTAAACACGCTCCCTCAGCGTGCTCGGCATCATCGCCATCCCCGGAATGATGACCGGTGCGATTCTGGGCGGGTCCTCCGTCCAGCAAGCCGCGCGGCTACAAATGGTGATCATGTTCATGATCTCGTCTTGCACCGCGCTGTCGTCGATCGTCACCACGATCCTCGCGCTCAGCGTCATCGTCGACAACGAGCACCGCGTGCGCACGGACCGCATCGACGTGCGCCCGCACGCCGTCTGGCGCGCGCGCAATTACGTCGTCGGCAAGGTCGTGGAGAGCGCGAAGGACACGGGGAGCAGGGTGTGGAAGAAGACGAGGCCGGTCTTGACGAGGGCGGATAGCAGCTATAGGAGTGTGAGGAGCTATCAGGAGCCGGATAGCCCGTTGGTGGAGAGGGGGGAGCGGTCGGATAGGCAGAGACTGCTTCCTGGAGGAACCCAATAGGGGGCGATGTTGGATGATACCCTGATCATTCATGCAAATTGTAATTGGAAGTCGAGTTCTCCGTACAGTTGAGGAATATTGTAGCGCTGTTGTTTTGTCTCTGCTGGTACGCGATGTCAATTGGAATGACACTGTTGTAACGCTCAGCTTTCGAGCCAAGTCGCACAGCGCTTTTGTAACCCGGCCACGACAGATCGCACACGGCAGATGCCAACCACTACGCTTGCCTAAAGCAGACAGTGGTGCCCTCGATCGCGTACCGATCGCGATGACTCGACGCGGGTCTTTAACTTGTGAGCAGTTCGGGTCAAAGATGTGTATCACCTCCAGCCCCCTCCCGTCTGCAAGCGGCCACGCGTATTTCGCCTGGACCATCGCTGTAAAACCGAGAAAGAAATAATCACCGAACTTGATAAACCAAGGAAAAAGACAGCTTGAATGGCAGTGAAGAGCCTCCCAGCTGAATTCTACTCGGCCTTCCTCTCCGATGCAGCCAAGGAGCGAAAGCCCAGTCCAAGTACGTCTTTAACCCTCCCTCCCGATTTTCCTACTTACGAACACACCCCTCCAGTCCGTGGCCTCTACCCGCTCGAAGCGCGCCCCGGCGTGATCTCCCTCCTCGCGGGCAAGCCCAACGCCACGACCTTCCCGCTGACCTCCGTGAAGCTCACCTCGCGCTCACCGACGGACCCCACCAGGAGATCGAGACGGAGGTGAGCGGTGAGGCGCTCGCGGAGGGTCTGCAGTACGGGCCGACGCGGGATCCCGAGCCTTCTGAGTGGGTGTATGGCTGCAGGAGAGGAGCATGAAGGAGGAAGGGAGAGGGGTGGAGGGTTAGTATTGGGAGCGGGTCGCAGGATGTGATTTACAAGGTGGTTATTCATGTGGGTGAGGGAGTCGCTCGGTGATAATGCGCGTGTTCTTCGCTTGTAGGCCGTTGCGACCATGGTCAACACCGGTGATGCCGTCCTCATAGAATGCCCCGCATACGCGTAGGTCTGTACGTTAGATTTTGCAAGACCGCACGTTTGACCCTGCGCAGCGGCGTCCTACCCATGTTCCAAGCGCTGCACTGCGACTTGATTGGTGCGTGAAGGAGCTGTACGTTGAGTCTACTCGCATTTACCGGCCCAAGAGGTCGAAACTGACGCGCACGGTATCAAGTCGAGCTCTTTGCGCTCGATCTTCAAAATGGCCGAGGGGAAGCCGATGCCGAGGTCCTCTACACAGTACCTGTGAGCTGATAGCCAGCGAGCCTCATTTACCCCCAGCGTAATGCTAGATTTAGTATGGGTGAACCCGACAGGAATGACCGCGACGCTGGACCGGCGGCGAGAAGTCCTCGCACTGGCGCGCGAGTACAACTTCATCATCCTGGAAGGTACGCGCTTCACCCAGCTTTCTCGCCTCGCAACCCTGACACCCGCATGATAATCCAAGACGACCCGTATTACTTCCTCTATTATGGCGACGCCGCCCGGTACCCATCCTACTTTACTCTGGAACTTGAACAGCCAGAAGTCGGGCGCGTCCTGCGCTTCGACAGCCTCTCCAAGATCCTCTCCTCCGGCATTCGCATGGTTTCGCCAGCGGGCCCGAGCCGCTCCTCCAAGCCATAGACATGCACGTACGTTCTCTCGCGCTACCTTGTAATCGGTGCTTTGTGTCCTGCGACTGATGAGTCTCTGACAGACGGCCGTCGCGAACCTGCAGACGTCGTCCCTCACGCAGGCAATCGCGTTCTCACTGCTAGACGCGTGGGGCTACGACGGGTTCAAGACGCACACGGAGGCTGTTTCGCGGTTCTACCGCGAGAAGCGTGATGTCTTTGAGGGCGCGATGCGGCGCACCTCACCGGGCTCGCAGAGTGGAGTACCCCGGAGGCGGGGATGTTCTTCTGGTGCGTCACCTACCCTTTGCACGTCCCCACCGCCTAAGTACGCGGGCATCGCTGACGCGCGTGATTGCTCGATAGGTTCAAGCTCCTGCTCGCGGAAGACGGCGAGGAGGGTGACTCGGAGAGCGTCATTCGGACGAAGGCGTACGAGCGCGGCGTGCTCGCGCTGCCGGGGACGGTTTCCTGCCGCGCGGCGGGAAGACGGCGTATGTGCGCGCGAGCTTCAGCTTGTTGGGCGAGGAGGAGGTCGAGGAGGCGGTGAAGAGGCTGAGGGAGACGATTTGGAGGCGCGGACGGCGTAGCGCGAGCTCACGTCCCCACGAAGAAGCTCAAAAATCGCGAGACTTGTACTGAGATGAGGTGAGGAGGCATGCGCCACAATGTATGTTTGCGACGTGGCGTGTTGTGGTCTTGGGCCATGCTAGAACTCAGGACAGGAGGCTAAGGTTTGTGCGAAGCTACAATACAGTAGTATGCAACTTCGCTCCTTCATCGTATCGACCAGTCGTCACTCGTGAGTCTTGCCTTCATTTCCCGTGGAGCAGCATTATACGCGGACGCTGAGGACTCAATTGAAATGCAAGGTGCATTGCGCTGACTAGAGTATTGAAGCTTGGCCGGAGGACCTACGCAACGAATTTGCTAGAAACTGAGCCTGGACGCGAACTTCAGCCGCGCTTGTTGGCCTTCCGCACCTCCAGGACGACCTCGCGCAGGCGGCGCAACGCCTCGTCTACCTGGTTCTCGGGCAGTAGGCTGAACGACGCACGGACGAACGGCGTCTTGCGCGGGTTGGGGTAGAACGTCGCGCCAGGGAGCGCGAGGACGCCCCGCTCCACCGCCGTCGTGCGGATGATGTACTCCGAGTCGCCCTCCGCCTCTTCTCCCGATCCTGGCTCGTTCAGTAGGAGCTTGAACCTGCGCGGCGTACGCCGGAGTGCAAACATCAGTGAGCGTCGTTCGATGATACGCCGGGAGGAGGGATGAAGCAAGACGCACCAGAAGAACATGCCCGCCTCGGGCGGGGTCCATTCTGCCAACCCCGCGAGATGACGTTGCATCGCGGCCTCGAAGACATCCCTCTTCTCGCGATAGAACTGCGCCGTGTGCGCTGTAAAGCCGTTGTACCCCCACGCCGAAAGAATCTTGAGCGCGATCACTTGCGAGAAGGTCGGTGGCTGCATGTTCACCGCCGCGCTCTGTGTGAAAAGTGAAGGGAACTCAGCGATCCTGGCCCGGCGGCGGGGTCGGGCGAACAGATGTATGATCGTGGGCAACGCCAGACTTACGTGCAGGTCCATGACTCTCAAGATGGGCTCGGGCCCAGACGCGAAGCCGACCCGCAACCCCGCCGAAATGGTTTTGGACAGGCTGTCGAAGCGGAGCACGCGGCCTACTTCTGGCTGATCTCTTTCGAGTGCAAAATAGAACGGCGGTCTGTTGGACGGGCCGAAGTAGAGACTACAGTATGGATCATCTACGGTACATAAGTTTGACCGTCAATTCGGAAGATGGGAGTATAGAGCGCAGCTCACCTTCCAAGATGAAGAAGTCATGCTCTCTGCTCAGGGCCAGAACCTCGAGGCGCCGCTCGGACGTCGTGGTGCTTCCGGTTGGATTGAGCCGTACTAATGCGTCGAATGCATGCAACTTGTCAACGGTCCAGTCCAATGACAAAACTATCGTTGCAACATACCGGGACCGTGTAAAACAGCTTCGGTTTCGGTTTGATGGCGGCCAATTCTCAGAATCTCGCGCATTCTGTGCGAGCACACACCATTACCATCCGTATTGACCTCTGTCACAATGAGTACTATATCGTGGGGTTCGAATCCGGTTGACGACTTACCAAGTATCTCAGCGTTGAGTTCGTGAAATATCGTCAACACCCCTCTGTGCAACGGTCAGTAAGTCAGTCTTCACGTCGAGCGCCCCACATACGCATAAACAGGCGCCTCAACCAGAACGACGTCTCCCGGGTTCATGAGCGCGTTCACACCCTACATAGCGCTCTGTGAATGATGCATCCCACCTATGCATCGAACACAACCGACCTTGTATATCATGTCTTGCGACCCAGCGCCAATGGTGACTGTCCAGCCTTCGCCCTTACGTCGACCATGGAGATGTTCCTGCAGTCCAAAATCCACTCCCGCAGGCAGGCAGGCCGTTGCTAAAGGTGTACTGGAGCCGACGCTCAGTTCTTCTTCTATCAGCCGCATAGTCGCTTCTCCATTCGGTGGTTGAAGTGGGTCACGTATATTGAATTGCATCGAAGTGATCGGAAAGGTCTCCGAGTTGGTTTCCCCGCGAGCAGCGAGATGAGACCTGGACGGCGTTCGAGTGGAGGAGTGCACGGACTGGTGATTCTCGTCAGTGTCTCACACTTGACAACGGACGTCAGACTCACTTCCACCGTCTCTCCTCCGGAGCGACGCATGGGACAGCCTGGACAAGTAGAAGGAAGAAGGGAGCACCTGCACATTACTGCCTACGACAGAGTCGAGGTGAGACACGGTGTCCTGCATGGGTACAGACCCGTCGGCGCGTGTCGCTGTGGGCTCCGACATTGGATGGGAATGCAGCAGCCCAGGAACCTCTGTTGACTGCGAGATTATATATTCTGACAATCTGGCGCACAAGCGAGGTATTAGTCGCGCAGAGTCACCGTCAGTTGACAGGCAAAGTTTGCTCACTGCGACCACTGACGCACCGGATCAGGCTCACAGCCTGAGTGTATGAGGTATGCAGCGTAGTCGGAAGATATACGCGCGCGGCTCAGCACTGAACTTCAACTTAACCTGTAAAATTATTGTGGCGGTCTGTGAGGCGATGCTGGACGGCGGTAAGTCAGTGTGGAGTGAATGAAGCGACTGTATGAACTGGGGGCTTACTACACCCGAAACGCGACTCGACGCGCTCTTTTTAACTTGAGACTCAATTCAAGATGTACGTGCGGCCTCTGCGTCGTTCGTCCGTGCCGGACCTTGAGGCTCGCTTGTGCGGGTGAGCGAAAGCGAGCCCGGGGAGGGATTCGATCCAGTGACGGGCGACGGGGCCCTCTATATGTACAGCCAGACATTCTAAAATGGACAATACTTCGAAAGAACCGATGAAAGGAAGCAAAGCAGAAGCTTATAAAACGTGACGTGTGCATGTGAGGTTCTAGCGATGGCAGGAGAAATGGGAAGAGAACAGACCGAATAAGGACCACTGGCGTCCGATTGCGGCACTGTTCCTGTGCACGCCCGTCCGGCTAGTGGTGGAAACCCGTACTTTTGGCGCGAAGTTGGCAGCTTGCGAGCGGTGCTATAACAGAACCGACCTCAGCCGGCGCCCCAAATACACACAAAACAGCCTGAGGCAAGCCAGCAATACGGTCGTTAGCGCTCACTCATGGACAGATCGGATCGGTACGAGTATGCCGGCGCTTAGAACCAGCCGGATTAGGACACTTAGTACTACTGACTCCTGAGCTGATCTATCATTTCTTTCCAGTCAACACTGCTGAAGGGAGTACTTATCTGCATCCCTTGCTTGTCTCAAGTCCCCCGCCTCAGCTGGAATGCTCCCTATCATTACCGAACTCCAAGTTGTTCCAGAGCTGAGAAGATGCCGGGCGCCCAGCGTGTCCACAAATTGGGCGGACTGACCTCAGACGCTTCGTCGTTCGCACCATTACGTCTGGGAAGACTGATAATTGCGCCAGGATACCCTGCCGCGTGCGTCCACACAATTAGAAGTAAGCACGAGACAAAACCCACCGACAGCTTCGAGCTCATCGAAGTCTGACCGGAGGACCGCACAATGAATCCAAGCCCACGCTCTCGACCCTGGATACGTCACCCAAATATACGAAGCCACGTTATATGAAGGTTCCATTCCAGCGACCGCTGTGGGCGCGCAGCACGTCAGTAGCCTCGCGGCAGGCGGGAGGCTGGGCGGCGTATATGAAGAGCAGCCCACGCACGGTATGCCCTGCAGTTCCCCACCCGTGAGCTCGAGATACTCGCCTCCAAGCAAGCACCTAAACGCATCCGATACCCTAGTACGTCCTGCTACGCCCGTGTACCATGTCGATCTGACATTGCGCATGGCGCTCTCCGTGTCTCCCCCAGCTCAAGGCAACTCAGACAAGGATGTTTCCTCTTCTGATTCCCCTTGTTTTCGGCGCTGGCGCCGCGTTCTTATCGAACGTACAGCACGACGTCGACGTCAACGTCGATCTCGACGGCGACCGCATGGTCGCGCGCGCGATCGAGATACTCGAGCTAAAGAAAAGACTCGACACCGCGGAAGGCGCGCTGCACGACACGCTTGTTTGTGTGCGCCTATTACTCTTGGTCGTGTGTATGTGGTATGTGGTGAGGGCGGTGATGTGGGCGGTGTGGTGCTGGAGAGGGGAGAGGGAGAAGGGGCGCGAGCCGGTCGTGTATGTTGTGCTGGGGGCTGGGGTTGGGGCGAGGGCACTCGAGGCCGGGGAGTTGGCTGACCTGCAACTGGTATGTGGTTCGTTGTCGTCGCATTTTGAAGACGAGGACCTGAACGGATGCGATCTAGCACGGTACTACCGTATCGCGGCAGCGAGCCAGGAGCTCGTTGTAACATTGTCTTTCATCTTTGGTTGACGATGTTCTCCGGCAGGACGTACCGTCTGTCTGTACATATAACCACTGTTAGTTGCGAAGTATGCGAGGTCCAGCCACGATCCATCCAGATGTACGATATGCGCATGGGCAGGACGCCGCGCGCCGATATACCTGACTTGACGTCCAATTTGAAATATACTGTCGATCAACATACGGCCCGTCGTGCACGAGGCGTGTCTTGGTTCCGCCTGCAATATCTCACATGAGGACGTCCACAGGTATCAAGAGGACATACCGCATTGTACCCAGATGCATTTCAATCCTGTCGTCTAGAAGCATCCACGTTGTCAAATCCGCCCGTCCGCGTCATCCGCAGCATCCACTACGAAACATCGACTTCGCTAATGAAGATCCATACCTGCGGCGCCGCAGGCACGCCGTACACCTAAACGGTCGTTTATCACCTCCAGGGCTGGATCTGCCACTGTCAAATCCTATCAGAGTGCGCGCGCTGTCTCCGTGCCTGGGGCGATACCGCGCCCATCGCACAATAGCCTGAATCCTGGCCTCGTTAAGCGCACCGTCGTAGCACAGCACCAGCCTTCCACTGAAGACGAGGCCGAGGGTCAAATGAGAGTGAGTGCGCACGCGAGAGCGCGCGGAACGGTATTCTACAGTCGTCATGCGTAAGCCCTGATCTACGTATGCCTGGCGCCGCAGGGCAAAGGAATTCGTTAGCTCAGCGAGAAGGGGTGGAGAAGAGAGAGGAGACGTACTAGATGCCGGTATAATGAGTAAAGCATTTGTGCGCGTGAGCCATCGAACAGCGTACACCACCAATCCCAAAGCCCAAAGTGAAGCGACGAAAACGAACCAAACAAGACAGGGAGCGGAGCGGATGCGTAGGCAAGACGACGTGGGGTTGGTTGTTGCACCCAAAAATGCTACCAAGAGAGAGAGAGCGACATGAAAACAAAGAGCGAGCATTGACCAAGCGAGTGGGAAGGCAGGCGAATAAGTTAGTCAGACGTAAGACGGTTTCCGACCTAGTCGGCTGCCGAAGCAGGTGCCGAGGCCGACGTTCGCCGCGACGAGTGTGAGGACGACGGCCGACGCCAAAGACATCCACAACTACGCGCATATAGTCAGCATCCGCCGCTCAGACACGAGCTCAGAGCAGAAACTAGGACGGTGGGCCCACTCACCGCAGCGCCGAGGTTCGTCGAGTCGCCTGCGTGTTTGAAGCCGGAGATGACGGAGGCAGAGAGGTAGGCACCGACGACGAAGGCGGCGATGGAGCAGGCGGAGGCGGCCACGGAGAGAATGGCGAGGAGGAAGTGCGGAACGTGCATGCGCGGGCCGCAGATGAGCGGAAAGAGGCAGAGCATGAACAGCAGGCTCACGCCGGCCGCTGTGGACGCGTCAGCCAATGCACATCATGAGTCGGAAGGAGACGAGACGTGCCTGCGGGGAAGAGGACGAGGATCGTCGAAGTGGTCGTGGTGATCTCGGTGCCGTAATGGTACCCGAAACTTGGAGGTGAAGAGACGTTAGCTGTGGACTTTACACGCGGAGTCGGACGCACTTCGTCGCTGAACAACTGCCGGAGCAATAGCCCAGAACCCCGAACCTCACCGCCCTGTGCTGAGGGACGCCTTCACGAAATAAATGGGCTGGATGATCGGACCAGACAGAGTGACGAGAATGCTACGCGGATCGCGTTCGCGTCAGTGACACGCTTTCAATCAACGCCAGTATCAACAGTTACGCACAGGAGGACAAAGGCGGCGAACGTTGCTCCGAAGAGCAGCACAAAATGGTTGTACGCCATGCCCGTTGATTGAATCTTCCTCACAAACCAGACACGACGGGCTGAGCTGATAAGGCGACCTCTGGGGTATCGCGCTGGAAGTCTTGTCGGTAACAATCGCACTCAGGGCGACTGCATCCAGGACGACTTCAGCGAGCTCGGTCGAGGAAGGAAGGAAGCCCACGGGGAGGGCGAAGGGGCAGCGGAGGAACAGAGACTGCGTAGGAGCAGGCCCGCCTTCTCGCGTGTGGCAGTTCTGTCAGGCGGGGAGTTGGAGAAAGTGCCTGGTTTCCCAGACAGGCAGGACGCGACAGGGACGCGACGATCAGACGGCCAGGAACAAACCTGAGCCTGCGATCCTCCGCGATCCCGTCGATCGAGCGTCTCCCCGCTCTTCTCGCCCGCACTGCGTCTTCGATTTCTCACCCCGCATTATTACTTGAACATATTAACCGGGGGAGCGACGCGATGTTGGGTTGTGCAGGCTGGGTCTTGGGCGAGTAGCCGTAGTGGTGTCCGCAATTTTGTGAGTACTTCAATATGCCCAAAGTTCCAAGTCGTGGGCGCAAAACAGTGTCAACCGCCTGATTTTTGTACCAGAGTTGCTAGCGCTGCACAGACAAATTGATTTCTGTGCCTTCACGAGAGCTGTCAAGGAACACTGTGGACATAGAAACATGCATAGCTCATGCTCAGCCTGATCCATATAGAACATACTCGTACCTACTCGTAGAGCCAGAGCTCTGTCTACGTAGGGCTCGGCCCTCGCGGACAATAAAAGGAATCAAAAAAAACATACATAATGTTAGGCAGTGGTAGTGAACACTCACACAACTTCACCACTTGGGATAGAGCTCACGACATGTGCATATCAATAGACTCAGCAGTTCACAATGCGAATGTTCATGATTTCTCGGTAATCCTCATGAATGATGCTTATGCTCGCCATCGCACCGCACAAGCAATCAACACTTCAAAAAAATGTGCACTACACTGGTGAGACGGTCATTGCCATCGGCGTTGACTCAATCGCGCCATGGTTGGCAGAAGCGCGTGCTACGAACGCCGCCCACTCCCGCGCGTCCGTCCCCGGCACCGCGAACTCCGCCCGCTCGTCGTCCGAGGGCGCCCCGGCGTGCACGACGAACACCCACTCGGACAGGTCCCGCAGCTGGATGAGTCGGACCGTGTTCGCACCCGGACGTATGTGCGCCGTGAGATCCACGGCTCCACCTATCGCGTCCTTGAACAACGTCAGTGCGAGATTATATTATGGCGCACAGATGATTCACCAGGTGGGTGGGGAGGAATGTACGAGCGTGCTTCGCGTCGCTGCCGTTCACCTCGATAACCAGTGTCCCTTTGGGTGGCCATTGCGTCGGTATGCTCTTCAGAGCATCTGAGACTGCATCCGGTTGCGCCGATGTACCCAATGAGCTATTAGCCTCTGCCACTGCTAATGCGGGTAAGCAGAGGAGATGGACAGAGATCTGTGTCTTGCTATCGCTGGTAGAAATCAATAATCTCGGCGAAATTCAAAGGGAGAGATGACACGCACTCAAACTCATTGTACCGCAGAGCCCAGCGCTGAACTGCACACGCGACGCTGTCTCGCACGTTGAACGTGATCGTAGCGATCTCCGGCACTCGACTGCCTACTCGAAGTGCCCACAGCCCGGAATCCGTACCCAGAGCCGCTGTTACCCCTGCCGTGGACGTTGCCGCTTGAGCAGCGGGAGTAGGCTCCACTGCGGTCGACGGCCCAGCAGCAGCAGCCTGCGAGGATTCTGCGGCTTGCGCAGAATGGCCACTTACCTCACGTCGCATCGAGCCCGGCGGCCGGGGCGAGTTCGCGAGGAAGCCTTGCAGTACACGAGCGGCACTGTCCAGCATCGTCTCTCCAGGTGGGTGTGGCTGTTTCTCTGGGACCTGTCCGCTCTCTACCGCATGCTCAGTCGTGCCCACGCCCTGTGCGCACACATCTGCATCCTCCATCACAACATCTTCCGCATTCTCCCCTACATTTTTCTCCTCATTCGCGGCCACATCCTTCCCTTCCCTTCCCTCGCCCGCCCGCTTGCGCATCTCCTCCCTCGCCCGCCTCGCATGCGCGATCATCTCCTCGCACCACTCGTCCGTCACCAGCTCGTGCGCACGGCGCTCCGCCTCCTCTGCCAACGCGCCACCCCGGGGTTGCGTGCGCGCGCATTTGCGAGGAGATGCGGAAGGAGAAGAGCACGGGTGGAGGAAAGGAGGGAGGGGGGTGTCGGGCCAGGGCGGGATGTGGCTGGCGGCGGAGGTACGGGCGATTGGGAGGCCGGGGCGGAGGGTACCTGCAGGTGCGATGCGACGACGTCCGTGGTGAGTACGCTCGCGAGGAACGCGTCGACGGTCTCCTCCGATGGGAGGGCCACGTCGCCCGAGTCCACCTCCATATCCTCGCTGTTATCCTGCTCTGCGTTTGCAGGTGCAGGTGCGGCGATCGGCGGCGCAGGGCGCGGGTAGGACGCTGGCGACCCTGCGGGCGAGCCTATGCGCCCGAGCAGAGAGTTCGCGTTTGTGGGTGATTGCCTGGAGGAGGATGCATAGGCAGGATTGTGGGAGTAGGTGGGTTGAGGCGTGTTGTAATAAGGCATTTTCCTGGCGGCACAGGATTATTTGAGAGCCGGAAAAGCCGCTCACCGCGTCGCTAATTGAGCACCCTTTGCCTAGACAAGTTCGACACCAAAACTCTAGATGAGGTTGGCCGAGATGGTGGAAGTGCAGATTAGAAAAAGACTGAGACGAACACGCGGGGATTGCCAGGGGCCACAACTGCCAATAATGATCTCCTTCCTACCTTGGCCACCTCCGATCGAGCACGTCAATGCGAAATTCGGCGCATCGCCATACCGCGGCAGAGTCAACAGAGAATAAACCTTGCCTGTCGCAAGTCGTGGTCGTCTTAGGAGACGCGTACCTTGCGCATACCGGATCGAAGGCCAGGGGCGCGTCGTCCACACGTGCTGGGGATCATCCCAGTACCGTTTCCGGATCTGTGTGACATACTGTGGCTTGCACAAACCCCAGTACTAAACATCTGCACAACAGTACGGTATGGTGAGCTGAGGGTGTCTTTGCTACTGTTGGAAGCCAAGCAACTATGTACGGCCTGGGAATGCCCATCTCAGGAATGCCTTCCGACTTCGCAGGGAGCGTGACGAGTGACCGCGACTTCGCGCTAACGCAGCTAGGTGACAGGCATCACGCCCGTGACGTCGATCTGAGTGATCTTTCAATGCAGACAGCACAGTCCAGCGTGCAGCCACCATCTCCCTCCTCGTCGTCTCACGCACGACACCCCTTCCTCCCGATACCCCAAAGCCGACGTCTGTGTGATCCCGTCTACCAGCCACCATGCCGCCGAAGAAGCAGAGCGGAGGCTCCTCCTCCAGTAAGGTGAAGGACGACAAGGTGAATAGTGCCGTTCCTCTGCACGATCGGGCGAGGAGCTTACGAACCCGTCTTGAGGAATTTGTAGACTTTTGGAATGAAGAACGTCAGTAACATCGCCCACAAGCCGTCTCACTAAACCTCCACTCACTCCAGCGCTCCCGACACTAGAAAAACAAATCAGCAAAGGTACAAAAGCAAATCGCCACGATCGAGAAGCAGCAGGCGCAGGCGGGCAAGTCGCGCGCGGCGCTCGATAAGGAGAGGGAGAAGGCGCTACGTGAGAAGGAGAAGTTCGAGGAGGAGAAGCGCAAGAAGGAGGAGGCTGCCCTTTTCAAGCCCGCGCAGACGCAGAAGGTGCCGTTTGGCGTCGACCCGAAGACGGTGCTATGTGCATTCTACAAGGCGGGCCATTGCGACAAGGGGAACAAGTGCAAGTTTAGCCATGATCTCAATGTGGGAAGGAAGGTGGAGAAGAAGAACTTGTATGAGGATACTCGGGAGGAGAAGCTGCAAGGTGCGTGTGGTGCTGGAGAGTGCGAGCATGGTTTGTTAACTGGGATGATCGAGCGCAGATACGATGGACCAGTGGGACGAGGAGAAGCTGCGCAGTGTTGTTATGTCTAAGCATGGCAACCCACGGACGACTACAGATGTCCGTTCACTTTCCGTGAATTCCGCTCTTCCTCTGATCTTGCTCCTTAGATCGTTTGCAAGTTCTTCATCCAAGCCATCGAGAGCGAGAAGTAAGTCTTCTCCATCTCCTCGACTGACTGATCCTAACGTCCCGGGAAGGTTCGGGTGGTTCTGGGAATGTCCAAACGGCGAGAACTGTCAATACCGGCACGCACTACCACCAGGCTTCATGCTCAAGTCTCAGCGGAAGGCCGCGGAGGACGCTGAGAAGGCGAACACCATCAGCTTGGAGGAGTTCTTGGAGGTCGAGGTATGCATTAACCGTACGTTGGCCTGCGTGTCGTTGACAACTGTGTTAGCGGCACAAACTCGGCGCAAATTTGACGCCTGTGACACCGGAGTCGTTCGCGAAGTGGAAGCGGACACGTATGGACAAGAAACAGGCGGAGGAGGAGGCACTTCGCAAGGCGAAGGACACGCAGGCGGCGGCAGGGAAGAACAGTGGTATGAGCGGGAGGGACCTGGTTAGTAACTTCCTCACTCCTTTTGACGATGCTCTGAACAACTCTCCGCAATGCAGTTCACTTACAACCCAGAGTGGTTCGAAGACGAGGAGGACGGAGATGAAGATGATTGGGACTTGTCCAAGTACCGTCGGAATGAGTGGGACGGGGAGCGGGAAGTCGAGGAGGACATGCAAAACCTGGACGTCAGAGACGGCGGGGAGTCGCCGCGAGGCAGCGACGACTAAGCCTATGTACATTTGTATTCCCATCCACAGCCTCCACGCATTGCTATGGACTAGTCGTGTACGCATCTCGCTTTCCCCGCAGATATGTGCATATATATAACAAATCCGATCTGTAAGAGTACAACGTGCACTGCGTCGTTCAATCTTCGTCACTGCCATAGTCCGCCAGCCCGAGCCCTTCGGACAGCGGTTTTGATGCTGGCACTACACGTACCACAGGTTTCCCCAGTGCGTTTCGCTTGCGTATTTCGGCGAAGTACTTCAGTCCCTCCAGAGCGTCCGCGCTGAGAAGTCCTGTCTGCTGTGGTTGCAATTCTTCCTCTGGCTCCGGATCAGGCTGTAAGAAAGCCAGCTCCTGCGGCGCGTCCTCAATCTCAAGCCTCCGTCGCTTGGCCACGGGCTCCCCATCCAAGACGTCCCCATCCTCCAGTGCCCGCATCGCCCGCATGGCGTCAGCAATGCGGGGATCCATCTTGGATTGAATGGCTTCCCGACCGATTGTTTCAAGCCGCTCCCTCTCTTCTACCTTCGAGGTAGGATTAGGGTCTTCCGTCGCCCACCGGACGTTGAGGATCTCGTCGTTGTCGAGAGACTGACACGCCATCGCCTCCTTTGCAAACTGACCGTGAAACTCGGAGACGTATGTAACGAACGCGACGCTCCGGTACTGCAGGACTCGGACTGTGAAATCGTAAGTGGCTTCAGCAAAGTGCGCTCCGAGCGACCACGAGTCACGCACTCTTCTCTATCTGGCCCCATTCCTTGAAGTGCCGGCGGACAACCTCTTCCGTCTCCACGCCGGTCCCTGTCTCCTTGATACGCCCGATGTACAGTGTGCGGTTCTGCCTCTGGAAGCTTCCCACGCCGCCCATGTCGTCGCGGTAGTCCGCAAACTTATCGCGAGCGAAGCAGTCCTTGGACGTGTCCGGAAGCGAGGTGGAGACATCCGGGAGCATGTGCAGGTATTCGCATTCCCAGCCGTAGGGACAGCAGCCGCGCGCGAAGAAGAGGCAACAGTACTTGTTCCCTGTCGTGTTCGCCCGTGTGAGACCTGCGTCGCGCTTGATGTTGCAGCGTGTCTGCGATTTGACCTTACTGCGGGACAAGATAAGTCAGCGTCAACTGGTCAGGGCAAAACAGAGACGTACTTGGAGTAGCTATCCTCGCGATCACCTCCTGCCCATTTGTTGTACCAGATATCTGCGTAGAGAACGTGTGAACATTCAGACGCTCAAACAGAATAAGACCGAGACTCACTGTACTCCTTTCCCGTCTGTGGTGCCTCCTTTTTCTCGACCTCGCCAGGTTTGACTTGTTTGCGGGCAGGCTTGAGCTTCTTCTGTTTCTTGGGTACCGCGACCTGGGTTTCTGTGATGTTGGAGCTCATGATGAACGAACGAGACAAGATGTAATAATGAGAGCCTTGTAGAAGGGATGTTCGGAAACTAGGAGGACAGAGATGCTCTCGCTTGTGCGAGCTCAAGTGCCAGGGTCACGGTAGAGCACTGTTAGAGTCTGGTTTGTGCTAAGGCGCGTCAATGGTCATTGTTTGTACATGTTAGGATCCAAGGCCGTTGGCTTCCTTACATGGACAATCCATCCACCATCACGCAAGCCTGCGCCAGTCTCGAACCACCGTGTTAACTGCATCGTCCCGACTTGGACCCAACGCATACGACGGTGGTTAAGCTACACCTGTTGACTCGCGTACACATGGCCTTCTCTCACCACTCCGAGATCTGACTTAGTCCACAACATCAAGAATATAAATTCGAACTCCTGATAGTGATCAAAAGGTCCTAACGAGGGCACCTCTGTGGCAGGCAATCCACCCTGTGTCTTCGCTCGGCATCTCGTTGGTATCTGCCTCATAGGTGAAGACCAGCAATGCCGATTTTGGCGAGACCCTCCTACACCACCGGCAGCTGAGCTCTGCGGTGCTCTCACATCTTCGCGAGTTATGCACCTCATGTACCGTTATTGGTGCGTCCTCACGCCTCAGCTTCGCGCATGGTAGGGTGTGAACCGCAACGGCGTGCTATGCAGTTTGTCACTTTATGCCATCAATACAAATTGATGGTGCATTGCGGAGGGGTAACCCATAAGGTTGTGCTGGTCAGTCCTCGCGGCCATTGTAGCCTTTACTGTCAACGGCGCACCGCTGACAGACAATTGACGACGTTTGCAACCGAGATTGTGGCTTACATGACCTGTTATTGCATATTACAGCATGACTCCTCACTCGCCCATGTGAGATTATATCAGCATGTTGTCGCATGAGCGTATACTTGGGCGGCCCAATTACATTGCCCAGACTCGCTGACAACACCGATTTGTAGCGAAACCCCGGAGCTCTTCTCCTGGATGTCGTCTGTGCAACCCAAGTGCAACCCGTTCATCTAACCAGATGCGTCGGTCCAGCGGTATCGCACCCGGATGTGACAGCCGTCCGGTACGGGATTGTTTGACTTGAATCGCCGTGCCTCGGGCTGACTGCAGATGTCCATAGATCAGCAGTGGCGGTCATGCCGTGAGCCCGTCCGCGGGGCGCCGCGTGGGACCGCTGCTGAGATTAATCGCCTGCGGCGCGTCATGAAGGCTATTTTCGCGGCTTTGGGCTTATTCGTAAGTGCTAACGGTAATGCTGTTACAAGGAAGCGTATATGGGTCATTCCTGTCAGCGGCGAAAGCGTCTGACTGCTCGCCTCTGCATGTTTCCGCCATGACAGACAGGTATAAATGGCACATACCCAGTCTCGAGAGCGTCTGACAGCATTCCTACCCGTCGCCTTCCGTGCTCTCGACAGATACATGCTGGTACGCTGTCTTGGCTTCACACTACAGTCTCTGCAACACCTTGCATATAATTACAACGACACTAGTATAGGGGAACGGCGAGCGGGTAAGCACTGCCATTTGATGTTTCCGCCCTACGCTTGATGTACACAGATCTCTCTACCATTCACTCAGCTCTCCGTTGTCAGCTTCACATCCCTATGCCCAATCACGTCCACGTACCGCGACGGGGGCTACGGACCAAACACTGGGACCATCGCCAGAAGCCATTGAAGCCTTGTACACCACAACTCCGTCTGTTTTGAGCTTCCTGCTAAACGTTTCTTGTCAGAGCAACACGCTTCCTCAAGCATGCGGAACAAGTGGGTTTCGTCCTCAACGAGGATCGCTTCATCGAATCCGTACGGCAACGCAGCCCCACACTCGCCCCCGCTCTAACCAACGCTGCGTGTATGTGGGGCACCCGTTTCTCTTGCGAACAATCCTTGTGGTTCACGAGCCCATACTCCTGTCCCGCGCTGTTCAAGGCGTGGCGGACTGCCTTGCGCATGTGTCGAAGTACCACATTACTCACGTCATTCAGGCCGAGGTTCTACTCGCGACCTACTTCTATTCCATGGGCCGCTCAGTCGAAGGACGCTATCACACCAGCGCTGCAGTGGCTCTTGCAGTAATTCTCCAGTCACACAATACTGGCGCTCTCTCCACCGGGGGACCGTACCATCGTGTACAGAGTCATACCATTGGCGCGAGCCCTCCGACGGACGACGAAGAGATACACCATATCTTATGGTCTGTCTATATCCTCGACAGGACCTGGTCTGTAGCCACAGGCTCACAACTTGGTGCACCATTGGCGATCAATTGCGGGACCCCACGACCACTGGCAATTAACACACTGCAGAATGTGGGTGCCAATTTATTGCGAAACATTGCATTGACCGGTCATCCAATGACCAGGATGCCTTTGTACAAGCAGATCCATCGACCGCCGATAATGCACTGATCCGAGAGCATATTAATTGTCTCTTGGCATTAAGTGTGCTGTGCTTGTTTTACGCGCGAAAGCGGCCGCCTATACGAGCGCGCTTCGAGGACGACTTCGCATTACTCCGGTGCGTTTTCGTCGCGCAGTACCTGCAGGTAATGACATCTAACACTCATCCCGTTCTACTTAATCACATGTAGACTCGACTGCGGATCCCGGACCACACTCGAAATTTCGACGTTGGAAAACACAATCAACTCCTTTTCACATCAATACCCAGGGCCGAGTCAAGTCTGCGGCGTGAAGACGATAGCAGTGTTTTGCTGGTGCACACTTTGGCACATGCAGCGACAGCACAACTTTACCGAGGCTGCCATGAGCCTCAGACGCTCGCAGGCCAGAAGGCATTGCGGCTGCGATGTCTGCGGCCTTACTCCTGAATGACCGCCATGGGAAGAATATCGATTTTTCGACCCGATCCTATCGGTACGTATAAATCCATCCGTGAATTCTGTATGAGAATTAGAGCATATCCGCGATGCGCATCCAGGTACTATGGGGTGATATCGCTCGCGTACTTAAGGGTGAGTCTTTCTGTCGGGAATCTCATCGTCATTGACTCGCACCCATATTGGCTTAGCTGCTAGTCGAAAGTATCCAGAGCATGACCATGGTCGCATAGCTCTAAACGCACTACAGAATGTGCAACGCGTGATGTCCACTAGTAGCCGCGCGATTCCAAACATGGGTGCGTATTTGTCTCGCCTCGGCAGTCAGGCAGAGCATCTGACAATGATTTCAGCTCTTCAGCTTGCTCGGATACAGCAGGAGGTGCAGTCGAGGCGACCATCGGCCGTCTGATATGAGACACATAGTGGCATGATCTCTTCGAATTCGTTGTAGCTTGATCCGGTTCCGACATCGCAGTCGACAGAGCGGACCATACGTTCGTTATGCTATTCGGCGTTGTGGCTATGTATATTCCGCGTCCGATAGCCCCATGAAGGTGACTGTTCGAAGTCATGTACTCGCGTTGAGATGATTATGATCTGTATCAATGGTAGGGAATCCACGTCCGTGACTATCTCGCTCTTACAGCTTTCCGTGTCGGTCTATCCACCCCAACGATGCACAGAGTTGTGTTCGTTTGACTTTCTTGAGGTTCTCCCCCGTTGTTTGCTGTGTTAAAGGCATTGGACAGTTGGTCAAAAAGCAAAACAACTGCCCCACTGAGGCTCGAACTCAGGACCTTGATCCAGGGAATGAGTTCCCTCCAGGCGGCTCGCCCCTCTTCATTAATCATTCCTCTCTCCGGTCCGATGTGAAAATACAAAGGTCAACTTAACAGTCGGACGCTGTAACCAACTCAGCCATGGAGCACTTGCCGCCTACCACCCAGTGGCACCATCACGTGAACACCACCTTAGCTCAACGGAATGAGAACTCTATCAGTACCTTTTGCTTCCCTGGAAGAGGTACGGTATGCTTTCAGACTATCCAGTGAGTCGCCATATAGTCTGCTCGGTCCAATACTCATCCTAATTCTTCGTCAGACGTGGTCGCTCATCACGATCACATGACTGATGGCCGGAGCGCGAACTGAAACTGAACCGCGATCGGCGCCTTACCACGGTCCCCACGCTCAACCACGACGACGCCTGACGAGGCCACACAGTTGCTCTGCCTCCCTCACGAACTGACGACTAACCATTACGATGGCCAACAAACCACGGAACAGTGTCCTGTACATGTTCGACCCTCTTGAGTCGTTGGCAACGCCACGCAGGGATGGATCGCCAGACTCTGGGAGCTCTGACAAGGAGAACGATGTCCAGCCCGGAGATGTCACTGTTTTCTTCAACAGGGTCTATACATCTCACAAGAACGTTGCCCCGAAGACACCGAACGGCAAGCTCATCGACTTTGGCGATACCACCACGAACGACGTGTGGGACTCTGGGGAGGAGGATGTGGTTTGTACAGCTGCATCACCCGCTGCTGATACATTGGATGAAGCGAGCACGCCAAGTGAACGTGCTATGGGGAGAAAGCCGCTCGCCGACATCGAGATTGAAGAGACACTCAAACTCGCCTTCACCCAGCAGTCCCCAGCCAACGAAGCCAGCGCAGACCTTGACGAGGAGGACGACGCCACACCACTCCGTGCTGTAACCGTTGCGCCTACGGGCGCACCGCTGGCAGATGTCATCAACTCCATCAATTTGTCGGCCTTGACCATCTCAGGTTCGGCACCTCCGAGCCCTCTTGCGAACCGCAGCCCGCTCCCTCCACTGCGGGAAGAGGCGGATGGGGACTATTCTGACGAGGACGACGGTATGAGGGCTGATTACGGCGAAATGGAAGATACAGTGTCCATCCCTCTGCTCATTACCGTCAGCTCACCGACGGGCGCGTACGAAGAGTCGAATTCCTTGACGGATTTGGTCCTTCCGGTTTCATCAGACTCGCCGACGGATCGTCTCTTCGCGTCATCCACCGTGGTACCGCTTCCCCCGACGCGGCGGCCTCTGCTGAGGAATCGTATCCCGAACGATGACCCTAGACGGACATCTGTTGATCTGCATACCTCTTTCAGCATGCAGATGCAGTCGACAGATATGTCGTTTGACCTGTTAAACGACAAGATCTCCTTCCACGCCGGGGATTCGATGTGGGCAGGTGGTGACGAAGACGACGAGCGTTTGATATGGCAGCCGAGATGAAGAAGATGGAAGCCGCTGCTAGTGAGTACGCATGTAGCGAACAAGGCAAGAACGAGGTCGTGGAAGGGTCTACCAGTGCAGGTACGAGTGCTACATCGAAACCAGATAAGATGTATCTTGACACGACTGCGTCAGCACCCTCGATGCGTCATGAGGAGCAGAATGAAATCTCGAAACAATGCGGGGCTACCAAAGTTTCCGTAGAGATTACAGCGCCCAACCAAACGCAACGGTCGCTCAGAGTCGCCAGTTCCAGGCCCCATCACGGAAAACCGCCGGAGGTGATTGATACTACGTCGTGGCCGTCGACCACTTCAGTCAAGGGTGAACAATCGACCAAGGCAGAGCATCGTCCGCTGGCCAAGATGTGACCGGTTCGCCTACTCCTGCAATATCATCGTTGCAGGAGCAGAGCCCACCTCCCGTCGCACCCGCCCCTATCCCCGCTCTCCGGATCGTGAAAAAGACATGGAAGGTGCATGGCCGGACGGACTCCGCTAACAGCGCCGGTTCGTCCGGTCCACCGGCAGCACGAGCTCAAGTGCGAGCATTACCTCTGCACGTTCCAGCTCGCCTGCCTCGAGCATCCCAAGCGATCCTGCACCGGGCGCACCCAGCAATGAGAAACCCGCTGCCCCAGCCCCTGAGCCCTTCCGTCCGAGGACCGTCATCCGCGGCGTGCAACGCCCACCCGCAGGCGCGGAGCTCACCAGTGCAGGCGTCATTCTCCCCGCTACCTCTGCCACTCAAGGCCCTGTCCGTCCCGGCGCTGCCCCAGCGAAGTCGCGTGCGTCGCTCACGCGGGAGGCTCCATCCCGTTTCGCCGCGGCGGGCGTACAGCGTCCGAACCTGCAGCAGGGCCAGCGCGCGCCGCAGCTGCAGGCACAGAAGGTTCCGCCGGCTGCGGCCGCTTCGAGAGCGCAGGACAGCCGCTGGCACGACGGGTGCGATGCCCCGGTCGGCTGGTGCTGGGCGACTTCCTAATGCCACTGGTGCCGGTACCGCAGCGAGGACTGTTGGGACGGTGGGAGGACTGAGGGCACCCACTGCCAGCTGTATTCCCGCGAGCAAGTGCTCATCTGCGTTGCCCAGGCCCGCGTCACGTCTTCCTGCGCCCAGCGCGGGCGTAAAGAGCAGGGATACGAAGATGTCGGCGCCAGGGACCAGGATCGGCTCGTCTGGTGCCAGAAGGGCTTTCTGAAGGACTGCCGACGAAATGAACAACTGCATACGAAGCTCAATCTCTCTGTTCTCATCGACACGTAACAGCATGCACCATGTTTCTTATGATTTGGCACGTCGCACGCATAACATATACCGCGCAATCTTCCACGGTGAAATAGTCAAATACGCACACAAGTCGTTTCCTTCTGTCGCATTGGGGGCTTTCCGAACTAGTCGATGTCATGCCTCCTACTTACTTTTTAGAACGTGTTCGCATGTCTGCTTGGACTAGCACCACGTATTCATAGCACAACGCTCAATCCACAATGTCTTGCAACTGTTTGCATACTATGACAATAAATGGCATACGCGTTATGAGACATGGTAAGTGTAGTAACAACGGAAGCATTGATCATAAGTGCCACGACGCATAGCGACGACCCGCCCTTCGTCCGTTCATTCTCGCTCACGAAGCGAAGAGCGTGTTGAGGAAGGTCTCGCCAGCGGCCTTCGGCTTCTTTGCCTTCTTCTTGTCCTTCTGTGCCTTGACGCGTTCCTGCTTGACTGTATGTACATCCTCAATAACCATTCTGCTAACTCGCGAAAAGAAGCACTCACGAAGCTCCTGGCGGCGGATGGTCTTGGCATAGGGGTTCAGGCGGAACAGAGCGCCCTTGTTGACAAGCGGGTTCTTGTGTTGCGTCCAGGGACGCTTTTGCTGCTTGGGGCCCGCGGGGCGGACAACCGACTGGATCTCGTCGCTGTTAATGAGGCGAGTGACGTCGGGGTTGCTGATCTTCGCGGTCGGGAGCCTGTCAAGTATGTGAGCATGCAGCAATCAATCCGCCATTAGAGCAACTAACACGTAGTTCTTCTTGTAGACAGCGGGCTTGTCGAACGTGCCAAAGACCTCGTCAAGGAGAGCGAAGGCACCCTCGGTCCAGATGACGAAACGGCCAAGATGACCACCCGGCGCGAGCTGGAGGAGGTTAAGCCTCTTGACGTTGACAGTCTCAACACCAGGCAGGTTGCGGAACGCCTTGACGATGCCGTTGTCCTCGTTGTAGACAACGAGGGGGCCGCGGCGCTGGCGGTGACGGCGGTTCCGCAGCTTGCCCTTGCCGGCGCGGAGCTTGCGCGAGTTGGAGACCTTGATGACGTCGGCGTACGCCTTGAGGGACTGAAGGAGGGTAACAGCCTCCTTGGTCTTCTTGAACGATTCAACGGACGACGAGACGACGAGGGGGACCTCCTCAATCTCTTCGATACGGTGGCCGCGGGCGAGGACGAGAGAGGGGAGCGCAGACGCCGCGAGAGCGGAGACGGTAGCGAAGCGGCGCTGGCCCTGGTTCACCTTGACATGCCACTTGCGCCAGGTCTTGGTGGGCGCGAACATGCGACCGCCACGGCACATGTTACCGAAAGCAGCCTATCTCCTGCGTGAGTGGAATAATTACTGTACAAACGACTGTGCACATACCTGACCGGAGCGGTGGGTACCTCCACCACCGACACGGGGGATACGTGCGACAGCACGACCGGTACCCCAGGACTCGGCACTGGTCTGGTGGCCAGCCTTCTCGCTCACGGAGTACGCCTGCCTCTTGTTCTTCGCGATGCTCTCTGCAGGACGGTTCAAGGATAGTTGCTGTGATGGTTCACTTCACTCACTGTGCACCTGCTGCACGACATCAAGTCGGATAGGCGCGGTGAGGACCGCAGGCAGCGGGAGCGAGCTGGATGCCTCTGCGTATCGAAAAAGCATTCAACATCAACATTTCACGTCCCCACATCATTGTACACACCTCCAGAGGTCGAGCGGACGTTGACGGTCGGGCGAGAGGCCATTGTTGAGGAGAGTCTTGAAGTCTTGACGGCGCCGAAGCCTGGTCGCGTTGTGTGTACTCTGAAAATTAGAGTTTGCCAGTACCTCTGCCGGCACAAACATTGTCAAACACAGTGTGGCTGAGAGCGCATCGGCTCTCCGGGCGCTTCTGTCATCTGATCCGTCGTTCGGTTGACCACGGATATCCCAGTAATTCAACATTCATCCTGCTCTGTTTCGTTTGGCTTTCTGCTATAGAGACACTGTCCATCGTATCCCAATGCGTCACTGCAGGCCTACGATACAACTCAACACGATACCAGGAAGCAGAGGCAGCCACTGATGTGGCGCACGCACTGATGTCCTGGAAAGGCAGGTCTAGTGAACGTACACCCGAGACCCTTCCGAGACCGTTCTTTACAGCACCCGCAGTTCGCCGAGCGTGCTAATCCCACAGTCGGGCTGCAGCTTGGCAGGCCGAAGCTTTGACTCATCTTAGACGATACCACACCCTAATCACATCATAAACTGCATGTGGTCCGACGCGGAGTGTCAGTGACTACGGTTAGTAGACTTCGCGTGCAAGGGACGACTCTGTGTGACTCATACCTCGCTGTGCACCAGTACATAAAGGCGTCGTCAAGAGATTCAGCGCTGATCTTCTCTCATTCTCTGCGTGATGTCGGAACCTACGGCGACGCACGTTGACGGTGTACCTGTACAGAACACGGCAGCTCAGCCAACACAGCTGAAAGCAATAGTGTCCAGGTACTCCCGGCTTCGTTCTACCCATCAAGGCTGTCTCATGCGTCGCACCGGAGGAGGGAAGATGGAAGTAAGCCTGGCGCTCATTACTTATGAGACACTTTGATTTAGACCTTGGGTAGTCCGTGCATTGCTTCCCCTGGAGAGCCGTCCAGGTCTCATCTCGCTTCTCGTGGGGAAACCCAACTCGGAGACGTTTCCGATCACTTCGATGCAGTTCAACATACGTGACACTGCTTCACCGAATGGAGAAGCGACGATGCAGCTAACCGAAGAGGAGCTAAATGACGGGCTCCAGTACACATTTACCAACGGCCTGCCTGCCCTGCGAGAGTGGCTCTTCGGTCTGCAGGAGCGTCTCCACGGTCGACGTAAGGGCGAAGGCTGGACAATCACCATTGGTGCTGGGTCACAGGACATGATATTCAAGGTTGGTTAGTGTTCCACACACAGGAGCCAAATTATTCATAGCGTTTTAGGGAGTGAATGCGCTCATAAACCCCGGAGACGCCGTTCTAATCGAGGCTCCTGTTTATGCGTATGTGAGCCGCTCAGCAATAATTCCTGGCTTACTGAGTCATATTGCAGAGGAACCTTGACGATATTCCACACACTAGATGCTGAAATGATTGGTCAGTCGTCTATCAATCAGAAGTCTACCACATGGTACTCACTTGATTAGAGGTTGAGACGGATGGCCACGGTGTATGCTCGCACAGCATGCGCGAGATTCTTGAAAACTGGCCACCATCGAAACCGAAACCGAAGCTGTTTTACACGGTTCCAGTACGTCGCAACGATGGGTTTGTCACTGGATCGGACCTTTGACACATCCCATGCGTACAACGCGCATTTAGTACGGCTCTAATCCAACTGGAAGCACCGCCACGCTCGAGCGGCGCCTCGAAGTATTGGCCCTGAGCAGGGAACATGACTTCTTCATCTTGGAAGGTGAGCTGCGCTCGGTGCGCCTCATCTTTCGATATTGATGGTCACAATTAACTACCGCAGATGATCCGTATTACAACCTGTACTTCGGACCAGCCAACAGACCACCGTCCTATTTCGAACTGGAGAGAGATCTGCCAGAAGTAGGCCGCGTGCTCCGCTTCGACAGCCTCTCGAAAATCATGTCGTCTGGGCTACGTGTCGGCTTCGCGTCTGGGCCCGAGGCCATACTGAGAGTCATGGACCTGCACGTAAGTCTGACGTTGCCCATGATCGCACATCACCGTGTCTGTTCGCTCGACTCGAGGCCAGAACCACTGACTGGGGTTCCCTTCACCCTTCACATAGAGCCAGGCGGTGAACCTGCAGGCGTCGTCCTTCTCGCAGATGATCGCGCTCAAGGTTCTGTCGGCGTGGGGGTACGACGGCTTTACGGCGCACACCGCGCGCGTGGCGCAGTTCTATCGCGAGAAGAGGGACGTCTTCGAGGCCGCGATGCAGCGCCACCTCGCAGGATTGGCCGAGTGGACGTCGCCCGAGGCCGGCATGTTCTTCTGGTGTGTCATTCTCATTCCCCTCCACAGTGGCATCTTCGCGCTGTCCACGTTCACTGATATATGGAACTTCGAATTACGTCGCGCAGGTTCAAGCTCCTGTTAAATGAACCAGGACCTGGAGAGGAATGGAGGGCGACTCCGAGTACATCATTCGCACGACGGCGTTGGAGCGGGGAGTCCTCGCGCTTCCTGGTGCTGCCTTCTACCCCAACCCGCGCAAGACGGCGTACGTCCGCGCGTCATTCAGTCTACTGCCCGAAGACCAAGTAAACGAAGCGCTGCGCCGCCTGCGTGAGGTCATCGTGGAGGTGCGGAAGGCCAACAAGCGCGGCTGAACACCTTGTCGGGCTGTTGCCCCCGCGAATCTTGCCCGCCCGGAGACCGCACAGACTCGGAGGCGGGATATCAGCTGGTGGCGGCGGTCGGTAGCTGCATGTTCCTTTCTTGGTGCAGTTTGTTGTGATCCGGGGCCTGGGCTAAATGGGCCTTGGCGGCTGAGAATGGTTAAATTTGATGGATCGTTCTGTGCGCACTAGTGCTCGATCGTACGGAACTTTGGTGGGACTAGATGCCGGTGTGGCTGCGGTCCATACTGGGCCCATAGTTGTCGATGCGCTCGACGCTTTCGAGCCCGGCATTGGCGGCTTGCCCCCACACGTAGGTTACTAACCATTCCAGACTGGTGCTGTTGCAATACATGCATGTGCGGTACTCTCACTACCTTGCTCGGCTCAGTTCCTTCGTCTCAAACGATCCTTGGTGACTTGACAACATCTACCCTTCTGTCCGACGAGTCGGAAAATGACACAAGCTTGCCTCAAAAAGGATCCGTTGCGCGCTCTCTCGCAGAGGGCTCGTGTCCCGCATTGTACTAAGTGCAGTAGCCTCGTCGGTGCTTTCCTAATTTTGCTCCCGCCCCGCGGATTTGATTTGTCGTAGGCTGGCGTCGACTTCGTTGATCTATTCATTCAGGGAGAAACGCGCTAGAACAGGAATACCGATGTGCTTCTTAACAGGGGTTGGCATGGTATTGCATGCTACGCGAATAGTCAAGACGCAGTTGCACGGCAAATAGCCCACATTGTCGAGGTATGTGGCGAGTCCTCGGAATGGAAAGGGATATACGCAGATCCCCCGGGCTCCTTACTCTAGTTCGCTGATCACCGAAATGGTTCTAAGTCTCAAACCACGTGGAGGAGGCGGAGGATCGCGGCCTGGAGCCCATATGCAGCATCTTCAACGGAACCTTTTCACTCAAAGCCTGTCTCGTGGTGCGCCCACGTCGTAGCTGTCGCATCTCGGTTGCCCAGACTCGAGTGTGGTTCGACCAGATCCAGTCCACTAGCATGCGGTGACTCGGAGGTAGCAACGCTCTGCTTCTTTCTCGTAGACAGATTTACGGGACATCTAAGCGCCACTAGCACCGGCAACAAGCTGCGTCGACCTGTACAAGTTGGAGAAGCTGCCAAAACTGGGAGGGCACGCTCTGGTGCTTCAGCTTCAAGTTCAGTCATTGCAAAACACGTGATCGCGACGTGCTTACGGAGAGGGAGGGCGTAATTCGGGCATGCCGTACTCGGAATGGGAAAGCGGAGAGGCGCATAAATCGCGCACTCGCGCGCCTCCCCCCTCGAGCTCGCACTCGTCTGTGAAGAGCAAGCGCAACAGGTTCGTTCAGGTTCTTGTTCCCTGTTCTCCGGTGACGCTGACGGCTGCGGGCCTCTGTGATACGCTCACACGATACAGTGAGTACGTGGATCTTTGAAGTGGTCCGCCGATCGAGGCGACTGAACGGCTCCATCTTTCCAATAGGTTTGTTTGATTGAATCCAGCCTCGTTCCTGCAGCTTTCCGTAAACCACTTTAGCTTCGAACAGCAGTCACCAAGGTAATGGTTCCGCTCGATCTATAGGGATCTCGCTTAGTCGACCGAACAGATGGCACACCTCGAGACCTCCGCTCCCGCAAATGCCTGCTTCCAGGTCAAGTGCGACAAATGTGGCAAGACCAGCTGGAAGGTGAGCCCCGTGCTTACCCCAGCCTCGTCTCCCCGGACTCCCCACATCATCCCGGCAAGTAGACTCTGCGATGCTCGTACGGCCTCTCAACGACTGGCTGATCCGCCGGGCTAGCCGGGCATCGATGTGTTCTTTTCTCCCCCATCTGGGAGCCGTGCATGTGGCCATCGCACTGACATTACGTTTTGCTATGCTACAGGGATGCGGTCAGCACGTCGATTCGGTGAGTGCTCTGGCCCATCTCCCTAAGTTACCTGATGCTGGGATCACATCGCGCGAGGCGACGGGCACCTAGACGCGACGTCTGTGGCGGGCTGGGTTGCAGCAGCACTGTATTGCGATCTGTCTGGGAAGCTGACCGCTGCCATCCAGCCCTTGATTCGTCGTGGGTACGGCAGCGGCTCCCAGCGCGTCGCGTCGAGGACAATGGGGAGGAGTACAGTTCACGTTCCTGTGCCTTCCCATTGTGCTCGCTTCGCGGTGATGTTGACGTACAGCACCCTCCGAGCGGCGTCCGCGCTGCTCAGCTCATCAGTCGAGCATCATCGTCGCTGACATGGTTCTGGCTACGCAGGTGATGAAGAACGTGAAAGAAGAGGACAAGTGCACGTGCCCTCGCTGAGCTGGCTTCTTCGCGGATGAGTTGGGCAGTGCGGGGACAGGGAGCTGGGGCGATGGAGAAGCGGGGACTTCGTCGCTATCGATAAACTGTATTCTGGGAGCTGCTGTATGCTGCGGGAGTGCCGTAGAAGTCGAGATGTAAATGAATGGCGCACGGGCGTGATGGCAGTGTGCGGGCGGCGGAAGGAACGCGAAATCAAAAGTCTGTGGCAGAGGCGCGGGTGGCGAGATCGCTGCTGGGATCTAGGCGAGCGCCCAGGCGAGGGGCGTACTGGCCAGACAGACGCCCACCACTTGGCCTCCCACCGTGGAGTGTCGCCTGCATAAAGTCCTCCTCCTGTCCCCGCACCCGCCTTCCTCTCCTCCTTCTCTTCCCCTCCTTCCCACTCCGCTCTGGCGCATCATCCCCAGCGCCATGGCAGACGGCGCCGGCCCCTCTACCTCTCGCTACCGCGGCGCTGGCGACCAGACGGCCGCCCAGCATGTACAAGATCCCCAGCCTGGCGCTGTCATCATGACGCACGAGATCCGGACAGGCCATAGCCGCGTGTACAACCGAAGGATGGTGAATCAGTACGAGTTCGACCATCGTGTAGGAGTAGGCCAGCATGGCGAGGTGTATCTGGCGCGAGACACGTCGAATAGTAACATGCCTGTGGTGAGTCCCGTCCTGTCGCTCCGGCGCAGCTCTCAACATCGTCCTGCACCGCGTTGTATGCGAATACAACACAGGCCTTGAAGGTCGTGAAAAGAAAGAACCCAAAGGCGGACAAGATGAGCAAGTTCCGGAAGCAAAACCAGAACCTCCCTTCTCCCCGCACCTGCCGCTCACCGACAAGCTCGGGACGACGGAACATAAGATTCGCAAGGAAATCGCGATCATGAAGAAGTGCAATCACCCACACATAGTCAAGTGCTCGAAGTCATAGATGACAACCTCCACGAGAAGATCTACATGGGTACGCCTTCCTGTCCTTCCTCTTTCCCACCCTGCACTCGCTGGCTGTATGCATGCCCGTCTAGCGACGCGTATATGCTCCCCTCCCGTCACAACGAGCAGTCGCATTACTGTACGGGGCCGCTGTCACGGTGCCGGACCATATTGCCTCGGCTGCAGTACGCGGTACAATGTTGCTGGCATTGTGCCCGCAACGGGATGCTCCCACTGATGCTTCTCATGCTAACTCTATTCTTTTGCTTCCGCTAGTAATGGAGTACCTGGTGGTGGCGAGATCAAATGGCGGACGAATGACGGTGAGCCGGTGCTGCGTGTTGACCAAACACGGCGCATATGCCGCGACGTCATATTGGGCCTCGAATACCGTGAGCACCCTTTCTTCACGAAGGCCAACTCTATCTGACACGGTCGCATAGTACATCACCAGGGCATTATCCATCGAGACATCAAGCCGTCGAACTTGCTCTGGACCGCAGACAGGCGGACCGTCAAGATCGCCGACTTTGGTGTCGCGCACTTCTCCTATGCGCAACGCCTCGCGGCGGCTGGGCAGGGTATGGTCGACCTTGGCGACGAAGACCCAATTCTCATGGACGACACGGACCTGTCCAAGACGGCCGGCACGCCCATGTTTCTCGCGCCCGAGATCGTATGCGACACCGCGGATCTCGCGGCCTCCTCGTCGACCGTGAATGTGAATGAGACGGCGAACGCGAGGACGGTGGCGCGTCCGCGCCGCCGGCACCCATCACGAAGGCGATCGACGTCTGGGCGTTCGGCGTGACGCTGTACGGCCTGCTGTTTGGTCACCTGCCGTTCGTTGCGGACCGCGAGTATGAGGTGTACCAGGTGATCAGGCGGCAGGACTGGGCGGTTGACCCGACGATGGGTGTTGACCAGCTCGAGACGGGTGGACGGCACCAACGACCGCAGCCAAGAGGGCAGGAACCGATGGTTACATGGTTGTACAGCTGCTGGACGGTCTCCTCGAGAAGGATGCACGGAGGCGGATGACACTTGATCAAGTGAAGGTGAGTTACATCTCTGTCGCATATAGTGAGGATGTCTTTGACGTTCTGTCGCAGCGGCATCCGTGGATACTCCGTGACATTCAGGATCCTGAAGGGTGGCTGCGCGAGACACAACTTGGACCCGCGCCGTCCCTAGAGCCTACCGCAGACGAGACTAGCTCGGCCATGTCCTCAGTGCGCTTCCGCTGGACCCGTCCATTACGGCGGCTCTGGCAAGGTGTCCGACCTACGCGCTCCTTCCTGAGCAGGCAAGCCCCAACAGAAACGGAAGTTGACGAGTACAAGCACGTCGGTGTCAGGTCCGCCCCCACCCACTCGTTATCACGGCGCCGTTCAACACCAGGTGCATCACAGCACGAGCGCCGGCGAGACAAGAGCAAGAGTGGGTACTCCGGGCGTGGAGACGCGCCCCGCAATAAGTCGACGACGGACGTAGTCGCCCGGCATGACTACGCGTACACCGACTGGGCTGACTATGACGCGAGACATATGTCGACCGGACGTTCACCGAAGCGGCGGCGCGGCTCATTCCCCTCAACCTCCGTCCGTCGCGCGCCGCTCACCACAGCCGTCGCCGATATCCGCGTCGACGCCGAGCGTGGATGGATCCGGGATGCCCTCGCCAGAGGAGCGCACGCCGAGCAGGCTGTCGCTCACGCATTGGCTCAGGCTCCGTTCCGCAGGCAGCCCGCGCCGCAGATGGAGCAGACTCTGTCTAGCGGCAGCTCTGGGCAGAGCGTGTCAAGGCAGAGGAGCAACAGGCGGCTGGTCGGCGGAGCGAAGACGCATTCAACACTGTCGCGCCGTCAAGACAGAGCACCGCGAGTGGTCACCTCACGATGGCCATGCGCGCGGCGAGCTGGGGCGAGGTCGGGGACTACGCGAGACCGTCGGAGGAGTGATGAGCTTGTATTCCGCTGAACGGGGAGACGACGCGCTCGACGACGACACGCTCTTACTTGGGGCTGGCGGGATCGCCCATAGTCCTGTCCTGTCCATTCCAACAAGCGGTGTGCTCAGCACCGTATCATCCCTCGCCTCCCTCAACCTAAACGCTAGTGCTCCGGGCGCACCAACGCCTGCGACAATGTCGGTCGCACAAGCCCTCCTCCAGCGCACTGACGTAGGCGAGCTACCATCTGCCGCTGGCACTGCCACCCCGGACCCCACCACCTTCGCGCGCCAGTCGCAGATCCGCTCTCGCGCGACGAGTCCACTTGCCCAATCCGCTTACAATCCTGTGCAGCTCTCCATCGAGTCGGCGAACCCGTACGACTGCGATGACTCTTCCTTCGACGACGATGACGAAGAAGATGAGATGACGAGTCATCATACGGCGAAGAGGTGGACTTGCAGCCCAGCACGAGCCAGCGGTATCAGGAGGAAGACGACGAGAGCGAGGAGGAGGCGAGGTGCGCCTCGAACTCCGTGGCCGCCGCCCTCCAATCGCTCCGAAATGTCGCCCGTGCGGGGCGCAGACACGCCCCATAGAGAACGCCCCATGATCTGTACATAGTCAGTCCCGAGCTCTCGGTGTGTAGGTGTGCGATGGACGCTTTGCTGCAGCTCACATAGACGGACAGGATATCCTCACATTCAGCCTCACTACTCTCAGCCTTATTAGACATATCCCCCTCCCATGTCGCTGTACACCCTATCATCCGGCATCTTGTTACCCATTTGTCTAGCATTCTTATACCCTTCGGCATTCAACCCCACTGCATCATTGTATAGAATTAGCCTGGCGCTGCTGGGCGACAGGAGCGCATAGCCATGCTTTTATACATCCTCTGTAACATACATCCCCTACATGGGTACCGGTTGGTATCATGGTATCATGGTCATGCAGCGACTGTGCGCGCGTATAAGAAAGATATACTACAGAGGCCCCGGGTCTTAGCAAGAAACGTCAGAAAGTCAAAGGTCATAACGTAGGAGTAAAGAGATGACAGCAAAGAACGTGGTCGTCAGAAAGGAGCGAGCTGGAGGCTACCTGCAGGCATGCAAACTATGCACATGTATACACATATGGACAGAGGCCTGGCCGAGGATCACATCGGCCAGCCTCGCAGGGTCCTCGCGGCTCCCCCTCCAATTCGTCCGATGAAGTCCCAGACGGCGGCGCCGTCGCCCGGGAAGCCCTCACCGGTGGCTCGTATTGAGTTGAAACTTGACCACGCAGCACGATCGTAAGGTGTGAGACCACCTGGGATGGCATACTGGGAGCGGTTGCCTGCCCGACGACGAACGCGACCGCGGCGGAGACACCGACGCAGAACAGGAGCTGACTCGTCGACATCACCGAGAGCCTTCTGAGTCGCCGCCGTAAACGTACGTGTTGTAGATGTTGTAGAACCGGCTGCTCTTGCGCCTGCTGGAGCGCTCGCTCTCGCGGCGCCCTGCGCCATTACGCTGGGACTCCTCGACGATCCTGTCAATGACGGAGCAGTTGACGCCGAGCTCTTCCTTGACCGCCTTCCAGTCGTCTGCGACCTCCTCAGAGACGCCGCCCGCAACTGGCTGGATGGGCAGCTTGAGCCCTTGGTGCCACTGCTTGACCGTCTCCTCAGCGACACGGAGGGCAAGCTCCTCGCGCTCCTGCGAAGTGACTTGCTCGTAGTCCGGGGGAGATCATGCATGTGGTCATGCAGCTCCTCTGACTTCTGCCGAGGCGTAGGCGGCAGAAGCGTCGAAGACGAGGAGGCCATCGAGTCCACGTCCAGATCTAGACCAAGAGCGTTCGATGCGGCGGGCACGGGCTCCGGTTCGTCGGTCTGCACCTCCATGCTGACCATGTCCCTGACTTCCAGCTCTGGTTCTGGTTCTGGTTCTGGTTCTGTCTGGATATCATGGAGGCGAGAGATCGTTCTTCAGTCTGTACACTGAAGGAGGCGGTGATGATCTTGGGCTCGGGGTCTGTCTGCACGTCATGCGAGGCCGTGAACTCAGACATTTCGTGCTGAACGCCGGTGTCCGAGTATTCTTTGACCTCGTCGACCGTGATGCTCTCCAGTCGCTTGGCGCGACTAGCGACTTTCTGCACATCATGACAAAGCCCGTCAGCAACTTGACAATTCATGCTACAATTCAGCACCTACCCGCTTGGTGCGCGTGATAATAGTCTCCACCACGTCTTCGTCTTCCGTATCGTTGTCCTCTGCGCTGGGACTGACGACCGTCTCGCTCGCCTCGTCGTCTGACTGCTCGTTTGGATTCTCCATCTCCCACTTGCCCTCCTGCATCCTGCTCAGCAGTTCCGCGCCCAAGCTGCGACTCACGCTGCCGCGCGCGCTCGCAGTGCCCGAGCCGCCCTGGTTCGAGACGCTGGACGCGCTGCTTCGCATCTCGTCCATGTCGAAGCGCATGCGGTCGATCGTCTCCTTGAGCATCATGTTCTCCTGCTTCTGGTCCTCGAGCTGCACCTGAGCCTGTTGTGCAACCGCGATATCGCTCTCCAGAAACGCGATCCGCTCCTCATAGTTCGCCTGCTCGCGCAACCACTTGACTGCCTCGATCTGCTGCAGGCTCGACCCCTCCTTGAGCTCCTTGATCTCCCCGTCGCGCCGCCGCAGCGTGTTGCGGTACCGCTCCGACTCCGCGCACTGCTCCTGGTACTGTTTCTGCAGGCTCTGATACGACGCGCGCGCCGTCTCCAGGCTCTTCTGCAGCTTCGCGATCTCTGACTCGAGCGCCGAGATCTGCGTCTGGTTCGTGCGCTGCGGGGAATGCTCGGTCAGTCAGTGAACGCACCACTTTCGCAGGCTCGACGTACCTCCTTCGACCGTAGTTCCTTTTCTTCCCGCTTCGTCGCGCTCAGCTCGCTCCTCACCTCCTCGAGCCGGCTCTGCATCTCCTCCAGCTCGCCCTCGTGCTCTGCAAGCTTGGACTGCAGCGTTCTCTCCGCGTCGACCAGTTTCCGCGCTAGCTCGGTGTTCACCCGCTGCAGCGCCTCCAAGCGCTGTTCCAGGTCGAGCGAGATCGTCGACGACGCCGCAGAGCGGTCCATGATCAGGCCTAGAGCGGACGAGTCGTCGTCATCCGAGTCCGAATCCGCACTAGATGTTCGCGGCATCTGCAGCGAGTTGATCGTATGCGCAAACTGGTCCTCGTCGAACGAGTCGGACAGGTCGGAAGGAGGGGGAGACATGAGCCCGGAAGAAGACTGTGGCTGCCCTCGGTAGTCGCTCTCGCGCTCTGGTGAGGTGTAGTCGCCGAACGCCTGGTCCATCGAGGCAAAATGCGACTGCGGCTGCGACTGGGCGCGGAGTGTGGTCGAGAGATGGGGCCAGCAATGGAGGGGAGCCCACAGAGGAGCTAGGCGATATCGGGTTGGATGGTGCGCGGGATCGCCCCGGCGTGCGTGCGAATGAACTGGGTGGGGCGGCAGACTGTGTGCACAAGGTATGAGCTATGTGTGCACGGAGACAATGCCGTTCTACCTCGGAGTCACTGCTTGATCTGCCATGTTGGCTAGCATCACTTCGTCGCCTCGACGGAGGAGGTCGGCGCGTCCACTGGAAGGCGCCTTGGCCACATTTGTGAGCGGCGTTGACCGCTGCCTACGTGACGCATCGAAAGGCGAGTCGCGTGAGGTTGGAGTATTGGGCGCGGCTGAACCACGCGACGGTGGCCGCGAAGAAGGCCGCGAAGACGACCTCCACACAGACGTACCGTTCGAATCCAGACTGACGAGCGAGAGTACGAGTCTCGTAGTCACGGTCCTCTGAGCGCCCGCGCTCTGGAATCAAAGTCCTCATGGGGAGGAGAGTCTTCGGGGCTGTGGTTGGTGCGCATTGCGATGAACTGCAGGAGAACCTGTGGCGTAACGGCGAGTCCTGGGTTGCTGTCGATAAGTTGGGTGAGCTGGTCCTCCTCTTCGCGTTTCATGAGCTCTACAGAGTCATGGTTGCGGGAAAAGGCACGAAGGACATCGACAAGTGCGTCTGCAGGGATGACGGGGTCGCCAGCTTCGTTGATGTGCGCGCGGGGGTGGTCTTCGAATATATTATAGAGCTCCTGCTCCAGATCTGCGATGGATTGTCTATTGCGTCCGTATGTTTCCTGTGGACAAAGCATGAGACAACGAGCACGCTGCTCGCGGAGTTGACTCACCACGTCCATGTTGGGTCATCAATTGTGCGGGCAGAAGAAGAGAACAAGTACGCAGGCCAAGTGGCCAGCAGCGCCCGAGTACGCATTGTTTATGTAAGCTGCCACCACCCGGCACATGTGACCGCGCTCTGTCCGTCCGAGTCTGTCCGATTATTTACCCCAACACGTTCTGGGGCGATGCGCCGAGTCCAGACTGGAAGCCGCGTCGAAGAGGGACGGAGATGTGTCCAGTCGCCTTTGTGGTCGGCGACGCGCATGTCCAAGTCGTTGTGCAGACGTTCAGATGCTTTGACTCGGCCAATGCCGAAACAAAGTTACTTCTGGCGTCGGAATCGCAGCGGCGAGCGCTTGAGCGATCAATATTCGATCGTCATCGACGCGGTATTTAATTACTTACTGCTTCTTCTCGTCCATCCCCGTCCCCTCTTTACTCAGATGAGACTGAGGTAGGACCCAAGTTATCTCGATATGAACACGACAATTGACATAGCTCTAACAGGACATGAGCCCCGGCCGGACCTTTTGCCCGCCGTAGCTAGAGCAAGGATGATCGGCTGTTCAGACTCACACAACATCGCGGCGCACTACAACTACGAGCGCAGACACACGCATATAGTCACCTCCGTAGTCGACGATCGCAATTCAGCCCGAAAACCTCGGCACCAACTCCTCTCAGAACCGTGTCACCAGTATCTGAAACTGAAAGCCGGCAGACGACCCCCACGAAAATCGCGCCTCCGGTCGTTACCTTGGTCAACATCCCATCGCCTCTGCTCACCGGCGGCATCCTTCCCGATTGGGCCAAGAATAACTGGTTCGAGTGGAAGGGATACATCGACCGGTCGCTCAAGATGTACCACATGTGGTCCTACTACCTCTCACTGACTACCCGTAGCAATGCGCCCCGACGTTTCTCTACAACTGCCTTCATCAAGTGAGAAAGTTCAAGCTATCTGACAAGATCGCCATCATCGTGCACCAAGAGCCCACTTACATGCAGATCGAAGGTGAAGAAACACTTGTATACGAACACAGAAGTTCACAGTCTCATCTAGGCCACATTCGTTGACAGTGGTGTGTCTCGTAGACTTTGTACCACATCAACGATCTCATAGATGAGCTATTGATCGCACAAAACATTCAACTCGAGTGCCGCCTTTCGATGCCGCTGCGTTCAACCGCTACACTTCGCACGACTACTGCTAAACCACTGTGGTGGTTCATGATAACATGTACAACAGATCTATTCCGGACTGCAACTGCCTTCATACGCGTCCTGTGATGCGCGGAAGTTATGAGTGAATTAATGGACGCCGCACAGCCTTTCAGCCGTACCTAGCATCAGTAGAAGCGGCCTTGTGCAGCCGGAAGAGGAAAAGCAGCGGGATTCTGCCTGTTCATCTGCTGGATGTATGCGTCGAAGTCTTTAACAGTGTTGGATGGGACGATGCCTGCACCCTCGAGATCCTGCAGCACCGTGCAGCACCAGAAGCGACAGCCGGCGCCGTCGCTGCTGTAAACGTACCGATTGCGACAGCGCGGCGGCTGACACAAGAAGGTGAGAAGATCCTGCGACTTCACGCTGACAGCGGCAGCCACGGTGAAGCCTGCGGTCCTGCTCCTGGACTCCTCATAACCACAGGACGTGACACTAAGGTAGCCAGTGCGTGCGTCGGCACCCGGCATCATGTCAAACTTGATGGAGCGTGACTTGTCGGTGACACAGTAAATGCGCCAGTGGAGGACAGAGTTGGGGTCGCTTGGATTGACAGGAGATCCGGAGAGTATGAATCGTAGGATCGGCGACGTTCTGTCTTGCGTGAAGTTGCGTAGATATAGGGTGGGATCGCTCATAGCGTTTCTGGGCTGAGGGAAGGTTAATCCGCGTGCTGCGCACGATTACAGACCTACATAGTGCTTACCTGAGTCGAAGTCTAGTGCAGATTTGGGGAGCTCGTTCAGTGCTGTAGACGGTGTTTGCGTATCCTGGTCTTTTATGTGCCCAGCGGTGCGTGACCCACGCTCCTCGGATAGGAAGATGTGACTCAACTTCCACATTCCAGAGATCATGAAACTTCGCTCCTGGGATCGTTCACTGTCGCTGAGTTGAAGAAGCAGAGGCACTGCGAGCACCAAAAGCGCATGCCTCATGTTATGGCTGAAAGAGGTATGGTGTTGCGCCGGAGCAAGTCGAGCGTGCGAGAAGCCACCGGGAGCTTTTGTGCGGTGCGCTGTGTGGATTGGAAGCAAGGGGGATAGCAGCGCATGTTTGCTGTGACAGGTGGTGGTACATGTCGCAATCCACGGTGATGACAGGGATTGCCGGTGAGTAATGACTAGTACCAGGCAAAGAAGGCGTCGCGGGCGTACTATCTGTGAACATGTCACTCTCTGCGGGTATTCCACTTACAGAAAGTGTGCTGGATATCCTTGCGAGTCTGCTGGTGTATGGGTAAGCATGTCGATGAGAAAATATCAGCCCTATGCACGCCCGGCGGGTGCATGATTCCTTTGTGGTTCGACGTTCACAGTGTCAGTGGATCGAGAACAGAAGAAGGACTTGACTCACTCAACACGTAGAGCTTGAGGCCTGGAACTCCGCCTGTATGACTTCGCGAGGAAAGTGTCCGCTACAAACCGCTCCTGAGATGTTATGGATGACTCCGTATGCCACCCTGTTTAAGCCATGTGGGTACCTGCGTCCACACATTGGACAGGATGACCACCGACCGGACGAGAAGTAGACACGGCAGTTGGGAAGCGTGCCAGTGTTGGCGGCTAGTCCGTCAGATCCTGACCGGAGTTGCTATCCTGCTGGCCGATCAATCGATCACGGACGAACCGCGACTCACCTTGACAAGCTTACTGGCCTGTATGACTGGTTGCACTTGCAGGCAGTGGCAGGCTTGGTACGTGGCCATGGGCGTCCAGTATGCACATCAGTCTCGTGCCGGATCACGACGCCCAAGAAGCCGTCCACAAAACCGCGCCTAGGCTTCCTGCTCGATTCGCAAAAATGTCTCGGCTCTGCTGAACGAACAAGCTTACTTTGGCAGTTGCCAAATGCTAGTGTTGCGTCTGCCGTAGTCCACAGAAGTCAAATGGTTTAGACGACTCGCTAGTTTAGGCTTGCCAGACTGTCGAGGCGGTGATGCGTCACCAACAGCGGAGAACATTTGGAATCGGCCAGAGCCCCATACTAGTAGTCGAGATGTCATGAAAGGAATCTGGCTTATATGATATGCACATACCGCAGGCCGGTGGCGGCTAACCTACTCCTAGACTTCAACAACTGAGTAAATCACATAGGATACAACTTGCCATATCGTTGATCATGCGTAACCTCCCCTGGATACCTGACCACCGCCTGTTGAGATATTCAATGCAGACAGTATGGCGGCTGGCTCACCTCGTCACCTAGTCACATCATCGCGCCGGTTGACAACGCCCAACTGATGTTACTGACACATCTTGCCATATTTGTGAACCAACCTGGTTTAATGTACGTCAGTGGAGGGCAGGCTGGTAGTACCGTTATATGGGCTCACCGGCAATAAGCGGCACCATCCATCTCCACGATATCGGCAAGTCGGTCTGTCGCAGCATGGTTGTGTATTCGAACCACTCGGGATAGAACCCTGCGTACTCCCAATCGATCAGATAGAGAGTACCGTCGTGCGCTAGCATGACATTGCGCGGACATAAATCTTGATGCGTGAACACAAGAGGCGAGCGAGAGTCAAATCGGGGTGCATGAATGGGTGCTTGGTTCATGCGCTGAGAAACTTCCAGCTTGTGGTTGAACCATGCAATCATGTCGCTATAAGAGTGGAAGGGACCAGCACCGTCCTCTGTGAAAAGAGGGCCGTTACATCGTCCACCCGGAAGGGTCCCCGGCACAGAACGTCGTAAACGCCGAAGCTGCGCAACGTAACCCCTCAAGGTCCAAGCAACCGAGAGGCGCGACCAAAGGGAGAGATGGGGCCAGCGGTCTTTGAGACTGTCCCCTTCGATGCATTCCATGACAAGGTATGTTGTACTGCCATCCACTACGACCCGGCGCAGCTCTGGAATAGGGATCGAAGTGACAGAGCGTATCATCGCCAGGTTCAGGGCTTCTGAAAGTGCAGCTTCGGGATCGTAAATCTTCTTGACAACAACCCCATCACCAGTGCGATAGACGGTTCGGAACTCATCCCAATCGCGGTGCCTCTCCAGATGCTTCACTGTATCGATGATATGATGTGGGTCGATGTCCGTCGCAGAACTAGGGACCAGCTTTGCGTCGTCGGCATAGCACTGACAATGGCATAAGTATATCTCCAATCTGAGAAAGCGACAAACACAAACCAGCGGTGTTGGACCGCCCCGATCAAACGACAGTATAGCGCATGGCGAAAGACTTAGTCTCTCAGCGAGCATGCACAACCACCTGCTCAAACTCCATGAAGGTAGGTTCCAACATGACGAGGTGGAGCGAAAGTCGGAGTGAACATTTGAACTTTCAACCCATTTCCGTCCATCTTCTCGGGGGGAAGCGCGTCTAAGAGTGCGCTTATATAGGAGTCGTCCTGTGGTTTCCATGGTGGGAGGGAGGCAAGGAAAGCGTGCCCATCAGTCGACATTGCTTGAGTGGGTACATAATTAGCAATCCGGACATTGATAGGGCGTAAGCTGACACACCTATGCTCTGGAACGGATACGAGGCTGTTCTGCAGACAGCGCAAGTGGACAGGCGCTCACTTGGAGGACGTAGCAATGAGTCGTTCGCACCTTTCGTTGGGCAACAGTGAAGGTCCGGGCGCCACAAGGTGAGCGTGAGTTGTTGTGACCATCCCACGAATCACGATGCTGTGAGCCTGTGACTTAGTAGCACCGCCACAACTGGCGACTCCGAGTCGGCGACCTCGAGGCTCCCGAATCTAGCGTGGATTCAGCCTCAGCGTTCAACTTCAGCATGAACGAGCAAGCAGTGCTGGCTTTCCTGTTGTCCAAGGCCAATCAGGAGCAGAACTTCATGCTGAAGTATTCCGGAGCACGAGAACTCTGGCTAGCGCTATGCTCGCGTCCGAGTACTTGCTCTTGAAGGACATGTTCGCGATCCGGTACGTCCCCTCAGAGCGATACTCCGCCACCATCATGCACATACAGGAGCTATCGGCCGCGTATTCAATATTGGCATCCTTACCGCCGACGCTTTTGCGATCTCCATCCTGGTGACATTGCATCACGTGTCCGCGTTTTGTCGCGCGGTAAGAAATCCTCCATGTCAAAGCAGTGTCAAGGTAAATGATTACGGTTGGCATACATCCTGCGCATATTCATACCAAACAGTACAGGATTAAAGCAATGGGTAGCTGCATACTGTGCCACCCATGTATAAAGAGTACAGGGCGGACACTCATACGCGTGATCGCGTCATGTCGCGTCGCCCTGCACAAGTTGAGGCTGTGCCGCATAAAGACATGGTACATTAGGACGCGCTGGGCCGCGTCGACGACGTCCCGAAGGTCCGAGCCAGGAGTATCTGCAGGTCAAAGGTTAGCCTGAGCTATGACGTTGCATATAAGGCACAACGTACAGCATATACCCCTGGTGACCGTCCCCGGCTGTGTCTAGGTACACCATATTTACAAATAACAATAATGCCGAGCATCCGAAGCGATGACAACATATGCACATGTACACAGCAAAAAGAGAAGAAAGTTCGCGATGCTAGGTAATACAGAGTCCTGGAAGATATACAGAAGATCGATGGTTCGCAAAACTATGAGACAGGGTATAAATATAGACAGAGAAGTGGGTCGTCGCTAATAGTGTGAGACGTGTGAGACGTTGGGAAATGGGCATGTAGAGATGCAGCCGAAACAGTCATTGACGCGGTGGCGTGTGTAGGGTAGTAGTCCGCGAGATACCTGGATATTACGATAGTGTAGAGGTTGTGTAGAGGCGTCACATGCGTGAAGGTCGTGAGGGTCGTAGGTGGAGAACAAGACGTGGCCTTCAAGGGTCATACTGGCAGGCGCTGCAACACCGCGTACATGTCAGCAGGCACAGCAGGTGCCCCAGGGCCTCTGTGAATCGTTGATATCAGCATCGTGCGGAGATGCAACGCGGAACACCGACTCACTCTTGATACGCTTGAATGAAAACCGTGGGTGATAACTGGAGAGGTCAACTTCGAAGACGGGATTCGACCTGGGCAGGTTGCGCGCTGTTGCAGGCCAACCGTAGGAATGTATGTGTCGGCTGATTATAGGTAAGTCACGCGTCTAGCAGCTCACAGGACGGAAGCATGCCTCTTATAGTCATGAAGCTGCAGATGCCATGCCAGATCCAGGAGTGTCGGGTACGCCTCTCTACAGCGGGGGCGCGGACACCGTATGAAGTTATGGCCATCATACCAGGCTGCCATCATCTGCGGATATGCTTCTTGCATCTGTTGTGGCAGACAATCAGCCAGCATGTTTTCGCTATGGGCAGTTGAACATACATATCGCTCCTCCACGCGCGGCACGAACGGCGCGCCACCAGCTCTGGGGTCCGGAAAGCTCCCGATGCTTGTTGCTACCGTCGTTGACGGCGGGTGCACGAACAAGCTGTCTCCAGGGCCCATGGACAGGCCCGCAGTCGACGACACCGGCGTTGGAGGCAACGGTTTCTGGGTGCGATAACGCGCCGCGATTACCTGTGCCTCCGTCGGACGACGCATATGCGCAGGCCTCCGCGTGGACCGCGAGGGATGCGGTGCGGTTGCGAACTTCGGCGGGCTCCAGCGGCTCGCTATCGACCCATAGTGAGGTTGCTGGCGCTGCTGAGGCCTATGCCCCGTCTCCTGCGCGTACGCGACGTTCGGGGTTCCGAAGTACACACCGGCACGCCGATGGAGAGGGCGCGGACTGCTGGGCCGCGGACGAGTTCCCGTCGCAAGCGGGCCGCTCTGTGTGCGGGTTCGTACATGGCGCGAGGGTTGTTGAACGGAGGCTAGGTTGATCGCATTCGGCGGGGCGGTCTGGTACACTGAAGCGCGTCGTCGCATCGTCGCATGAGCATGGGGGCGTGTATCGCACGAAGAAAGAAGAGCCTGGGGCTAGATGAGAGAAAGCAGCGAACAATAGTGAACTTTGAAGGATTATAAGGGCATTACAGGGTGGGGGCAGCGCGTCGAGCTCGGGCGAGGGGCTTCAGCGAGTGTCGCGGCGGGGACAAAGCGAGCGTTGTTCGGTATATAACTCTGGGCCACCGGGCCCTGACGTCGAGAGATTAGGCTTTAGCAGACAAGACCGGGCGGCTCGATCATGGGTGGCGGCAGAGACTAGCGCATCAAGTAAGTAGCGTGGTCCGTTTCAGCCTCTCATTTGACCCTTTTTGGGGTGACTCAGGGCGATTTGCCATAGGGGCCCTTGCGTCCAAGTCGGGTGTGTCCGTATGTCAACAGTTATGACACTCTGTGCGTAGCAGCTCACCAGATTTGTCTTGTGTGGCCATAGGAGGTGGGTGCAACCAGGTTATTGCGATGGTCCAAGTTGCTCAATGTACGCCGGAGGGTACCTGGGCCAGAACTACGCTGCCAACGGTTAGCCACATGATAATAATGTGATGATAAATAATACCGCGAAACTGCGAACCGCAGACTTCATACTTGACCTACATACTCGTTCACCTTCATGATGTAGAATCCAGCCCGAATAGTCTGTACTTCAGAGACGGACGTGGATCAACAGCGCTTACGTGGACCACATACTTCGAACGCTACCATATCGGGACAGATCGGAACACCAACATCAGAAGACGCTCGCCGGCGCCTTTTATGGCCTGCAAGTGGTCTGCAACTCGAGCCCGACCAGTGGCTTGCAGTCAACTCAAGTACTGTATTGCAGGCACTGCATGCCTGAGAACGCGTACGTGAGCGTGCAAGAATTAATTGCAACTTCGACCACTTCCCTCCGCCGGTTTTTGTCGCTTTCTGGACCTAAGTACCATGTGAAGGTAACGTTTCTCGAAGCCCTGTGTGTATGAGTCTATCGTATGGGCCACTCAGGCGTTGGGCGTATCAGCTTGTGACATTGAGCTCTGTGTCGCTTGCCGTCGTGTCGCCGTTGGTTCAGTCTTACTGCTCAAAGCGCAAGGATGAGTACTATATGGCATACCGTCTAATTCGACACAATGGAAATCCAGAGTCCTATCACGACCTTTTGATATCTGTTGGGGTCCGTCATCATGCCGTCTATTGGCTATATTCACTGTGTCTTGCAGCTCCTGCCAGTCGGCACTTGCTCGACACATCTCCCGGAAGAGTCCGTCACGTTTTGAAATGAGTAGCCGCGGTGTGTCGAATTCCTGTATTTCTCCTCCGCCCAGGACCATGATGCGGTCGTAATCGAGCACTGTTTTCAACCGATGTGCAATGGTAATGACTATTGCATCGGCGAAGACTTCACGGATAGTGCGTTGTATCTAGTGGTGAGTTTATCAGAAGGGGCAGCAACGGAAATAACACCGTGGATACCAACCTGGTCATCCAGGTGCGAGTCTATCTGTGACGTTGCCTCGTCCATAATAACAACGTTGCTGCGCCGGAGTACGGCACGGGCCATTGCTACGAGCTGACGTTCGCCCGCGCTCAGCGAACCCGTCTGACTGATTGGCAAGTCGAGGGTGATATCATGGTCCTGGCCATCCGTGCCCGGCCTTTGAGACGAATGGCTGAGGGCGGACACCAGATGGCACCGCTCGAGCACATCAAGACATTCTTCGTCTGTGTGTTCATCGAACGGATCTATGTTGCTTCTGAGCGTGCCGGAGAAGAGAGAAACATCCTGGGAGACGATGGTCTGCATATAGGTCAATTCGAGGATACGTCATACTAGTCAGCCTGCGATGATAGACGTACAACGCGAGTGCGCAAGTCATCGAGCCCAATCTTGGTTATGTCTATGCCGTCGATTCTGCATACGATGAGATCAGCTGTGAGTCAGCGCTGGAACACTGTACATTTACATGATCTGTCCTTCACTGGGTTCGACCATCCGCAATAAGGACAATGCCAACGTTGATTTGCCTACAGGGGGTGAGCCCGGTAAAGGAGAGAAAGCAGACGAGACACACCTGACCTGTTCTACCAACCTATGAAATATGCTGAACGACTGGTGTGTATATAAGTTTGGAAGTGGACGTACCACTCCTATCTTCTCCCGCGGTCTAATTGTGAACGACAAGTTATGTAGCACGGCCGGTAGCTCTGGCGCATATTTGACAACCAAGTTTTCGACAACCAATTGCCCATTGTTTGAAGGCCAGTAAGCAGGAGGCCTGCTGCTTGCGACGATCGCAGGAGCCTCTTGCGGTACATCAAGATATTCTCCAATTCGTTCCACAGAGTTGAAGTCGAGCTCGAGTTGTGCCAAGACCCTTGTCCATTTGAGTGCCTTGTCGTGGAGTGTCTGTGTCAAACCTCGCTTACCTGACGAGCACTCTGGAGGCCTGAGCGAAGACGCCGGCTTGTACGATCACGAGCGCAGCGAAGCCCGAAGAGACCGAGCCCATAAGAGCAAATACTGTCGTGAGGAACACCACCACGGATCCAAGCCTACACAGCAACCATGAGCAGCACTTCAACCGTATCTGATTCGCGAACTGACAGTCATATCGCCATTGCAGCCACCCAGAGACCAACCACTGATGCGATATAAGAGATATATTAGAGAACCCCCAACTTCGCAGTGTTCATGTCACCTACGTAGACATGGTCGAAGCATTGGAACCGATCGACTCGACTGTAGAACCGTGTCTGATATCTCTCCTCCATGCCGAAGGCGCGGACGTGAGGCAGTCCGCGCAACAGCTCGTCGAACCCCGCAAAGGCTGGCGACAGCGAGATGGACTCCAGTCGTCGTAAATCGCGGGAAGCCTGAACGAAGCGGGGAGCCAGTCGAATGTAAAGCCACGCGATGAACAGGGCGAAGGGGGTGAAGGTCGGAACAATCCAGAGGATCACAACGAGCGAGGCCAAGAAGTTGAAGCATCCAGAGAGTGCAGAGCGGGCAGAACTTTGCAGCGTGTTGTCGACGGTGTTGATGTCGGCTGTGAACCGGTTTAAAATCCGTCCTATGGGGGTGACGTCGAAGAAGCGCGAAGGTGCGCCAGTCAACCTAAGCAGCATGCCAAGGAAGAGTGACCGGGAGGCCTGCAGACTTGAATAGTACCCTAGAGAGATTATAGAGATGACGGATATCGCGCCAGAGAAAGATATGCAAAGGAAGATCAGTAGCCAAGGCCTGACGTCCACATCTGGCGGTGGCAGTTTCTCCCATATTGTTGGTGCCTGCAAGAACGCCTCACTATGGACGACCCTACATTCTCATATGCTTCGCCCCAACGGGCTATGAACAGCTGAAACAACTCCGTTCAGTTCAGTTGTTCGTGACTACGCTGCTTAACTTACCTGGTTTGCGATGGTGATCAGACGAACAAGCACCATGAAGATCATCGTGAAAGCCCAGCAGAACAGGCCTGCAGCACGGATATAGGTCCAGTAGGTTCGCGAAGACACACGGCCTTCAGCACGAGCCTCTGCCTCTACCAGCTTCCCGCTAGCTTTTCTGGCGTCTTCGTCCGTAGCTTTCGGCTGGTCCACCGGGTCGGCTTCGTTCTCTAGGGTAGCTGATGACGATTCAGACGATTCCTGTTCCTCAGTGATGTCCTCGGCTGCCACGATCTGTGAAAGCTGGCCTTGATGCCGTAGCATTTGTGTTGAACCTTGATGAATGACGGATCCATTGGAGAGTTCGACGAGGTAAGATGCCTTCGGCAGACATAGGCTTATATGGTGAGTCACGAGAATGATCGTCCGACTACGAGCGAGACTTCCAGTCAGTGCGTGCGTTACCAGATGTTGAGCAGTATGCATATCGACCGCGGCCAACCTATTGATGACTTGTCAGTATTCGCGATCGCACTACTCGGAGATTCACCCACGGATCATCGAGCAGGAGGCACTGTGGAGCTGTGAGCGCTTCCGAACACGAACACATTGTATAACACACTTACAGTGGCTTGCGAGTACAAAGCGCGAGCAAGAGCTATCCTGGCGCGTTGGCCACCCGAAAGAGTGATGCCTTTCTCTCCAATCTCTGGGGAGGAGATCAGCACTTGGCCACGTGCATGTAGCAGAGACCACCTGTCATGTCGCCAGCTTCGAAAATTCCAGATCCCGGTTCAACGCACATGCTTCGATGACAGTCCGGTAGCGTTTTTCGTCGTACCCATATGCGGCACCGAAGATGATGTTGTCTCGGATAGTAGCATGCTCGAGCCCTGCTTATAATTAGATGCACTTTAACTTCGGACTTCGACTGAACAAGCTCACAGGGGTTTTGAGCGCAGTAGGCCACCTGATGTCCAGCCTTGTTAAGGATCACCTTTCCGGAAATGCAGTGCATCTCTGAAGAACCACATTGAGCACATGTCACCCAGCACAAGACACTTGAAGCGTACCTCCTAGCAAGGCCGCAAGCAGCGCGCTCTTTCCTGATCCTGTCGCGCCACTGACCAACGTCAACCTATCTTTAGGAAACTCGACGTTCAGTGGTCCCAGTCGGAATCTTGACTGAACGTCCCGCGGAGCAACGTCCCACTCAAACACCGCATCCTCGAAACCAACCTCATCCGGAAGAGACGCCGCGGGATTCGCAGCCATCTTCAGGGTTGACGCCCACTCGGGAACCTCTGCCTCCGCGAGGAACTTCTCAATGCGCTGCATGCTAACGTACGCTACAGGGGAAAGTTCAATGCTGGGGTGGAACTGCAAAGTGGACGACTCACCATGCAGCAAGGCGAAAAACTGTTCCGGCAGCAGCGTCATCGGCTCTTGTATGTACGAGAACAGCGCGATGGAGGTGAACGCCTTCGCGACGGTGAGCCTCTCGCCGGCTATGAGCGTGTAGCACAGGAATGAGGCGACGGCCGTCGCAGATGGGATCCAGGTCCAGATGAAGGTGATGAAGACTGAGACGATGTTGTCTTTGACGCGCCATTTGAGCTCGGTCTCTCGCGCTTCGCGGACACGAGCAGACCAGCGATGTTCTGTGAGTTTGTTTCGTAAGCAGAACAATCTTCACACTTGCAAGGGGAAATACTGCCACACCCCAGCCATAGTATTTCAGAAATCGGATGTTCTGGAAGAGTTCGTTTACGAGGTTCATGCGGCTGTCGCGGGCTGTCCAGGATTGACGCGTGACCTATACAGACGTTGAAAATCACGTCTACTCTGCTCGAATGACACTTACGTAGACGTTGTATTTGGCAAGAGGATAGTTCAGGACGTAAGCGACTACGACCACGACGACCGCAGCTAGCGAGCTCCATCCCAAGATCCTGAACAAGGCGGTAAGTATGTCGTCAGCATCGAGTACGGTTTATGCTTAAGAATTGACGCGCCGGTAAAGAAAGATGAGGGCAATAGTCAACCGTATAGGGGCCAAGAAGAATCCCGAGAACTGCCAGAAACGATTCGCCACCGCATACGCATCACCTCTGTTCGACATCAGCGAGGAAACCGTCAGACCTCGGCGAGACGACCGTACTGCATCAAGTTGACGATCCTCCCGAGATCGGCATTGTCATCTTCCTTGTCGTTATGGCTAGTCTTTCCGCCTACATCCCGTCTTCTCAAAGCTCTGTCAACCCGACCGTCAGCAACGGGGGATGGATGCCTCCGCGACGGAGACGCACTTGTAGTGGAGAGCGCAGAACAACTGCCCTCGCGTCCGTTCATAGCAGCGACGCGTGTACCAATTCTGGTACAAGTCGACCTGAGCGAAAGAGAGGTTCGCTAGGAAGGTCATGATGGCCCAGAAGTACGCTCGCTGCGTCGACGCGGGGGACGGGTTCGCGAGAGCTGAGAGGATCTCCTGTAATGCGTAGGGAGGGACGAAGCCTGGTTGCAATTGTCATCATTGGTTTTCGAGTGAGAGCCTGCATCTCGTTTGGGACATACCAAAGACAGCGCTCCATAGTTCTAGTAGAAGGTCCAGCGACAGGTCTAGTGAGTTGGAGGCAAGCAGGAACCACAGCAGGGAATGGGTTGGATGCCTTCAGCGGCGATCAGCAACATTGGTTGTCAAACGACAGACCGCTCCTTACTCTTCCTGATACCTCAGGTATTTCTTGAACAAGTTCTTGTGCTTGAAATAGGGCGACAAGCTCCAGACATCCGCCTCATCGAGGGTCCGGGCTGTGGCGACCTTGAATAACGGCTCGACGAACGAAAAGGTTGACCACGACCACAGAGTCACGCTATCCTCTGGCATGGTCGCTGCGCTTGTCGGGACCTAGGAAAATGCGCACGTTCACAACGTACATCCAGGCGCAGACAGACAAGCCTATATGCTTACATCCGCATGTTTCGCGACATTCTGTGCTGGGAGGACTGATCGGAGGGGTAGCGACCCTGCCACCCAGGCCAACGCGGTCGGCCATGCCAATTGCAACAATACAAGCGTGGTGAGGGCTGCGTTGCGCTCGTCGGCGATGAACCTCTGAAGCAGGTCGACCAGAGCGATGGTCGCATGAACAAGGTAGAGCACGATCAGGAGGTACGGCGGAGTGACGGGCGGCTTGAACAGCACTCTCAGCACGATATATAGCTGCTCGAGAACGTGAATATATGCGAATTAGATGTCGCAGACGGGGCATACCCAGGTCGTCGCCGCCACAGCTGCCTGCACAGACAAGCCCTTGTCCTCCACCACCGCGCCATAAACGAGCACGCAAATCCACACCGCACTCTCGAGCGCGGATCCCAGCACGAGGACTCTGGCCTTCCATGCCTCCGGAGCATCAACACGGTGTGGTTCCTCCTCCAGGTCCTCGAGGGTCAGGAAGTCCCTGAACGGCGACGCGAGCCTCCGGAAGACTGTCCGGATACTCTTGTGGAACCTGATTGACGACAGCAGATCATAGAGCAGCAGCAGCAAGCCTGCACAGCCTGGTAGGAGCGCGTTCACGAAGAGCTCCTGCTGCGAAGGAGACAACCATGGCTGAGCCGCGTTCAAGATCGTCGGGTGTGCCACCCATCCGAACGGCGACCGTGAGGCAGAGTCGTTTTGCAGTACGGCCTGAAACGAGCTCATCGCGGCAGAGTCTGAGTAGCGTCCGAATGGTCCTACACCAACGAAGGCGTCGGGCTTCAAGTAGCAAACATGGAAAGATTTTGAGAGACTTGGGCGCGCAGACTTCTCCGGAGACTCCGCCGGAGAGATCGCTGCTTTTCTCAGCTCTGCCGGATCACACATGTTCTGCTGAAGACTTTTACGTTGCTGCACTCGATTTCTTCTCACACATTCATGTATGCACGTCGTACTGCTGAAAATCTTCAGCTTTATCAAGCGCTTTGCTTTCTGCCGTACGGTCTGATGCACATCGAAGATAGAACATGGTGACAATACGCAGTGCACCCTACAACGATGACGATATCAGGGTCTCTTTGTGACGTCAAGATAGATTGTACCGGCGAGTAAGTAGGAAAGGCAGACATACAATGGATTGGCTGATCTCTGCACGTTGTCGATCGTCGGCCTGACGCCGTATTGCATGCGGCACAGATGTGTCGACCATTACTCGGGTAGATCGTACAAACCGCATAGTGAATGTAAGGACGAACTTTGGAAAGTTTCCGTTCAGAGTGTACCGGGTATGTACTTGACGTCAGGAGGGAGAGTCTTGTCACTAGCTGTGAAAGAGAGCTTCCAGGGCTTGTGGGCAGAAGGCACGCTGGCCAGAAACGGCTAGTGCAGAGACTGTGCTTGTGTCGCACAGAAACACGGAGGTCTTGATCGCCGAGCGACGGGAGAACTTCATACAGTACTAGGATCCGACATGACAGCGCCAGGGAAGGCAGGGCCAGGGGGACGCAGTGGTTACACACCGATGTTGTCGAGCTGCCAGACGAGACACGCCCACCGCGCCCGACGGTCGGCACGAGAATTCGCAATCCTGAGTTGCGCACCCGACGTCGTGCGCGGATTCTTCTCGAAAGCGTAGGTATGGCGCCCCAGCTGCTTGCCCTGCAGGAACTTTAGCGTTAGTACAGCGGATCATAAATGCGCACCCATTGGCTGAGACAGGGCGAATTATCATGGTCCGGCGTCCGTGGTACCTCCAAGCATCGTGCCATGGGGTAGACATCGGCGAGAGGACAACTTGGGAATAGAGCTGCCCACTACTTGAGGAAGTTGTGCGCAACAGTATCCGGCTTGACATATGGAATTGCTGTCGGGCCAGAGTATGCCCAGAAGCGACTTGCGGGGAGTGGACACGGACAGTGAGAATATTTGAAAGGGTTATTACCGCGGACGATGTAGGCGCTGTCGGGCGGCACCTGCTGATCGCCTACCCCCGCAAGGAGTATATAGAGACCCTCCGCCCGAGCGAGCGAGATAGCGCGACACTCCCAGACACAGCCAGCATACCGTCCCAGTTCTCCGTGCGAGGTGGTGGTCAAGGACAAAGAGTCACGCATAGCGCTCGCCGCTCGCTTGCCGGCCCACGCTCCGACCCTCGACCTCATAGTCGTCCTTGCTTCACTCCACCATCATCTTCCACCCTTTACCTCATAACAGTCTCCTCGCCCATTCCGCGTCGGAGTCATATACTTCCTCAATTTCGACTGCTAGTCTTTGTCGTTGTCGGAGCACTCTCAGAACATCATCTTTCGCTCGTGTTCGACTCTATCGTCGCTACTCTGTTCTCGCACTGCTGTAACCACCTCGCCTCATTCTCTATACTATGGCCCCCGCTCTGACCCATCCGACGGCCGTGAACTTCATTGACGAGCAGCGGGCTGTCAATGCTGACGCCGCCACTTACTACGGCGGCGAAGAGCAGTTTAGTCGCTCACGGACGTACAGTGCCGTACGTTATCGGGTCTTGTTCTCATGGATGTGCAGCTGACGTCGCTCCTGGCAGTCCTTCGCCCACGGATACAATCCCAAGCGTGCGCCTGCCTTTAACGATGACTGGGTTCGCAGATCGCGACGCATGTCGCACGACGAGAAAGGGACGGGCCCCAGGCGGTTCTTGATTGACGTTGAGGAGACGATCCGTGTAGTCCTAGAGCAGGAGGACACAGATGGTGACTTCCAGATCAGTGTGACAGATGCTGGTCCCAAACTCATGTCTCTTGGGACTGCGACGAGCAACGGCTTTAAGACGTTCGACATCCGAGCGAGTACCTCTCTTACACTCATTAGCACATTGCATTGACATCAATGTACAGGGAACGTACATGCTCTCCAACCTCCTCCAGGAGCTGGCCCTCGCTCGCGACCATGGCCGCAAGCGTATTGTACTAGACGAGGCGCGTTTGACAGAGAACCCTGTGGATCGCCTGTCTCGCATGATCAAGAACTCGTTCTGGCACGCATTGACTCGTCGCATTGACGGAGACGGACTTGAGATTATCTGCGCAGACCCAAAGAATCGTACCGGCCGCGTCAACCCCCGGATCTACGTACCGCACGGCGAGCCTGCAATGGCTGAGTACTATCGGAGGGTCGCGGCAGACAAGCCGCATCTGAACCTTGACGTCCAGGTCCTTCCGCCTGTGCCGGATGACCCGTACTTCGTGAGGAGCCTGAACAACAAGCCTGGTATCTTGGCTCTTGCTATGAACGAGATTGACGACGGCAGGGGTGGCAGGACGTTGAAGGGCATCCCGTTCGTTGTGCCAGGTGCTCGTTTCAACGAGGTGAGTGTGGGCATTGTGGCGTACCTGAACCTCTTGCTTATCCGTATCGCAGCTGTACAACTGGGACTCGTACTTCATCTCCCTCGGGCTCTTGGTTGATGGCTACGTCAACCTCGCTAAGGGCATGGTGGACCATTTCGTCTTCGAGATCAAGCACTACGGCAAGATCCTGAACGGTAGCCGGAGCTACTACCTTTGCCGGACGCAGCCGCCATTCCTTACGGACATGGCCCTCCAGATCTACAACCAGCTCGACCGCTCCGACATGGAAGCAAACCGTGCATGGCTCAAGCGCGCCATCCAGGCCGCCATGAAGGAGTATCACACCATCTGGGTGGCGGAGCCGCGCATGGACCCGAAGACGGGTCTATCTCGATACCGCCCCGAGGGACTCGGCATCCCTCCCGAGACGGAGGCGACGCACTTCACGCACATCCTGGAGCCCTACGCGGCGAAGCACGGGGTGTCCGTGCTCGAGTTCAGCGAGCGCTACACCGATGGCACCATCAAGGAGCCGGCGCTCGACGAGTACTTCCTGCACGACCGCGCCGTACGCGAGTCCGGGCACGACACGACGTACCGGTTCGAGAAGCGCTGCGCCAACCTCGGCACGATAGACCTCCAGGCGCTGCTGTATAAGTACGAGGTCGACATCGGAACGGCGATCAGGGAGGTGTTCGACGACGAGCTCGAGCTGGACGAGGACTTCCCTTTGGCGCCGTTCCCGCCGTCGCCCGAGTCGTACGCGAACCCGCATCGAGAAAGCTCCAAGGCCAAGCCGCAGAGCAGCGCGATCTGGTTCGAGAGGGCGGCGTTCCGAAAGAAGGCCATCGACAAGTACTGCTGGAACGAGACGAAGAGCCTGTACTTCGACTACGACACCGTCCAGGAGAAGCAGATTCTATACGAGAGTGTTACGGCGTTCTGGACGCTGTGGGCTGGGTGTGCGAGCGAGGAGCAATGCTGGAAGCTGATGTGCGTGGCGTACTTATACTCCGCGACTGAATTGCCCCACTGACAGCCTCTGCGCAGCTCGAACTCGCTCAAGAAGTTCGAAGTCCTAGGTGGGCTTGTGTCAGGGACGGAGGAGTCCCGCGGAAAGATTTCGCTCGATCGGCCTAACCGCCAGTGGGACTACCCGTGAGTTAGATTTCAGATGTCCTGTGCGCATCATGATGCTGACGCGGTGGCTTTGCACAGCTATGCTTGGTTAGTATTGTCTGTGCCGCGCTGCGGGTAGCTTGTTGAATTGCTTTGCAGGCCCCCTCATCAAATCATGACCTGGGTCGGTCTTGAGAGGTATGGCTACCTCGAGGACGCCCAGAGGTTGGCGTACCGCTGGCTCTACATGTGAGTGTGAAGCGTCAGATTGGGTCCAGACTCTGTCAGCTGATTGCGTATTGAAAAGGATGACGACAGCCTTTGTGGACTTCAATGGCGTAGTCCCGGAGAAGGTGCGTTTGCAATGCGGTCTGAGCGTGACGGCGTGCTGACACGGCTCCGTGGCAGTTTGACGCGGTCAAGCTTTCCCATCTGGTGGATGCCGAGTATGGTAACCAAGGTGTTGACTTCAAGATGGTTCCGAGGGAGGGCTTCGGTTGGATGAATGGTGAGTACTGCCTGTAGGTCCACGGAAGGAGGATGCTGAGCACCCGTGGCAGCCGCCTACCAAGTCGGTCTGTCCTTCCTCTCGACAGGGATGCGTCGTGCAGTGTCCACATGCACCAGCCCAGAAGTGGTCTTCGGCGCGGCTGGCAACCTGCAGCCTGTGAACGCCCCGGTGTACTCGTCCGCGAACACTGATCCGCTCGACCTCGCCATGGAGCACTTGCAGCTCTCCGCACCTCGGGAGGCTGTCACTAGTCCGACGTCAGCCTAATCTATGATGAAATTATGGCCTGCGTACGTACTACCCTAATTCAACGTCCCTCCCAAGGGCATAATCCTTGTCCACGCGTCTACGTTTGTTCTGATCGCTATCCCAGCAGTTTCTTCCTCCTGATCACAAGTCTTGTCCATGTCACTTTTAGATGGTATATAGATCTCAATTCGCTGTGTACAGTACATAACCAAAAGCCAAACGTGCTATCTCAATATCTCATACCAACCATGTACATAGTCCACGCACTCTTTGCCTTATGGGAACAGTTTTCTTGATTTGCCGTGAGGTCCCCTTCAATGCGTAAGGTATCCGTATATATATGTCGAGCGGGCAAGCTGAGCCACCGCAGCAGCCACTACGTCTGGACGATCATCACCTCTGCGACGGCATGCACCTCGATGCTCCTTTCGACGGTCACAGGCTTGCTCGCTCTCTTCTTGCCCTGGATCCATGATGACCTGAAGCCTGTCAGCCCGAAGACGCTGAATTTTCAGTTACGCCATTACCATGCAGTATCCTCGGAAGCTAAAGTGGTCTTCCATGATGCGCGTCCGTCCCAGAGTCTCGTAGCTCCTCCTCCGGAATACGCTCTTCGTAGCAGAACAATCAAGACTCGCCGCCCTGTGTCTCTCTCTGCGTTTGCTGAAGCGCGTACACGATCAATCAGGTTCGCCCAGAGTGCGTTGCTCGACTGGGACGAAGATGAAGTTCTGGGGCCCGACGTTGAGAGCCGCGAAACTCTTCTGGAGCTCGCAAAGATGACGAACAACGCCTACTTGGAGCCGGGAGAAACAGGCTGGTACGAGCTGGGAGGCGGCTGGAATGTTGTGAGTTCACGGTTGCGTTCCGAGCTGGCTGACGTTCGCCTCACGCGACTCTCTGAAGAGCTACCCAGTAGGCTGGGAGCCTGATGCAGATGGATTCCGTGGGCATGTCTTCGCGACTCCAGACAACTCGACCGTGGTCCTGTCCATCAAGGGGACGTCCGCTGGATACGTAGGTGGAGGCGGGCCGACGTCGAAGAAGGACAAGTTCAACGACAACCTGTTGTTCAGCTGCTGCTGCGCCCATGTCGACTGGACGTGGACCACCGTGTGCGATTGCTACCGCGGGGGCTGGAAGTGCGAGCAGAATTGCTTAGAGCAGTCACTAATCGAGGAGAGCTTATTCTACTCAATTGGAACTGTGAGCTTGTCTGCTACCACATGTACGCGTCAACACTCAGCTCGCTCCGTCACAGAATCTGTATTACAATCTGACGTATATGTACCCCGAATCCAACATCTGGCTCATTGGACATTCGCTGGGAGGGTCCCTTGCGTCTCTCCTGGGAGTGACGTTTGGTGCACCTGTTGTTGCGATAGAAGCGCCCGGGGAGAAGATGGCGGCCAGACGTCTGCATTTGCCTTCGCCGGTTAGTGGCATCCCGCTTCACTGGCCCGGGGCTCACCTAGGTTGCTACCAGCTTGAAGTCCAACACATTACGCACGTGTACCATACAGCAGACCCAATCGCAATGGGCACCTGCAATGGCGTCCTGTCGTCGTGCGCACTAGGCGGATATGCTATGGAAAGCCGGTGAGTTGCTGAAAGATATCACGTCCTCTTGCTCCGTTGACAATGTATCGGAAGCTGTCATCTCGGTCGCTCGATCATATACGACACAGTATCGCAATTTTCATGGTCGGTAAACATACGGACACATGGAATCGTAAACGTCATAGAGAATCTGTTATCCCAGCCTTGGCCTCCAAGCGAAGAGGTAGGCAGAGAGGTGCCGGAGGCTATTGTCGAAGACGACTGTGTGGTATGTGCCAGTTGATGCTTTCGACATGACATGGATCTGATGGCCTGCACAATCCACAGGAATGCTTTAGCTGGGACTTCGGCGACTACCCTGCCCTCGAAGAAGCTTCGGTCTCGACGCGTGATCTACACGGTCAGTAGCTCACACTGTGTACCAACCTCATTATACCAATAAGGCCACGATTGATATATCCATCCACTGCTGGACTTCGATGTCCCGCGGAAAGCAAGCAGACAGTAGCGCGGTGGCCGCTGCATTTACAGTAATGTATAGCACGAGCACGACAGTTATGATGGGTGCATGATTACAAACATAGTACTGGCGACGTAAGGTACGTGAGCAATGCATGAACAATGTCTATGCCATGGTGCAAGTCGTCTAATGTATGAAGAGATCCTTCGTGCAGATGGCATTAAGTTTTCACCGCAAAGCGGGACCGTTGTCTCAACCTGTGACCGATCCGGTAGTAGACGAATCTGCAGAATGCCATCAGCCAACTAGCTCGACCTGAGAGTAAGGTGCAAACTTACGGCAGAGGTGCCATGAGCGTCGTCAAACCGGCGAGCAATGCAGTAGCCCCCACAGTGCCGAGGCGATCGTACATCTGCCCAGCAAACAGAGGGAAGACCGCCGCGAACGTGCTCCGCAGCGCGCTGTTGCTCGCCATGGCACTCGCAGCGATCGGGCGGTACGCGACGACGAGGTACGTGAAGACGGACGTGAAGATGAAGACGATGCCTGCGCCGAAGGGGACGGAGGCGATGATCGGCACGATCCAGGGCACGCCGGGATACGTCGTAAACGCCAGCCAGAAGAGACCGATGGGCGCGAGGATGCCACCGACTTGACCCACGATGAGGCCGGTCTCAGGGGGTGGGTGGCCATTGTGCTTTTCGCGCATCCGCGCGTTGAAGCTATGACGGATGAGTAAACTGGCAATTGAAGGCGTGGATGTCTGGCGACATACCGATTCCAGAGCGGCTGGCATGCCACAGCTATGACCATGCCAACACCGATGCCTATGAAAGACAAGCCAGTTTCTTGCATGGAAAACCCGTGGTTGCCCTCAAAGATGATCGGGAACGCTTGGAACGCGAGGTAGAGGATACCCAGCAATAATGCCGTCCTATGGACCTGTCAGCATGACATGCAGAAGACTGGCAGAAAATGTATGTATGTACCAGACATCTAGAAGCAAAGCCATCCTGTCGTAGAGAATAAGCTCTATGGAACTTGTCAGTCAAGGTCCAAACGCAGTTCATCGTGGTGACTTACGAAATGGAACATAGATGCTCTCGAGGATAGAGCGGCTAAGGGACTTCTCGCGTCTGTCGAGGGGGGCCCAGTATCTGTCGTCCCCTGACGTCTTCCGGAGTCTGATAGACGATCATGAGCATAACTTTCAAGACACAAAAGAAAAACACACTTCACTGCCTTTGCCTTCAGAAGAACTGGTTCATAAGTTTCAGGAACAATCTAACTGCACATTCAGCGCCGTGCCTGCTCCAAAGGGACGACGCACGTACCACGATGAGTAGGCTCAGCATCGCGAACTGCCAGATGAGGAGGACGCGATATACCCAGCGCCAGTTGGCATTCTGTGCCGGTGCTTTAGCAGGAGGGAGTATGCAAATGAGGTGCAGACATACTTGACAGATGAACCTGGGGAGAACAAAAGGTAGATGTCAGAATTGCAAGCGTACAAAGGACTGCGTCGACGTACCCAGAGACGATGGGGCCGATTACGGGCCCCAAGAACGGCGAGATCGTATACACGGCCATAGGTCTTGTAAACATTGGTCAAATGATGCGTAATCGATCAACAGAAAAGATCACTCACGAAGCAACCTTCCTATTCTCAAACAGGTCGCTGACACTTCCTCCAGCTACGGACAGGAAGGCGGAGCTGCAGAAGCCGGTGATAAACCGGAAGACCAGAAAGGTGGCTAGTGATAGACCCAATATTAGCACTTTGCCATGCCCTGGTCAATGAAGCACGCACCGATGTTTGGAGGAAAGGCTACTGGCCATGTGAACACAAAGAAGAGAAAGTACGAGACACGGTATATGATGTTCCGACCGTACACTTCCGAGAGTGGGCCTGTAATCAAAGGCCCCAACCCTGTAGAGGCATGAATCAATCATGAGGAGCCGAATGACTATGCTCGAACCAACTCACCCAGTCCCTCGACGAATAGACTTATGCTCAGAATCCCGACTTCACGGACAACGTGTAGGTCCCGCGCGATCCCTTCCTCCGTGAAGCTTGCCTATGCATCGAACGGTGTTAAGGACGTCATACACGTTGATCAAGATCGGAAACATACACATGAAGAAGCAAATGCTGTGCAGAGTGCTGAGGTGCTAATCACAATGATGATGATCCATTTCCGTAGGGGCGGTAGTTGTTTCGGATCGTCCGAGGCGTCCAGCTCGACCCGGAAGGCATCCTGGAACTTGGATTTGTCGCTGCCCACTACCGTCTTCGTGGATGGATGTACGCTCGGGGTCTTCTCTGCGCCGGCGAGCTGTCGCTTCTCCGCGTCCACAGGGAGAGTTTGCTGGTGCTGCTTCTCTGCATCAACGGTCAAAGACTCAGACATCTTTGAATCCATGCAGAAGGGAGCGAAACGACCTGAGGAACACACGCCTGTAAGGAGCACGAGTGGGGACGCTTTCAAGCTCGCTACTGCTCCATTCGGGATTTATACGAGTGTTGCTTGTATGGCCTCGGGACGTAGCCTGAGAATGTTTATCAGCCACTTGGCCATCGTGGTTCGGAACAGGGTTGCCGCTCGCAGTTCATCATCCTCGATATTGGATCTGAGTAACATCTTGGTAAACTCTGAGTAACCGTGCAATGCGATCCCGTCGCTCCGTTTCGCATGTCTGGAACCCCCTGCCCTCCCAAATCTTCGTCCCTCAAGTCATCGTGCACTTATGTTACAATGCGACCTGCATAATACGTGCTCGGACAGGAGCCCCAAACCGACTGCCAGTGCAGCTGACATCGACGGCGGCAGCCAGTACTAGTCTGGGCGTCTCACCCGGAACAAAGGCCGTCTACCCTAGTATGCGCGCGTTTGCACCATCCAGAAGACACTGAGAGACTGCCGTGTCTCCAAAATATTCGAATCATACTTACCGACAGCGCAGCAAGATACTTTGTAGCATCACCGACTTGCTCAGACTCGAAAGACGTACGCAGCGCTTGAAGCTTGAATACCTCAACTTCCATGCACATGCATCATGCCAATAACCCACATCTGTCCCGTCCCAAACCCACTTCGCCAGAACGTTGATCCAAGCTGAATCGTCCGCACCCGTCAGCATCGTAGAGGCCTTTCCTGCAGTAGTCCTTGATCCCCAAACACGGTTAGACGACGCAGAGGGCCATCCGGTGTCAACGGAACTTGAAGTGGGTGTCGAGCAGCCTTCCATACTGCCATTTGGTTGCCGGCCGGACCACATGTACTTAAGTAGATACCCTCGCATTGAGGGCCATCAACTTTAGGGGACCATAAAGACTAGCTGTACGCATTACTCTCGTCCAAGCAGGAAGGAGGCCTAGGACGCCTCTCGCCACTCAATTCGACTTTCCGAGACCTGCTAGTGGGATCCCATAAGTATCTGTGTTCATCTGCGCGTCATGTCCAAGCCATCAATATGACAGGGACGTCAAGTAATAATATCACCGCCTTTTGAGAGCACTCGGTTGAGAGCCATCGACGTGAGACGATGCACAACCACAGGCTGTCCACTGGCACAGCACGACGCCAAGTCATCAGGCATGCTGGCAGCTCCAGAGAATGGGCAGTCAGATATCAGACATGGCGGTCAGGACGGCGTACGCTGTTCAAGAGGAGAAATCCTGCAGCCTTCGGAACGTCCGGATGAGTATGCAACGCTAACGATAGGCGTTGAACAAGCGTACATGAAGGTGCATTTGTACGTTCTCGTTGGACTCCTCAGGCTGTCCCAGTCCAGGATCTTAAGGTCAGTTGTCATGTCTCCAGAGAAATCTCCAGGAACGCTACTGCTGAATGTGCATGCGTAGAAGGGCTTGGTGTCGAGCACCAACTGTCAGATCTTCAGAGGCGATGTCATATAGTTTTGTTCAAGTTGTCGTACGCGCGCCCCGAGGGATGCTTTTTTGGCGCGATAACTCCAAATTGGGTAAGTTCACAACGTCAGCGGAAATTGCGTGCAGCAGCACTGTCCCGACGCTGTCCGACCCGGCGTAGACTATTTCTTCCTCGTCACCGACTACGGTGTACACGCTACAGCACTCGGTGCGCTCATGATTCGTGCGCTGTCTGCCCCGAGGGCGGTGGGGGCACCCTCCGGTCGGGTCGTCGTACGGGTAACACGTCGCGTGAGTACAAGTGCTGTTCGTGCATCCTAGCCAGGCTGATGGCCCGGGCAGCGGTATGCGACGGAACCTCCCACCGCCACGCCGAAGAAAAAGAAGAGCATCGTCCGCCGCCTGCTCTTCTACACGGCAGCAGGAACAGCGACCTTCTACGTCGGCAGCGCGTTCGTCGCGTTCAAGTACCCGCCATACCACGATGTCTTCGTGCAGCAGGTGCCGCTAGGTGCCGCTGTCGTGCAGTATGGCGAAGACAACGACTGGGACACTGTGACGCTCGAGAAGGTCATTACCCTCGGCAAGGGTGTGTACAACTACGTGCAGGGCCTCGTCACCGGGCAAGAACGAGGCGATGTTCTCCAGCGCGCGAAGGATGCTATGGGCAAGACGAAGGAGACGGTTGTGCACAGTGTCGAAGCGTCCACGGAGGCCATCCAGGATGCAGTACAGAACCGAGTGCAGGAGACAAAGGACCGCGTGAAGCAGGCGGCTGAGACGATGAAGACGAGCGTGAAGAAGACCGATGGAGGGATGGCCGAGAAGAGTGCACGGGCAGCGAAGATTGTAAACACCAGGCTGTGGAGTTCTCGGACGGTGTTGAAGACCTCGTACGCAAGGCGGAGGCTGCGCTTGCTGGTCGGGCCGTTGACAAACTGCCTGAGGCGACGCTGCACCTGCGCAGCCACAGCCTGGGGATAACGAAGCAGAGACATCACCCAAGAGCGGCAACGTATACGGGGCACCTTTGCCTATCGGTTTTGAGCCCCCTCCTGGCTACACGCGCCCAGCACCACCGAAGAAAGCACCAACACAGGCTACTCCGGCGAAACCTGCACCTGCACCGCTCCCCCTTGTCGCACCTGCTGTTATGGAGTTCGGAGCGTCGGAACCCGTCATTGCGCAGCTTGCCTCAGTCATTGACAACCTTGCATCCTTCCTGAACACCAATCCATCGGCGGCGGAGAAGGCACGAGACATCCTTGACACCGCCAAGGTCGACTTGACGTCTCTTGCGACGCGGATTGACCAGGTCAAGGCGGAGGAGCGAACAAAACTCGAGGCGAGACTGGACGAGCAAACGCGCGAGTACACGCTGAAGCTCCTCGAGCTTGAGATGGAGGGACAAGACAAGCTTGACAGCCAAGAGCAGGACTTCCGCAAGTTCTTCGACGAGGAGAGGATGAAGTTCGTGCAGGCTTACCGGGAGAAGCTGAACCGTGAGTTGCAAACCCAGAGCGAGATCATCAACGAACGGTAAGTAAACATGTTTGGATCGCACCACGGGCGTCTGTTGACTCCCTATTGCAGTCTCAAGGAGGAAGTCATTGCGCAGGGCATTGAGTTGCAGCGCCGCTGGATCCGCGACATCAAGGTCCGCGTTGAACAAGAGCGTGGCGGGCGTCTCGCCAAGTTGGACGAGCTCGCGACGAACTTGAAGCGTCTCGAGCGCATTGCCCTCGACAACTCCGCCTTCCTTGACGAGAACATCCGCATCCACGCACTGTGGTCCGCTCTCCGCGCGCTTACACACAACGTCGACGCACCCGTCCGCAAACCGTTCCGCGAGGAGCTGCGGGTGCTCCGGCACCTCGCCGCGGCTCGTGAAGACTCTCTGGTCTCGTCGGTACTCGAATCGCTGGAGTCATCAGACGTGCCTGACGTCGGTGTCGAACCATTCGCGGACCTCGCGACTTGGTTCACTACGTCGGTTGCCCCCGCCGTGAGCAGCGTCGCGCTCGTACCTGATCAAGACGCGGGCGTGCTCAGCCATCTCGCATCACATCTCGTCTCGACGTTCACATTCCGCCGGCAAGGACTGGTTCCTGGTGACGACGTTCTCAGCGTGCTGGCAAGAGCGGAATACCATCTCAACGAGAAGGATCTCGACAGCGCTGCCCGGGAGTTGAATCAGCTCAAGGGCCCCGCGAAGGTGCTGCTGTCTGACTGGTTGGATGCCGCACGGAGAAGGCTGGAAGTGCTGCAGGCGCTGGAGGTATGTGACTCGATTGCTCACCGTCGTCGCACGACTCAGGTGGGGGTTGCTGTAGGTTGCACAAGCACAAGCTACACTCGCTTCTCTGCTAGTAGCGCAGGACTAAAATGTGTGCAGTTTGCTAGATCCACTATAATAGACTACGTACAGGACACTGCGATTGTCGGGGGTACAACGCGGGGGACCCAAACTGGTACGTCGTCTGTTATGTTACTCCGCGGCGTGGCCGCGTAGGCGTCCATAAGGGGGGTACATGTCAGTGTAGGCGCGAAGGCAAGCATACAGATGTGGCCTCGGGCTAACTGAGTGTGGCTGACGGCGGTTGACAGCCACCCAAGGTTTGGAGCGTGAGACCCCTGCCAGCGCGTTATCGCGATACGCTTGAGGCTTCTCCCCCGTCTTAGACGCTCCAACAGGCTGTTTATATAGAGTGGGACAGACATGAGAAGTTTTCACCTCCGCTGTTCGCTGGTCAAAGTATGTCGGCAGAGGACCTGGAGACCGACGTGAAGGCGTCCGAGAGGAGTGTAGAGGGCGTTGTAACACCGGTGGCAGATCAGCCGAGTAAAGGCAGCGCTTTAACAACCACGCGTGTGGAACTTTGGGCGTTCTATGTGTACTACATCGTGAGTTTTATGGCCGTCGTAGAGCATCGCGGAGACAGATCCTGATTATATGAACACGATAGGGGAATAACGGCCTGTCTGGGTTCAACTTCGGGCCCTCCCAGTTCCAGAACCTACTCTATTTGGCAGGCTACGATCCGAGCCATGCTCCTTTCACGGTGCCTTGCGGCTCGGATTCAGGCTGTGTGCTTCCGTACCTCGGAGAAGTGCGAGATGGTAGGTACTCTGATTATTTGCAGAGTCTGCATCTCATCGCTTTCTCCTACGATCGCAGTGAATGCTATCGTGCTCCTGACGAACGGGATCAGCTTCGCATTACAAGCCGTCATTCTACTTACCATTGGGGCTTGGGCTGACTACGGCCAGTGGAGGTGCGTCGACTTGATACGCAGCGCTACGTCATCACAGAATTTTATGTTCACAGACCGAACATCACGATATTCTTCACACTACTTGCTGTTGGTGTATCGTTTGCGTGGTTAGGCGTTGAAGACCCGTCCCAGTGGAAAGCCGGAGTCGCATTGTACATCCTTGGACGTGAGTCGTTACTCTTATAGACGGCTCGCACGCTGAGCGCGGTCCAGTCATTGCGTACCAGGTAATTTGTCAATCTTCTGCTGCTCGACTCCTGAAGACGAGCCTCCGCAGTGCGCACTCACATTTTGGACTGCCGCGTTCCCTGGGCTCGCTCGCGATCTTCCCGAGGTCAAAGCATCCACCGAGGAGGCGTCAGACGGCAGGAAATCGTGCGTGTTCACTCCACACATCGCCTTGCAGGCTGATGCGCATGCTTTATACAGATTAGAGGAGCATGCCGACTACGAGTCTCTCGAGCGCAATCGCATCTCTAACGTCTCATTTACCGTATGCTCCGTTGGAGAAATCATCATCCTAGCCGTCATGGTCGGCATCTTGAAGGGGATCCATTCTGATGCGAGCACGGAGAACAACACGAAGGCGTTCAGCGTGCTGATCGCATTTTCAGGCGGTGTCTGGTGTAAGTGGTCACCTCCAGAAACGAATGTTCGATGGCTTTAATTGTTTTGTAGTGCTTTGCGCGCTTCCATGGTTCTTGCTTGAGCAACGTCGCCCAGGTCTAGCGTTGCCACCAGGCACTTCACTGATCACCGTAGGTTTCAAGCAGACATACGCCCTCTTATGCGAATGCTGGAAGCTGAAGCAGACGTTCCTCTATCTTATTTTCTATTTCTTAATGTATGGCTTTTATTTCCGTCTGGCGGCGAATATCACTGAGAAATACCAGGGGAGATGTATTGAATACCACCGTGTACGTGCAACAGCCCAGAGGGTCGATTGTTCCTTTTTTAACTGGCTCGTCAACAGGACCGTCATCGGCACGCTACAAAATAGGTTTGTGGTACCCCTTTTGGTACAATGAATCTGCATTTACGTCTACACAGCGTGGTATCGTACTCGACGCTGCAGTTGACGTACCTCCTCATCGTAGGTATAGTCACGCAAGCTCTGGGAATATAGTTAGTGCCACTGTCCCGACGCAGTGCATCTAGTGGGCTGACATAACTCCACAGCTTGTTCTGGATCGTGCAGAAGCGATTCAACATCTCTACAAAAGCCGTAGGTTTCTTCATCTCACACGCGAACGCACGAGACAAATAACTACCACAGATGCTCTGTTTTAACGTGTTCTGGATCATCGTCAGTCCCATCAGTTGGATCGTGTTTGCTGGGGAATTGACAGGCTGACAGATCCTCACCGTGTGGGGCCTCATTGGCATACACACCGACAAGTTCGGATTCAAGCACGTCTGGGAGATATGGTGAAATCTGCACGCTGGTCCTCACTCAACAACAACTGACACGACTTTACCGAAGGCTCTACCAAGCATATTATGGCCTGATGGTATGTCCATGGTATGCGTATAGCCAAACCTTGATCAGCGAGGTGTCTCCGCTGCCGCAAATGTAAGGACTCTCAAGCTGCTTTAGACAGTCTTACCTCACACCTCGTCTTAGGTTCCTGTTCTTTGCCCTCTTTTCGGTAGTAAGTCACATAGGCTCTTCAAAATTCAGGATTGAACTCATCAAGCGATATAGATAGGGAAGACGTCCGCATTCATAGGCCCTTTTGTATCGTCGGCGATCATCACTGCTTCGGGAAACAACGACAACTACCCGTTCGTTTTCCTCTTCACGCTGTAAGTCAGGTGCATTCATGCTGCCGTTCCTGAGCCTCATACCGCCGTCGAATATAGCGGTTGTGTGAGCACTGTCTTCCTATACTTCGTGGATGTGGGGAAAAGCCGCGTGGAGTGCGAGGCATTTGTAGCAGCCGAGGCAAAACGGGAAGCTTTCAGAGTGGATGGGGGCGCGTCGGAACAGATGGTATGAAGGGCAATGCACTCTTCATGCAGACACACTGCGGATAGCCGAAGGTCGCTCTCGCGTCCATACTAGAACAGCATATTACACCAGAAGGGCACAAGCGAAATGGCAGAGAAAGCTTATTGTATGCTGGAACTACACACGCCACAACATCCTGAGATCGATCGACTCCCGATCACGAAGTGGGCGAGAGAAGTTGTTGCGACTTGTCCGATCCAGATACTTCGAATCGCCACGGTTACTGGATCTACTTCACGAGAGTCCGTCGCAACGCGGCGTGTGTATATCGCTGCCGATTCGAGTCGAGTCGACCCTACCTCGCCCATTCCGTGGCTCCATGTCTGTGTCCTCCAGCAATCCGAACTTCCCTTCAGAGCTGGACATCAAACCTTCAAGCACATCACTGGATGGGAAGTTTGACCACTTGTCAGATGATAGATTTGGTGCGAGGGCACAAGCACAAGCCATAGAGACTTATGGCATAGCCGGGCGCGTCTGGTGGGTCCTAAATCGACTTGATAGCAGTCAGATGGTTCATCGTACATCGGTTGCTACTGCTAGGGAGGCATCGTACGCCATACTGGCATACTTGGATCGTGCTGCAGCCGTGCAAGATGTGCGCGATGTATTAGAACTTGACCCAGCGCCATTCACGGACCCGACGCTCCGAGTCGGGCACTCTGACAGAGCGACCTGCTGCCGCGAACCATTAACCATCCTTGAATTGGGTTCCGGGACTGGGTTGGTGGCAGCACGTATAGGAACCTATCTACAAGAAAGACGCGACGCCTTCGTCGCGACGGACCTCCCAGAGGTCTGTTCGCTCCTCCGGAAGAATCTACGAGACTGCGCCACAGTAGAGGTCCATCCTCTTGCATGGGGTAGCCGTCACGACGCGATGTCTCTTGCGTCCGCCTGGCACTAGGCTCCGCGCGTCGGTTGACTCACATTATATGCAGTGACTTGGTATGTCGACGCCTCTCCCCGTACGCCCACCAATCGTGTCTCTCCAGGTCTACTTCCCGGCCCTCCTCGCTCCGCTATTGCGCACCCTTCTTCACGTCACATCAGAACCCATCATTGTTCCGCCCCAAGAACCACCGTCGGTTATCATCTCATACAAGATTCGTAGCCTCGTGAAGGAGGCCGCGTTCTGGGCTGCATTCGGACTCTGGTTCACGTTCTCACCCGTCCTCGCCAGACGCAAAGCCCCGGCTACAGACAAGCCTGGGGAAGGTCTATGGGACAGGTTCGTTCCCGTTCCTGGCCAGGACGAGACATTCGTGTTCGTCGCGCATCGACGACCGGAATCGAGGACGTGGACTATCCCGGAAAGCGACGAGGATCTGCTCGGAGGGGTTGGCGCGTGGGGAACGTTGGGTCACAAGGGAGACGGTACTTTCGAGACGATGTTGCTGATGTCACTCGACGCAATGGATGGCTGACGAGACGTCAGAATGTAGTCCAATTCTCGAGGCGTGTGATACCTGAAGCACATAGGGTGAGGCTAGTGCACTATCTATGCTGGAATATGACAGGAAGACTGTATGTTGTAATGGAGGCATGAAGCAAAAAACAACGGACATTCATGCTTTGGCATGTCGTATCTTCCACCAAATGACCATGATGGCGAGTGCCCAGTGCTCGAACTGATCTTTCGACATGAAAAGCAAAGCCTGCGACAAGACCGCCTTCGTAATCTGTGCGCCCATGCCCTGCAGGATACAATGAGCGATCATCACAAAACAATGGTATTCGGAAGTCTTACCTGATACCAGCCCAAGATACCTTGGTGGCGATACACTCTTGCAAGAATATCCAGCGCCCCGACGTGCTTGCTATGCGCATGATGGTACGCATGCTTCGGCGGCGTAGGTTGGTGCTCTTCCACAGCTTCTTCGCTATCCGCGCTCCGCGCTTGAATACGGACCTTAGCCATGATGTACGGGTAGGTGACCTATGCACGCTGTCAAGACCTGACTACAGCACATATGGGATAGAATAGGCACGTACGACAGTAGCAAGGGTCTTGCTCAGTGCGCCCACAACGAAGGACGTCCACGGGCTCAGCTTTAGCCCGCCCTTTGCACGTTCCTGCGCGAGGAGGAGCACACTCTTGACGCGCTCATACACGCCATACGTGATGGCCGGGTTCACCGTGAGCACAAGGCCCGGCTTGATCCCGAGCCACAAGCCCGTCACGCCCTCCTCGTCGACGATCTCCTTCGCCACGCCAAAGAACGAGTCGTCGTAGTCCGCCTGTTCCGCCTTCTCCGCGGCCTTCTCGACGTCCGCGCTGACATCTTTCGCCGGATCGGTGACGGCGGCGTACGAGGGTCCGTCGGGCGCGGCCAGGGAGGCGGCGCGGGAGCGCCGTTGGCGGTCGAGCGAACGTCCGACTTGCTGGCGGGTGGCGATCACGGCCACCGGGATGGTAAAAATCTGCGCGAGGGCTCCCGCGATGGCGCCGAGGATTAGCTCGGCCGCTGTCGAGAGCGGTGGGCCTTTGAGCCCGCTGGAAGGCGCGCTGCGAGGCGCTTGATGTACGATGTGCGCACGAAGGAGTAGAAGAAGAAGTAGGCGTATTCTGTATGAGGTTCGTGGGTCAGTATGTTGAACTACGTGAACAACTGTGGGAGTGGTTGGGCGAAGAGGCGATGCGTGCTCGGTAATGACACTGGCTGTCACTCGCAACTCTGCATGGAGCTACAAATGAATTATCGCGGCACACCGATGTAACTGAGACGATAGAGGCATATGCTCCTTTTGGTTTGCTTGGATACACATCACCAAGGGTTTGAGGTCGATGGCGTCACAATGAGAGACAAGCACCGCAAGCGAGATCCGAGAGGTAGCAATCATATCTCGCTTTTGCCTACTGTGTCCTGTGGATGTGATGGTGGCACAAGGCACAGCAGGTAATACAAAACAGACACGCCGACGATTGTACCATGAGGTACGTGCCTTGGTATGACAAGTAAGAATGTCTTGAGTGGTTGCATCACAGTGCGGTGACAGGCGTCGCAGAGCACCACATGCAAACCGACTCTAGGCCATTTTTCAGCTAGGCCGCACTGACTGGTTGTGTCCAATGACTCTGGCAGCCTGATACATTCTCGGAATGTCTCCGATGGACTTATTGGTCCTGTAGCAGTTGCGCATTTATGTGTATGGCAGATTGACGGCGCGGATAGATCGTCCGAGTCGGAACGGCGGCGCTATCGCAGCGTATGTTGACTGGCACTGCAACGGAGCACGCCGCTCTTTCGATGCATGCACAAGTCACAGATGTAAGGAGTATCAAGAGTTGACTTACGCATAGAGAAGGTATTGAGCATGGTAGCTATGAAGCCTCTGTAGTAGCCGGCGATGCCTTCTTCTTTGAGGATGCGCAAGAGGAGGGACTTGATGCTTAGCTTCTCCTTCTCATTCCCCTCTGTCGCCGCCTGGATGCGAGTTTTGACTCTATACAGAGTATAAGGCGGAATCATCGCGCTCGTGACAGAAAAGATACGCACACATCGAGAGGATATACAACGCTAGGCCAATTCAGTCAGTACTTCAGGTATAGATGGTATGCACACTGACGCGTTACTGAAGCACCCGCCCAGTGCTCCTGCCAGAGCATATCCAAACGGCGTCAACTGCGTCGGCTTCGAGGCAGACATGGGCGACCTCGGTCAGAATCTCAGGCAAGAACTTGAGCTATGAAATCGTGCAGGCTCTCCCGTACTTGCGCAGAGTGCTCGACTGTGACGACCCGAGCCTTATCCCAGATTCTTCTTGGTTACAGCCAGTCCCGCAGACGGGGGACGAGACGTAGGTGAGGGTGGAGGCAGAGATGCGGGTGTTCACATCCCCACCAGAGCGTGAGCTGCTCATGAGACACGACCGGGACGCATCGCACGCCCGAAGCCCGAGCGCCACGGCGGCGAGTGCGCTTCCACGTGATTGTTCTTCCCATCCGGTAAGTATGTGGCTCGCCGCGTTTGGCGGTGAACACTTTCAACGTTGAACCAAGTTCAGCAGCGATCCCATATGCACAGTATCGGAGCTCGCTCGTCAGAGCTTGACTGTAGCCACACCCCGCCGAAGGTATCAGGTGGCAGCCGACTATGCTGATTTCTCCGGCCAGGGAGTGATTAATTCCTCACTGGTGAGCACTAATATTCCTCTAGCCTCGACACACCATGGCGCCCCAATCATGGCTCTGGATCATGAAAATTGGTGCTATCCTCAAACATCGAATCGAATGGCCTAGACTGATTGAACTGTTTTGGCTCGGAGGGAAACGCTCAAAGGAAGTCGTGTCATGAACCGTCGCATGCTAGGTACGCACGCCTCCTGGACACAGTGCAGGATGCCTATTTCGGACGGTCTTCCCCTGCCGAGGCATTTGTATCGCATCCTTTGACGTCGGAACCGCCGATGTATCGCGATACCCCGTGGCAAGGTCCGTGCCCACTGTGCGCTCGGTATTTGCCTCAGATTTGCCGAGACGTTGACAGGTTGTCGGTGTCATTGGGCGGCGGATGAGGCTTATACGTGATGCCAGGGATCTATGTTTCGACGGATTGACCATTTTGATTGATCTCAGGGCGAGTGGACGTGTCGACCAAGCCTACCGAGCCTGTCATCCGACGTGAGCTATCCTGCGAGGACATCGCAGTAAAGCCCGGCGACTTGTTGGACAGCGAAACGTCAGCAAGTGAATTGGTCAACGTCAGATCTGCCAACTGATGCCTCGTGCTAAACACACGAGGGCTTTTAATGGTAGAAGCACCACGGTATCCGGAGGAGGTATTGTCTAGCAGTGGAACAGTATATAGCCTGGTTGTTGCAAAGGTGTGTGCGCATTATACTGCTGACAATGATAGGGCGTGCACTAGACGTTCCCTTAGTGGGCAACGTCTCAGCCGATAGCGAACATCCCCCCAGCGCCATGGTGCAAAATCTTCCGAGAAAAATGACGTACGTTCGCGTTGAGCGATCAGTTGGTCATGAGAATTTTCGGTGCCGGACTCACCTTTGATTTCCATTCTCAAGATATCCGAGCGTGTTGTTGTAGTCGGCTTCTTCCGAGTAGGCGTATCCCGGTGGTGCGTGTGAAGGATGGTAATTCCAGGAGCACCAGCGGTCGTAACGGTGAATATTTGCGTAGCCACTGACTCGCTCATTTGTAATTTAGGTACGAACCCCGCGGCATGGGGAGGAAGCAGAGCTAAGGTGTACTGCATTTTTCGGGCGCATCAGCAATCCTGGTTAATCACACATCCAAGGATACGCGCGTCAATGCCGGCGGTGAGACGAACACGTACCCTCAAAGAGAAGCCAGGGCATGCGAAGCTAGGCTTGCTGTCCGACTTCGCGAGGATTTCTCCCCATAAGGCGCGCTTGCCCCTGTCCTGCGCACCAGCGTCCGATGGCCAGAAGTATGCGGTGCCAACTCTCTCCTGGAAACTTGGTCACTGCGCGCACCCACGTCCTCCGACATTGCATGCGGACCAAGCACGCGGGTGCGAATAAGGTGCAGCCTGATGGAAGTCGGTGCACTGAGAAGATCAAGAGCCTGTTCGTCGTCGCTGGTCACCGTTACTGACAGTGGAATTGGCGAGCCACGCGCGCAAGTTAGCTAGCAACAGGCCGGCCTGCGTTACTCACAAGGCGAGTCATACGAACTTCAAACCTTGCGTACCGGTCGTGCGACTGCCAGCTGATTGAGTGGACCTTAGCAGTGGAGCTCACACGCAGAAAGGGTCCGGGTCCTGCTCACCTTGTATTCGACGTCTACCTGTCGACTGTCGAACAACGTGCCGGTGACTTTCGCGGGCGGAGCAATCTGCCAACCTTCCGGATCTCCGTCGGGACCGACAAGTGCAGTTCCATCACGATACGCAGCTAGCCTGAGTCGAGGAGGTGGCTCCGCCCGTGTGACGGGAAGATACACGAACGGGCAGGCAAGGCTGTATATGGTATGTCAGACTGTTCGGAACTCACCCGAGGGCCGCACGGATCGCACATACGTCTGATTAGATTTAAAAAGGCCTCGCCTAACGGTTGCAACGAGCTTGTAGTCGATGTAAGCGGGACTGCCCTTTTCCGAAAAGCTTGGTGGGAGTGGGCATGTTGGCGAGGATGCCTTGACTCTACTTGTACGAGTGATCTCCTCAGGAAGTGTGATCTCGAATGGCCAGCTACTCCGACCAGTGGGCAGCGTGTTTGCTGAAGGATCTTTTCCGCTCCACAGAGTTTGCGACACGTAGAGGAATCTTTCCTCCTCTTGACCGACTGCGGTCAGACCAGCAGTTACCTGTCAGCGCGATGATTGAGATGGGAGAATTTCGAGTTCACTATGGGCGAATGACAAGCGGCCGCGTTGTAGATGAGACGCACCGCAATTGATATCTCCTTTGGCCTCCCCGCTTGTTCGGAGTTAATCTCGACAGTGCCACGGACTGTATCTGCAGTTACGAACAAAGGGCGCTGTTGGGAACTTTTGGCCCGGCTCTCCACGGTGAGCCATAACCACGCATGTCCCTTTCCATTCTCAAGTTGTTCCGTATGTTTGACGGCTTCCGTGCGTTGACTCTCCACGGTGGTATCATTGTACTCGGGTAACAACCCGCAATCTTCATTAGCCTCCATACCGCAACGACAACTGGCGATGCTACACACGCACATCAGCTTGTGTAAGGTATGAGAGGATGCCCACACTCACCGCCCAGCCGATTGGATTGAGGAGACTCAGAGACCGCAGTGGTGACCCTCAGCAAGATAACTGACCACCCTTATCTTCGTCTGCGCCGGGGGCATTCGCCCAAGTCCCAGGAGCAGGTGGGCATGGGACACGGCCCTAAAGCCGATCGGACGCTGCCACGGATCGTCAGTCAAGCAAGTCGCCTGAAGCGCATGCTGTAAGTCCCACACTCGCAGTGCTCCAAGATTGCTAGGCTCTTGACCACAATCAAGATTGTGCTTTCCAGGAACGAGAGCGATGAAGGGAGTGGCACTCAAATCACGATCCGAGCGTGTTTGTCAGGCACCATATGCTTGGCTTTACATCTCAGTTGAGATCAGCGAAGCAACTGCAATAAAGATCATTATAATGACTAGGAATGCAATATGTACTTCAGTATACGTAGGGTCAAGAGCATGATATGTAGGGACTAGATTACTGTTCATTAGTATGTTGTCGATGCTAGGAGGAGTCCTTGACTAGGGGATTAGGGTAGAGTATGACGAGACTACAGCTACACGGGACCGCAGTCGATGCAGTCAGAATGGCGAACGAAACAACATGGACAGCAAGAAAACGGAGAGCGAGGGAACGGATGACCAAACCAAGCGGGCTGGGGTTATTGTTACAGCCGGCGCAGACCAAAATTATTTCTGCGATGCTCTGGACGGGAACTCAGGTCTGGTGGCGCGCAAGCAGCAAACCGACTTACACAGGAACATATGAACACGCAATGCCGCGTTTGTTACAGTTGGCACAGATTGGTCGGCCATCGCACTTCATCTTGCGACCTGGCGGGGTCAGGGTAGTGAATAATCAAAAGACAGCGATCATTCACAACAACATACCTCGACAAAACTGGCATGCCATAGGCGTCCGGCGCGGCGTACGAGGGGAGTAGGATTCTCCCTCGGAGTCGTCACTGCGTTCGCCCCTACGAGACTGCAGAACGAGCTTACTACGAGTGATCCGATCCTCTAACCGAATATAGCGCACCTGATCGCGTTCGGACATGGTCTATCCAGAAGTAATGGGAAAATAGGTGAAGGAATGTTCCGGTTTAGAGTAGTTAGTTATGAGGCGGGGCTTGACGCAGGCCGCACCGCGAGCCGGTCTTTTATACGACGCCATTGCCAATTTCGTTTCGATCGACCGCGAAGAGTGGTGGGGTGCCCGCCACGTTTCTATGTAACCATCTCGGCACCGCGAACCCCAGCAGCAACGCCGCGACCTTGGGACGCCAAAGAAAGACTGACAATTGTCACCGAGTCCAGACGCGTTTCAGCTGCGCCCATTCATAGCAGATAGCGCCCAGAAGGGCAAGGTGCCAACCGACTCATTTGACTAACACGGCGTGAAGAAGTCATGAACTCACGAGTACTACAGGGTCGCGACACTAACCTTTTCCAGTATCCCTCTGCAGCCCTCCCGATTTGCCGGAAAGCCACGAGCTGGCGTAAACGGGAGATCTGCTCCGCTGAGATTGCCGGCTACGTTCCGCCGACCCACAAAGGTTCCAGTCATTGGCAAATGATCCTCTAACCTGCGAACTATTCTAATTCCAAACGCCGGCGAAAATGCCTAGCGAAGGCCTCGAAACTCTGCTAACACCGCCTCACATTATTATGGAATACGGGGATGTCGTCATGTAACTGCGACACTGTACCCGGAGTGCGGTGAGCTGCAAGCAACCTGCAAGCCGTTTGAGCCCCCGGAGCCCGCTTGCGGTCGTCACCTGGATACGTCTGTCGCTGTGTCCGCCGACTTGATTGTGAAACGCAGGAGAAAACAGCTAGTCCGAACTTCTCGCAAGATGCATGACGCAGACAAAACCGCGACGGCAAGCGTTAGGGTATAATCTGAGATTAGCTGTCACTTGAAGGCCCGCGAAACAGCCCAGAAGCAGGTCTAGGGAGGCGAATACATACCTTCGGCTACCCGCGGCCTCTCGGCATCCAAGCTGTGCAAGAGCGCCGACGGCGGGAGAACCCTTATCAAATCGGTATGATCTGTGGCACCCGGGTGGGCGGTGCAACCGGTGTTCGCGAGTCGCGACCAAACCGAGAGTGCGCGCGGCACGTAGCGTCGGGACTGCCATGCCCGCCGCACGCCGTGTCAGAAAGACAGCAACAGGACGCAGGACGAACCACAGGCTGCGCCATACACGTGGAATCCAGACACGAGAATGCGCATGGAGACCATATGTTGCCAGGAGGGATGGCATCTCCTCGGACATTGTTGATAACCAGCACATGGAGGGCTCGGGCTCGCCTCAACAGTACAAATGCATGACATAATGGCAAAGTCAGTAAAGCGTCGCGGTGTCGCAGCAACCCTCAATGGAGCACGGGGGAGAGGACGCACGATTCTCGGTGACCCAGTCCGTTCACTTGACGGAGTGAGACTACTGGAGACTACGCCGTCGCCACTAGCCATCAATGCAGGCTCTAGGCAGGTTATGTCCTGGTGAGTCAGGTCAGCCCCCAAGCCAGGCCTTGTTTGGCGAGTTAGGTTCGAATGACAGAACGCGCATGAATCGGATGAACCAACTGTATAATATTACATATGTGCAAGTGTTCATTTGAGCCCGTACTCACCCGCGGAGCACAGTCGAAACCGAGATCCGTTCCCAAACCAGAGAGTACAGATCGTTGGCTAGCTCGTGAGCGGTCTAGGTGCAAGGGCTTACCGAGTCAGTCGTCAACCAGATATTACTGAGATCAGAGTTGCATGACACTCGTTGTCATCCGCAGCCGTCACGAAGTACGTATCGGATTGCCCGGTGCCCAATTGAAATGCTTACCGCATCGTGAACGGACGTCTCCAGCCTGAGCGATTACCGCAATCTTCCGCGTTAGAGTTCAACACGTACCCCAAGTATAGCCAACTATCCACACAACAACGGCAAAAGCCAGGCCCATCCTTTCCAGAATGAGACTCGCCCTGTCCACACAAGTCCAAGTCCGGCCGCACCGGCATGCCATGATCCAGTAGACCGCGGAAACAGAACGCGCCCGGCTCCCGCGAGCGCGAGGGCAGTGGCAACTGTCAAATGTGATCGGGATGAGCTAGATTTGCTCCGGAGCAATAAGCTTGCCGCATCATGCATACCTCCGACAGATAGAAGGGCCGCCGTCGTACGCCACCTATACAGTGCGCATCGCTCAAGCTAGTAGCTATGACCTGCGCGAGTTAGAGCGCGAAATGTGTCCTTTCAAATGTCATAAGAACGGGACGAGAGCGTTCCTGTCATGTCATGAACGCCTGCGTAGAAGTGATTGTATCACCATATCAATGATCTGCGTCCCGCAGCCGTGTACCCCTCAAATACACGGCCATAGTACTTCTGCCAACACCCTTGATACTCAAGGGTAGACGAAGGCATAGACTGCGGGAGAAGTGCGAAACAGTAGGGAGTATCTCTGACACATACTGCATCATCGTCATCCTGTCGTAAATCACCGGCATGGAACGGGACCGGGACAGCTTCGCATTCAGACGGGAGCAGCGGAGACAGCACTCGGCTCCCTACGATGGTCCCAGAGCTTGACTCCCACAAGACGGCGCAGCTGGATCGCTCTGGAGGAAAGAACTATGAAGTACGACAGCATCCTTGCGCGAGCTTTGCGCACCTACTTCAACATGATAGTCCGCTCCGGCGATTTCGTTTCGGGAGGCGGGTGCCAGTCCAGGCCACAGCCGTACTCCTGGGAAAGCTTTTGACCGCAATATTTCCTTCCTGTGAAGCAGATAAGGGTCCTTCAGATGTGAGTGGGGACGGCAGTAAACATTTGAGGGCACTGGTAGAATAGAGGAACTCAGCAAGTTGGAACTTGAACGCGAGCAGCGGGCAAACGGCCGTGACAGGCGCGTGACAGTCACGTACAGTACGCGGCATGATCACGAGATGGGTCACGTCTGAACGGCGCGTCGCGTCGAACTCGTCGTGTTGGCGTCGCGTCCCTCTTGTCCAGCACGTTGCCGGTGATTCTACTCATCCTGCTGCTATAGTCGGCCGGCTTTATACCTGCTGAAATACCTCTACCTCTAACGGACTATCATGGCATTCTCTGGCGGGTGAGGAAGAGTTGCTTTGAGCTCCAGCATCATGATCGACTGAGCCACAGCCGCATGCAGCTCCTCAATCTTTGGTGCAAAGCCAGCTAATCAGACTGGATTCGGGCAACCCAATACATCAAATACTCAAGGATCCTTGTTTGGTAATGCCAACGCCAACCCACAGCCGCAAACGCAGAATATAGGCCTGTTTGGCTCGCAGCCCCAGACGCAGAACCAAGCTCCTGCAGCAGGGAACTCTCTCTTTGGGACGCCACTAGGCCAGAACCCAAACCAGCAGCAGGGACAGAACCAACCTGCACAGGGCACGTCCTTGTTTGGAAGTGGCAACTTTGGGCAGGCGCAGCAACCAGCGCAACAAGGGGGTCAGTCGACGGGGCTGTTCGGGCAGACGAATACACAGCAGCAAGCACCGTCCATCGGTCTGTTCGGACAATCAAATACGAACACAGCGCAGCCAGCGCCTTCAGGAGGCATGTTCGGACAGCCGAACGCGAATCCTCAGCAGCAAGCTCCGTCGGGAGGCCTCTTCGGACAACCTTCAACGAATACACAGCAGGGTAGCACGCTGGGTTCGTCCCTATTCGGCAACACTCAGAATCAGCAGAACAACCAACCTCAACAACAACAAAGCTCCTTTCTCGGCGGCTTTGGTTCAAGTACCACTGGCCCGACGCTAGGTCAATCGACAGGACTGGGTGCGTTCGGCGGTACGAAACCTGGTGGTGGCTTTAGTGCATCTACATTAGGTACATTTACTTTGATTACGAATACGCCAGCTGAAAACTCACTGTCTTCGAAACTGGCTGCTAAAGGAACGTAAGTCCCGAGCGTCACTCGCCTTGGCTTCCGTCCGCCACGAGACTATTGATGACCTCCGCCTTTGCAGATCTTTGTCAACAGCTCAGGCACCTGGCCAGCCTCCTTTTACGAAATCAACGAAGTTTAACGACTTGCCTGATAACGTAAAGAGAACATTCGAACAAATTGAGTAAGTGTCTATTCGTCCCTCAAATAACGACAATCTTGAACGTCCTCTGCAGTACGTTCATACAGGGTCGGGTGCAGATCAGCAATGACTTGAAGCAACGGAAGCTGGGCGAGGAGACCACGAAGGGCCAGGACGATGTTCGCGCGGTGCACAAAGTGAGTGACTCAGTATGTCTATCGCCACACTCGTCTGAGTGATATCACATAGGAACTCGTTAATGCTATCACGACTCTCCATTCCGACGTCATGCACATGCGAGACTTGAAGGCGAAGGTGAATCAAACCGTGCAGGATACCATCGTCGCAACACACCTCGTCGATGGCTTCCGCAATCCGCAACAATACGGCGCCTACCTGAAGAGCCACGCGAACTTCCCAATGGAGTGCGTGTTCGTTCTTGTTTCAGCATTGATACTCAACGTCGCGTTGTAGATTCTTCATGCGTGTGACAGAACAGATGGTCGAACGCCTGCGTGGTACAAATCAACCATTGAGGTATGTCTCCGGTCTCCGGGCGAACGCTTGCGTAATATAACACCGCCCTAGCAAATTGAGCGGAAACTGTCGTCTGCCGCCGCGCAATCACAACAGACCCCACAGTGTACGTACCTCGGCGTCTCCCTCTTCGTCGGCAATACTGAGGCTGCGTGCCTTCCAGCTATCACCTCTACGCTAGAGGTGCAGCATGCAACATTCATCGCTCTCGCCAGCAAGACGGCAGCCCTGAACACGGAGCTGCAGAAGATAAGATGCTCTACACCCAGTTGTGGCGCGCGAAGACGGGCAGCATGCGTGATCCGTTCAATGAGCTCGACAGAGGTAGCACCGCCGACTTCGGGTTGGAGAGCATCCACGCGTGAGATTGGATTGAATTGGGAGGCGGCTTCCGCAGTATTGTATTGGTATTCACGAGCACTCCTCGAGGATTTCTCACTCTGCCCGGACTCCCGCAGTGACTCCAGTCATAGTGCGGCACAGATCTCCTGCAATGTTGAGGTCTCTCGGACGCCGGTGTTCGCGGATCAGACCTTGGAATATCGATTGGACCGAGAACAGACGCATCGTTCAAACGCGGAGCCCCACTGGCAGTCGCCCGTCCTTGTCGGAGATACTTATTACATACCGATGCCCAGCATATGCAAGTCTTACTTGAACATTCCAAGAGTGGGGGACACTATGCAAGTGATTGCCTCTGTCCGAACGACAACATATATCGACGATCCGGAAACACCAATGCGGTCAGTGCGCTACACTGACCGCCGCCCGATGTCGGGTTTTCTATCGCACGATGCCCGAGTAAGTATCTACATCACCAATGAGACGCACGGTGCCTGAGACGATGCGAGCCTGGACAATAGGCGCTATCTTGGCTTGGATCTGGCAAATATGGCGTCCTTGGCTGGATCAGGAATTATTCCCCATGACATTGTCCCGGGGTGCGGTAGTCGAACGAAAGGGGATCTAGGAGCACATTCAACGAAAGACTCAGGCTCTCGTTCGCAATGTGCGTCCGTCTGCTTGCTACGGTATACAGGCGATGCCTGAACAGGTGTCAGTCACACTACAAGTTGTGAATGATGTATTTTTGAGCCATCACATGGCGCGAACAAGGCGCGTATCCAACGCGTATCTGGCGTTCCGTAACCCGCTGTGAGATACATCAGTCAATGGCCAGTATATATAGGCGCATGGCAATAGCATGACCCTTACCCGGGCCTCTCTGCTCAGACTCGCCAGGATGAAGTCGATGGGACTGTTCTTCGGGCTCCTCGCCGCCGCCGGTGTTGCCGCTGCGCCGGGCAAGGACTACGAACACAAGGTCAAGGAAACCATCGCACCTCCCAGGGGATGGACCAGAGTCAAGCCGGCTCCTGCCGATCACTTCCTCGACCTTCGTATTGGTCTGCCGCAGCGCAACTTCCCGCTGCTTGAGCAACACCTGTATGAGATTAGGTTCGTAGCCAGGCTATGACAGTAAAGGCTAGTAGCTGAATCAACGACCATCGGCCGGTGCTCATCAGCGATCCCTTCCATGAGCGCTACGGTGCTCACCTCTCGAAAGCGGAGTCGAGGCTCTGGTTGCGCCTCACGAAGAGAGTGTAGACGCAGTCACGAATGGCTCGCAAGCTATGGTTTTGCATCGCACGAACTGTCCGCTCGCCTGCTGGTGACTGGGTCAAGGTCCGAGTCCCGGTTAGCCTTGCGGAGGACATGCTGGAGACGGTGAACTTGGTCGCGTCCTCTTATATGTTCGCTGACAGGAATACGTGTACAGGAATATCACGTCTGGCAACACGAAGAGAGCGGGGATGCTGTCGTCCGCACGACGTCTTACAGCCTGCCTGAGCACCTGCACGTGCACATCGACGTTGTCCAGCCCACGACGACATTCGCTCGCATGAAGGGCATGAGGGCGACTTACCGCTTCGCAGACGAGGACGTGCAGGTCGCCGACACTGCAGAGTCTACCATCCCGATCCCTTCGGCTTACAATGGGCAGGTCAACGCGAGCTGCAATGCGTCGATCACGCCTACTTGTCTCCGCGAGCTCTACAACATCGGCGACTACACTCCCCAGGCCGCTGACGTGAACAAGATTGCTTGTACCGGCTATCTCGAGGAGTACGCTAACTTCGAGGACTACAATGACTTCAACGCCAAGTACCTCCCGGAGGCCATCAACTCGACGTTCGACGTCATCTACATTAACAGTCAGTACTCACGATTCACTACATGCGTCAACACTGATACTGTTCATCCACAGACGGAAGTAACGATCAGAGCCTTGACGATGCGGGCGTCGAGGCGAACCTCGGTACGGCTCTCTGGCAGCCGTAGTGAATCTGGTCATCTCACTATCAAGCCGCTTGATTATTAGACACCCAGTATGCCTTCGGTCTGTCATACCCGACGCCGGGTACATTCTACACTACGGGTGGAAGCCCTCCCTTCATCCCGGACGACATCACGACCACCGACTCTAACGAACCATATATAGACGTACGCTCTACCATTGGACTTGAGACGATGTACCTTCAGTGATGGCTCTTCTCCAGTGGCTCGCCTACATACAAAGTGATCCTAGTCCGCCGCAGACAATCTCCACTAGCTACGGCGATAACGAGCAGACTGGTAAATATCGACGGAACTCTGCTGGGATGTTTTTGCTGAGGCTGCTGTCTAGTTCCATACAGCTATGCGACGCGTGTCTGCCAAGAATTTGCTCAGCTGAGTATGTCGGATACAGTGTGGCCGATGAACGTCGCGTTTAACTGATCCTTTGTAGGTGCTCGTGGTGTCTCGCTCATATTCAGCTCCGGTGACGACGGCGTCGGCGACGGGGACTCAAATCCGGCCACTCAGCAGTGCTTCACGAACAACGGCCTTAACAAGACGGAGTTCGTTCCGGCGTTCCCTGCCAGTTGTCCATAGTGCGTACGGCGCGTGCATACAACGATCCTGGAACTGATGCTATATGACCGCCAGCGTCACTGCCGTAGGCGCGACTTGGTACATCCCGGAAGAGACGTACCGCATCTCGGGTGGCGGTTTCAGCAACTACGTAAGCCAATCCCCGGGTTGCGTATGCCTAGCTGAAGTTATCACTCGTATAGTTCCCCCGGCCCTTGTACCAGGATGTGGCTGTTCCCCCTTACCTGAAGAACCTGGGGGACACCTACAAGGGTCTCTATAACACGTAAGCCCACGATTCCCTCTTCCGCTGAGAACGACGGCTCACAATTTGTCCGCTAGTTCTGGCCGTGTAAGTCTTGCCATGCTCCGTACTACCCACTTGTCCCAGTGACCTGACCAATTCCCGTACAGGCCTACCCTGACGTCGCGGCGCAAGGCCAGTGGTTTTGGATCTTCAGCGGTGGCGAAAACTTCCGCATCGGCGGTACCTCAGCCGCGGCGCCCACCGTCGGCGGCATCGTGTCGCTCATCAACGACGCTCGCCTCGCGAAGGGCCTCCCCACGCTCGGCTTCCTGAACCCGCTCATCTACGCGATCGGCGCGATTGTCCCGGATGCGTTCAATGACATCGTCGGGGGGAGCAACCCTGGCTGTGGTACTGAAGGCTTCACCGTACGTCACCATCGGGTTCTTCACGAAGCATATTTCTGACCTGCTCGTAGGCTGAGGTCGGCTGGGACCCCGTCACTGGCTTCGGCACGCCGAACTTTGGCAAGCTGAAGGACATTGCTGTCGGCGACATTGGCGGTCTTCTAGATTTTTAGAGACGAGAAACTAACACCTGCACATAAACTATGTTCATCGTATATACACTTGGTTCACTTAATCAAACGGACCTAGGGGTACGTGGGACCGCGCACGTAGTACACAGTATATGGACCATAGACGCATGTACACTGCTTATTGTGCACAAGCAACAGTGCAATGTGATGCAAAGTGCTAATACCAAGGCCCCCAGTACGTGAGGGCCACTCCCTAGAATGCCATCACGTACGAATGGACGAATGAACGCCAGACACCATAAACGCTTTCACAAATCAGCGTAAGAGCACATCACATACAACAAGCCATACCGTATCTCCATAGGAAAGAGCATCATGCACCAACTTCCGTCTGAAGGGTGATTATCGTAGGCGCAGGCTGTGGTCGAGGAGCCGGGGGCGCGCCGACTGGGAGCGGTGTGCGTGTCCAGTCCGGCAGGACATTCCTCGGTGACCGTGAGGTATCGACGATGCCCTCCATACCGTCATCTTCGCCTTCCGGTTGGACGTCCGCCTCGTCCCATCGCTCTCTCGCCACCTCGACACCACCAGTCTTCAGAGCCCTATATTGCATGTCGGTCAGTACAGCAGCGACTCACACGTTAAAAAGACAGACCCGGCCAGGGATCCTCCGACCCATGCCATCGTAGCTGGTGTAAAGGCAGGCGCCCTGCCAGCGTTCGTGACGAAACTCGTGGACGTCGGCGGTGGCGGAGATGGATTGTTCAAGATAGCGAAGTACGGGAGCAGTGGACGGAGCGGGGCATAGCGGTCGTATGGATCGGGTCGGGGTCGCCCAGGGCGGCTTGGAGGGCGGGTAGACGTTGGCGCGGACGAATTTATTGCGCGGACGAGCTCCGCTTGGAGACGAGGGATGAACCCTGGTAGCATGGGTGTGCCTCCAACGACCAGGATGGTGGATGCAAGCGTCTTGCGGAGATCGACGGGCACCTATGAGAGTATAGGTTAGTCAAGCAGACTTTCAGCTCGGAGGGGTATCACCTTCAAGAGAGAATCAAGGATGACCTCCGCCATACTGCTCTCGTCGACGTCACCACCCTCAAAGAGCACTTCCGCCCCACGTTCCCTGATCCAGCCTGGTATGATGAGTGTGCCTTTGCCTGTGCCTACTTGCTGGTCCTTAGGCGGGTCAACTTGCATGTGCAAGTCCGTCGCCGTAGAATGCCGCTTATACATCTCCGCAAGGGCCTGCAAATGCGTCTCTCCAGGACGCGGGCCGTCTGGATGAACTTGCGACCGAGAGACCACCGAAAACCCCGAGGATGCCGCGTAGTTACTGTCCATCTCCGACGCAGAGACACGAGAGAACTCGGACTCAGACATCGAGGCGGGGTCGCTGGAAGGGGGAAGGTCGTGTTCGAACGAGTCGTCGCCTGAGGGCGACATGACCCGCCCGGCACCGCCGTCAGAGAAATCCAGGGACTCGCCGACCAGACAACAGCGCGTCTTTATCTCCTCTATGATCGCACCGGTGAGCACTTCCTCGGGCACGCGCATAGAGCGGGTAGCGGCAGGTATGTTAGCGGCGCCGCTTAGAGAGGTCAACGGTGGAATGTAAGTGCCAAACAGTAGAAGCAGTGCTCGGATGTGTGATGACAAGCGCATGCCTGCCAGAGGAGTTGTTCGCAGATGAGGAAACAATGGTCTGGAGGAAAATATCTGCGCGGGACAAAGGTCCGAGCCTGGAGGGGTAACATAGCAGACACACTCACTGGAAGGACGGTAGACTCAAGGTGGCCACAATCGAGGACAAGACCTGTGATCCTGCCTGCTGCAAGTAGCGAGAGGAGATGACTTGAAGCAAACGAGATAGACGGAACCTGACACCGTCATGAACTGTGCATCATACTGAGATTTTCAGTCTTACCTGCAGATTATCGAATAGTATTCGAGCAATGATGTCTTTGATGTGCAGCGGTAGCAGTGGATGCTCCACCAATATCACTTTGCGCGACTTAGGGTCGGTCATGAGTGAGCTTTGCCACTGCTTCAGTACACGAGAAATAGTTCAGTCACGATGGACACGCACTCGTGGAACACGGCGCGTAGCCGGTCCTGCAATCTTGCTTCAAGCATCTTGTCCTCGCCTTCCCGTTCGGCAGGTTTGGTGGCACGGTTGAGAGTCCAAAGCGAGGAACCATGCTCCTCAGCAGTGAAGACGTCCCTCGGTTTGCCCTCTCCACTGAATCCCACCTTCCAAAGGCGCGACCCAGGATCAATAACTATCCTGTCTTCGGTTCCATACAATGAGTGTCTCCGGGTCGTCTGATAGTGCGGAGAGGATTGAACGATGTGCGACGTTGCTACCCGCGTCGTTTGGGGGGTGGTGGGCACATTGCCGGAGTCATGGCTAGCTAGCCTTCTCGGAGTCGCCGTGACGGTAGACATTGTGTTGACGACCTCCAGTGAGCAACGAGGACTGCTATCGCCAAGCAGAGGCGAGGGTCGAAGGCAGCGGGCAAGTAAGCGACCTGTATGCACTGTCACTGCAGCCACCGACGCGTGTTGCCTGAGCGCTAACGCGATCGTGGCCTCCTCACTCCATTTCGCATTGACATTCACCTGCTCCGATGCACATATATCGAGATAACGAATCTATTCTGCCTCTCTCTCCTACAATCTATGTACACGATACTTTTATCAATATCCAGCAGAACCCATCTCGGGAATAGTCCCAGGGACACAAACAATATTAGCCTACACACAACAACACCGTAACCAGATAATAACGAGACACAACAAATGCCCACAATCAAGCAATACAGGCAACGAAGATCGAAGGGGTAACTGGGGTCGCCGTAAACAGGAAGGTCGAAGTACAAGCGGTCGTCATCATGAGGGGTCGTGAATGTCAAGAGTCAATGAGAACAGAGAGAGATTGGACGTGAGATGGAGCTAACCATGCAATAAGGAGTGGGAATGTTGCTTCACGGTCTTGATTTGAATATCCTTACAGCGAGCTTCGAGGACGCGCCGGCGACAGCGGTGTGCCACTCCTCCTCCGAAGAGACGATCCGCAGCGGCTCGGCCGCCTCGCTCGCGAGAATGGGCGTCGAGTTCGAGCGCACCCGGCCGCGCTCATGCGCTAGCCGCGCGCGCTCGCTGGCGGGGACGTAGCCGATGACGAAAGAATCAGGAAGCTCCACGCCTTCCTGCTTCGCGAACTTGCTCTGGATGCGCTCGCGCACGGCCAGGAACGGCGCCGTCTGCACCACGCGGACGAGCACGATGAGCGAGTCGTCGAGCATCGCCTTGATCGTGAGCGTGTCGGGGCCGGTCGGGCTGCCCACAGAGGAGACAGCCCCGTGTGTCGCGGGGATGGGGCTGGCGGAAGAGACGGAGATGCGCGGGTTGGGGGAGTTCGGGGCGGACCATGGGAGGTGGAACTGCCCTGGCGGGCGGTCTTGGAATGGCTTAGGGAATCGCTCGGGCGCCACGACTTGTCTAGTCGGCTGCTGGTATTTGGAATGTTCAGAAAGATGGACGGCTGAATCTACAAAAGACGGTGCGCGCAGTGCAGGATCTACGGGGAGATGTCAACGCTCGCTTTCCCTGCAAGTGACCCGCATCGACTCACCATAAAAGTACGCGTCGATGACATCGTCCGGCTGTTCGTACTCATACACGTCGTCTGCGGAGATAGGGCCGCCCGAGAGCGCGCTTGGCGTTCTCCGCGACCCAGTGCTCTTCGAGCGCTTCACGCTCCCTCCATTCGAGGGGGCGACATCGCTCGCCTCGGCAACACCGCGTCCACCGAGAATCCCGACACCAACGAGTTCATCGTCGCGACGGACGCGCGGTGGTCAAGGCCATGGCCCTGCGACGAGCCCTGCGAGTAGAGCGACCCAGACGAGTCCGTGTCCAGCGACAGACACGACTCGCGCGGGAGGCTCGTGGAGATGGTCGCGATGCTCGCCTCGGAGGCGACCGAGCTGCGCCAGCTCGAGACCCCAGAGATCTCCGAGAACATCGAGAGCGCGACGGACGACGGCCGCGAGGAGCTGAGGATCGTGTGCCGGGGCGACTCCGCCACGCCGCCCTCGCCGTCGGCATCGGCGCCCTCCTCAGGGGTCGGCGAGAACACGACGCAGTTGCGGTTTGTCCGGTCCGGGCACGAATTGTTGCGTGCCCGCCGTATCGGCACGGCGCGCGGCGGCGAGCTCGCGCCGTTGGTGGAGAGACCGCCCATGCCGGCCACAAGTTCCTGGTCCTCCGGGAGGGCCTGCAGGGCGGTGTGCCGTTCGTGGGCTTGGCCGGTCGTGGCCGCCTCGGCCGGCTGGCCGTCGGGCAGGAAGACGATAGGCATCTCGTCGAGGCCCATCTTCGACTCGTGCCTGCTTTGGCTTTGGCTGCGCTTGAAGCGCACGGACGATATCGAGCGGCGGCCGGTTGATGTCTCGTCGTCCGAGAACGATGCGTAGGGCTGCGGCGTGAGCGAGCCGCGATGGGAGATGGAGAACTGCATCGCTGTCGGCGTCGGCGTGACTGGGGATTGCGCTGGGGAGAGAGCACTCGTACTGGACGACGCAGTCGAATCGTATGGTGCGTGCCGTGGTTTAGCGTTCTTCGAGGGTGCCCGCGGGGATTGCGCCGTGGCATGGGTCGCGGCGGAGGGCGAAGGCGGCATCTGCGAGAGGTCGACGCTCGATGGAGAGAAGTACATGGACAGCGTGCTCGGTGCGAGCGAGGACCGAGAGTACAGCGATACCTTGGGCTTCACGCCGTCGCTCGAAGCAGGACGCTGTGCCGCAATCTTGCGGTCGTGGTCCTTGTCCCTCCTCCAGTACCCAAAGAAGTCCCGTACGAGCCTCGTCTCCCTGAGCTCCTTGATCAGTGTCGGCACGTCTGGCCCCCACAGCGCCTCCATCATTGCCCTGAACTCTTTTCCTCGCTGGTCAATCGTGGCCTGGCTCGCCTTGAAGAAGGTGCCCTTCTTCGTGAGCTTCGGGACTACATCATGAATGTGTTTCGCGATGCTGCTCGCCTCCGGGCCGGGCGGCAGGCTCTCGAACGACGCCGCCTGGTCAGAGTGGATGTACACACCGTTCTTCTTCACGCCCTTGCCGCCGCGAGCCGCTGTCGCTTCTGACGCGCCATCAGCGCGTACTCCGACTCGATGATCTCCTGGAACCACAGGCAGTCCTCCCACCGCCGCCAGATGTCGTACTCCGTGTTCATCGATCCCGATGACTTGGACGACCTGCTCGACTTGTCATCTGGCAGTACCGAGGTGGTGATGGGGTAGATGCGCATGCCATAGCAGTAGCCGCTCCCTGGGGTCGTTGCTGTGAGAAACACAAGCCGGCGGTATGATAAGTGCAACACACCAAACTTTGTTGGGGGTAGTACGTCCACATCGAAGAGAACGGGCGGTGCTCGGCATACTGCACGTTTGTAATTCTGCAACTCCACAATCAGGACACTAGACGGCCGCGATCATGGGCGCGCGTGACGTACGTGCTGCACTGGAGGCCCACCGAGGGATCCGGTGCCAGGGCCCGCCTGCGATGAATGAGCCCGTGTATACGATGGAGAGCATCTGAGGCGCGCTCACCATGAAATCGCCAGCTAACGCAGACGGTATATTCATCCCGGTGACGGAGAAGACGGAGGGCCCTGCAGAAGAGTGGGAGGTGGGACGAGGAGCCAGATTGGCAACCTGTAGATGGCTACTCGGAGAGCAGCCTGAGCCCTGCACTGTGGTATCTTGATCAGGACAAAGCCGGCAGAAGACCCACAGCCGGGTGACTCACCAGGGGAACGTGCGGCGGGGTTGGGTCAAAGACAATAAGGAGGTATCGCGACGCCTCGCGGTCTCACCTGCGCACGCGCGCCCTGTGAGCGATGGTACACCGGGACAGCTGGGCGATGTACGTACGTTCGGCCCTGCGAGCTCGGGGGACGATGGGGCTGCCTGTTGGTGTGTCGCGACCTGGGCGCCGGCTGCGGAGAGAGGGGATATGGTACAGGGATCTGGCGCATGCCCGCTGCTTATTGTCTGTTGCTGGGAGTTCGATTTGGTGTATCATGACTTCCTGTTCTGGGCTAGCGCGAGGAATCACACGGCATCAGGATTCCGTGCAATCGAATAATTATGGCAGGACATTTGCCCCTTGCGAGATCCCTTTCCGGGCGGGCGTGGCATCGATGTCGACGCTGGAGGCGGCTGCGCAGTGCGCCGGGCTGCGAGTCAGGGGCTGCGAGGACGGGGGCGCGTCGACGGGGGGCGTGTGCGCGCTGCCGCCGCGGTTCCCACCGACACATGCACGGCCCACGCAGGGTTCCGGGGCGCACGGTTGCCCCGGCGCCTGTTCCCCACATGCCATTCCCGGCGTCTCTGGCAACCCAAATTGGGGTGCCTGTCGCCATCGGAGATCGATTGGATCGGGGATATGCTCGGCTCGCGTGATGCGCCCGATCGCTCCCTATCGCCCGTTTCGCCGCGCATGCCCCAGCACCGCACCGACGTGCTCTGCTCCCGACCTCGCATCCCCGGCAACAGCTCGTCGCCATCCTCCGCCTCCCGCAGTCACCGACTGCTACCACGTGTTATGGAGTGAGCGGCATCGCAGGCACAGCGACAGCCCGGCGGCGACGCGCGGGTGCACCATTCCGTAAGTGCGCCCACCGCCGTTCGGCAGCGCTCTCCTGTCCTCGGGCACCCCGAATCTTGTGGGATCATCCCCATCCGGACCACCCCTTGTATACAAGGTTGGCAGTTCGACAGCTGACACCGACGCTGAGCAGTGATGTCCTCCCCACTCCCAGCGTGCCTGTGAATGCTGACCAGCGCGGTCCCGAGCGGGCAGTGAAACTCCCAGGGCCGTCCTCGAGGATGTGGCCGGCCACATGAACGCCGACGCAAGTACGCGATGGTACAAACCCCACGATCCTGGTGAACGCGTCCTTGATATAGCACGCAATCGGTGGTCAGATTGAGGTCAGCGACGCGAGCTCGTGTGTCAATGACATATGGTGACATAACCACCTGCGCTAGGCTCCCGGAGATCCCGCGAGCGCGACGCTCCGGTGAGATCGCAGACTTTGGCGTGACTGCCGGACAGACTCTCCAGCCCAGAAGTCCTGGCCTAGCGGGAGACTTCGTCGACAGGAATAGACTGGCCTCCGCGTGCATTCTCCCTCCTCATCGGTCAAGCGTAGGATCATCAGTGGGATCAAGGATCAGGACGAATCCGCCCGAGACTTACCATATTTGTGGGCACGGTAGGTTTGCCCGGAGAGATGGAGCGTTCAGTAGCCACGCGCTCACGGGCTGCTTCTTTTTCATGACCATCGACTCCACATCGGTTTCGAGAACGCGGTCAAGATTCGAGCGGCCGGCGCTGCGATCCTGATCTGAGTTCCCGAGCGCCGAAGGCCTCCGAAGACAGCGTTCAGGTAGCGTAGGCTAGCGTACCAGGTTGATGTACCGTTGACGTTCTCCGGCCCTCTGTATCGCCACCGCATGTCAATACATATGCACGCAGTCAGGCACATTCCTCACTGATAGTGAATTTGAAGTCTGCCCATGAGGCGCTCACCATTGCACGACATGCTGGCGGGCAGCATGGCGACCTCGACGTCCGGTGGCGGCCTATTGTTTAATAAGTCTCCTGCCGCCCACGCAGGGAGCGCTATGGGCGCATCTAGCGCGTCCGAAACTTCGCGAAGTCGCGATGCGGCGCGAAAACGACGAAGGCCGATGATGCGGCGATGTTCTCGACCGAAGCACGACGCCCCGCTGTAATGGAAGACTGGCGCAGGGACGCATTAGGTCATGACGAGGATGATCCTCCGACGCAAAGGCATGCGATAAATGAGATAAATCCTTCCGGGATGCACGTACAAATACAGAGGCATAGAGGTTGAAACAGTGACGCCGATGAAATGTTACAACAGTCGATACGTTGAAGGGACCGAAACTCACAATCATACACTCCACCGCGCTCAATCAACTTCAATCCCCAACACATCGCCCGGCGACGCCAGCAGCCTGTCCATTAACGCCTGCTGTCTCTCGCTCGCCCTCTGGCGCCCCTCCTTCAATCTCTCAATTCCGTTGCCAATGCTTTGTATCAACACCTGCGCGGGCACGCGCTCGCCCACGATCGCAGGCGCGGCCGCGCGCTCCCTGAGCTCCTCCACGTCCGCCGCGACCGCCTGGAGCGCGTCGCGCGTAACGATCACATGCGCGAGGGCCTCCTTGCGGTAGCGGCCAATCTCCTTCAGGAGCGTGAGGTGCATCGTGCTCTTGCGGCGCGCGCTGCGGTTCCCGCCGAGGACCGTCCACAGCTCGGAGAGCAGCTCCGCGTGCGCCTCGCTCAGCGCGACGCCCTCCCGCGCGCAGATCTCGTGGATGGTGAGCAGGTGCTCCTGGAGCCGCTCGAGGTTCGCGGCGCTGGCGGAGGCCTCGAGCAGTGCGCGGTGGGTCTCCTTGGCGAGCGTGTTCATCGCGTCTTCGAACGAGCGGAGGACGACCGTGTCAGTGTCGGTGCGAGACATGATACGCGACAGCGAGAGCTGCCCTTGTTCGTCGCAGCCTCGATGGTGCGCATCGCGTGTCGTTCACGGCTGTGATGCTGAGGGCGCATGGTCAGCGTGTGCATGTCAAACACGCTGAACGGGACTCACCGATCCACGGCTCCGTTGATCTTCGCGCTAAGCTGTCAATCCTTCTCCCGTCTTCTTCGTTCCTCGACGAACTGTGTGAGGGCCTCCGCGAGGTGTCCGGCTCCGCAGGTCACTCACGCGCACTAGCGTAACGAGGTCGCGCGTGGCCATCTCCGATCCTTGAGCTTGAGGCCTATCGCGCCCGTGCCACGTTCGCAGTCATGATCCCCTCGAAGTGTCCTGCAGCTCGACAAGCTCGGTGAAGTTCGCTGACTGCGGGACTGCTGCGGGGGCGGGCGGCGCAGATCATGCTGGATGAGATGCCGGGGATGATGCACAAAGGGGAGAGACGAATCGGAACTTGTCCAGGACGTAGCCCGACAGAACCCCAGGCCACAACAAAGGCGAAGACCCCGAGTGGCTTCTTCAGCAGCCAGAAGGCGGTTGCCAGGACGTCCACGACGTAGGATACTGTGGCCGATGCGCCTGAAAGGAAAGCCCGCTGCACCTGCTCGCGGTCCACTAAGGCAGGTGTCTCTTCTTGCAACTGCACCGCGGGCGTCGCGGATCGTCGAGACGCCATGGAAGGCGTGAGGTTCGCCTTCTTGTGAGTCTTGCGTCTGCGGGTGGGCATTCGCACGCCGATAGGACTCGGCGACGCTGACTGAGTCCGCGACAACCGCGCAACGTTTGTTCCTGGGACATCCTCCCATCCGCCGTCGTCCATGTTTTCAACCTGTACCACAACAGATGAGTGGTCAACTACCGAGTCAAGACGTGGATGTGCGCACCTTCATGGAATCAGACAGCTATATCCTTTGTGCCCCGGATGAGGCAGTGGTGAGGGCCGGTGAGGGTGTGGTGAAAGACACGAAGAAAGGAACGCGACAGACATGCTGAACAGGTCGAGTAAAGGTTACATGTGCGCATCGCGCGGAGCCACAGAAGGTCCACTGGCACGTGACATGTAGATTTCCTACTCATGTGGCGGGGCTCTCTGAATGGTACCGTTCTTCGGACGCTCATGAATTTGAAGCTTGACGTGTCGATAGGACCAAAAGAAATTCTGTCCATCCCAGCCCTATCAATGCTTCTCATAGCACGCTGCACTTTGTACTTATAGTGATCCTATAAGGTCCAGCCTCAGGCTAGATGGATCCTCGTTCAATATTCAGTTATAAGTGACGTCAACTGACACAAATCATCTCTATACTAGGAGATGGCAAAAGCTTACCTCTACGAAAGCCAACAGCCGATGAATTGGTCGAGTGTCGCTGTACCGACTCAGGGGAGGTTTATAGCGTTGGTTCTCGGCTAAAGGAAGGGTGGATCTGAGATAGCGAAATTACTAGCGGCCCGCTAGCAGGTGCGGATCGATCTGTTCTGTCCGCCGCCATGACCTCCTATGCTCAACGGTCATATGGCGCCCCTGTAAGCAAGTCGCTTGTCTCACTACTGCCACCACGACGGCCTCACATAACTTGCACGATCTCACGTCGAGCCCACTGACTTCGCCGTTCTTCACCATTCGGGAGAAGACCACGCTAACAGTCAAAAGTACGTCATGCCGCCTGCTTCCCATTCTTACCCCATTGATGAATGATGCTTAGGACCCCACATCGAGGCTACAATTAACAAACAGCGAAGTTCTATCGCGAATTTGAAGGTACGGCCAGCATTTGCACACGACTGGTGATACCCCTGCGCACTGTAAGTACACGCATACTTATACTGCACGTTGTCTGTGACAGTCATCTTTGTCAATATCACGACAGTATGTCTAGCACGACCGTTCACATGTCAGCTGGGAGGGCCCTCGGTGTCCAGGAATCCTCTGCATGGTCCTTCATCACTTTCACCCAGAACGATGGCTGGAGACAGACGAACTTGTGATGGGCAAAGTCTCTCTCCACGAATTGCGGCGCACTCTGGCACGTATGGCTCGTGTCTCCAGTACCTTTTCTGGGCCGGCGCTGTGTGCACTGTGGTCCGTGATTGACGACTTCGAACCTTTGCTACGCCTGCTCGCGTGTCGTCGCATGGTGGCAGTCGAGAGCGACGATAGCGGCTCCGAGGACGAAGAGAGCAGGCCAGCCCCTGAGCTCGAAATCGATTTCCTGGACACCCGGCAGGTAAGCTCGCGAACGTACCATGCATTCAAACAGGCTCACGCGAAGATGTACTCAGGTCCTCGAAGGGGATATCAGCCCTTCTGACTGGGAACGCTTCCAATACTATGCTGCACTAGTCCGAGTCTGCTTATACGACTACGATCCAACGATTGACTCATCGGTCTACATGCAACTCTCTCTGCGTAACGGCAACAAGCCACTGCTGCCCAACCTGCGGTACTTGAAGTGGCAACAGCAGTCGTGTAACGGCTCTGAGCTACTGTATATCATCGGGCCTTCCGTTCGGCGGCTAGAGTTCGACTACGCTTCGAAGGCATGGAGGTCCGGACGCGCTCGCAGACGCGACTATGCGCTCAAGGCACTCTTGGACAGCGCGAGCAGTCGAGCGCCCAACGTAGAGGACCTACACATCTACGGCGTCCAGCACCGAACGCGCTCTCCGCGATACGTGGCTGGACAAACCTCCAGCACGTGTACGTCCACCATGTCGTCGAGTTTGCTGCTCTCAAGATGCTCTCGTCCTTGGAGAGCCTCACGTCCTTACGGATGGACATATCGCATCTCAGAGACACGGAGGAGACATGCGACGGTTTCGGGCGCCTCGAGTCGCTTACGGTAGAGGGCGATGAGTCCACCTCGAGTGGTTCTTTGAGGCGACTCATCTCCTTCGGCTCACCACCTTGACCGTCTTGCTAGGGGCGGAGGTCACAACGGAAGGATGTCGGCGCCGATTGGAGAATCTCCAGATACATGTCAAGTACCCGCGCCTGGGTTCGTTGACGCTTCGGATTGCCTTCAAAGGCGAAGACATCCCGACCGTTCCCGAGATTATCCAACCCCTGTTCGTCATGAAGGATCTCGAGGCGTTTGACTTCGACTTCTCCTCAGCCGCTCATCTATCGGACACAGACGTCGAAGAGATCATCCGCCATTGGACAAACCTACGCTCCCTCCAGCTCGACCACATCTTCACAGCCATCGAGCCCACCGTACACAGTCTGGACATCATCGCGCGCGGCTGCCCACATCTTCAGGAGCTCGTCCTCCCCTCCGTCTGCCACGAGTCGTACATTCCCGAGAAGCCTTACGCCCCGCCGCACCACAACCTGCGGCGCATCATCTTCTACCGTGCCATGATCTCGGACAGGGCGCGGTTCACGAAGTACATGTTCCAGATTTTCCCGGACGTCGTCCCCTCGCTACCCTCGCTCTTCTACCGGCGTCCGTGCGAGGACTGGTGCCTCATTGTGGACAGCTTCCGGCCCGTCCACCCCATCTGACCAGCGACCAAGCATCACGCCCATCGTGCTAATCGCAATCTTAACCATTTCAGCAGGGGCTCGACCCTGGCCCTGCTGCATCATGCACACAACACACTTCCCAGCACACATCGCAGCACACATTACTGATTGTAAATCGTGTATCTTCCGTTCCTGGACCGACAAGGCCCAGCCGCGCAATCGATGCGGCACCCATTCCACTCCTACAGACTCGACCTGCCAAAAAGATCCAGCGGCGGGCGTCCGAACGTCGGCTACAACAAAGAGAGACCGATCAGCTCCAGCACCCACACGGCACCATAGATGACGACGCACGGGTGGCGCGGCTTGTTACCCAGTATGCCCTCGATTTTCTCCACAATGGCAGGCGTCAGCTTCGGGATGACCTCGAGGGCCTTGAGGTTGTCGACGATCTGCTCGGGCTTGGAAGCGCCCAGGATACCGTGGACGTGTTCGGACTCCGGGCGATCCACGCGAGCGCGAGATGCGAGACTTGCAGCCGAGGTCTAGCGTGGATAATAGTCCATGTTAGGGAACGTATGTAGTGTCAAAATGTGGGGGCGCACCTTTCTCGGCGACGTCGGCGAGGGCTTTGATTTTAGCGAGCATCGCCTGGCCTTCTGGCTCGCCGAGCGACTTCGCGCGGTCCTTGAGCCACTGCTCCTGTTCGCCGGCCAGACGGGAGTCCGGAGGGATACCGTTGTTATACTGCACGACGAAGGTCAGCATTCAATGTGCAAGAACACATCAATCGTACGAGTTACCTTGCCTGTGAGCAGACCACCGGCCAGTGCGGAGAAGACAGTCGTGCCCATACCATACTTGCTGTATATAGGACTGAAATTCGCAATGTGAGATAAACGTACACCTTTGTGGCTTAATGTGCAGACTTACGCGTATTCGGCTTCGGGGCGGTCGCGGTGGAGCATACTGCGTGGGGTAGGTGGTCAATGCATATCACCATTCGTGAACCGTGATCAAACGTACTGATGCTCACACTGCTCCGCGACAGGGCCCATCAGACCGAGTTTTTCGGCAACGTCTGGACCAGCTTGATGAGCGGAGGGGCAAGGCAGGGTAAATGGCATGGTACACTTACGATGTGCCTCCTCGATCTCACGTGCAGACCACTCGGACGTTCCCCAATAGAAAGCCTAGTGGTTACAGGTTGAGACATTCGGACGTTGGACCATTGATAGATAGGTATACATACCCATCCCTGATTGATTACGAAGTTGAATGCACGAACTGTCTCCTCTATCGGGACTGGAACAGATAGTTGATTAGCGCTTCACTCCGTAAGCAGATCTAGCTTACCGTGTTATCAGGGCGATGTGCAAAGATGACATCGACATAGTCAAGTCCGAGTCGCTGTAAAGATTCCTTCGTGCCTTCAACGATACTGCGAGGGCAAAACATCAGTACTACATTGATGTGGGTCAATGCTATAGACGTACTGCTTCCTGGATAGCCCATGCCGTTCTGCGGCTCATGAGGGCCCCAGAAAAGCTTGGTGGAGATGATCAAGTCCGTCCTTCGCAGGCCAAGCTCCCTGATCACCCGACCCCTGTTGCATCGCAGTGAGCGGGGGTTCTCCGACTCAGAGGGATAGATCAGTCATCTGCGGACGCACATTTCCTCTTCGGAGCGACCGGCTGCGTAGCCCTCCGCGGTATCGAACATGTTTATGCCATTCTCGAAGGCGGTTTTGATGATTTCCTGCCAAGGTATTCAGCATGTTTGCAGGATCGGATGAGAGTGCACTCACCCTGACGGGATCACCACGAACAGAGCCCCCGAGCGTTAACCCTGGACATCCACCTTTTCAGCATCATTCTGAGTGGAAATTCCAATGAACCTCACATCCTCCAAGCGAGAACAAAGGTACTCGCAGACCGCTGGGGCCTAGTCTCCGAAACACCATGTTCTTTGCATCGAACTCAACGGCGGAAGACATGTTTGTAGTCCAGAAGGGAGGAGATGCGGGGGTAAGCGACCAGATGCAATGCAAATGTGTTCACGGGGAGGCTGGCTGAGCTACTTATATACCACCCGGCATATCCTCGGTAAAAGAGGACATTCGAGTGTGCCATATAATCGCGCACATCCAATCTGGGCGGTCGAGGTACCAGGATGTCAGTCAGATGACAGTCACACAGCGCGGCGGCCCGTCCCATGAGCGAACGTACTATGGACACCATGTCAGACCGGAAAACGCTCGTGAAACACACACTTACTGCTGAGTCCGACTGTAGCTACCGTGACACTGAGTTACTACACACGTATCCATCTTCTTCAGGTCCACGCCATAGTCGGAATCACCAACACTACCAGTAGCATATTAATCAGAGCAAGTGCATTGTATCGCCGAAGTTCGATGGGTGCTGCAGTCGCGCCGCTTGCGACATGGACTCATCGTCGTTCCAAATGGAGAGTCGAGCGCTCGGGCAACGCACACGGTCACATGACTAATATTTCCGGGTTCAGGGAAAGATCGCTCAGTTCGTGCAGCTACTGGCGGGCACATGAGCCCAGGCAGTCATACCGTCAATGCTAGGCAGCTTCGAACTGCATATGTTTATCGATATCTCTGAAGTACTCATCCGAGCCTGAGCCGGACTTCAATTTAGAGCATGTCCCGCCCGCCGCCGGGCTCGAATAGTACTACAGAGTCATACCTCGCTCGGCCGGCACTTCACATGCACAGCCTGTGAGCGAGTTCTACATTGACGTACTCGAGTCCAATACGCTGCAAGCGATGACATACCGCACCGTCGTGTTTCTCTGACGGTCGCCAAGCTTATAATAATTTGAATGAGGACTTAACCGACACACTACTGGTACGTTCAACGCATGAGATCGTAGATGGACAGAAATTTGTCTTTGGAAGGGCACACCTCGCAGCGACCAAGACTTGCCTCTCGTGTGTAGCGACACAGATTATTGATGATCGACGGTGAAGGAAACCAACAGCAGCACCGAGCTGGGGAGACCACAAAAACTGGCGTGTTGTCGTTGGGATAGATGCGGATTCTTCACGGGTAGAGCATGCCATAACTCAACCCGGTTCTAAGGTGGTCGCTAAAATATATGGTCACTGGCTACGCTCCACGACGAGGGAAAGCAAACCTCATTTATCGTCGTGACAGACAAGTCGGAGAGCACAAAGGTCTGAGAAGTTTTGAGGGTGCCCTGAGCGACGCCGAGGCTGAGGATGTGGTGCAAACGCGGCCGGCCCAGCTTTTGATTTGCTAGTGGTCGTAGCCATCTTAGTCGTTAGTAGTTGTCCCGGTCCATCATGAGGTGTGACATCCTGTAGGCCTATTGTGAGTTGAGCGCGATACTGCAGCCAGAAGACACATACAAAGACGAAGAGCCGTCAGTTGATCTCTGGGTCGCCATACATGCTGGTCAGGCTAGCGGCGAATAACGGGACATCCTCGTGTCCAAATAAAGCGGCGATGACATTGCTAGAGAGACACCTTTGAGATTGGCAGTATGTGTACTTTACTGGCATATGTTCTGGCTAACGCACCTCTGAGACATAGGACCACCGGTATTGCCTCCTTGGACGCTAACTAGAGGTTGTACATCGCCGCCGCTGATGATACGAGGACTCACAAAGGTTGATATGCACGGTCAGTCGGCCGCAGAACGACGCTCACCTGTCGACCATACCGTCGACATCGCCTGTGAATTACGGGGGAACGAGAGGCATATGTTGAGCGGCAGAGTGTAAGGCGGGGGATATGGGAAGAACACCACACGCTGTAGGGCTATAGGGGGCTTGGTGAACTTCGCCAGTAATAAACATTGCCCTTGGCGGCGACTCGTGCACATCTCAACACGTCCTAAGAGCAGCCACTCCCGGACTGAGATGCGAAACTGAACGTGGGGGCTGAGCAAGTCCATCGCTCTGAGCAAAGTAATCATAGCTATCAATGACTCCACGACTGCGACAAGAGAGAAAACAGAGAATGCCGGTACGAACGAGCACGACACACGTCTACGAAGTTATGAGTGAGGACAGGATGCACTGGGATGTTCCGGTTATATTTTGATGTGGTTGCGACTTTTTACCGCGATGGCAATTCGGAAGGGGAAGTCTTCGACGACCATATACTGTAAGCCGGGGCACAGACTCGGAGGGTCGACGAAGAGCACGAATGCGACCTGTAGCAGCGCACCGCGGTCAGCAGCTAACCACGGCCCGAAGTTCGAATTACGGGCTCGGGGCATCATCTGAGTGACCCAAGTGGCTGCAACAGAGCACGGGTGGAGACAAGCCTGCGGAGGCGCCTAAAGCGCACCCGTTACCAGGGGGGAGCCGAACAGAAGCCTGGAGCAAATCGTATAGGCCCATCAAACGAGGCATGCGTAGGCCAGCGTCGCTGAGAGTCCTCTAGGCGCGACCACGATTTGCAATTTGTCCCTGCAGCCGCGACACTTCTGTCATAGCATTACATTCATATCTGAACTGAATTGGGATGCATCCGGCGCTCGTGCGGGCAGTAGTGACAGGCGACGTCGCTAGTGTTCAAGTGTACTCGTTCTGTGGGCGCGAAGAGCTTGGAGCTCTAGGACACCTATGATGTTTTCCGTCAACGCGACGGCCCATCGAAGCGGCCAAGAGACTAGCAGAGCATGAGGACCCTCATTGCAGATTTGCACGAGGCACGCGGACCCCGGGACCGTGACAATCCTGCCAAACAATATGTTGCCCCCCGGAGAATGCCAACGCCGGCCCAGCGCACGCCATGTCACCGGCGGCTAATGGAGGCGCATACGGCAGAAGAAGCGAGCTAAGGCACCTGCGATTCGGCTGCAGGGTGTGGCGATGGGAACATCCCTACATGCTGTGGCCTGGGTGCCATAACACTCCGAAGTGTGCGGGAGGCTTCAGTCGAGCATGAAAGCGAACGCACGGATGTCCAGAGATTCGGAAGCCACCGGCACCAAGCAGTGAAGGCATTGTAGCGCAAGTATTTGACTGGGGTGAATGTCTTTCTGTTGCGTACTTTGCGAGGCGTTCAGGCATTCCCTCTATTGTCTACGTATTTCGAGCGCCTCTGCGTGCGGGCTTACCTCAACTGGACGGGGGCCGCTGATATGCGGACATGATGACCGAGGGGGGCAACTCGTCAGAACGATACAACGTTATCTCTCACAGTTACACGTAAATAGGCCGTGCTGACTTACCATTTGAACGAAGCTGGCTTTTAGTCGCCATTTCAAAGCCGCCACTGCGATATCACTTAAGCCCTCAAGGATTTCAAGAGGAGACTGCAGATTTTCGTCAGTGAGACGGCGCAAATAAACAGCGACTACACACCTGCTCAGGGCTACTGTCTCGTATATGATGCTGTCCCTTCTGTGCTAGGTTTTGAGGTCGACGTTCAGATCATGTTCATCGCTTGTTTGCCAGTCAGTTCTGCGTCAGGATGACGCATTGTGAAGTAGGCCGTCAACGCGGCTTGGCGAGCATCGAACGAAGACTGGCACTCTCACCGCAACTCAATATACCGCGAACGACAAAACGGGCATAGTTGTGGAGAGACGCCGCGTGCGTGGGGCTCGGGCACGGCCCGCCTTTGCTTCAAAGGGCAAGCGCGTCCGGACGGCATCTAAGGGCCACCTTGCACCGACCGCGAGTGGCAAAAGTCGCCCCGTTATACGACCAGTGCAACCGGATGATCCCGATGAGCTCCGTGACAAGTATGTACTAGTAGGAGGCAGGGAGCGTGACCACCGCGCAGATCGAGCCTTGCGTCACTTGGTTCAGGCGCGATGATATGTGCACACCCTAGCGTAGAGAATGTACCGACAGCAGGCCGGCGGGTGTACTATGAGATGAGACACTGTAGGTCAGGCATAAAGCGACTCGGATCCCGCCCAGTGCAGTCGTCAGAACCGAGTCATGTCATCGCCATCGATGTCTCCACCACACAAGTATCAGGAGAAGGTGTGAGCTGACTGAAAGACATCTGCTCACCGCTGGAGCGTATGACTGGAAGTTCGCGCAGGTCAGAAGTTGGTGCCGACGACTAGCGCTGTCGTCATTATTCGCGCGTCGCAGATACCGTACTATACGCGTCTTGTTTTGAAACATTTTGCCGCCTCTTCGCGTGCGACTGCAGGGGGCTGCAGTCCCACAGCCTCCTCTTAACTCATCGCCCTTTGGCCAGGCTTCATTTCCTGCCCCGAGCCGCCGGCCGCACGCCCATATGAAACCGTGAAAAGGTGACATACGGCTGCGGTTTCAGAAACTCGAAATTAGATAGCCGCATGGCGACCGAGGGTCCGGAGATTGAAATACAGTGCGAGGGCCAATCAGAGGAGGTGCTGGTAGATCTCCGCCACGAGGGAATCAAGAAAATCAATATCTCGATAGTGTCGGCGATGGATCGGCGAATCTCAGAGTTATCGGACGCTGGACAGCTTCCGGATCTGGATGCGTCCGTGTTCCACGCTTCTGTCCCGCCGTCGCGGGAATGCGCCGCCACGCATCTCTTCCTGTCACCGCCGCAGCCACGGGCGACGCTGCCGTCGTCTGTCATACTATACCGCTGGGTGAGCGATGTGACTCAAAGTCTCGCTGAGGTAGAGGTTTGTCGTGTACTCGAGCTTGGATCGTTCTGACGTTTGCATCACCAGAATGCTAACGTCGGCCTGCACGATGAGTCGCCGCAATGTACTCGGGTCCCGCTGCTGGAAGACAACGACCTGATCCCCGTACCCAAATATGGCTCAAGATCTGGGAGGCCCTTCTTCGAATGGCCCATCGCCCTCTGGGCGTTTGACCATGATCACGTTCGCATCCAGATGTGCGAACTGTCTGTCGGCGATAGACAGGGATGGCATGACGTTTCCATCGCCGCTGACATCCCGTGGACAAACGGCTCCATAGGTCCTCGCGAAGTACTGCTTCGTCGCCCACGAGGATACCGTTCGGAACAGCTTGTGAGTAAGTAGACCCTGATATGTATGGTCGTCACCCTAACTGTCAGTGTCCCCAACGTATTAATCAGGTGATAGCGGAGCATGACACGCCTGTACTACGACTGCTGTCGCAAGGGATTCACGATACGTCCGGAACATCTCAGCTGAGGTCATGTCATTGCCTCTTCATCTTCACCGTCACAACCTTTGCGGCAGCAGAACAACTTTGGTGTGTATCGTTATATTGACCGCTCTTCTGATTTATTGCTAGATGTATTGCGGTGGCTGTTACACAACCAACCCATGGTCAGGTTCGAATGCAGCAGACTGGGGCATGCAGATCATTCAGCGCTCAGTACCCGCTGGCATCAGATTTATCACCATTGCACACCCGTCTGGTCGATGCGGGCGGCTTCGCGCCCTGAGATACAGGTCCTGTGCAGGTCGCGACTTAAACGGTGGGAACTCTGGCGGGTGGTGCTGGCTTGCTCAGGAAGTCGCCGATGCGGTGGACGAATGACTATCAAGATTAGGAATGCGGCCGGTGAGGGAGTCTACCCGTTACGGAGGGAAGTGACCATCTTGGCAGGTCCTAACCAGGGAAAGCCTGCGTGGAGGGGCTTCCCTTGTCAGGTAAGCGTTTGTTCGTAGTTCTGAGGCGCCGCTTCTCGCGAAGCTCGCGGGTGCTTTAGACGACAGTCGATGCATCGTAGACCGTCAGATGCGCCTGTGGGCGAGCGTCCTGAGGCTGTAAGTCTCGCCCACAACGGCCGTCGCAGCCGGAACGGACTGCGGTGCAACATTTGGGCTGGGATCTGCTTCACGGGAATGTTGAATGTGAGGTGAAACGCGGTCGTAGTCATTGGACGTGACTCCTCAGGCACCTTGGCGGCCATCTGCGGATTCGAGCCCAGCTCAGCAACTCATCATGATTCAATTCAGGAGCGCTCTGGCGCTCGCATGAACGTTGACGCAGAGTTCACCGATGCCACCGGACCCACAGTTCGCTCGTTCTACGGCCGCGGTCGCTACGCGTAGGTTCACGCATGGAGCTCGTAGTGCATTAGGTCCTGAGAGCAGGAGAGTGGGACGAGGCCAGGGAGCCAACGAGGCGGACGGCAGGACCGAGGCATCGGATCCTTGCGATTTGGCGGCTGATTCCCGATGGGGCAAGGGCCGCCGATGTTCCCGCAGATTCGCCGTGCCGCGATGTGATTTACGTACAGTAGTGGATCTAGTATCGGGCAGTTCAGATGCCCGGTCGGCCGGTTCGCCAGATATGATGGATCTTGTTTTCCCATGCCTACGCGACGTTCAACATCTCTCGCTGTCCGCATCACTTGCTAGCGTCGTTGCCACCAGGGAGGTGACGCAAACAACAACACCGGCTTGCGAGGAAGGATGCACAACAAGGCGCGCAGGAAACGCCAGGTGGAACAAGGGGACGGGCGCCCGAGTTAGGCTCGAGCCGCCCGGTATCGGAGTTTGACGAGATTGCCCGATTTCCATTCGGCGCCACCAAGTTGAATCTCCGCTCAGATGCGTTCGATGATCTGGCTCTGCCGCACTCTTGTCTTTGTTCCCTTTCCTCCTTCCTGCCCACTGCATCCTCCCAGATCCCTGCGCGATTCTGCCCGCCAGCCCTCCCTGTCTGCCTTGCGCGCGTCCTGCTTACTTCTGCGGGTTTCGTCTGGCCTTCGTCTGCCTCGTAGGCATCCTTCCCCTTTTATGCCATTGTTTGCTGAGGAGTTCCATAGCGTGGTCACTAAGATATCCTCCGAAAACACGAGGAAGCCTCACATAAGGCTGACTTTGTCTTGCACATCTCGAATAGTCTTTCTGTTTCCTTGTCATGACCTCCGCCTACTCAAACTCCTATGCGCACCCGCCTCCGCCGAATGGGCGAGATGATGTTCGCCTCCCGTCAATCAAGGACCTGAACTTTCCTCAGCACCGCGCGCAGGAAGGTTCTACGGCTCCGTCCGGCGGGGCACAGGCGGAACATGCACGTCCTAGTCGCCACGATGCGGCGTCGTGGAGTCGCTCAAGCGCATCGACCTCAGCGCCGCCCTCGCAGCATCCGCAGAGTATGCTTCCGCCACACGAGAGTCCCAAGACCCAGTACCCTCCAGCAAAAGTGGACGCGACGTACGCGAACTCTCAGCAGCCCCCGCCCCCTCCGGTAGCGCCCAACACCTCTGGACCGCCTCCCTCCCGTGGCGATCCGTCCCCGCAGAATCCCTCCAAGCGTCCGCGGTCTGAATCGGGCGTCGGCGTCAGTCCCTCTGCGGGGCGCTCTCACGTAAGCGTCTTTCATGAGATGCAGTCTTGACATGATGTAGCTAATCGTGCATCCACATCGATCGGGCGTCCTTCAGGCTACCGGGTACCCCCCTCCACACCCGTCCTACGCGTCACAGCCTCCTCCGTCGTACGCGACTGCGCCGCCGGCGCCAGTGCCTGCGTCCCATGAGCCCGTGCACCAGTCGGCCCCGTACCCGCCTCCGACGGGTTATGCATACCCTCCTCCGCCTGTGGCGCACATGCCTCCGCGGCACTATGCGGTGCCTCCTCCTGTCCCTCCACAGCACCCTGCTAGCTCGTATCCGCCTCAGGCACCACCCGAGCACTGGCCGCCCCACGCACCGCCTCCTCCGCCCCATCAGTACGCTGCTTTTCCCAGACCAGCGCTCGTGGCTACCGCAGGGGACCCGCGTAGTGCAGCGTTGAGTCCGAACGAGGCCGAGAAATTCAGTTTCCGTCAGAGCACTCTTTCAGAGGTAAACATATGATGCTCATAAATGAACGCTGATGCTGACGTCTAGTCCGCCAGATCTACAAGCATTGTTCCATCCTCCATCAATTCTCCCAATACTGGGGTGAGTATCAAACCTGACCTCTTCATTTCGGTGCTGACGCGCCAATCAATATAGCACAATTGCAAAGCAGTCAGCCACAAGCTCAGCCTTCCCCTCACGAAGTTGCGGAGATGACGTGGCGCGCAAATACCGTCATGCGTCTCTTGGAAGAAGTCAGGCGCCTCTCGCTTCCTGAAGGTGCGGCTCCAAAGGAGAGCGCTCCTGCTGTCGCGCCTGCTCCGGGCGTCCCTGAAGATCACACTCGTCCGCCGAAGCGGCCGTGGGAGGACATGGCTCGCGAAGAGAGCGACACGCCGGCTCCCAACAGTTCTTATCCTGATGTGAGTTGCTATATCTATCTGTGTTGTGATTTCTGATGTGTTTATTTCACAGGCTCCGGCTCAATTCGAGACCAGTGATAGGGCTACGGCCGAGAAAGACATGGAGATCATTCGTAGTAAACGGGCGACTAGCACCAATGCGTCGGCTCCCGGACAGCCGAAGAGTAAGTACAGGAAACGCAGTGTGAGTAGAATGTATTGATATTTACCGAGTCATACGTTTCTGATAGAGCGACAGCGTGCAACTCCGCCCGGCAAGTGTCACTCATGCAACATACGTGAAACACCGGAGTGGAGGCGTGGTCCCGATGGGGCTAGGACGCTATGCAATGCTTGTGGCTTGCGTGAGTTCACTTGTTACGATCCGTCGAGCCTTCGTCTCACTTGATGCCATTGATAGATTATGCAAAGCTGATGCGGAAGCGCGACAAGGGCGCGGACGGCAAGGCAGCTCCAATTGACTTGCAGACTCTTCGCGCGTCGACGCAGTCAGCTAGAGGCGCAGAGGCGGAGCATTCTCATTCGCAGTCCAGCTCGCACCACCAGCAGAGTCCAGTCATACACGCCCAGTATGACCAGCAGAAGGCGGGGCCTCCACCGCCTATGCATCAGAGCCACCACCCTCCACACCCGCATCCTTCTCCGCATCCTCACTCTTACCAGCTAATGCCTGTCGCGGCGCCTCCTACTTCCCACTCCCAGATGATGCCGCCCCCGCCCCCACACCAGCAGGGGCACGGTGAAGGTGGTCCGGTTCCTCCGCCGCCGTGGATGACCTCTTCCTCGTCTCGCACGGGGTACTCGACTGAACACCAGTCCTACTTGAGGACCGCGCACCCCCCATCGCACGCGAGAGCGTCTCCTCAGTAAGTTCGGGCTAAGGGCTTCTAGAGTGCATGTGTTATATTCTATGTTTGCAAGTATGACTTCTGCGCATTCCTCTCCCACTCTCGTACGAACCTTGTCCATAGTCTCTTGAAGTACCCTACGTGTTCATGGCACCTCCGTTCTATGTCTGTGTGTACCTGTGTATGCAGCCTCGTGTCTAAGCTTCTCGTAATTGTCCATATTATACCAGTGTTTAATAAACGAGTGTCGTCCTCGTGTATGTCATCGGCCCTGAGGATCTTATCTGGCTGTGTGGCAGATGACAGGATCGACGATGTCCGATGATCGATCTCAGGTCCGCACGCCGCCGCACAGAAGATTGATGCACGCGTCTGCAGACCCATTCCCTGCCGGAGGACACGCGCCGCGGTAATCTACATACATACACCTCCGAGGACATCATACACTTTTCCGGCTCGTCTACATATGTACTTAGTCGCTGTAGCCGCGCGGCTTCGCCTGCCCGTTCGCACCAGCACCGTTCGCAGGGTTCGAGCCCTCGAGAACTTTGTCCAGCACGCCCTCCTGCTCCCAGATGACAAGCTGCCGGTCCTTCGCGACCTTGCCAGTGCTGCTCTCGTACTCGGCGACGGAGGTCGGCTTCTCGCCGTGCGGCGTAGAGCGGAGCGCGTGTCTGGGGTGCGGCCAGAAGTCGAACGTGGCGCTGTGCGTCACGACCTAGCACGGACATGTCAGGGTCGGAACTCGGCGGGGAACTGGTCTGCGGCTCACCCTGTTGTCCCAGAAGGCGATGGAGTTGGGCTCCCAGTGGAAGCGTACCTGGAAGTCGGGGTTCTCACTGGCAGGGGGCGTCATTAGTGTGGGTTGATCGAGGTGGGAAAATGAACTGCGTACGCGATCAGACGGAACAGGAGCTGGAGAACCGCGTCGCTCTCCGCCTTCGGCAGGCCGACGATGCGGCGGGTGAAACCTGGTGATTCGTGAGCGATGCACCCTCGGAGCGGAGATGAACCAACGTACCGGGGTTGACGTACACGGACTTCCAGCCGGTGGCGGGGTTGACGCGCACCACCGGGTGGATGCTCTCGACGGGCTCCCGACGAACGGTCTTCCCGGCGGCACGCGAGCCGTCCGCCTGTGCCACACCACTGTGAACGGCGTACAGACCCTCGAGGTACTTCTGGAAGCCGGGGCTGAAGGAAGAGTAGAGGGCGTAGCTGATGGCGAGCGCTCCGTCGGTAAATGAAGTAACATGAAATCAGCGGAGGTGAACTCACCCGGAGCTCCAGAGGGTGTCACCGCCGTACGGGGGCCGGTGATGACCTTCAAGGAGGTCGTGCTGGGGGGTTGGAGCTCATAAGAGACATCAGAATGCCAAAGCTCCAGCTTGGAGAACGACGTCGGGTCTGGGCGGCGAGAACCGTCATTGTAGACGACTAAGCAGAGAACATGAGCGGATATTGAGCGGGGTTGTGCATGTTAGAGCTCACCGTGCACTTCCTCCAGACCAGGTTCCTTCGGGATAGGGGTAGTCGCATGCTTGTGGAGAGGACCCCAGTAACGGCCCAGCTCAAGTTGCTCGTGAACGTTGATCTCCTGGTCGCGGAAGACTGAACAGATGACTTAGCCACAGGTCATGCCTCATACTGCTATTGGTACTTACAGACGACACCCCGCTCGGCAATGAGGAGCGCACTGTGTGATGAGCATAGATGTCAGACAGAATACGCTCGTCATTAAGTCGAGGACGTACAGTTCGTCCTTCTGCTTGTCCGAGAGCTGTCTGAGATCGATGCCAGAGATCTCAGTTCCGAGGGCCGGAGTCAAGTGCTGAACTTGGTGGCAGCGGAGAACAGCGCTTCTTCTCCGGATCAGCAAACAGGCCGCGCTCGGTGACCTCCTGAGGTCCGAGCGGCTCCCAGTGCACATCAGGGAAGTACGGCTACGCAAAGACGTGATCAGTCTATTGAACCTAGGAGCAATCGGCGATCAGATGGACGGACCTTGTACTTCGCGTACTGGTAGCCTCCGTCGGCGTCGTCTCCGGTATCGGGGGAGTAGAACGGGTTGAAGACACTCGCCGCCTTCGCCTTCAAGACTTCGATGGACTGGTGGACACCGTTAGTGGTGCCGTTGGTCGTGGTAGAGTCAGAGGTCGCGACAGGTGCCATCTTGAGCTTTCGAAGGATCGGTGGCGATACAGACAACCGCCCTCGCCGCGTTCCTTTATAGTCGAGCTGAGAGCCTGGCGCATACGAAAGATACAGGCTGTATAACGCGAATGGAAGAGGCGATGGCGACACACGGTGCACGTGACCGCGACACATCATAATGAACCCACCTCTTAGTGGAGAACGGCACCAAACGGCACCCTCTGGTGCCAGACGGTCCGCTCTGGGCTCTTCCGGCCGCATCCATGTCGTGAGCATTGCTAGATCGACGCCTTTGCGATAAGCGTTGATGCCGGGGAGGTACTTCCGGCGACGTTTGTACGCGACTTGCTCTCGAAACACCGTTTAAGTTAAGCTTCTGAGCATCGCAATATCCACTTCAGTCTGACCGAGACGCGCGCGATGCAATGTTATAGACGACACGCACCCCTGACTACGAATTATATTCACAACCGCGTATATTATTGCGTAGGACGATGGCGCACCGTGCCTGTTGCCGTTACGGCCCTACGGGCGCCCGGGTAAGCGGCGACCCGTTATCCACGTCCCTCAAATGACCTGCTGGAGAGAACTGAGGCCAAAGATATGACCTGCGAACGACAGATTGCGCAACTTGAGGCCCTATGAACAGGAGAGCGGCGCGAGATGGTGTGGTCTGCCAAGTCAGCCTCTACCGCACCCGAACGCATGCATATTGCTGAGTACTTGCTGCAAGTCTATGTAGATGCCAAAGTCGCCTGAGCCAGGGATCTTTCGAGTCCTTGCAATGTCTGTCAAACCGTTGCCACATGAAACGAGTCTCCCGTAGGCAGACCCTGAACACGGCCTTGTTGAGTGGAAGGTCCGAGAGCCGTCATGTCTTGAATGTGTGGACGCGAAACATATGCAAATATGCAGAGGAAGTGGAATTGTCGCGCAGCACTAACACCGTAGACGGACGGAGGCTTTTCACGAACAGTTAAAGTGAGCTCGATGAATAAAATACGCCGGAATGGACTGCGACTGTGCCAACGATTGCCCTGCTGTTCCATACTCGTTCTCTTCAGATCGTCATTCGGCGAGACAGAAACAATCTGCCAAAGCTTGAGACTTGAACACTCACAGATGCCAGCATTCATGTGAACCAGTCTGAGTGTCAGTAGTCAGGCTAGTAACTAGAGAAAAGCGAGGCCTCAGATATATCGAGTCTGAGTGCAGTGGTGGACAAGCGGTGGAGGTGGACTGCAAACGCAAAGAGCCGGGTGCCCGATCGGGAAGTAGGGTTCGCCACGCACGTGATGGAGAATGCGGAGAACGCGCGCCTTCGCGCGCCCCCAGCGCTACACCGACACTCACCTCAGGAGCAGGTCTACTGCTCATCTACCGAACCTGCTGAACATACTGTGCATTGTCCAAGATGGGTGAGTGGTACACTCATCAGTGAACTCAAATGGCATAGTACTCACTATACCCAACAGGAATTCCCAAGGTTAGTCGTCAGCCAATCCGTCGCCTGCTTGCTTGGTGGCTCTGACACTGTCTGTGCAGTTCTTCAGATATATATCGTGAGTTTCTCCAGCAGGCAAGCTTCCCACCGTCTGATCGTGCCTAGGGAACGTTATCCCTTGACATCACAACTCATTCAAGAGAACAAGATCCCCGAGTTCGGTATGTGACATCTTCGACGACCGGGGTAGCTTGTCTGAAAGGATGAACTAGACAACCTTTAGTGGACTTCAACGGCATCATTCACAACTGTGAGTGTTACCCAGAGTCTTGTGCTGCGTGCACTCTGACACTCCAGGCAGGCTCTCATCCCAATGACGGAGATGCACACTTCCGGCTATCCGAAGAGCAGATCTTTACCTCCATCTTCGCCTATGTCGACCACCTCTTCAGCAAAATCAAGCCAAAGAAGTTGTTCTTTATGGCATAGATGGTGTCGCCCCGCGTGCAAAGATGAACCAGCAACGGAGTCGTCGGTTCCGTACGGCGAAGGAGGCGAAAGAGGTCAAAGAGAAGGCAGAGCGGAAAGGGGAGAAGCTGCCGGAATCGAAAGCGTTTGACAGTAACTGCATCACACCAGGTGCGTCGCAACCACTTTTCTAGCCGTGGTACTGAGCATAATGCCGACCACTGCAAGGCACGGAGTTCATGGCACGCTTGTCTGAACAGTTGCGTTACTTCGTGAACAAGAAGATATCGGAGGATGCCAACTGGCGAGACGTCAACGTCGTGTTGTCAGGACACGACGTCCAGGAGAAGGCGAACACAAGATCATGGAGTACATCCGGCTGTCCCGTGCGCAACCGGACTACGATCCTAACATTCGCCATTGCTTGTACGGGCTCGATGCGGATCTCATCATGCTGGGCTGTTAAGCCATGATCCGCACTTCTGCCTACTACGAGAAGAGGTGAATTTGGGCCCGCTTCAAAGAGCAAAGGCAACAAGAGGTATGTCCTTGTAATGCTACCTCGTTTTCGCTCGTAGGCTGAAAGCAAGATCCTAGCCTTGAATCCATCAACTTCTATTTGCTGCATCTAACACTGATGCGAGAATATCTGGATCTCGAGTTCCACGACATTGAACCGGTGCTCCCGTTCGATTACAGTCTGGAGCACGTCATCGACGATTTTATTCTGCTGGCAGTATTCGTCGGAAACGATTTCTTACCTAACCTACCGGATCTTCACATTCATGAGAACGGTCTGGAGAAGCTATTCGATGTGTATAAGAAGGTCCTACCGTCCCTAGGTCCGTATGTTCTTACTCTGATTCCGCAATGTCTAACTTCCCTTGGCAGATGGGTATTTGAACGAGAGCGGTGTTATCAACACGAAGCGGCTACAAGTCATTCTGGACGAGATGGCTGACTGGGAGCGGGAGGTTTTCGAGAAGGAGTACGCGGACCTGAACTGGTACAAGGGGAAGCAGGCGAAGCACGTAAAGGAGATGGAGCCTGCAAGGAGGCGGAACAAGCTGGGTACGTGACATGTCGGCCAATCCCGTCACCTCAGTCGCTGACAACGCCACAGTCCTCACAAGGACACAGCGACAAGTCTTCGAAAAAGTCAAGGGGTTCATTCTGCAGCACAGGGATTCGACATCCCCAGAGACACGGAGGACTCGGCTCGCGATGCCGAACATCTTTCCTGCTCGAGATCGATTATTTATCACTAACCTTGCTGAGGAGCTGCATTTGTCCTTGACGTGGGATGAGTACGACGAGGATGACCAGAACCTCATAACGTGGCGGTTCCCCGGTGAGCTCGATGAGCCGCTGCCGGATAACGGGGAGGCGCTAGAACCAGAAGGAGAGGGCGAAGAGGATGACGTGTGGGAGGACGAGGATGACGAGGAGAGCAGGGCAGCCGTCGATCGTGTCCTGGCAAAGTACGAGAAGGCGAAGGTGATGGAAGAAGACAAGGATGGTGATTTTGATGCTCGGTATGAGATGTCTATCCACGACAAGATGGACGAGTGGAAGAGCAACTATTACAAGGTCCGTCGGTCGGCCCTATACGCGCTGTTGCTCGGCTCAACCACTGATTCGTCTCCCAGGGCAAACTGGAGATTTCTTACGACCGTCCGGAGGAGATGCATCCTCTGATCTACCGTTATATCGAGGGCATGCAGTGGGTCATGCACTACTATTACAGCGGAGTTGCCTCTTGGTCGTGGTTCTACAACTACCACTATGCTCCCCGAATTTCAGGTCAGTGACATCCTTATTAGTCCGTGCTTGTCTGACATCGTCGAAGACCTCAAGGGTATTGATCAGATGACATTCAATTTCGACTTGGGGACCCCATTCCGGCCGTTTGAACAGCTGATGGGTGTGCTTCCCGCAGCTAGCAGAGAGCTTATTCCGCTGGCCTTCAAGGTAGGCCTTCGTACACGGATGGTTCGACTAACTCTAAAGTCGCGGTATCACAGGAACTAATGACGGACCCTAATTCCCCTATCATCGACTTCTATCCTGAAGAGTTCGAACAGGACCTCAACGGGAAGAAGGCCGAGTGGGAGGCAATTGTCAAAATCCCCTTCATCGAGGAAAAGCGGCTCCTCGCCGCGATGAAAGGTCAGTATGATATGCACACACGCAGGCACTCAACGACTCACCTGGACCACAGCGCGAGAGCACCGTTTGACCGATGAAGAACGGCGTCGTAATTCCTTCGGAACGAGCACCAAATTCGCATACAACGGAGGGGAGCCAACCACCTACCCATCTTCCTTACCCGGCTTCTTCCCAACTCTGTATCGGTGCTACTGCAAGATGGTGCCCTTCGATCTCCCTACCCTCAACGGATTGCACCTTGTCGAAGGTCTTTTGGACGGCGTCCACCTCGGTGCAGATTCGTTAGCAGGCTTTCCATCTCTCCAGACCCTCCCGCACACTGCGGCGCTGGGCTACCACGGCGTCAACGTACATGGGTCTGAAAGTCGCAACAAGTCGATGATCGTGCACATCGAGAACCCGCACGAGCACCGCAAGGCGGAGGACGTCGCGAAAGAGATGATCGGCCAGCGTACGTTTATTGGCTGGCCCTTCCTGCAGGAAGGCATGGTGTCGGCGGTGTCAGACTCGCTGTTCAAATACGAGAAGATGGCTGTGATCCCTGGAAAACCGCTGAAGGTTTACTCCAACCCGCACTCACAGCAGGGTCTCGCAATGTGGAAGTCGAAGGCCGAGCAGAAAGAGCAGTTCTATTCGAAGAGATGTGGTGTCATCACGGGCGACATAGAGTTCCTCGTGCACGTACGGCCCCTGAAGGGTGAGTTCCAGTGCTTCATATCAGTTGCCGCGTGAAGTGACCTTTCTCTATGTAGGTATGAAGCGCTTAGACACAGGTGCTTTCGTGAAGGACTACGAGGGTCCTGAGAAAGAGACAGAGCAGCCTGTACAGTTGACCGTGTCGGAAGTCGTGTCAGAAGACCCTAGATATATGGAGAAGGACCCGCCACCGTTGTCTGAAGAATTTCCAGATGGAAGCAAGGTCTTCTTCCTCGGAGAGCACGCCTACGGAGTGGCCGCCTCAGTCTCAGCCACAAATACGGATACACTCTCGGTCATTCTTGCGGTACATTTGCGCCCTCGTTCTTTTTTTTCCGACGTGCTGATAGTCCATATAGTTCTTCCCGTCTGAGAAAGCCGAGAATGACAAGTTCACAAGCATCGTCAACCACCGCATGTCGAGTAGGTATTTCCCATCATTCAAGGCTGCCGACATGGTCGGACTCTCCGGGCGAGCGTTGTCGAAGATCACGTCGAGCTTCATGGTCATCACTGGCGATGGACAGAAGAACAACCTCGGCCTGAGTCTGAAGTTCGAGGCGAAGGGCCTGAAAGTCATCGATTACTCACGCAAGGACGGCCGCGCATGGGAATTCAGCGAAAAGGCAGTAGATTTTATTCGGGAGTACAAGGTTAGTCGTGGTCTCTGCTGGACATTGTAGCGGGACCGCCTGAACTCGATACAGGAGAAGTATCCTGAGGTCATGCGGACCCTGGACCGAGGTGGCGACGCGATGTTGACCGCCTCCGATATTTTCCCTGGCGCTGATGCCGACAGTCGTGTGAAGGAGGTGAAGCAATGGTTGCAATCGAAAGGGGTCCGCGATTTCGAGCCAGTCTCGCTCTTCTGTGACCAACTCAAGAAGGTACGTAAATGGATGTCATTTAGTCGTTGCGGTTTACCGATTGCCTTTTTCTTGTAGGAGACTGTCAGAGAGATCGAAGCACTTGCGGACGAGATCACCTCGACGAAGTCCCCCGATGCGATCAAGAAGGCAATGGTCAAGGGGATACCTCGGCAGGCTGTCTTGAAGCCCGCGCACGCTGTCTACCGGCTGCAAAATCAGCACTTTGTACTCGGTGACCGGGTTACCATGGTACAGGACTCCGGTAGCGTGCCCTTGTCGCTGAAGGGCATCGTCATTGGGATGAATGCGAAGTCGATGGACGTCGTCTGGGACGCGCCGTTCATGTCCGGGACGACGCTCGGAGACAGGTGTTCACAGTACCGCGGCGCGACGGTGGAGTTCACTTCCTGCTTGAATCTGACCAACCCGCAGTTCATCGCATCGACGAACCCTAAGGAGCCAACACAGCAGAGGCCGACGGCACCGTTCAAACCACGTTTCGGACCTGTTCCTGCGATTCAGCCACCCCATGGGCAGCAGGCTGTTGCCGGGTTCCGACCTGCACCGCCAAGGTATGTCGATTGGATCTGGTATCGTACGAAGAGGTAGATACTTACGACGCTCACAGCCAAGGTGTGCCGGTGCACATCATGACGAATCCCAATCGTGGCCGCGGTGCGTTCATGAATGGTCGCGGTGGACCATCACACATTGCCAACGGCCGCGGCGCACATCAAGGCACGCCGAATGGTCGCGGAGGCTCGATATCCGCTGCACATGTAGTATCCAATGGCGGTGGACGACCTGTTGATGACCAGCCATACGTCAATGGCCGAGGAGTACCTCTCGGAGAGCAGTCTTCTGGGCAGAACGACTTCAACGCAGCACGAGTACCAGTCGTGAACGGCGGCAGGGGCAAGGCACCATTTGCACCTCGAGGAAATTTCGTACCGCCTAGAGGCGCCCCTGCGGGACAATCTCGAGGAGGCTTCGGTGACCGTGGTCGTGGTGGGTTTGTGCCCAACGCTAATCGGGGGCGGGGAGGGCCGCCGCGAGGAGAATATCGAGGGTACCGAGGAGGACGTGGACGGGGTACACCCAACCCCGTCGTTTCGTAAGGCTAGGATATCCGGACCGTGCAGTACGTTATCATGTCGCAACTGGGACAATCGGGACTGGTATTGTATCTTGATGTGTCAATTATCCCTAGCCATACATTGCTATCGTATCGCTGTTACCCACCCCTTTTAGTCTGTTGTTACGATACGTGTACTACTACCTGTAGCTGGGCTGTACCGAATAGCCCACTCCCCTCATTACTGTGATGTTACACACAACGCATTCTTTACATGCATCTAGCTTATGGCGACGTCGACCAAGTTTCAACGAGGTCCTGCCCATTCAATATACTATCTGGCACGCCTCTGCAGCACTATGATGCTACGTTCAAGCATTTGTGATAGCAGCTATTTTCAATTTCTCAACTTTATGCTACTCGTATGACGTGCTAAGTATGTGTCGTCAACATCTCAATTAAAGTAAACATGCGTTTCCGGTGGATGCGGGCGTACTACGCGGGGTTCGCGCTGCACTATGAGAGCATGTGACCGCGAACGCCTGGCGCGGAACGCGAGTCACGTCCAAAAAATATTTCGACGCGCTGCAGAGTCGCGCGGTTTGCCATCCGCGCCTCAGCCACCTTGCTCGTTCCAGTCCCGCCTCAGTCTTCTCTAACATCCTCTATCACAGCGAGCGATGGCTGAGATTCACGACCAATTCGATACTATCCTCATCCTGGACTTCGGCTCCCAGGTATGTCAGGGTCATCTCTCAGTTGGCCAAGCTAAAGCTCATCTACAGTACAGTCACCTCATTACTAGGAGATGCCGCGAGCTCAATGTGTATGCTGAACTCATGCCATGCACTCAGAAGGTCAAGGCACTCAGTTGGAAGCCTAAGGGTGAGTCGCGACCATCTACATAGGCGGAACCCTTCTCAGTGATCGTCTAGGCATCATCCTCTCGGGGTCGCCTTACTCTGTGTACGATGCTGATGCTCCTCACGTTGACCCTGATGTCTTCGAGTTGGGAGTCCCTATTCTGGGCATTTGCTATGGCCTTCAGGTAAGCCCCTGGATTGGCCCACAAGATCGGGGAACAGGCACCTTACGTCTAGGCCAAGTAGGAGATTGCATGGCAGTTGAAGGGGAAAGTGTCCAAATGCGATCACCGAGAGTACGGATTCGCGCAGATTCAAATCAACAGATCTGGCTTTGGTATACAGACGGCCGATGCACTCTTCGAGGGACTCGGAGAAGAGATGCAAGTACGTACAGTGTCTCCCCTGCCCCTGTCACACGACGTTAATTTCAACCTCTCGTTAGGTGTGGATGTCGCACGGCGACCAGCTCTCCGAGCCGCCGGCAGACTTCCACGTTATCGGTCGCACCACGACTGCTCCCTACGCCGCACTCGCACACAACAGCAAGCCGCTATATGGCATCCAGTTCCACCCAGAAGTCACTCACTCTCCCAAAGGCAAGGAGGTGATTGGCAACTTCGTCTTGAAGATCTGCGGGTGCAAGTCGAATTGGACAATGGTCGGTCCTGTTCTTCGTTTGCTAGGCTATTTTGATGAGGCTCATGACCGTGTATAGGAGGAGTTCATTGGCAAGGAGATTGCACGGATCAGGCAGATCTGTGGACCGAAGGGCCGTGTCATCGGTGCCGTAAGCGGTGGTGTTGACAGCACTGTCGCTGCAAAACTCATGCATGAAGCCATCGGAGACAGGTATGCCCTCAATGTCACCTCTCAATCGTACTGTACTCACATACACGCCTCGTTTCAGATTCCACGCCATCATGGTTGATAATGGTGTTCTCCGTCTCAACGAAGCACAACAGGTGCACACAATGCTCAACCGCGACCTGGGTGTAAATCTGGTGGTCAAAGACGCGTCTGACCTCTTCTTCTCGCGGCTCGCCGGAGTCGAGGACCCCGAGCAGAAGCGGCGGATCATTGGAAACACCTTCATCAACGTGTTTGAGGAGGTGGCGGCTGAGATCGAGGCCGTCGCCGAGGCGGAGGAGCGTGAGGGCGCCGAGGCCAAGGGCGAGATTGAGTGGTTGCTGCAGGGCACGCTCTACCCGGACGTGATTGAGAGCATCAGTTTCAAGGGCCCGAGTGCGACGATCAAGACACATCACAACGTCGGTGGCCTGCTCAAGGACATGAAGCTCAAGCTCATTGAGCCCCTGCGCGAGCTCTTCAAAGGTAATACATCCTTCCTCATACTGTCTCACAATAGTTCTGATTTTTGCCGCTTTGAAGACGAGGTTCGCGCTCTCGGACGCCTCCTCTCCATCCCCGCCCCGCTCGTGCAGCGGCACCCGTTCCCCGGTCCCGGCCTCGCGATCCGTATCTTGGGCCCAGTTACCCGCGAGCAGGTGCAGATCCTGCAGAAGGCGGACAGCATCTACATCGAGGAGATCCGCGCGGCGGGCCTGTACGAAAGCATCAGCCAAGCGTTCGCGGTGCTGCTGCCTGTGCGTGCCGTCGGCGTCATGGGCGACAAGCGCACGTACGAGCAGGTCATCGCGTTGCGAGCGGTGCAGAGCGAGGACTTCATGACGGCTGATTGGTGAGTGTGCAGCTGGCGTGGGGGACGTGATGTCGGGGTGACTGATGTCGTGTGTGTGTTTGTGTGCAGGTTCGTGTTCCCCGCGGACGTGTTGAAGAAAATCTCCTCCCGGATTACAAACGAGGTTGCGGGTATCAACCGGGTTACCTACGACATCTCGTCCAAACCCCTGCTGTAAGTCCCTACAGTCTTGTCTCATCGGATTATGTGTCTCATCCACTTCTCACCAGACCATAGAGTGGCTGTAAACAATTGAGGACAATCTGTGCTGTAGTTGTGTGTTTGTGTAGAATAGACCTGTACCTCCAATCATCCGGCTGCATTCTAGTACCAATACTTTCGTAGAGATCCGCTGAATGACCTGCTCCCTCAGAGTTCTTTCCAGTTGCAAGCATCGCTCCACGCCAACGCAGCCTTGTATAGCGTCAGCTCCTCCCAGAACCTTCCGACGAGCTGCATGCCAATCGGTAGGCGTAGGTCGTCTGGGCCTTCGGGCGGCGAAAGCATCCCCAAGGAATAGACAGCGCTGGGTGGCCAGTGTTGTTGTATGGAAGCGTGTTGAACGTCTAATGGGCGATCTCAGTGTTTGCCCAGCATATGAACTCGTACGAGATACGTACCAGTCCGTTGTAGTCCTTGTAGTGATCAAGGAGCGACGCCTCCCGTGGCTAGGTGCAGATAGTGAGTTTACGGTACGACATTATCGATACATGAAGGCGCCTGACCTGCATGACCTTCGGGACCCAAGGAACTGTTGGCATGACCAGGACGTCGACGTTCTCTAGAACTGCGTCGTACTCTGATCGCAGCCTGCGGAAGAGATTGTGCGTCTTGCCGTGAAGCTAAGCAAGCTCAACAACTATAGCCGTCGACTCAAGTCCCGTGCTCACCTGGGGATAATGTTCGTCGGCGTAAATGCCATTGATGAGAATGTTCGCGGAGTTTGCGAAGAGCTGTCGGTGGTACCGCTGAGTGCGATTCAGATCCGGGAGGGGTTGGGCCTGACCTTATCGAACTTCTCCTGGTTCCATGGAAGGACTTTCTCTACGAAGTCGGTCAGGTACAACTGCCGCGTCCCGCTCGCACGACCGAGCATGTTGTTTGCTTGCGAGAACCTGTCGCGCACGCAGTCAGTCTGGGAAGCCCGCGCTTCCCACATGCGGACACACACCTCTGCACACGGCCAATCAACGACGCCTGCACATGCCCCGGTACGCTGACCTCGACCACCTCCGCACCGAGATCTTCGAACTTCCGCGCCGCGCGTGTCACGCACTCCACGACCCTCGGATCCGCGGCCTGGCACATTCCGCCCTCCTTCAAGATCCCCACCCGCATTTTGCGCGTCTGCCCAGGTTCCGAGGCAGTCGCGTCCGACGGCAAGCCGACCTGCAGGAGGGCCCCAGGGCGCGCTCGCGCGGCTGTGAGGAGCGCGGGGTAGTCCGGGACGTGCGCGCGCGAGGGCGTGCCAGCGATCTGCCTGTCATCGATCCCGTCCGTGCCCGCGATGGCGCGGAGGAGGAGCGCGTTCGAGAGGACGTCGGGGGACATGGGCCCGGTGTGGTCGAGCGACACCTCGTTGGAGACGATGCCCGTGTAGGGTACAAGCCCGAAGGTGGGTTTGAGGCCGACGATGCCAACGTGCGAGGCGGGCTAGGACAGCAGGACGATTAGTGGCGTGTGACTGGGAGGTGCATAAGTTTGAACTGACCAGGCGGATGGAACCTCCTTGATCTCCGCCGATGGCGAGGTCAGCTTCGCCTATTACGACGAGCACGCCGCAGCCAGAGCTGGAGCCACCAGCGGACCGTATCTTGTCGTACGGGTTGCCCACGGGTCCGAGGGCTGAGGTGTTCGAGATCCCGAATGCGGAGACTACATAGGTTTACCGACATCAGAGCCTTCCTGGACTGGATTGCTGATAACATCACGAACAGCTTTCGCACGTCGCCTTTCCGACAATCTGCGTTGAAAGAGTCAGACAACGAGAAAGCACTATCGTACTCTGACAAACGCACGGTTCCGCCCGCTTCGAGCACGCGAGTGACGACCGTAGCATCGGTTTGGGGTACCCAGTCTGTGAAGACATCTGTACCGAAGTGACAGGGAACGCCAGCGAGACAAACGTTGTCCTGTACGGTCGAGGCATTATTTGCGTAATCAAACAAGACGTTCTCTGAGTCGATTGTAGCATTACCTTCAGGACCACCCGTTTGCCCGTGAGGATACCGGCCTCTGCTTCCTCCTTGTTTACGTCCTCTACGACTACCTTGGTAGCCCAGGCGTTGTACGGATTCTCGCCCGAAGCAACAGTGGCTATGTCAGTGCGAGGGTACCTCTGAACCTCAGGTACTGGGTAGTAGTCTATATGTATTTCAGAGTCGATCCTCAGCGTCCAGGATCTGCGGATATGGAACTTCGCGTACCATCCATGGCCAAGACTTGCTGCATTGCTTCCCTTGCACTCGCTAGCATGTCGGTGAACTCGTCCTCCTTCTCGGCTGGTACGCAAATGCCGATCTTGGCGGCCGTCTGCTGAAGGACATCTCGTGTAACAGGCGACTGTTTGGGAGCAGGCGGGTCAGTAAGTGAGGCAGACATTGAGTCAGGACAATGAGAAGTCAGTATGTCGACCGTATGTTCGCAGGAGTCCTTACCTATATACGTCACCGGCTCGCAGTGGAGAGATAGAAGGTGTAGGATCTCCAGTACTCAGCCCGCTTATCGACAGACGGGAAAACAAGTCACACCTACGCCGATGGAGCTGAAGGAGCTCCGCACGGCTGTCTTCTGCCCGCGTCTTCCTACGATTCGAGATAACGTTGAGACGTCGACAAAGGTCATCTGTATCATGTACGTACGACAAAATTCGACATCTTGACTGGAAAGCTGAGTCATGTAAGTAGCATGAGAGGTGTGCGGTGAGCGTAACCCTGAGATGACTGCAGATAGTAACGCACATGTACGGTATTCCATCATGCTCACACAATGAGAAAAAAAGTACGTACTTCCGTGTTGTTGATATCTTCCACTGCGTCTTGAATCGATGTAGGTACTGTACATAAGTAGAGGTTCAACGTAACGGAGAGTATCAAACATGCAGTCGATCCAATGAACGCCAAGCAAACTAGCTTTACATAAGCAGACGAAGGATAAGCAGACGAAGGTCAAAGTCTGCAAAATGATTCTGCCCGGGATGAACCGGGAGCCTTCAGCGATAAAATCCCTAACCATAGGTGTGAAGCAGACGTCATAACCATTAGACCACAGAACCTTGCTTTCAGTACAGCAAGTAGACTAGGTATCGTTGCTAAAAGAGGAAACTTCCGTGTCGGCGATCAAATTCGACCTTCGCGCGCCGACGCGTGTGCCGCCCATTACTTACTTTCCGCGAGACTTAGACCACTGCCAAAACTCTCGGAACGTATCGCGCACGCGCCTTCCTGGACGGGATCCAACCAACGCCCGATGGCGGCGGAGAAGAACAATGCGGAGAAGAACAACGAGAAGTTGTTCCCTCTCTTCCGTAGGAATCTGGCGGAAAACAACGTAGGCCTGTATGCTGCCACGGCAGAGAAGTTGGCGTTGTGGGCAGCGCGAGCAAAGGCATACTATCCTTTTGCAAGGCCGGTGGTGAGTGCGCAACGCTTGCTGCATGGTACAACGCACCTGATCAAGAAAGGCACCTGTAGATCGTCGAGTTGCTAGAGGTATGTTCAGTTCTTGCTTGCTTAGGTCATTTCACGCGAACGAACTGCCTGTTCGTCGCGAATGTGGGACTGTGCGATGAATGCATTATCATGGGCCCTGAACTGGCCAAGAAAGCTGTAAGTGAAACGACGGGCTGTGGCATGAGCAGTCAGTGGCATGAGCAGTCAGTGGCATGCCGAAACACGGAGTGGTCGAGGCGAACCAGGGCGGAGATGTAGACATTGCAGCTTGCGCGCGCTGTATACTCATACATGAGTGCTCTCTCTTGTTATGGAGCATGATGTTACCTTTCAGAACAATGTTCAATGCAGAAAGCTGAACCATGAACGCCCATAGACTGCCCACGCCCAAGTACGTCGTCACAGCAATGCACCTGACAAACCGTTCCACATGAGCGAATGCCCTGAATCGCTCAAATTATGGGCCGATCCCTACATCAAGTTGCTCCGGACAGTGGCACCCTACTACCACCTCTTCCCAGAGCCTCAGCTTCAGGGTAAGCGCATTCAAGCACTCCACTGCAGTTCTTCCTGAAGCATTATTTATGTCGTCACTAATAGCTCGTTTGCGTGCCCTCCTGCAGGCGATTGACGTCGATCCGCCTCGGAAGCAGACAGCGCAACATCTGCCACCTCATGGTATTTCACCGCATCCAACGGACAGAGTAGCACATTCAGCCTCACCTGTGAATCGTCTATCGGCCCCGGTCGTTCCGGGACCGTTGATCGCAGGTCAGTGCGAAGTCCGCTGGTGCATAACGAGTAGAAGTGATGACCGTTGTTTGTAGCACATCCAACGGGGACTTCGAACTCGAGTGCAGTGGAGCTAGGGACGCCTCAACTCTCACTCTCGCGGGACAGACATGCCATTCCGCCCGTTTCCATTCATGTCCTGCCTTCTTCGCTGAGGCAGGAACCCCAGCAGACTCCGCCCGCGTTCTCGCCGGGGCTCTCCACCCCTACCCTGTCCGCACCGACGGCCAACGGCAGCGTGCGTTCTCCAAGCATAGGCGTGCCAGCAGTCGAGCCTACCCCCTCGACACCAATAGCTGGGCCCTCAACAGTCCCGGCCACCGAGTCGATCTCCGCGCCCCCAAAGCGGAAAGCGAAGAAGAAAAAGAAACGGCTGACTGAGGACGACTTCATCTTGGCCGACCTGGCGGACTGGGAGTCTGCCAAGGCGAACAAGACCGGGCAGCCCGCCTCGCCGTCGATCGCGAGCGCCGTGTCCGCGGGCAAGGCGGAATCTACGCCGAGCGTACACGCCGATCCTCAGACACCGAGGGAAGGGTCTGTACCGGGCCCCTCTGGCTCGAGGACTAGCGGTACGGCAACCGCGAGCGCATTCGAGCATCTAGAAGCCCCTACATCAAATGGAGCGACCGTCGCTCCAGCATCTTCGACTGCTGCTCCTGAAGCAGCCGCATCAAAGCAATCGACGCCTGTTCCCGCGGCCCCGGCAGAGACAACCTCTGTTACTGCTACATCTGCAGCGGAACCAGCGCCGTCAATCCCAGCGGTACCAGCTGCCTTTCCCCCGGGCAAACCAGCGGAACTCGACCTTCGCGCACAGGCCACTTCCCCAGGCTCGCCGAAGTCATCCAAGAAAAAGAGGCCGTCGCAAGAGTTGCATGTCGTCTCGGGGAACATGCCTCCTACGAACATGCCCGTAAAGAGGAAGAAGCACTCACCCGGGCTGATGGTCTTCCGCGTGGATCCGCAGCCGACCGGGGCGCAGCCGGGTTTGCTACCAACAAATGGCAGCGCGCCCGAGGCTGCTATTGGGAAGGAACAGGCAAGACAAAGGGACGGAGATGTGCCACACCCCGGGGTAGCGGGGATGGATGTCGTTATGGAGGACAGGGATGAAGCACCGCTCAGAGAGTCAAAGCCAGCCTTCACCAACTTGGCGGATCCTCAGGTGGTGGAGGAGACTTCCGGTACACTGCAAGGGCAGGAATCGCGACAAGAGAATGCTGGCCAGGTGCAATCGACTTCTTCCTCGTCTGCGACGGCTTCCCTGCCTGAACATGCATCGGAAGACGTGGTTATGGATGACCTGGTGCACAGTCCCGAAGTGGACCAAGCGGGATGGAATGCCGAGCCCATGGAGCTCGATAGCAGCCCAGCTGTTGAAGTTCCTGCAGGAACGACAGAAGAGGTTGCCATGGACATAGTGAGAGAGCCCGCACCGAGTCAAAGCAACGATAGCCAGCCATGGGCAACTTCTACCGGTGGGTCCTCGCCTCCACCAACCGACAAACCTCGTGTCGGTGTAGTCAGCTCTGAGGGGCCGGCGCGTGCCGCGGGCCACCCGCAGCTGGAAGGCGCGGTGGCCTATAAAGCGGAGGGCACAAGCATGGACGTGGACACTCAGCCAGCTGCAACCACACTACAGTTCACTATGTCGTCCAACTCAACCGAACCCTCGCCATCGACGGACCGTCCGTACGAAGGTGTCATCCGGGAGCTAGCTGATAAGAAGGGGATGTCCGGTAACATCGCCTTGAGGATCGTCGACGCTGTGGCCGAAGAACCACAGTTGGAAGCTAACAACGTATGTCCTCCCGACTGACGCGTAGGTCTTTCCATTAACTGACTATTTCTAGTTCCACCTGGCACCAGCGGAGTGGTCGACGGAAACTCGCTCTTCAAGCCCGAGCGACTCCAATGACGAGTTGAGCGCGCCCTCGCTCGAGGAGCCCGTCGTGCCTCGTAAACGGTCGCGTTCCCAGTTACAACAACCGGAAGGCGTCGATCAGGACGTGAGTCGAAAACGAAGGACCGAGTCGCCTTCACCGACGCCGGCACCCACCACGGCCACGGTCGACCACCCAGTCCCAGCAGCGCCGTCCACTGAGCAACTACTCGAAGAACCGGCTCCCACTGCTGACCAACCTATTCCGCAACAAGTTCCTACCGTTCAACAACCTCTTCCAGGACCGACCGAGGATCATCCTGTCGTAGAACAAGGCGTTGCTGCAGCTGTCTTGGCGGACGCTGACACAAAGCAAGACGCGCCTTTTGCGGACAAAGCTGGCGAGCAGACAACAGAGCTCCAATTCCGTGTGCCTGACGACGCCGAGGTCCAAGCGCCACAACAACAGGACATCGATAAAGAGGAGGGCGAGGCAGACGAGTCTGAGGAACCGCCCGTCACTTTGGCCAATATACCTCCGGAGGAAGGGGAGATACGGATGCCTACCCCGACACCGCCGCCGGCCACAGCGCAGCCTATCCCGATACCCCCGGTCGATCTAAACAGCCCACTTGCGTATTCTGAGCTACGCGTCCTCGACTGTCGGCGCGGATCAGATGAGAATGAAGTGGTTTCGAGTTCGACGTCGACGCTGAGCTGATGGCGACTGTGTCGCGATGGGTTGGACGTTACAAGTCTACCGAGTGAGTTCATATTCTGTAGATTGATCCTGCTCATGCATCTGACACACTCCCTAGCGACGTGTCGAGGGATAGATGTGTTTCACTTTCCTGCTATCCCTTCAACGACTGCGTGGACTACATACGGGCAAAATCCAGGGACACGGCCGCGGAATCCTCGTACGAGAAGCTCTGTCGTAACGTCGTTATGAAGTGGCCCAAAGATGGACGACTTTGGGCTGAACTCACCAATTCAGATGGCGAGCACAGGGTCACGCTTTCTCCGCCGTTCATGGTGAGTGTATCTTTGTCTTGCGACGACGTTGTATTCACGCGCGCCATCGACACAGCGCAAGACGGATCAGGTCGTCGACTTCAGTGAATACGTCACGCCTGGCAAGAACGTTTTGCACATCTACCAGCTGCGGGACCACTCCGACTTCGTGTTCACGCTCAATGTCCACACGCCCGTGCCGTCGCAGCTGCGGGAACTGCAGCAGCGCCGCGATCACGACGCGCACTGGAAGAGTTTCCTGAACGGCCTATTTGTATTCGAGTTCCCGGAGCTATCCTGGAACAAGAGCATCAATGCGGTCAAGGTCTGAGGCTTTCTCGTCTGCTCGTGCCAAACAGACTGGATGTCCTCTGTGTTGTATATGATAGCAGTGTTCTCACGTGGTGTTGTGTCGTCGTATCTAACTGTCGCGCTGTCCTGTCGTCGCTTTCGTCAAACTGACTGCTCTGCGCACATCTTATGGCAATGCATTTTCTACCTTCTGCTTCGTGCATGACCTGTCATGCTCAAGTACACAGCAAACACAGACTGGACAAAGTGGGCCCTAATCAGGATGTTACCACCAGACAACACCCTTCATGAGTCTCCTGCCCGTGCGGACTACCTTTGCACTCGACACCTCGCCGTCCTTCCTCGCTGCCCCCACAGTTACAACGCCGCCCGGATGCCTGATCCTAACCATGCTATCGCCCGTGGTCGTCGATATCTGTGCTCCGCGTGCACGAGCGATCTGCCAGGGGATCGAGCCCTCCACTCCCGCAGCGACGCCCAGACACAAGCCCAGCGTCATGGGGACTGCTTTGTGCAGCACACCCATGGAGTACGCGTGCACGACGATGTCCGCCTGTGAGTCGTCCGCTGCGGGCTCGCTGAGAATGGCGATCTTGGGCTGCGCCTCCGCCTCCGGGTCGAGCCCCATGCGCTCCGCGCCCAAGCGACGAAGTTGTTCCACGGCGAGCTGGATGTGGACGCTCGTGTAGTCAGATGCAGTCGTGTCCGGCACCGCAGCACGCAAGCCGTCTGCGGTGATGAAGACGGTCGGATTCGTGGCGTCCACGAGAGACATGGGCACGGCCGCCGCGCCGCCCCCGGATGCGAACTGAACGGTGTCTACAGGCTGCGCCGTCGGGAGCAGCTTGCCCGTGCGCGCACCACCGGGCGAGACGAAGTCCAGCGTGATCCTGGATGCTTTCCCAGACACACCAGCCATAGTCTCCTCCTCCAGGTCGAGCAGAGCGGTCGGCTGCCCGTCGTCCAACGAGACGGGGAACGTCGCGTCGATGCGCTTCTGCGTGTTCGTGTTCCACGCAGTCACCGTCGCGGTCGGCACGCGGGCGGACGTGTCCACCGTGCGCAGCGCGCAGAGGCCCTCGTCGAGCGCGAACACGCCGATCATGCTGGAGAGGTTCCCGCAGTTGCCGGAGTAGTCGACGAGCTCGTCGCGGATGCCCACCTGGGCGAAGGTGTACTCCACGTCGATCCCCGCGGCGCGCTGCTCTTCCGACGCCGCGCCGACGACGCAGACCTTGGAGAGACTCGATACGCCTCCACCCATGCCGTTGAGTTGTCTGCCGTACTTGGGGTCGGGCGAGCCCATGATGCCCAGGAAAATGGGGTCCCATTGGGCGGTATCACCAGGGAGGTCTGCGCGGTTCAGGTAGATACCTTTGGACGTACCGCCTCTCATGAAAGAGGCCGGGATGGGATTCGAAAGGCAGACGTCGACTTGAATGCTCTGTGCATGGGGCATGGTCTGCGAGATAGAACCTGAGAAGTCGGTGATAGACGCAAGAGGCGCGACGATTGAGCACAAACATTCATAGTGGTCGCGCCGAGCACAGAGCACTGTCAATGTCGCAATAGCAATGCAACAAGATCCCGGTTGGAAGTCAGGAGGAGCCTACATGAATGAGATATGTGGGCAGGACAGATGATGCTGTGGGTCTCGGTCAAGTGCCTCGGCCTAAGTACGACACCCGCGGTGAACGAGACTCCAGTGCTGAGCACAGATGCACCTAGAGGCTCGTTGACTAGTCACTCACTGACAGAGCAGGACACTGATGATACATGGAGGGGAGTTGTGAGTCTTGATAGTATACAGATATTGTAGTAATGTCGTGACAGACAAGCGTGCTCTAACCTAGTGCAAATGGTACGGATATCGACACAGCAAGTAACGAACGTAACGGGCGACGATCATGGCTGGGCGAGCGTGTCCTTCCACCGCTCCGCGATCGGCTCGCCGCCGAACACCTCCTGCAGGACCTCCCGGATGTCCTCAACGTACACGAACCGGATACCGGTCTTGACGCTCTCTGGGACGTTTTCCTCAATGTCTGGACGGTTGGCCTCTGGCGCGATGATGGTCTTGACACCCGCGCGGTGCGCGGCGAGGATCTTCTCCTTCAAACCACCAACTGGCAGCACTTGTCCGACGAGGGAGATCTCACCAGTCATAGCTACAAACCATATAAGTAAGTTACATCGTGCGAGCAGGAGAACAGACATACCGATGTCAGGGTTGACCTTTGTCTTGGTGAAGAGCGACACCAGGGCAGTCGTGATAGCAGTACCAGCGCTGGGTCCCTCCTTGCCGATGCTACCCTCAGGCATGTGGAGATGAATGTCACGATCAACCATGAACTGCTCGTCCGGCGTCGACGTGATCCCGAGCTCGTATGCATGGCTCTTGACCCAGCTCATCGCGATCTGGGCGCTCTCCCTGATGACCTCTCCGAGCTTGCCAGTCAACTGCAGCCACCCTTGCCGGGCATCGTCTGTTCCGCCGTCAGAACGATACTCAGAAGACAATAAATGAAGAACTCACAGTTGCCTCGATCGGCATGACCGCTCCCGATCCGTTACCCAGGTATCCCAGACCAGTGCTGACGCCCGGTGGCGGCGGCCTGGTGTACATCCTGTCCCGATAGTATACCGGCGGCCCGACATAATCCTTCAAGTTCTCCGGTGTGATGCGAACGTGTACGGTATCGGGCACCTTCATCGGCTTGCGCTCGACGGTGGTGACCTTCCGCTCTTCGGACGGGTCCTCCTTGTCGTCTTAGGGCAGTCGACTCAGGCGCAGCGGGATCGTTCGGGGGCGGTTCCTGCTTCTCCACCGTCGTGCCCTCGTCCCGGGTCTCGGCAGCCGCCGCGGTCTCCTCAGGGAAAGCGTCCTCTCCGAGGTCCTGGATCAACTTCAGCGCAGCTTTGCGGTAGATCTGCGAGACAGAATGAGCATTGTAGGACGTGACAGACGAAAGCTAGCGCACCTTCTCGATGTGCTTCTTCAAGTTCCGCACACCGCTCTCACGGGCGTAGTACTTGATGAGCACATCGATTGCAGTCGGATCTAGCTGCACGTCGGCTTCCTTCAGCCCCGACGCCTCCTTAGCCTGCGGCCCCAGATACTGTTCCGCGATCTTGGACTTTTCCTCGGAGACGTAGCCGCTGACTTCCAGCACCTCCATGCGATCAAGCAGAGGCGCAGGGATGGTGTCAAGAGTGTTGGCTGTGACAGAACCACTCAGCTACAAAGTCATGGAATGCTCGACCGAGTCGCCTTACCGGTACAGACGAAGAGAACTCGGGACAAATCAACAGGAACATCCATGCTGAACAACTGCCGTCAGGACATCGTGTATGCGAGAGAGGGCATATCTTACTAATGATCAAGGAAAGCAGAGTTCTGCTCAGGATCCAGCATCTCCAGGAGCGCGCTAGAGGGGTCGCCATTAATCCCTCGGCCGATCTTGTCAACCTCGTCGATTAGGACCAACGGGTTCTCCGTCCCAACCCTCTTCAGGGCTTGGATGATCTTGCCGGGCAACGCGCTGAAATACGATTAACATGACAATCCTCATATGCTGGCAATCACGTACCCAACGTAAGTTCGCCTGTGACCCTTGATCTCCGCGACGTCCGTCAGACCGCCAACCGAGAACCGGAAGAACTGCCTGTTCAACGCGCGAGAGATAGACTTTCCAATCGACGTCTTGCCAACACCAGGAGGGCCGACAAGGCAGATAATCTTGCCCTCGACCGTCCCCCTGAGCTTGCCGACAGCGAGGAACTCCAGGATCCGATCCTTGACGTCCTTCAGCCCATAGTGATCCTCGTCCAGGACCGTCTGCGCGTGCGCGATCGAGTAGTTCTCCGGGGAGTGCTGGCCCCACGGGATCTGCGTGAGCCACTCGAGGTAGTTCCTGGTGACGTTCGCCTCCGACGCCGACGGCTCGAGGTGCATCAGCTTGTTCAGCTCCTCGTCGAACACCTTCCGCACGCCCTCTGGCATCTTCAGCGACGCCGCGCGTTCCTTGAACTTCTCGATCATCTTGTCCTTCCCGTCCGACTCCATGCCGAGCTCCTTCTTGATGCCCTTGAGCTGCTCCATCAGGTAGTACTCCCGCTGGCGCTTCGCGATCTTGCTGTCGACGTCGCGTGCGAGCTTGCTCTGCAGCTGCGCGTTGATCAGCTCCTTCTTGAGCACGAGCAGCGCCTTGCGCAGACGGTCATCGACGACCAGGCTCTCGAGGACGTCCTGGAGCTCGTTTACGTCACCGGTCGAGACGGCCGCGGCGAAGTCGGCGAGCTTGTCGGGCTCGTCGAAGACGTTCGAGGCGACCTGGTTGATGGAGAAGTTCGTGATCTGGTCGCGGAAGAGCGGGTTGAGCTGCGCGATGTCCTTGAACACAGAGACGATCTCGGACATGAACGCCCGGATGTACTGGTCGTCCTTGTTGTACGGCAGCGTCTCGAGGTTGTCCACATTGACGATGGAGATCGCGTAGTTCTGCAAGAACGAGGTCTGAATGAGTCCTGGGAGACGATTAGTCACAGTAATATTCGAGGATACAATTTACGTACCTGGTGTGCTAGTCGGCTCGGGCGGCGGCGTAGGCAGGGACTCTTCCGCGGACTCGACCTTGGCGCTACCTCCCTTGATCAACTCCGTAATCTTGATCCTCCGGTGTGGGTACAGAACAGCCGTGAGCCCTTCGTCCTTGTCGTCCTCCTTGCCACCAGCCGTGAACACGCTCGTGATCTGCGCGAATACGCCGACCGGGTGCACCGAGTTGATGTCCGTGATCACGTCGCTGTCCGTCTGCTCGTCCTTGAGGAGAAACGCGCCGAGGTATGGCTGGCCGCGACGCATCATCTCCTTGATCGCTGCAACGACCGCAGGATTCCGGATGACGACTGCCTTGTAGAAACCGGGGAAGAGGGGGCGCCGAGCGATGGGGAGTGCCAAGACCTGGGGGTAGACTTCGGGTACAGACTGCTTGGATATGGACGTCTGTGGAGGTGCCGGAGGTTCAGGAGGTGGTGATGACGGAGGGTCACTGCTGTCAGGATTGTCTCCCGACGATGACGAGGAGGATGAGGATGCTGGCGGGGCAGACTGGGCCGGAGGAGCCTGGCCATCCTCTTCACCATCCATACGCACTACTTCTGACCGCTCCGAGTCCGCGTCCTCTCCCTCCTTGCTCGCGGGTACTGTCCGCGCGTGGTGAGTCTTGTTGTTCACCCACCTCGGATACTGCGTGATCAACGACGACTGCCAGTCATTGACTGTCGTTGAGTAGAAGGAGCGGCGCGGTGCACACGCGGACCTGGGCACTCTGGACGGTAATTGCGGTGCTAACCTGGATGGGCCGGGTTCCGCGAGCGAGGGTAATTGGCGGCTACATGACCGCGTAGCAGATGTCCGAGCTGTTCTGAGGTTGCCAAAGATATTCATACGCAGAAGAGACGGCAGCGAGCTTTATTGATTCGGAGCGAATTCCAGCAGCAACGCACCACCCGCCAGCTAGGTGTGTAAGACCGATTAGATAGAGCTGGTCAGGCGAGCGTGACTATGCGGCCCCGTCACTGGCTTGTCGTCTGGCAAAGACCTGCATGTCAGAAAACAAGACAGATATGCGCAGAACGTTGCACGAACCTCCTGTGGTTGTGAGTGGACCGCACAAGTGAATGGCGGTGGAAGAGGAAGAGGGCAAGTAATACCTTGCCGCGACGGCGCTGACGAACGCGTTCATGCGCACACAATTTTAGCGCCTAGTGACCTTACGTGTCCTAATCCGCTTAGCTAACTTATTCAGCGAAAATCGATTGCAAATCTTCCCGTCTTCGGTGCGGTCTCGGATCTAAGCATGGGGTCGCTGCGACTTGGCTGCACTCGTGGATCCTCACGATACTGGAATTTTCGGCTGGCATAGGACGGGAACGAATAGTTGCAGTGTTAGCAACAATGCGGAAACAGGTGGTATGTATGGGTGCGATAAATATCTGCCAGTATTATATGGGCAGAGACATCGTATGCCAATGAAAGCTGGTGCAGTAGTAACGTGGGTGCAGTGCGGCATATAGCGTTAGTATGATAGCAAAGTGACGATAACAAGATGCATCTATGAGTGCCGAACCTCCATGACTGCCGCATAAAGCCCACTATGACTCTGGCACCAAGAAACCGACCAGACAGACGTCGAGCATGTAGTCAAGATTCACCCATGCATGCGTCAGGGCTGCATGACCATCATGAGAACCCAGAGCGGTCCAGACTTATGAGTGAACACACCAAATAGTTTGCTCCCATCTCGGCCCGCCACCCTCATGAGTTCTTTCTCGCCACCGGGGTGGTATGGCAGGTACGGCGTGATATTGTACACCTTGCCATTGAATGCGGACCATGCATCGTCTCGCGTTCGATGTTCCTTCAGCATCGAAGGCGTCACCCGCAACAGCGTATCAACTCCCTGGGGGACGGATGCATCGCATCAAAAAGGCCAGCTTCACGAAGGAGAGGAATGTGTACACACCCTGAGATCTTGCCCCGACTTCTTGAGATTCGCCCAATCTAACGGCCCGTGTCCTGGCGCTAACGCAACCTTACCCCGCTTCGCAGAAGGCTTCAGCGGAGCTTTCGTCGTAGTGGGTGGGACCGCGAGTGAACTGCCACTTGGTACTCCGTGCTGTCGTACAGCCAATGACGGTACGGGAGGCGGAGGCATCAACTGTGCATCGGTCAAGGTGCGGGGTGCGCTGCTAGAAGGCTGCTGGCTGCCCAATCGCTGCACACTGTTAAGTGCGGGGAATGACGGGGGTACGTCGTCTGTGTCATCTCCGTGGACCGTAGAAGAATCATCGTCATCATCTTCCATGGAGATGGTCGGCACTTGCGTATCTTCGACGATGGCTGGAGGACCAGCAGGTGTAGGACGGTCTGCCGATTGCGGAGCCTGGCTATACAGCCAACTGCGTAGATAGGAAGCCATACCCGCGAAGAGTGAAGAGCCACGGACGAGGTAGAGAAAGCAAAGATTCCAGTGTTTGAGACAATTGTAGCTCAACGAGCAGGTTGACTTGAAGCAGTGAGCGTTTCAATTCGGCCGCCTTCGCTGTATGTAAGATTCACGTGGGCTGTGTTGCCACAATCGCTGAACCGTTTCAGAAGCGACAAAGTCGACACGCACATAGTGATAGTATAGGCAATCCAGCCAAGCGCAAGCATCTTGCATAGGCGGGAGGACAAGGGCTCGATTATTTGCCATCGACGTGCTCCAGTCGAGAAGGTACCATCGTCAGGCGCCATTAATTGGCACGTGGGGATACAATACTGTAAAAGAAAACTATAGGCTGGGTAGTACTAGGTAGGGCCTTACCACTCGACATACACAATGAAGTGCACACTCATGAACAGCAGAGACAGCTTCCTGCAATTTTTTATGCTCGATACCGACTAGTAGAGTCAGGAGGGCCATAGCACCGCGTCCAGCCAATTTGCGTGACTAGGCTGGCGTTACCGTCGACGCATGACCGTGACACTGCGCGGCATCTCAGCCACGACGCGCGCGCGGTCAATCCGTTGCGACGCGTTGCAATTGGCCTTCCAGTCCTTGTCTTACTCAACCATCGACTAGTTGACCCCCTCGCTTGATGTCTGGCAGGACTAAAGCTTCATCGAGTGAAGCGCACGCACCTGAACTTCACCGTCGCGCACATGAGAGTTCCTGTACTCCATACGCATGGATGCAACCATCCCGACAACCACGCTCTCTAGGCTGGACGCCGCTCGTATTGACCATGCGCCAATTTGATGCTCTCTGCATTTTTTTGCTTGTGTGGCTCTGATAAGATCTACAAGAAATATCGCGAGGTCTTTGACTCGGTTATGGAGGGAGAAGCAACAACAGTTGCGTGCTCGAAACAGACAGAGGTGCGATACATTGTGGGGTCTCCGATCGACGAAACTCTGACAAATAACAGGAAGAGCCCAAGGCGTTTCAGGCGTTCAACGCGGGCGTCGATGCGGTGGTGGGGAAGCTGGGTATGGTAGATCCGGCATCCCTCCACGCCATGAAACGCAAATGGATGTGCACGGTAGCGAGCCCGATGCATGTCTGACAACACGCTGTACTAACACTCACGGAATGAGGCCTGTAGGGACTACGTTTCCAGCAGAATCGACCTCAGACGCCATGTCAATGACTGCCGGCCGCGAAGGTCCGCCAAACTTCACGCTGAAGCAGTGCAGCAACCGCTGCCAACTCGTTCTCTCGCTCGTCTCCCAAGACTCCACTCTTTCAAACACGGCTAGGACGGCCGGGTAGATGTGGTATTGCAGTGCGACGTGCCACTGACGAAACCACAGAAGCGTGTCCGGTAAGTTCCACAAGTCGCAGGCAGTGCTCCGGTCGTAAGAGGTCTACTCGGACATGCATAAAGCGATCATGATGTTCAAACTTCGCATCCGGACAGTGGTACAGAAATTGACGTGGTCGTCACATCGGTAGTGCGAATATTCAGTTCAGCTCGGAGGTCATGCTACTGATCGTGTCAGGCTCGCGCCAGCTGATTGCACGAGTGGTAAACCGACGAACTAAGTGGGAGCGGTAGCCAGGCAGGTATGTTTCTGGCCGTGTGTACGGAATGATTATGCTAATTAAGGGCACGAACCAAGGATCTCCAAGTCAATAATGCACAGCCCCTGTCGTCTGTTCATCTAACGCTTCATGCCAGTGAAGGCTCTTGCCCAAACCGATGGCGCTTGGCGGCGGACCATTGGCAGAAACCACGGTAAAGTTGATTTCCTACACATGCGCTGTCCATGTCAGCATCAACTGTAGTTACAGCTCCCCCAAGGCATTCAAACTTCCACTCGTATGCACTGCGTTCCACTACCGTCTCTGATTCCCCCAAGCTTCGTTCCGGCAGATACGGTCACATGATCGCGGTACAGTCGCGTTTCGCGTGAGTAACCGATACACTGTACGTGCACGGTTAGTAGCCCACGAGCCAGTTTGTTTGAACAATCGTAAGACTCATTAGATAGCTACTGTACATCGAGAAGCTGGAATAACATAAGCCACGGCGCGGAGCACAGAGCAAAGCTAATCAGGAAGAGGAAATGGAAACGGTAAGCAAAAAGAACGACGATGGACCCGATACACGGCAACAAAACCGGGATTAGCACAGAAGCGTGCGTACGGAATGCGAAGTACAAAACTGTGGTGGAAGGAGGGACGGGGGTGGGCTAGAAGGCCAGCGTGTCGCAGTCGGCCAAAACATCATGGGCAGGCACGAACGACGAACGGGCAAACATACACGCATGCTACTTATTCACAGCAAAACCGAAGAGTGACGCGAGGGAAGGGCGAACATCGACGACGAGCGAATAGGAGGAATAATGGAGGCTGGGCTACAAGGAGACCGTCCCGGCGCCCGAGGGCGATACAAGTGGTTGCACATAAATAGTACCTGTGAGAGAGACGAGTCGTGAACAGGGTCGTGAGGGCGTGCAGAGCTTCAAAGCGCGCGGGCGAAATGCGAAGAGGATAAATACGACGGCCGGGTGAAGGCGGTGCGGGGTTATCTGGGGGTCAGCGGTGGGGCTACAGTTGAGGGTCCGGTGTTTAGTGAACGTTTGAACTCGTACAGCACGAAGTCCTTCCTCGACGTAGAGTCGGCTATACATCGGCTATAGACAGGGACTGGCGGCATCACAACCACTCTGGGACGACGTCCCACACGCGCCCTCAGGTCCGTGGAAGATCGATCCCGGCCGCCAACCCTCCTTCGGCTCCAGACGCCCCCGTATCGCTACTCCGGGGCGCACCCGGGGCCGCATGGTGCTCCTCGAATAGTCTGCGTCCGACATCCGTCATCGACCCTAACCGCGACATAGATCCAGCAGCAACCGCAGGTGACGGCGAGACATTGATGAAGTCGCTCAGGTTGAATGAGCCATTGCCCGGTGTGCTGTCGGCCGGCTGTTTGACAGCCCGTACACGCGCAGACTCTGGCTGCGGCTCAGGCGAGGCTGGAGGTGGAGACGCGTATGAACGGTCGGTGCGGGTGGGGGACGGCGCCGCAGGCAGCAGGGAAGGCGCACCAGGCTCTGTCGGGGTGGGCGGAGTAACAGTCGGTTCCTTGGGCACAGAGGATTGTGACGGATTCGGTGTTCCAGCATTCGGACTTGTGTTCATCGGCGAGCCCGACGCCTGGCCACTCTGCGTGTATCTGTTGTATATGTGCGTCATGCTGCCCAACGAGAACTGACTGGAGGTGGTCGACGCGTTTGACGTGAAGCTGCCAGTGTCTTCTCTACGCAATGCCCTCCCGCCACCGCTCGACGCATCATCTCCACCGCCCCCGGTCCCGCCGCCATGTGTAGGGAACAGAACGCGTCCCTTGAGGCCAGAGCCGGATGATAGGGCGCGGAAGCCCGCCGCGTCTTTGTTGTCACGGTCACGAGCCGCGGAGGCGCGCACGGGCGATGGTGAAGTTGCCAGGAAGAGCAGCGAGTTCGCAGCTTCGGCATCAGTGGGCGGGTGAGGCGTGCCCGAATGATCGGACGGATACATAGGCCGCCTACTCGTCTTTGGCGTACTCCTTCCCTCCTCGTGTGTATTACTTGATTGAGAATGGTCATAATGGATTGCGGAGTCAGCAGTTGATGCTGGAGTGCCTGAACGGGGCTGCGACATGCCAAAGGATGCCTCCGACCTGACCGAAGCTGGCCCAGCAGCGGTGCGTGCAGAGCTCTGTTGAAAGTGGGGGAACGAATGGGACGACCCTGCGTCGGAGCCAGCCGATATACTCGATCGCGGTGAGGACGCGGCCTGAGATATCGAGGTCCTCGACGAAAGCAGCAACGACGTTAGAGTGGCCGCAGCCTGCATGTCAATATCCATATCCGCAGTACTGCTCTGCTGTTTCCCCTTGCCCTTGCCGCCGCCGCTCTTCTCCCGAGCACCTCTCTTACCCTTCGACTTGCCGGACGTGCTCTCTGTGGTACGAGATGTCTTGCCGCCTTTGCGTGAAGGGGACGGTGCTTGAGGTTTCGCGGGTGCAGGGACGGGGGATCATGGGGATTATGAATTGTGCGCGGCCGTTTGGCCGGCGGCGGCGCTAGAATGGTGGCGAATAAGCTCTGCGTCGCAGACGCAGTCACTGGGGCGGGTGGGCCCATAGGACCTTTGCGACCAGGCGTACGCCCGTTTCCACCAGGCGTCATTCCAGTGTTCCCTTGTGTGGCGGGGTTATTGTAATAGTTGCCGGTCCTGTTTGCCACAGCGCGCGAGTGCAGTTGCGCGTCATTCTCGAGATCATGGAGCGTGTTGTGCGCCAGATTATTGGTAGCTTTGAACGACGCGTATGATAAACGCGTCCGGAGACCGCGAGTGAGCTAAAGAAAAAAATACAAATGGTGATTAGTCAGATTCATCTCGGGACAAGTTGAATACGGAGGGGTAGTGGAAAAGAACGCATATAATGCAACGAACACTGCAAGACATAAAGACGAAGGAAGCAAGAGGATGGTCGGCATCACCTAACCGCCTCCTATCCGAGATGAGGATCGGCCTGCAGACCCACAACCCAGCTCGGAAAAAAGTCACAGTGGCGATCTTGCGGACCAAGCCACGGTGAAAATGACGGAGAGCAGAGATGTCACATTGCTTGGGTCTGAACACGGTTTACCGCGCCCGACACGCGTATACGGGCCCACGGTGAGGAGGTTCGCGCAGCCACACCTTCGTACAGATCAGAGGGGAAATCGCGCACATACCTTGCCAATCTCGGCCCTTGCGAGGAACTTCTGAACCGCTCTCTCCCTCTCCTCTTTATCGGCAGCGCTGACACCGTTCGTCGCGGGGGTTGCGGGGGCGACGGGCGTGTGGGGCTGCATATATGCAAGCTGGGGCGAGGGGGTCGTTGCTGACGACGACGGGGTCGCCATCGTGGCGATGGACGCGTGTTCTGGGACGACGAGCCGGCTTGGCTGGGGAGGGGGACGGCGGGGGCGTGCGGGTTGGCTGGCGAGCGCGTTATCCGTGGGGGACGTGTGGGAGGGAGACGCGGGTGCACCGCGGCGAGTCGGAGTGAGCGCGTCGCGTCGTCGGCGTCTGCCGGTCCTTATGTAATCCCACGGGCGCCTATGGGCGCCTCTCGCCGGCGGTGCGTCGCACGAACGCGAGCTCGGGCGACAATTGAAAGGTTCCGTAACGTGCGGTGTTGTGCGCAGGTGTTCGGACCCGCCCTTTGCGCCTTCCCCTTCTGTCCGGACAGCTCGCCTGGGCGTGCTGGACGCACCGCCAGGCTGCGTAAACGGGTTTCGGATCAGGAGACGCTGCAGCCCATTTGCAGAACTTTTCCGTCCTGGTGGCACGCGGGATTAATCATAAGCGACACGCCTAGGAACCGATCACATGGCCGGACCAGACGCACGTCCCGCCACGGACGCGCCCTTACCAACGTAGCGTCATACCCGCGGCGTGCTACGGAGCGCGAACCGCCCTCGAAGCTTCGAGGCGTCCGTGTCTTGGCCCTCGACGTAGATCGTTGCGTTATCTACTCCCCCACGGTCAATCTCAGCAACAACTTGTCCAGCCTCGGGTTCGAGTTCGTCTGGGGTATCGAGATCGATCACACCCGCCAGGTCCACCGTCCGGGTCCTCTATATATATATGGATTAGGGGAAAGGCGAGTCAACGGCCGATTTCCAATGCCTGAATCACTACTGTACGGAATTTTCAGTACTATAGCCATTTGACATGTGGAAGGCCAAATTATCTGCTGGTCTCCAGTATGGTCGCAGTGTCAGGTAGGTCAGCGACAGCATAATACCCGTCGCTAGAAAGGACGACTGCAGCTGCGAGACTGTCACCCTTCTGGCAGGTGATCACAAGCAAGACAGCAGAGCAACCCGAATTTGGCATGCATATTCAATCCTGATGTACATTTCGGCAGCCATCATGTCGCAGATGCGAGAAGAATGCACGGACTGTCACAGCGCCACCCACGAATCCCATACCATCCATTCCTGCGATGTGAGTCACAGTATCGTGCCTAGTGCCACTTCAGGCGAATTACTGATCAGTGATTCTCCTCAGATTTATTTCCCCCCATCTCGGTACAATGACATATAGACGAGAATAATGTCCGCGCATGACATGGTCTGTTTTGGTGGCACACCGCCGAGGCATCATGACAGCGGTGGTCGTTGTTTAGTACACGCCTGTACCGTACTGCGTGACTCCTCAGTGCGATTCGAGAATAGTATGGCAACGATTCCCACCGTATGCTCATGCTTCCTTCGCGACCTCAACTCTGTTGCCTCGACCAAACGTCTCTCCATGAATCCATCTTGAAATTCCGGGCCAATGTCTGTGCTCGGGCCACTGGGTCTGTGAGGACGCGCCGCGACGCGTCTCCCAAGCGAGATCCATCTCGATCGCGTTCCAGACACGTGGACCGAAGACCGAGGTTCGGCCGCGCCACAAGCGTGTCTGCCCTGCATTACTGGCACCCTCAGTGGGTGAGTGTTGTCATAAGTACCAGGAATGTATAAGTGTGAGTACTACTACTGACAACATTCGCGCAGGAAAGCCCTACATCTGGTGTCCTCTTGAGAGCATATGTGCACGACGAAGAGCCAAATCGTCTACCACGGTGGCCATACCAGGCGTACCTGTCCCCTACCAGGCGTAACTGCCCCCAGTGCAACTGACAACTAATCGCATCCCCAAGAGCTCGCCGAGACCCGAGCCCCCCTGGCGAGTGCTGGCATAATCATGATAAATCGTTAAATTCGTACAGTGACAAACCGACGGAAAGCGTGCATAATTGTACATGCATGTAGACATGTAGGAACCACCGTCCGCAGGAGCGATTGGGAAATATACATATGGAGAGATGCACCACACACAGCATGAGCAAGCACAGGGACACAGATACGGACATACACAAATACAGTCTGCAAAGCGAGCCCTTCACGCCCACTGGGGATCTGTCCACCAGCGCTGCTCCGCACCGCGCACCGTCCACTCCGCGACGCCCTTCACGGACGCGACATAGATGGACGACCCCGTCGGGTCAAAGCACGTACCCGCCAGGTCAACGTCGACGTCGGGCTCCACACGCTCCGCCCGCTTCTTGCGGCGCGACGACAGCCGCCGCACGCTATACGGTCCTGAACTCTCGCGGCGGGCGAGCAGCCCTGGGCGGGAGACGCGTAGATGGTCGGACGAGCGCGAGGGTACTGGTGGCGACTGTGGGAGGGCAGGCGACGGCGCGCGCGACGGGGTATGCGACGAGAAGCAGTCGGACTCGGGCTCGTCCACGTCCATCGCGTCGTCGTCCTCCGGAGGGTCGCGCTCGCGTTCGCTCATGGCAGTGTCCCGGACCTCCCCACGATCGAGGACCGCGGATCGCGTGCGCAGACCCTGCTGGTTGAGCAGCCGGCGTACGTCGTCTTCTACCTGCGGGTCACCTAATGGCGGGATGACGACGATGCCATCCACGTCGTCATCTGGGTTCGCCTCTTCTCGCCCACGCAACCGACGACCGATAGCCCTCCTTCGTGCGTTGGTCTCGGAAGTCGAAGGTATGCGAAAGGTGTCCTCGAGGGCACCACTGAACAAGACTATCCGAGGTGGTGGCGACGAACGAATACTTGGCGGCGAGAAGTTGACAGGGGGTGGAATAGACGGCGATGAGGACCTCGGCCGGATAGGCATCGTCTCTAGCACTGGTCGTGTAGCAGGCGTAGGCATACGTATGATCTCCTCTTTCTCGAAGGTCTGGGCGTCGATGACATGAACGAGATTTGAGTGCTAGGAATGATGCAAATGTGAACATCGACAAGGACAAGGAAAGTAACGATAGCCTTACCTCAGTGAAGGTCAGCACCTCTCGCCCGACGCCAGGTGGACTGAACTTCACGCTCCGAACACCCCACCCGGGTGCGTTGCCCGCTCCCCTTGTCCAGTCCCACGGCTGATCATACAGATATCCGCTCGCCTCTCCAGTTGCGATTCGATCCAGGCCTCTGCTCTTGTTCGTTTGAATTACCTTCAACGGTTTCGTGCTCCTCACATCCCAAACAACCACGGCACCCTCTTGCGATCCGACGACAAACTTCGAGCCATCTGCGGAGAACGCAGTCGAGAAGGACGCAGGAACAGAGTTGATCGACAACGCCGATGGCGTGTAATAAAACGGGCTGTTCGCGATGTACGGTGAGAGCGACAGCTTCGCAATCGGATCGAAACGCAGATGTGCGCCGCCCGCAATGCGATACAGGAAGACATCGGGCGAATCGCCCACGCATAGGAGTGTCCGTCCGTCCGGGGAGATGGACGCTGCATCTATCTTTAGCAAGCGACTTTGATGAAGCACAGCTCAATCACTCACAATGGTTAACAGCGACGTCCATCCTGAGCTGTCCGCCGTCATGAAGCCTCGGCGCATTCGTTTTGTTCCGCCGCATGCCGATGTCGAAGAACTTGACAGTGTGATCGTTGTTGCTCACGACTAAGCGTGGTTCGACACTGCTCTCGTTTGACTGCGTCAAGTTCATCGATGTGAGGGAGACAGAGTTGTTGATAGAGCCTGGTTCGATGGTGAACTTGTTCTCCCACTGCTTCTTCCCGAATCCCCGTGCTGGCCGACGAGGGGCTCCGGCGCTGGTATATCCAGATGAGGTGGATGTGAACACGCTGAGGTGAAGCTCGGCTTCCTGGCCACCCGCTGCAAGTATGGTATCATCTGTGCCAGGGATCGGGAGCGCAGACACGGAGTTAGGAATGAAATCAAGGTCTGCAAGTGTGCGTGGAGTCTATCAAAGAAAGGATCAAGATGATGATGAGCATTGCGAAATAAATCACACGCACCGAGTTGGGGGCGTGAATGTCGTGTTCGACAATAGAATAATTGTGCGGATAAGTTACGAGGCCTTTGTCATGAGGACAAATTACAACATCGCGCAACTGTCTGGAGGATGCAGTACGCTGTCAGCTTCAATGTTTTAGATGGCGACAACGGCGAGTGGCGTCTGCAATAGCACGCTTCGATGCAACTTCGACGACGCAGAAGTTGTTTTGGAAGAGGAAGAGGACTTGGTTCAGATACCCTAGCCTCCAAGTTGCCACACGAGTGTTGCACTGGTCATAGACACTTTGTGCATGTAGCACTATACCCCATGGCCACACGTCCTACGCATATACCCAGAGCTATCGTCTCGGATCGTCATCAACGCAATCCTGCAGTATACCTCTCGAAGTCCGACGTTGATAACCTCTCTAGGAGATCGCAAAGGAGTGTCCGGACGAGAGCACCGTCGCGCGCGCTCGCCACACTGTGAAGTGTCCGCCGCCGAGAGCCGCCCAATCTCCACGCCCAACAAGAATAGGAACTACGATGGGACACTCACACATGTCCAATGGTGACCCTCGCCGGGGCGAGCGCGCGCGGCGCCGTCGAGGTCAGCAGCGTCGAGATCCCGCGGGCCATGGCGGGTCGGTGGTCGGTCCAAAGCACAACGTCGGGGCACCGCCGAGTCGCCACTCCCTGGCCAGACGCAGAACGTTCGCGAGTCGCGAGAAGTCGCCGCAGGTAATGGGTCCTAGCAAGTCGTAGGCAGAGAGTTACAGCTACAATGTCCGGCCGGGGCTAGACGGTGGCCTGTCCTCGTGCCACACAAGTCGGTGAATCGGGTCGGTCTAGTGTCCGTGCGTGGCTGTCCGGTGCAGGTTCGGTGACGTCTGTGCGTTAGGAAGGCAGACGCTGTCAGTATCTCTGAGAGCGGCGTCGATGCAGTGCAGGGTGATGTCGAGGCGGAATGGTCAGAGGTAGTGTGTTATACGCATGGGAGGCGGTGAAGTGCCTGTGAGGTCGATAGGAGGCTCGGGGACAGACCGGAGCCTGCGGAGGCGAGCCTGAGTGCAGCCCGTGTACTTATGCCAAAGCGCGCACAGCTCTCAACGCCACATGCAGTACTAACGTCGAGGATTGGTCGAGGACTAAGTAAGTACCAGGACCGTCACTAATGCCGACGGCCAGAACAGCGTCGCACAAAGAATAATACAATAACGTTAGTCTTGTTGTCATAAGCATCGAGTACAATAAATAGCGATCTCCAGCTTCTACCGGGTGTCTAGGCTACAAGGATTGGTTAGAGTTCGAGACCAGGTATGCAGATGGATGGGAAGAACTACAAGGATAGGCACTTCTGTGGGAGATGACGAGCGACCAGCAGGGAACACGGTTGATAGCGAGGGACGAGAAAAGCAAAGCGAGGACTCGGGCCGAGAGCAACGCGTAAACGATTCGTACAGTACACAAACAAGAAATCGCACGAAGCGTCCAGCTGTAGGGTAGCCATAGCAAGAGCCAGAACCCAATAGATACGAGAATATAGACACCAACGTCAAGGGCATAAATGAACGTTTATGGGGAGCAGCCGCCACTCATATCGGGTATTACTACATGACATACCCGCCACCGGTGCCCTGCCAGGGGCCGTCCGGGTCGGGCTTCATGTTAGGTGAGGCGTCGGGCATCTTCATCTCAATGCCCTCAGGAAGAGGCACGGTGACCTCATCCTGGATCTTCCGGCACTCTGCGCCGCCTTCAGATCGGACTGCGTGGCCGACCATCAGCTACCGTGAAAGGACACGGCGATCATGAGGATACTCACGGTGGCGGTTAAGCGCGTCCATCCTGGCAAAGTTCTTCTTGCAGCCCTCGCAAGGATAGGGCGGATATTGAGATGCAACTGCTCGTGTCGTTTACAATCGTGTTGCCTGGCGAAGCCTTTGCCACACCCAGGCCATTTGCATTGGAACGGCTTCTCTTCCGCATGGGACCGTAAGTGACCTATATCACAAATACGCGTCAGCTTGACTACGCATGGCAGGAACGATGCTCGACGGGACTCACCCTTCAGATTGAAGTGCCGCGTGAACGTGCTTCCGCACCCCGGGACGGGACACACAAAGTTCGCCGGTTGCTTCCGCCGCTTCTGGCTCGCATCCGCGGTACTCGGCGTCGTCACGTTCACCTTCGCGATGTGCGCGGGCACGCTGCTCGTGTCCATCGACATCGAGCCCATGCCGCCGTCCATACTCATATCTGTGGTCATCATCGTCCCCGACGGCGTGCGGTGCATGGCGGTCATGCTGACGCTCATGGGCATACCGCCCATGTCCGGTAACAGCCCGTACCCAGGCCGCGGGCTAGCCGACGGCGACGGGTACGGGCTCGCGCGCGCGCTGCTCGCGCCGCTGCTCCATCCTGAGATACCGCCCATGCCAGGACGCTCCCGTGACCCAGAAGACGCGCGGCGATGATGGCCACGTATTGACGCGACGGGCTCGGCGGGATGGAGGAACTGGCGAGTAGCCGCGTTCCGAAGGAACTCCTGCTGAGTGATGGACGGCGGAGGGACCAACATATCGTTCGGGTTGAGGAAGGAGGTGCTCTGGTGACCGTAACCGTAGTCTTCTGAGCGCACAACGCGATGGCCTCTGCCGTCGGATTTCGTGCGGCGTAGGTTGGATGCGGCGATGTCGGGCGAGAGGTAGTCGTTGCCAAAGGAGCCGAAGTTGAACTGGTTGGAGAGGTTTGGCTGTAGAGGTTGGCCGCCGAATGTACTATGGACGGGACCGGCGGATGAGGGATGGCGGAGCGACTGGGTCCTGAGGGAAGGGCCTTGTTGAAACAGCTGGTTAGAAGAGGAAGGACCGGGGAGGACATCATTCATATTGACAGTCCCCGCGGACGCAGGCCGTCTGCCGTCGTGAGAACCCAACACACTGCCATCAGCGCTCATGCCGGCCCCTTGATGATGGCCACCCAGCATGGGCACGGTATCCCAGGTAGGAGGTCGGAGCGATGTATCAGACAGGCTTCGCGACCGTTGTGGCGCTTGCGCCAACAAATATTGTTGGGCCTGTGACGAATCACCCGACGCCTCATCGCCGCCGTAGGACATTCCCGATGTACCCACTATCATTTCATGTCCCATCAGACAATGCATGATTGTGCAACTGAGGGCAACATACCTTGGTCCTGGATGGACTGCGACAACTGAGCATGCGCATCCCAGTTTGCCGGATCTGAGGACGTCAGTCCGTGTTGACCATCTACGAAACATGAACAAGTGTGCTGGCATGACATTGTAACGCACTCACCCGAGGGTACATTTCGGAATAGGGACGGTTGCTGCCCATCGGCACCTCCACTGACAGGCGTCGCGGGCACAATGTGAAGTTGCGGGTGCGCTGGCATGCCATCGCCAGCAGGCGCATTGATAGTCGGGGGTGACGTAACGTCAAGTCCGGTCGAGCTCGGAGCTGGGCTGGCAGGGATTACCAGTTGAGGCGGCGACGGCGCTTTCTGGGCTGGCGGTGACGAAGGAAGGTTTTGAGCACCCCATGCCGGAGACTCAAAGCGCAGGCCCTCGAAGTTCTGCTCGAAGTCTAGGTGGGGAGACCCGTTGTTGTGTCGAAACGAGGAAGTGGAGGACGCATGGCTCCGGGCGTCGTCTTCCGCTCCATTGCTTGAAGCAGGTGAACTGTGTTCAAACGGGCCAGACTCGTTCGTCGCAGGGACCTTCCGGTCGAACGCAGGCGCAGGGGTGATGGATACGTGCGGGAAAGCCTCGCCAGACATGAATCCTTGGTCGAGTGTCAGCAGGGTGCCAGAGTCGGGTATATCGTATTCAGTGGGGTCGTACTCCTCCGTGATGGTGATTCCGGATGGGTTGTCGAACAGATTCAGGGCGTTGTCGTCGTCGAAAGAGGGGAGGTCGGAGATGATGGAGTAGGGGGAGTTCTGGTACGAGCCGTTGTAGGACGGGGTGTGGGGAAAATGGGAGTCGGGGGACCGAAGTCAAAAGTGTCGTAGGGAGAGCCGAGATTTGGCGACGCGTCGATTTGATTGCCGTCCAGCTCGTTAGATGGGGAGTGAAAGTCTGACACAAGGATCGTATCCATGGCTGCGTGGATGTCCGAGCTTTGTAGGCCCGCAGGTACTTGGGGAGCAGGCGATGTATGCTTGTGGCTAGGCGAGGCTGTGTACCGGAGCGAAGGAGCGAAGGACGGAGGCGGTGCGACAAGGAGGAGGAGGAGGTCAAGGCCACGGGAAGAGACTCGACAACTTATGCGGGCACTTGTCCGCCGTGCTTCAGACTCCGCTGATTGCTCGCGTTTCGTCCATCACCACCCATCTCGCCGTCTTCATGCCCATCCTCCTGCTCCAGCACCAGCCAGCTGCGCACGCCGCTGCCCTCTGCGTCTTCCGAAGAACATCTACCTACCCAGTCATCCCAATTCTACGCTGCCCAGCCATGCACCGCCCTCCCAGAGGCGGTGCCACAGCTGGGAATTTCCCGATATAGCCGCGCGCCCGAGGGCGCTCCTTAGGTAATCGCCAACGCAATTGTCTTTGGTCTCTCCCGTTCCTCCACACGGTGGCCGTTTTCGCTTCCCCTCTCTTGCAACTCCCCCTTGCCCACATCAATCCACAGCGCTCTCCCCTGTCTTTACGCGTGTCAGTCGTCAAAGAAGCCAGCGACTCTGATCAATGGGGCCACACCGACCAAGGCCGCTGATGTTGTTCGCATCGTCAAATCAAGTTTCATCACATCTAGCATGCAGTATGCTGAGCCGAAGGGCCCACTGCTCACCCTCCTGGCAGACACGCGTTCCCTTGCCTACGATCGGGCTGCTCAATTATATCGGCTGCCCCGCCAAGCTCGTTCAGCTGTAGATCCGGGCAATGGAAGGTATCCTTTCCCGGTCGACAGCATGAGCAACAAGCCCGCGGCCGTGGGCGGCGTGTTGTTTTTGTTGACTGACTAGCAGATCAAACCCGCATTCAACCTGGTCGTCTTGTTCAATAGTCTGACAGCTGAGGTCGCCCCCCTGTAACGTACTTCATCGCGGTACACACCTTGTCCAACTGTCTGATCGGCTTGAACCGGGCGCGTCGTCTTGCGACATGGCTTCTCGCAGCTCTTGTTGCGGGTGCTTTCGCATCCTCGAATCTTCCCGTCGAGCCGGTGATTTCTCGTTGTAGCGTGCAAAAAGCCAAAGTCTTCGTGTGGGACCCACCGACGCCTATAAGTGATCGACCGCACTGTAGGCAGCGTGATCGGTGCCGCACGGGCAGATCGAGTGGGGCTCATATCGAGTTCAGCAACACCGCCGCTGCACAGCGACGGGGTCTCGGATGTCGGGTGAGTGCTTAACCTCTCAAAACGCCTCCAGGGGCGGCGGAATTGTCGCCATGGATCTTGCACATTGACGCCGACCGGTCCTGGCGCAGACGTGTCAAGGCTGCTTGAGTTGCGCGTGCAGTCCATCCCGCCTTGAAGCTTGATGCAATGCCTCGACTCCGCCGATATCTTATTCGCTTCACTGTTTCGTTCTGTGGCAAAAAGTCCATTTGCCACCGCTTTCAGCGCAGTTTTTACATCTGGCTGACATCACTCTCGTCCCCACGCGTATCACGACTTTTGCATTGTTCTTTCAGCGTCACCTCGAGGCTGCAGCGTCCCGCCCGTGCCAGTTTCGAGTGATACCCTCATGTGAGTCTTCCATTCAATGAAAATTGTGGTGACTGAACTGGCGCCTCTGTATCCGACGCGGCGTGGGGCTACTTGCTCGCCGGACTCTAGATAGTCAGTCTTTGAAGAACTCGAGAAGATCCTACAGTTCAAGTTCGTGATCGATCGCTGATGGGCCTGCACCTGCGAGAAGCTCTGCGCTGACGATGCACTTCGGTCGAGTCGGTCGAGGTCCGAGTGCATATCGCACTTCATACTTAGGCCTGAACGCAATAATCAGAGCATTCGGGTCGTCGCCTCTATACCTCTCGCCTATTTTGCCCGTATCGTGGTTCACTTCCACCTCGTCCCACCTTGTCCAACAGCGGTGGAAATCGACCACATCCGCACTTCGCACTCTATCGCCTTGCGCGGACTACGGTGGGCCGTTCCCACAGTCATCTCAGCCACACAGCCATGTTCCGCTGACATCTGTCACTGCGATGCGGAGTACCGGCGGCCCTTGCCAGTTGCCGCCTCGGACTCGAGTTGCCATCCCTGCGCAACTCCCATAACAAGCGAACAAGGTTTGATTCTTCTGTTCTCATCACGGCGTTGCGTATGGTGCGATGGATCGATGCTGAGGGTTTTGTGTCACACAGAAGAGGAGACGTTTACGGATGGGATCGTTTCAGGCGCATCTGTCCTTGTCCTGAATCGTGTTCTTGTTCTTGTTTAGTCTCAACTGCGCGTGGTGGCCACGTTGCACGGCGTATGAACGAGATGGAGAGACGGGCACTGATGTGAGTGGTTCAAAATCTAGACGTATGCGTCATGCCTGACAGCCTAAGCGCGGGTTTTGTTACCCGCCGTTGTCGTGCATTCGATGGACCGGTGCTCGCACAAATGGAGGCTCGAGCGTTCCAATCGATTCTAGTGTATCCCCTGCAAGAGGCCGGACATTCACTCATGCAATCAAGATGCGTTACTTCACGCAGTACAGCCATCGTCGGTGAACGATTTGGATCGCTCGGAGACATCACTCGCCCTCGGGCCATCTGGTCTCACATTAGTGTCGCGCTGAATACTACTTTCGGTTCGGGACTCGGGACTCGGAACTCACGCGCACGTATCAAGATCTCACATCTTCCCAAGGTTGTGAATGTTGTGATGCCAGACAATCCCGGAGGACGCAGACTTGTACACTACACGCCAATATGCATCACCTTCCATCATTGACCATCGACGGGGATACGTGACGAGGCCCCCGAAGTAACTTACTCTCATGCCATGTACTGTCATGTCCGTGATCCTGATTTCAACAGATAAGTTTGCCACATTTTCGCACCGGTCCTAGCCTGTGTTGCCGGCTTGACTGTGATGCTCACTTTAACTATCTGTGTTGACGTGGTACGTACGGTGCATACCGATGTCGAGGAGCCGAGGCATCGTGCGCTTTCCACCTTAGTAAAGCACTCATTCTCGAGTCATGCGCGGTACCCATGCAAATAGGGTGGATGGGTGGCTACGAGTCTTTGAGCTGCTCGACTAGGTTCATTGTCGCGTTGACTCGCAGCCCAGTCGGAAGTTGGCAATTGGAAGGGGTTGCCTAGACACGATCACGTGCCTTTCATATCAACCGCACAGCGCAGGCGGCAGCGGCGACCGCCGACTGCACCTTGTCCTAAACGTGCAGTAAACCTTGAGCTTGATCGACGCCTATCGACCCATTTGCCATCCAATCCCCGGCCCTCATCCACTGATCTCCACTGACTTAGTTGTATCCGCTGCTGTAGCTCCTCGGAATGGACTTCGACGATGACGATATCCCGGAATGGCTGAAGCCGAAACGGAACAAGCATATAGCTCTGCCTCAGGCCCTGCTCGATGAGCTCAAATCCGATCCGGACTTGGGTTTCGACCGGTCGATCATTCACCACATCGATGACATGAGTCTTGGTACACGCGACGCGCTATTGAAGTGTTATGTTCTGGGGGAGGGGGACCACTACGTGAACACTGGCGAATCCTGGGAGGATGAAGACGGGGACTGGTCTCTCTCGAAACAATTCTATCCGGGGAGTAACAGCACGTACCTCCACTTTGCCGCTAGACTCGGAGACGTGCCGTCTGTCTACGAGTGTATCCGTCTCGGAGTCGATGTCAACTCCCGTGACATCAAAGGGCAACGCCGCTGTACTCTGCCGTCATGGAGGCGACTAGGTTCCATTATGACTTAGTCGAGAGGACGCGCTTAGGGAGCGACGCTAGTACCACCATCGCGCACCTAAAGCGTCTGCGGCATATCGCGAAAGTGCTGCTCGAGCAGCACGCGACTCCAGCCTCGGTCCGCACGAGGGTGGGCATTTGACACCTGTGCGCCTAGCTTGGTACGCTCTCGATCTCGAGTTGATCGAACTGTTCGCGATCCACGGAGCCGCAGAAGTCTTGACTCTCCCAGTAGACATCGACATACACTCAGGAAGGGCGCCGCTGTGGGCTGCCAATGCCGCAAAGATCCCGTCTTTCAGCAAACTCGTATCCCGGTTAGCGAGAGATGGGCTGCCGTCTCGACCACCGCGCCGATGCCCCTGCTGGTCTGGCAAGCTGCTCTCCCAATGCCACGAGTCAGGCTATCATCCATATCCCTCCGACTTCCCGTGCGTCTGCGGCATGTCCAAGACATACGCGAAGTGTTGCGAACACAGGAACTTCGAGATCCTCGAGAAATGGGACGTAGAACGTAAGCGCTTGACGGTGCTACGGCGCGTCGTCGACGACAACTCGATCACGTATCAGAATCCTTTCTCTGTGCTCAGGGCGGTGACCGAGATCAAGGAAGGGGACATGGAGGAGGAGAAAAGGCTCGTGGAGATGGCCATCAAGCTCAACGACACCATGTCTGAACAAAAGGCCGATCCCGCTTTCCGCCATGTCCTCTCGAAATATCTAGTCTTGCCTCGGTGAGTGACACACCGATATCATCCAACTCATTCTGATACAAGTCTGTATGCCTTCAGACCCATGAATAAACGGTATACGAAAAACCTCGTCAAGACCTTGAGTGACAACTGGAATGCCGCTGTTGATGAGTATATTGCGCTCGGGACCGATAGTCGTAGCGTGCTCGAGATCGAGCAGGCCGCCAAGTTTGACTCCGATTTCGGGCCAATGTGGAAGAGTTGTGAAGCACCTGGGTGTACGGCAATAGAGCGTCCGGGGGTCAAGATGAAGTGTTGCAGCGGATGCAAAACGGTCCGTCAGGTGTCCCTGCACGCCCATATGTTTGCTCACTATGCCGTCCAGACATACTATTGCAGCGCAAAATGCCAGAAAACGGACTGGAAGAAACATAAGGCCGAATGCAAAGAAGACAGCCAATATCCGCAGGCGCTGCGATCCCAAGTCATCTATTCTGCCATCCTCGATGAGATTGTGAGGCCCTTGCACGAGGAAGATGCATTGCTTGAGTATGTACGCTCACTTATAACCGAAAACTGTGACTCAAAAGTACAGCAGTCTGTTGAAGGACAGTCTTTGAGAACTCCATCCTGTGGCCTGAAGTTACCAGGCTCCCAAACTGTGCGTAACTGCTCTACAATTCCCAATACGCAATGATGACCCCCAGCAGAGTCCAGACCGGCATCAGTCATTGCTCTGATATCTCGTCTTGTCATGTATCCACTTCTACAGAATCGCTATGATTCTTTGCGAATGCAAAGCCATGCCGGTTGTATGTGTGTGATTATGTATGGGTGATGGCCACGGCGGGGCTCTTCGACAGTTTGATTCTGAGTCACTCGGTCAGGACCGCTTAACGCGAAAGAGCAACGCTTGACACTGACCCTCACTGAGCAGTGAGACTGGCCGCAGTGACCAGTCGTGGCACGCGACCACGTGACCCCGAACCTCGGGCCTCGGCCCCGGCTATGGTTTCGATGTTCGCGAATCGGACTGTACCGTGTACCGTTTACGGTGACACTCATTAATCATTACTCGACAGATGCCTCCCTCCGAGCCCACACCTCTGGCCTTGGGCGAAGACGACCATACAGATGACGCGGTTCCCGACTGGCTTCAGCCGAAGAAGAACAAGTTCATATGTTTGCCCAAGGATCTACTCCACAGCCTCAAGTGCGACCCGGTCATTGACTTCGAGAAGTCCATGATCAACGACCCAGAGGAAACGGGCATGGCGTGCGACTCGCTGGTTAGGTTGTATGCCTACGGCGAAGGAGTATCGTACGTGCATCACGTCGACTCTGACGGCAGAACCGGGGATCCGGAGCTGGTCGAGTTCCGTTCAGAAGGCCAAAGCACCTGCCTTCATTTCGCGGCGAAGCTCGGAGACTTGCCCCTCGTCTATGAATGCATTCGCCTCGGACTTGATGTCGACTGCCGCAACGTCAACGGCCGTACTCCCCTCCACTTCGTAGCTCATGAAGTATCGCGTTGCAGTCTCGGTCTGATCGCGAAGCAACAGACGAACGACGATACCAGCGAAACCATCGCTCAGCTCAAGCGTCTTCGACGCATTGCAGGTGTCCTCCTAGAACAACACGCCGACTTCCGCCTCACCCCACATGGAAAACCACACAGCACGCCTCTTTATTGGGCCGTGCACGCCATGGACATGGAGATGGTCGAGCTGCTCATCCTCCACGGTGCTTGTGATGCCATCACCCTCTACCAACTATGCTATCAAGTAGCTCAGGACAGCTCATCCGCATGTGCATTCCATCCCGAGAGAATGCCGCCTCTGATGGACCTCGTGCGCCGACTCGAGCGAAGTGGTCCATCACCACGTCCGCCACGCCAATGTCCCTGCTGGTCTGGAAAACTTCTTTCCGACTGCCACGGAAAGGGTTATCATCCTTACCCATCGAGCTTTTCGTGCATCTGTGGCCTGTCCAAGACGTACGAGAAGTGCTGCAAGCGCAGAAACTTCGAGATTCTGGAGAAATGGGACGAAGAGCGTAAGCGTATGAGGGTGGTCAAGCGCATGCACGTCGATGGCTCTGTTTATGATTGGAACCCTTGGAGAATATCCGATGTCAAGAACTCCCCTACAGAGTTTGAGCAGTTCAAAAAGGACAGACATCTAGTCGCTGCCACCATCCGGGTCAACGACGTCGCCATAGAGGAGAAAGCCGATCCCGCGTTTCGGTATGCGCTCTCAAAGAACCTGGTTTTGCTCCGGTGAGTAATTGACGTTGATGTATTGTAACATCGTCTTACTTTGATGCTTCCCAGGCCCATGGGTCGATTGCTCACGAAGAATATGTGTCAACAACTAAGCGACAGGTGGAACGCTTACGTTGATGAGTACATTGCACTTGGCACGGATTATCGAAGCGTTCTCGAGATCGAACAGGTCGCGAAACTGGATGTAGATTTCGGGCCACTGTGGAAAAGATGCGACGCGACCGGTTGTGAAGTAGTTGGACGGCCTGGCTTTAAGATGAAGCGCTGTCAAGGCTGCGAGATGGTAAGTCGCGCTATATACACATACTATGTAGATGATCCGAGCTCACCCGTGTACAGATATATTATTGCAACGCGACATGCCAGAAGGCGCACTGGAAGCAACACCGAGCTGCCTGTAAGGCGCGCAACCATCCGCCACAAGCATTACGGTCTCAACGGATCTATACCTCCATTTATGATGGTATTGTGAAGCCTATGCATGAGTCTGGTGTCCCACTCGAGTAAGTCTGCTTAATTGACGGGTACGCGCAATACAATCTCATTGACGACAGGTATTTTGATCGTCTATGAAACACTACCATTCACATTTGTGGATTTCACCGCGATAAATTTCTAAACCTCGTTTTGCAATGCCTCATGCGTATTCACGCGTGCAACGTTCACTTTGCACCCGTTAACTGCATGCGTACGCAGCAGCAATCCTGTTCTGTTGGTCGATTCCTTCATACCGCTATGTAGTTGCCTACTCTGTCTTGCCTATTCTCGCTCTTGTTATGCATTTGCTATCGTTCGGTACAATGGTCACAGTCAAGCTGTCGCTTGGTCGTGCCGGGCGCGCGTCTGCCGATAACCATGTGATCGTTCACCTTACCCACGCGTCCCCGACTTTCACACTGCAGTGCCGCAGGTTGCATCGTCGAGAACGTCGACGGCAGCATGTCACACCTCGGCTACAACGTCTCGTACAATGACCACTATGCGCGCCATCCGTCCTCCTCACCCGTCATGCACAGGGCCGTCGTCCCCAACTCTAGCACAAGTACAGGCGGTGGTCCCACGCCCTTCAAGGCTCCTGCCCATAAGCATGCCCACCATTTGCACTCCATACCTCCACGCGAAAAGTCAACGAGGACTCTGATCATTGACCATCTTCTATGGGTCCATGCTCGTACACGGTTTGCCCAAGCCCGTGCGGAGTTAGGCATGACAGACCGCACAGGCGGGCCTACCTCGAGTAACTATCCGCATCGTGCGCGTCCAGAGAATTACGAGGAGGAAGAGGAGATGTACAGCGACGGTGAGGATGTTACCCATCTTCAGGCACGGGCGGGCGGCCCTGGACATACTCACGGCGAGGAGGAGGACGAGCGATTTGATATGCAGGACCTCACGCTCGCCCGCTCGCTGAGACAGCGGGCGGAAGGCGTAGAGAAGGTAGCGACGTCTATGCTCGACCAGCCTCCGGAACTCCCACCTATACACCCGGACGACCTGCTCGATCCCCCTACTTCTCCCCAGCTGCGTCCCCAAGCACCGCAGCGACATCCACATAAGCTACCGAATGGCGTCCGACTGCGACTGACGGTCGCCACTGTGATTAATGACCTATTCTCTCGGAAAGCACCCACCCCCTACGTCCGCCCCTCCGGCTCTACATCGTCCGCCCCTCCGCCAGTCTCCACATTCCCGTCTGCTCTCATACCGCTAAATGCTATTTCATCTGGTGCCAACCCGGATTACCGCAGGCTTGTCCCCAATCAATACATCCGTTCCTTGTATGACATCGGCGCCGATCCCGATACCCAGAATTCACCACCTTCCCTGCGCTGTCCCCGACATCTACACATGGGCTGTGAGATCTGCGTAGAAGCGAAAGCCCCGCCTCCTCGCATGGGCCAGAACCGAACACGCGGCACCCAGGGACGAGCAGGATCTACAACGGGCAGCAGTCCTGGCGATGCGCCCCCCAGCGGCGTACCCGGGAGCAATGGGCTTGTAGGTGGGGTGACAGGGTGGCTGGACGGTAGTGGGATAGGCTCCGGATTGGCGCGGCCGGGTGAACAGGGTACGCTTCTGCGACGGCCGACGGACGCTCGCGAGGCAGTCTATGCAACCAACAACGAGGATGGCACGCCACAAATGTTCAACACAAAGCTCGCAGAGCTGATCGTGCGTTTCATGCGGCTCAGTGCGCTCGTAGCAATGGAGCTTGGAAGAGAGGCGACGGAAGACAGAGCATCGGTGGATGGGGGTGACAGCCGGCGGGACGAGGAGGGAGCTGCGGGTGCCGGGTCATCCACGGCGGGGCCTTCGCAAACTGGACGTCCCCCGACATCCCCACAGACATCTCCACGAACGTTGACACAACGTAATCTCGCAGAGGCTGGGTTCTACTACTATGCCCTGCGTCCGTCGCGCGAATGGTACTACTTGTTCGCTGGTCTCGTCACCCGTGCGGTTTTCGAGGGCTACATGACAGCCGGGTGGCGCGGCACAGAACCTCTCGAGCTGCTACTAGGTATCGGCTTGGGCACGAACCTAGACCCAGGCGCTCGCCCACAGAGTGCTGCAAGGTCAAGGGATGCTACCAATGGTGCGAAAAATGCTGAGTCCGACGAAGAAGAGGAGGAAGAGGAGGACGAGTTCGGGGAGTTCGACCCGGATGATCTCCCCGACCTCGATGAGGCGGCGCGTGTGCTGTTCCCGTCACTGAGGGATTTACTCAACGGTGCGTCCGGAGCACCCCGGAGAGAGGGTGCGGAGCTCGAGTACGAGCTCGAGATGAGGGAGCGGCTGCAGCGCGTTAGTCGCTTGTGCTCGTTCTCGTCGGACTTACGCTAACATGCAGATGAATAGTTCTATGACGTTCCACCATCGACGCCTGACCTGGCGACACACATGGAAGATCTTCAGTGGCAGTACCCTGCAGAGGCAGTCGAGCGCGCCGCTGTTCGTTTTTGCGAGGCCATCGCGCGGTGGCGAGGAAAGCCGGAGCTCGAAACGGTGCGCGACTGTCCGGTGTCACACACGCTGCCCCCTGATCTAACTAACTTCGCAGTACAAAAAGGCACCGTGGATTGTCAGCCAGCGGGAGCGCAGGGCGAGCGGGACAGCCATGTCAATTGACGCTCTTGTGCACTCGAACCCTACCAGCCCCTCGAATAATCACGCCACCCCTCCGAACAGGCAGCCGTCTGGACAGCAGTTCAGACCAGAGCCGAGGCAGCGCAAGCCTCCCATTGAGAAATACTTCACTCAGCCGCAGTCGCTCATCATGCAAAACCGCAAGCGGCGCCGGTCGGATGAAGATCGGGGAGATGAGGGTCGGAGGCTCCCGCCCGCGGTGTTCACTTGAGATCAAGCGTTGGTATCAAGGATTGGGGAACTAGTGAGTTTGTTGTACTATACGCGTGTTCGACTGCCTGTCTTGTTGTATATGCTGTGTGTGACATTTTGACGATGTTCATGTATAGTAGGATATGGTAGAAGACGATGATGCCTTTGATCAAGATACTCACCTCGCTGCAGCCCCCACCCCGCCGATAAGTACGAGGATCGAAACGAAACGAACAAGGCTTTATGCAGCAGGTGAGAACGCTTTTCACTTCAGTCTCATTCCAAACGACATGATCCAATAGACTACAGGCCCCCACAAAAGACCTCCACTCAGTTCGAGTCCCATGAGCCGAGAATCGCGCACCGTGAGGACAGCTTGAAATATCTATCATCGCGACACGATGCTGTTAACCTCGAGTCCCAAACTCGCGTCTGAGTGGCATTTGAGACAACACGGGTATCATGGGCCAGCAGCCCTACGCCTATGCCCCCAAACTGAACGGTAGGATGAACAATGCATTTGATGATTCGCCTTAGAATACGGCGCAAGTGATCGAGCGTTGGTCAATCTCCGGGTCGCATCACGATCTCACTCATACTATCTCAGTAACAGGCACTCATTGTACGTGAAAAGTGTCTCGAATGACACTGGCAACCCACCGCTGGAGGATGAAGCTATTCAGCTGAGACTGTAAGTACAAGGATGAGTCCACTTGTAGCGGAAGCCGCTGTGCATTTCGCGTCGCTCACGGTCTCGTCCACCAGTTGTGTCTGCATTCGCCGACTACGACAAGGCACGGAACATAGGCAAACGCATATGACCCAATGCCAGACGCTCGAAGCCCGTCAACGTGCTCATCAAATTCTCACTGACATTGTAAGTCTAGACCCTGGTTACGTTTCTACTGGGTCGGCTGATACGAGTGTGAACGAGAAGTTGTCGCTGTGCCTGCAATTGCTCCACGCAACGTTACATACCAGGCTGCAACGAATGCAGAGGCGCGCGTGAACACCCAGAGCGGACGAGACGGGGAAGCGCGTTACCCCGGATCTCTCACCTCGTCACGACAGTCACTGAGATCAACGATCAAGCTGCGCTTCGAAGGTGAGCGCTTCTCGGACGCATCCTCGCCCTGCTCATGTGGATGATGCGCGGGGACTCAGGGAACAAGGACCTTCGGTTCGGACTTGGCCAGTGTTTCCGATTCGCAGTCATATAAATAAAATGGTCGACATATCATCGCCAACCGCAGCTCCTGTCCACCCCCACTTTCGCGGTGCTTTCGACCCACCCGTTGACCGTTCCACTACATCGTCATGTCGTTGGCTTACCTGTGAAGGCCGCCCTGGGTCGTATCGCCTTCGTGACGGGTGCTGGCCAGGGCATCGGGCGCGCCATCGCGTGCCGACTCGCGCGGGATGGCTACGACATCTCCATCGCAGACATCCCTTCCGCGAAGTCGAAGGTGGACGATACCATCCAGGAGATCGAGTCCTATGGCCGGAAGGCAGTCGGTGTCTACGCTGGTCAGTGAAGCGGTCCACACTAACTCTCGACGTACTATACTGACCGCACCCACAATCGTGTTAGACGTGAGGGAGGCAAAACAGATCTATGCTGCCGTTGAGGAGACCGTGGACAGGCTGGGGCCGAACCTCTTTGTCAGTGTCGCAACGCTGGTATATCGCAGGTCAAGCCTCTGATAGAATGCACGCCAGAGTGAGTCGGGTTTTCACATCGTGGGTCCTGGTTCGGTATCTGACTATCGCGTCAGGTTCGTTGAGAACGAAGTCCGGCTCAATGTTCTCGGCCTCATGAATACGCACATCGCTTCAGCGAAGCAGATGGTGAAGCAAGGGTTCGGTGGACGAATCCTCGGTGCAGGCTCAATAGTGTCGTTCCGTACAATGGGTAAGCCCTCACATCTATCGTAAACCAACTGTCGGATAGCTCATGCGGTGGGTCAGAGAACCTTGCAACATACAGCGCGACAAAGTTTGCGGTTCGTGGCTTCACGGAAGGCGCAGCTAAAGAATGGGCGAAGTATGGTATCCGTGTCAATGGTACGTAGCTACCTGTCGTTCACGGTCATTGTCTGATCTACACTCATTTCCGTAGCCTACGGCCCTGGCATCGTCGACACGCCTATGTGGGATCAAATCGACAGGGTACTTGCAGAGATTGTGAGTCCATGTATTTGCATTCTGACTGTCCTTTGGTTTGACCGAAGATGTCACGCAGGAGGGCGTCAGCATTGGCGAGGCCAAGGCGAAACGTGTGAAGGACTACATCGCGCTCGGTCGTATTCAAGAGCCTGAGGACGTAGCGAAACTCGTATCATTCCTTGCCTCAGAGGAAGCGGAGTACATCACTGGGCAGACTATCAAGACATGTGGTGGTGCCTCGCTATAATCGCTATATTCTCGGCCGAGTTACTTGTCGCAACGCTTGTAAGTCATTACCAATTGACATGGAATTGGGATAGAACTGGGATAGACAGTATTCTCGCTTTGCTGCAATAACCGCTGTATAGCATGTTGAATGAAGTCACGAAATCGATGCTTACTTAGATACCAGCTCACAGGCTCTTCCCGGGCTCTTCTGCGAGTTCGCTGGCCTTCGAAGTGTCTGGATATATGTTCAAGTTCAAGCTGTGAGCGCCTCCTTGAAGGGGCCGACGAGCTTTCTTCCGGTCGTCAAAGATACGGTCCTGCAGTGTTCCAGTTTCCCAGTGAATGACCTTGCATTGGCTTTCTCAGGCCACATAGTAGTAGCCTTGACACTTGCTTGACACTACGAAGACCGTGACCTGGGGAGCTTGAGCGCGGGACGGCGGCGATCAACCACGCGCTTGCCAAACGCGGAAAGCCGGCCTGCCTATTCTGGCGCGTCACGCTCCTGGCCCGGACGCGTCCACACACGCGAACCTTCAAAGCTTCATCTTCGGTGAGAACTTCAGCGGAGCCCAGGATTACATTGCTGATTATCTCCGTCAATGACCCTCTCGTCGATTTGCCATTTTACTTGGATACAAAACCCCCAGGAGGAAGCTGAAGTCGGATCCGAAGCGATGACGCCTATGTTGAGTCCGGCGGCTGGGCCGACTCGGGCGCCCTCCCTCTCCCTCTGTACTTACGCAGACGCAATGCCGAAGACGCGCGCCAGTCTTTCGGCCTGCCTCAAGCCGTCAGCATAGCTTTGGACCCGGAACGCTCGACAAAGTTTGCGCCGAGTAGCAAGTGGTCGAATCAGGACATGGATCCGGTGCCGCCTGCCAGTGGTGTTATTCTCGCGCGTAGCGGACTCGGACTACTTACCGTGCAAATCGCATCGCATGCTGGATTTCGGACGTGACGAACGCTGCGGTATCATGATGTACGTCACACTGCGATATTCAGACTTACATCTGTCATCGGCTCGCAGTGCACGCCACGAATATCTCATATTACCAGCTGCTCTAAATCAGTGGCGGCAGTACTAGCTCTTTTCGACGACACTACAGCACCGCAGCAAGAGTGTTGCATATTAAACAAGATTGACGACCACACGTTGGCTCTCAGCTGTCTTCCACTTCAGCTCCTGAGTACGCCTTATTCGCTCTTGAGACTTTCCACTTCTCTGCCTCAGTTATGTCACCTAAAGATTCGAGACGTAGCTTCATCGTCGGCGCAGCGAGCACTAAGTTCATGAAAGTGAGTCGCTGGTCACTCCGAATCTGAAGCTCTGTGAGATCTTATAATTGATCTCTGCGTAGCCCAGAGGATTGAGGAATCCTGAAGATGTGGGTAAAACTTCTTTTGAACGCAGTCTGACTCACGTTGAGTGGACTCCGTACTATCATAGATGGGTTTGGAAGCTGCCACCAAAGCGCTCCTCGATGCAGGTTGGACGGCCCTGGTGTCGCTGCAGGCTCTAAACACTCACTCAGCATATGCAACACAGGCATTACATATGACGCAGTAGAGACTGCTTTCGTGGGATACTGCTACGGAGATTCCACTTCCGGCCAGGTGCGTAGTCTGTTCCTCGAGTGACCCTAATGAATCTTGACCACCACACGCTGTCAGAGAGCGCTCTACAACCTTGGCATGACCGGCATCCCTATCACAAATGTAAACAACAACTGCACGACCGGAAGCACTGCCCTGTACCAGGCGAACAATCTAGTGGCTTCTGGCATGGTGGAGTGCGCACTGGCGCTGGGCTTCGAACGTATGGCTCCGGGCAGCCTCGCTACACATTTCCCCGACCGCCCGCCTCCCATGAAGCCATTTGGCGAGGCAACGATTGAAGCTGAACACAATTTGAGCAGCGGAATCAATCGTGGGCCGATCGCGCCGAGGATGTTTGCTAACGCCGCGCAGGAATACATGGACAAGTACGGTGCGACTTTGACGCACCTTGCACAGATAGGTTCGTAACCCATATCTTGCTGGGGGGCTGCCAGTTGACGACAATCTAAGCTGCCAAGAACCACAAGCATTCCATTCATAACCCATATGCACAATTCCGCAGATATTGGGGTGTAGGACAAGTGCTCGCGGCGCCGAAGATCAACAAACAGTTGACCATGCTCATGTGCAGTCCTACTTCGGTGAATGCACTATACATTCAAATCACACAGATTGCTGACTGCGTGGAATAGGACGGAGCTGCCTGCTGCATTGTCGCCTCCGAGGACTTCGTGCATGCGCATGGCCTCGAAAATCAGGCCATCGAGATCGTAGCTCAGGCGCTCTGTACTGACGAGCCATCGACATTTGAGAGTAAGAGCCCCATGGAGGTCGTGGGCTATGCTATGACCAAGAATTGTGCGGACAAGGTCTTCCGCAAGGCAGGCTTTGAGGACGGCGAGGGCAGGGATCAAGTCGGCGTCATCGAGCTGCACGATTGCTTCTCCGCGAACGAGGTTTGTGTTCTACATGCGATGTGCCGTGCTTTGAGTGATCATTTGCTCGACCAAAGCTTGTGGCTTACGAGGCCTTGGGCCTGTGCGGTCGTGGTGAGGCTCACAAGATTGTTGAAAGGGGCGACAGCACCGTAAGTCAAAGTGTCATGTTCTATTCCGGAGGGCTGACACCATGCGCGAAGTATGGTGGCAAATACGTTGTGAACCCGAGCGGTGGTTTGGAGGCGAAGGGTCACCCGCTTGGGGCGACCGGTCTCGGGATGCACTTTTACATCGCCAGTAAGTTTTGTGTTTCGTCAACGGACTACCATGATGCTGATTCGACATGGCTGCAGTGCAATTGCGAGATTGTAAGTATACACGTTGATTGTATGCCTTTCTAACGCATTGAAATCCGTTGTCAATGCAGGGGCTGGTCCCATGCAAGCACCGGGACTGTTCGACGGTGCCGACCGAAGGGGCAAATACGGCCTTGTTCACAACATAGGTCTCGGCGGCGCGGTCGTCTGCAGCCTCCTCCGTCGTCCGGAGTTCTATCGCGCCGGAGGGGAGGATGGCCGATCGAGGTATGTCGCGTGTGTGTTCTCGTCAACGCAAATCCTGATCGACGGCCGGGGTAGACTCGGTTACAATCACGCACACGAATGCAAGTCGATCACGAAGGCGGATGTTGACAAGGTTAAGTCTGTCAAGTTCTCGCCGTACATTTTCGAGCGCGCGAAGCTTTGAAGAACGTCAGCCTCTCCCTTCATGTCTTGGAAACGCCTAGTACCTCTCGATCCCTGTCAACTTGAACGTCGAAGCCCTGGATTACAATCCATCATGTCTGAACAGCGAAAAGGCCTGTTCGCTATTCTACTTGCGCAGCCCTTGTACTTGACTGCTATTACTCCCTGCCCGGGCACACGCGACTCGTTGCTTTCCGCATCCCTGATAGCCCCATGATCGATGTCCTCCCCCGCTCCATCCTTAGATGTCAACGCTGGTATGTAGTGGACTAGAATAATCAATGAAACAATACTAGTTCAATGCGTCCAGATAAATTAGGACGCGAACGCATTCTATTCGTGGACTAGCTAAAACATACGAAATCCATGCATTGCAAGGTTTGATTACTAGAAAAGCGAAGCTAGGGACAGCGATACAACATCTTACGAACACATTGGGATAATGTACGAACCACCGACCCATCCTCCGACCATTGCAATGCCGAATCCCGCGAAGAACTTGGCATTTTGCGTAGAAGGCATAAGGTTCTAAGACGTCCGCTTCTCTTGACACAGCCTGACACTCAAACGTCTGCGTGGGGTGCCGCAGTCATGAGCAACATGGGGAAAATATGGCCGTGTCGCCGCACGAAGAAAAGAAAGTTCACGCGAGACGCAGTTATGAGGCGAGGGCGTGGGAAACTTAGGGCAGGCCCCTGGATCCGCATAAGGAAAGCTTGAGGAAAGGTTCGTGAGTCGATCTTCCATGGCACAGGCCGTGACATTCGAGCGGTGCTACCTGGTCGGCTCGGTCCTATTAATCGCCATGCATCAATGGCAAAGGACCGTAGAGGACGAGCGGTGCCGTTGCACTGGGAATATCGCTGGGATCTTGCTGCAATGCATTCAAGTTCTCTTCGACTGATCTGCAGACAGACATGTGGCGGATGCGAGGAGAGCTTCAGTGGGTGCCACGCCGCATCCACAAGCAGTACCTCGTGGGCCTGCCTTTCGCGCTTTGGAACGTCGCAGAAGCGACAGCCTCGTGCTTCATTTCCACTGGGCCTCGTGGATGAAGCCTGGGGTCTCACATATATACAGGTCAGGAGCTGCTTCAATGTAGAGCCCCCGTCATTCTGACCATGTCACACCCATTGAGCTGGCCCTTCAAATACTACTTCTACCCTATCGGAAACACCTCAGCCATTTGCTTGACGCAGGATCTTCCTGTTGAGCAAGCGGCCGACGTGCTCTTACTGGGATGTGGTGATGCTCGAAACGTCTTGTACACCATCTATGCAGACTTACGTTCGCGAGCTGGTAGGTGCAGAAGATACATTTTTGTCATACCACTACTAAAGAATCTGGCAGACGGTGCACGGAGACTCGATTTCACTTGCTGCGACATTGAGCCAGCTATCCTCGGTAAGTGTCTCAGACTAAGTATGATCAAAATGCCCGCTCAATCAACGTTCCTAGCTCGCAACATCCTCTTGTACACCCTTGTGGGTTCCGGCAAGCCTCTGGACGACGTTTGGAACATCTTCTATCACTTCTATCTCGATGATCGGAGCTACCAGTTGCTCGAATCCCATTGTCGTCTTCTCGCATCCGCGTCCGAGTCGATGCAGAGCTGGCAGAAATCGGAGTTCGGGGCCTATCTCAAGATGTGCAACAGCCACACGCTGGCAGAGATGCACCGCCACTGGAAGCTCTATGCTGCGTTCTCCACAATCCCTCGAGCTCGGCTCGACCACCTACACGCTGAGCAGAAGAAATTGACAAAAGAAGTGTTGGGCAAATGGAAAGTTATCTTGTCGGTTAGTCGTTCGGCCGGCATGCTCTGGTCCGAAGCTATGAAGCCGATGAATGTCCTTTCGAGCAATACTGGAGGACGGGCACTACATTCTCCGCTGCACAAGACATCGCTAGCGCGAGGAAGCTCAATCCCTCGTTCGTGTATAACATATACGGCGAGACGTTCGTCCCCCACTACGGCACTTTCCCTCCACAAACGTTCCATCTCACTCAGCCTTCGCTCCTGTTCTCCGCGATGGCCAAGGCACTCAAGCCCCTACCTCTATGGACGTCGTAAAGGGCCAATTTAGGTCATGGTGTGAGGCGTTCAAGGCGGCTGTCGCCTCGTCGCACGGCAGTCTCATCATTCGCTTCTGCGTCGGCGATGTACTAAGCTTTTGCAAAGCATTAGACAGCAACTCGCAAGGCATCCCCGCACGCCTGTTCACGTCCGCTTTCTCTGGTCACGCTCTCGAACTTGACGGCCAATCCCCATCTCACGCCTTTGATGTCATCGACACATCGAATCTAATGGACCATATTGGATTGATCAATCTCCTCGCCACAACAAAGCCTTTACTCAAGTCTCTCTCCACGTCCGTCTTGTACACGGAGACGTTACTGCCTGATAGGGAAGACGCGACAGCGGCATTGCTTGGCCGCTTGTGCGGGGACGTCTCGACCATCTCTCTGCTCGTTGGACTCGCACCGCGCACGTACTTATCGGGATTCAACACCCACTCGAACGTCCACGAGTTGCTGTTTAACGCCGAAGCTAGCAAGCAGTTCCACGAGCGCATTGCCTGGTGTTCCCCCTCCGCTAGCGATGCGCAGGGCTGCCACGACCAGCCAGTCGTTTTCGATTCCGCTGAGCTCGGTGCCGTGCTCTACAACGTCTATGATCAGATGTGCGCCGACGAAAAGATCGTCGAAGCTCTTCGCAACCCAGGTCTGCGAAGTCTGCACAAGGTAATGGCACAGCAGCACCACGACCGCGCCAGCTTCGCTCAGCTGGTGCGCCTGGCAACGTCTCGCGTCGTCCCTGGCGTCGGTGGTTGGGAGACAGCATTCGACGTGCTGCACAGGCTGGTGCAGGAAGACCGCACGCGTCTCGTGAACTTGAATAACTACCAAGATTTTTGTTTGCAGCTCCATCTCCACGGCGTCGCCACGACGACGCCCCTCTCCCCGATGTGGAGGTCTGTCGTCGCAAAGGGTGACTTGGAGGTGTTCCGCGGGTGGGACGATATCCCTCCTGTTGTCTGCGTCCTCCTCACTGTCCCGCAACGCCGCCTGAAAATATTCGACGACACGAAGAACCTGGGGTCGATGCCATTGCTGTGTCACTTACTCTCGTCGCTCGACCACGACAACGTGTTCGCCTGTAATATGCACGCTATGCCAGGGCGAGTGGAAAGGTCACCCAATTCCCCTTCTGCTGCCGTCGTCGTACCGGATGAACGAGACGTCAAGGACGCGCCCTCGCTAGTCTTATCTTTCCTGGTGCCCGCGTGGCTGCTCACATTGCCGGGCACAAAGGTGATGTTCGCCTTCAAGGCCACCCCGCCCGTCACTTTTTGTTTACAGCCGAAGCTCGGTCCCTTTCTGGAGATCTTCTCTGCGCCTTTGACTGACAAAACGCACGTCTGTGTCACTAAACAGAGGCCAGGCACTTTCACGGACCCCCGCGCCTCTGAGGTTCTGCGCCAGGTGCCGCACGCTCGTGCGCCGTCCGTGAACCGCGTTACGATCAAGATGGACGACACGTTCAAATGCATTGCCGCGATGACGCTCAAGCTCGACCTAGCTGCGATAGGTTTCTCAGCGCCGGTCGCGCCCTCACTTCCGATCACCGCGAAACAGACGGCAGCGTGCACGATAGAGGTGGCTGTTGGCGATCAGCGCGGATACGCTCAGTTTCCGTTCCCCGTTCGCGGGAGCGAACACAGGTTGCGTGTTGCGCGGAAGTCGTTGTATGTAGAGGTAAGCCGGTCGTTGCATTACGAAGGTATCAGGACTTGACGTCGGAACTCAGGTCATCGTGCCACCTTTCTATCCGCCGAAGGGTACAAGCCAGACCTTGCCAGGGAATATATTCCCGATCATCAAGACGGGAGGACTGACCCCTTGGAACGTTCATCATGTCAACCTGGACATAGCACCCGCGATTGACTTGAACAAGAAGATAGACCCTGACTGGGTGGCTTTGCACGCCACCCTGCAGTTCTCCGAGCGTGAACTCGACATCGCGCAAAAGCTGGATCCGTCCTCCATTCCCGCTTCTTCCGCGCTGGTCGGTCTGAAGCAAAGCATACAGGATATGATCAAGGTCTTTTCCAGCCCCATACATACCGGGTCCCGCGTCAGGATATTTCGACTCGTCCAGCAGGACACGAGGGAGATAGTCTTGCTGATCTTTGTCCATCACTTACGTCTCGACCTCCCATCCTTCACATTGCTCATGGACGCCGCCGTGGTCCCGCTCGACGAAGCCATCTCCGCTGCTCACAACGAAACCATACGCTTGCTTCCGAAGTCTCCCGTCATCCCGACCATCCCCATCACGCCTGCGGAAGCGGTCGCCTGGAAGCAGCTTCTCCCTGCCGTCGTCGAGCGGTGCCGAGCATGGGCGCACGGCCCCAACTGCGAATACGCGTCCAGCGGTCGGATCCCCGTCTCCGTCGAGCCCGGCGCCATCCCGCTCTGCGGGTGTGGACGCGGATTCGGGATTCCAGACGTCATGCCGGACGTCCCCGTGGAGGTGTGGCGGGCCCTCCGTCCGTTGGCCACGCGCGCGGCGATCTCCCCGCTCTTCGCGGTGTCGTACCTCGAGCCGGTCATCGCTGTTGGGAAGGCCGCGAGAGCGCGGGTCACAGAGGTGCGTGCACGCGCAGGAAGCGTGGCTTCGAAAATGCAAGATGTCGCGTCGGGTGACGGTGAAGGGGCGCCTGCAGGTGCTGCTGCGGAGAGGTGCATTGCGTGTGGTGGGCCCGGGAAGCCGAAACTGCTCCTGTGCGGGAAGTGCAAGCGGGCGAAGTACTGCTCGCCGGCCTGCAACAGGACGGATTGGAAGACCCACAAGCTGATCTGTCGCCCGGTGTAAGTCAACTCTTGTCTCTGTCTCGAAAGCGGGGAACGTCCGTGTGGCAACTTCCAGTCATTATGCAAACACATCATTTACCAGCAGAGATCTAGACACTGTGTGATGTTGACATCGCAGACATGCGCCTTACGCTACATGGGCTGGCTTCCGACCGCGTGTTTTAGTGTTTAGTTCACTCCTGATGTCATTGCTCAATCTCTGCTAAGTAATTCCATAATGCTAGACCCCTTCCCGAGAAGTGCACAGGCGGAGGTCGTCGGGCCTTTGTCTGACCTTCTCGTCGAGCGATCCGTACCCTCTGCTCAGGCTGGCTGACCTCGGCCACAAAACCCGGTCTAGCTCGCCCTCGACATTCGTCGACATGGTAAAATCCTGATGGAAACGCCCCAGAGATTCCAAGACCGAGACGCTCCGCCTGCGCGTACTTCCACGCTCGGGGTCTGACGATACGGAATTAGCTGTCGAGTCTAGATTCGCTGCATCGCGAGGTCTAGACTGACGATCAGGATGGCGGACACGAGTGCTGGCAGCGTGAAGCTAAATGCCTGCATGGGGCTCTAGTCAACAACATGACCCCCCCGAACCTGCTGAGTCACGACAAACCAAAAGGCGAGCGGTGGGATACGTGGCTACGCAGAAGTTGATCTCACATACCACGCCCTTGTTCGAAGGCAGTGGGCCAGTTCTCAAGCTGTCCGGATATGGAAGATCTGCGTGGCGAAGCAGGGATCCGAAGCATAGTGCACTAGTCTTGTACGACTTGCGACGATCTGGCGGGCCTGCGGTTTTCGGAGAAGGCCGAGTCATGTGCGCGTCATAATAGAGGCAAATAACGCGCTACGCGACGCGTTGAGTGCGCGTACGCGCGAGACAGAGTGCAGACTGCATGCTGACGCCCCCATCGGACACGTCGAGAGACACGAGCCCCTATCGTTTTAGCACTCCCGAGGGTCTGCGCAACCTACGTGGCATCCTCCGCCCTCTCCTTCCTTTTGATCCGCATGACTATCAGCTCGAGGGTGTCGCGAAGTCGCTGGACGGCATCGACTTGCTTGCCGTACTGGCTACGGGTTCGGGCAAGACGGCCTTCTTTACTATGTACATTCTAGCTCTTCAGGCTTTAATCAAGAACCCTCACCTGTGCAGCCCTCCGAAGAAGAACATCCCCCTCGATCCTTGCCTCATAATGTGTTTCCCCACTATCAGCCTCGAGGAAGAAATGGTACATTCAGGCTGTCACACATATATTATCTGTCTTGCTAATGTTTATAGTAGAGTACAACTTTTAGTAAATTGGGTATATCTGCCCTAGTAATCAATGGTCGAACGTCCACGGATGCACATAAGCGCGGCGGGAACATCTGGACATCAGCATACAACGGCTATGCTGTCTTATTGCTCTCACCGGAGATGCTATCGACGAAAGGTTTCCAGTCGCTCGCCGAGAGCTCCGCTTTCTCACGGAGGATCTGCGGCTTCGGTGTCGACGAAGTCCACCTACTCAAGTCTTGGGGTGCACAGTTCCGCCCTTGCTTCCAACAGCTGAGCTATGTTCTCGCACGGCTGCCGAGTCGTACTGCACTCATTCTCTGCACTGCGTCGCTGGCCGCAGGCGAGGATACAGCCGAGATTTGCCGGTTTTTCGGGCTCAAGCACGGTGCATTCCACTTCCTTCGGCGTTCAAACCTTCGCCCCGACATCCGCATCATCTTCCGCACTCTGACAGCGGGTCTTGGTGGATCTGTCTTCCCGGACCTTGCGTGGACTGTCAAGAGCGGGCGGAAAACACTCATATACTGCCCGACCATCAATCTCGGCTCTCGAGTCATCAAGTATCTTCGCCGCTTACTCCCACCAACAGCCAACATGCGCGCCTTCGTCCGTAGGTACAACTCGCTCAACTGGCCAGAATACAATGCGGAGACGCTTCGACTCTTCTCGGAGAGCACGGGACCCAACAGATGCTCGATCATCATCTCCACCGACACGCTCATGGTCGGTGTGAATCTCCCGTGAGTCGAAGACGTCGTGACACTGGTCCTGCCTGAGAGCGTCGATGAGCAGTGTCAAAAGCTCGGGCGTTTGAACCGCGATGGGACCATCAAGGACGCACGAGGCATTGTGTACGTGACTAAGACGGAAGTCAAGCACGCGCATGCAGTGATAGAAGGCAAGAAGGTGACAGAAAACGGGAAGCGTGTCCCTGCGAAGATGGGCCTGGATATGGCAAGGATGATCCTTGCGCCTTGCAAGGCAGCGGAGCAAAATCGGCTCTACGACAATCCCCCATCTGACCCATCTTGCTCCTGCGAGACTTGCTCACGCCGCCCCCGCCTGCCAACCCCGCCAGCGTGCAAGTGCAGTGGGTGCGTCCCTGAAGAAGGTCAGCTACAGCCCACCCGTATGAAGAAGTGAGCTCCTGCTCCGAAAGGCACGAAGCTCAGCAAGTCGATGGTCCTTGTGGGCAAGGCGCGTCTCTGTGCCCTACGCGAGGATCTGTACACTGCTGCGCCTGCTCTAGAGGCGACCCTCTTTCCTGCCGTCCTGTACCTCCCAGACCCTGTAATTACAAGCATACTCGAGTCGTTCAAGACTCTCCATACACAGCAAGATCTCGCCCATCTGATCGCCGGCAACTCCTATGTCGAGCGACAATGCGACAAGATCTGGGAGGTCATTGTCGAGCTACGCAGTGTCTTCGAGACAATGGCGAAGGACGAAGATCGCGAACGCGCGATACGCAACTTGCTCATTGACGACGAGCGAGTCGGTGAGGAGCCTCATATTGACGGAGATGGGATCATCAACTCCGAGAACGAGATCCAGATGTCGCAGGAGCTCAGTCCACGCCCTGAAAGGCCAGTTTTGAATGCGATCGAGAACACTTCACATGGGGATCAAGGTCGGGCCATCAACATCTCGCTGGCCCAGGGACTCGGGTGCGAAACATCGTACATACAATCTAGCACCATACTCTCATCATGAGTGCTCACATACCTGTTATGTTTAGGACGCATGCACGGCGAGCATCGACTGAGGCTGTACGGCGACTTGCGTCGCCCGAGGCGGGTCGGCGAGCGTCACCCAAGGCGGTACGGCAAGCATCGCCCGAGGCGGTACAGCGAGTGTCGCCCGAGGCGGTACAGCGACTTGGACTGTCGCCGCCTGAGACAGTACAGCGAGCGTTGCCTGAGGCGGTACAGCGACTCGGATCTCAGTCAGTTTCTCCGGAGCCACTCGAAACTGCGCAGTTAGAAACATTCGTGGCAAATGATGTCTTCCGTGCAGGACTGCGACATGAAAGGTGAGTGAATCATTCAGAGTGCGAGGAGCTCCATCAGGAAAAAAGTTTCTGGCCCATTGCAGCCAGCCAGTGCTACATAGCCCCTGTAGACGCCATAGCATGATGTAGCAGAGCGCTCGTGCATCATAGCTCTGTATAGTCTTCATTGACTTCGCAGCACACACCATAGCACGATACACTCATGTCTTCTATCTATATTACACGAAGCATACTAATAGTATTTATGTTCACTATAACGACTCTGGGCTATAATGCATGAGACGTGGAAATTTGATTTATTGACCATGACGGTGGGGTGCTGCTAGGTATTACGAATACTGTATGAATCCAACCAGTCTTACCCCTTCGCCTGTCTCACCCGCTCGTCCTCCTTCGCCTGCTCTCCCTCGCCCGATCCGCCCGCCTTCCCTTGCCCCCATCCTTGCCATCCTGCTAACTCACCCCGCCGGCCTGCTCGCTCACCCACTTGTTCAACCACTTGTCTACCCGCCCTCGGCTCATCACCCGCTCGTCCGTTCCTGCCCACTCGCCCGCCTGTTCTTGCCCGGGAACACGCGCTCGCCCGCACGCACAGCTTCTCGCCCGCCTGTCCGCTCTCGCCCGCCACCTGATCTCGCCCGCCCGCCTGCCTTTGCCGTTCTGCTAGTGAGCGCGGCGGCGCCCCGAAGAGCGCGACAGGCTCGGTCATGGGCAGTGAGGGCATCCATGCGCGAGCGAGCGGCGACGCCGAGAGGTCGTCGGGGTATATGTGGACGTAGCAGTGCGGCGGGTCGTGGCCTACGCGGCGCTGCGCACGGACCACGCGGTGAGGGGTAGGAGGTGGTACGCACTGATGCCTGCCTGCGCCGAAGGGAAGGTACGGGCTGTCCGTGCCCTTGCTGACGAGCCCGAAGCCGAAGTCGACCTTCGAGCTCTCGTGGTACTCCTTCCCTCGCCTGCGCAGCGAGGCCCTTCACGTCGAGCCAGCGGCCGGCGTCCCTCACGTTCGAGTTCTTCCAGATGAGCAGGTCGAGCTGGCTGGGCACGGGCGACGCGAGTCGAAGTCATGGCACTGATACCGACACGGTAAGCATTGAGAACGCAGCGCGGGTCCACCCGAGCATGGCATACCTTGGAAGTGAACTCATGAGCGATGCACGAGCGAGTGGGCGGGCGAGTGAGCGGGCGAGCAAGTGGACGGGAGAGCAAGTGGAGGCGCGAATGGGCGGGCGAGTGGACGCGCAGGCGCGGAAGACAGATCAGCACTGAGTGAGCGAACGAAAAGACAGGCGGACGGGCAAACTATGCGGCGCGTGCGAGTGCCGCCAGTGGTTGGCCAAACGGGCGTGACGATAGACGTGTTCACAAGAACGTACCTTAGCCTTGCGAGCCATTGTGCCCGCCTCGCTTGCCCTTGCCATGGCCTTCCTCGTTCTCGTCCTTGTCCTTCGCATCGCCTTACACTACCCTCCTCGTCCTAGGCTCGTCATGTTCGGTTTGATCACCAGTCACGCACGCGCGTCGCGTGAGTCCTGTTTTGCGTGAGTCCTGTTTTGTGTGAACTTGGCCGGTACACTTGCATGTTACCAGAGATAGGGGCATGACCCGGTTCGCCGTTGCGAGCGACTTGAGGTGCGGTCGGGCTGGCATAGCGGTTGGAGACTTAGCAGCAGAGGCAGCAGACTCGGAGGGCTAGCGAGCCGCGAATGCGTGGGAAACTTCAGAACCGGCGCTTGGGACTTCCGCTCCGGCGACGAGTCTTGCGCGTCGTCCTTCCTCCTTGCTCTCACCTCCTTGCTCACCTGCTTCACGTTACTCGCAGCCGCGCCTATATTCTAATCTTAATGGTGAGTACGCATGCCACGTCGGCAGGCCGAGATGTTCTATACACTGACGGGTGGGGCTAATGGATGACAGCGAGACGACACCCAGTATGACAGCGAGACGACGACGACGAGTAGTACATCAGTGCGTTGTCGGAAGCGCCGCTATGTATGTAAGCTTCCAAATCACAACAGTGTGCTCGCGCCTGACAGTTGTCTTCGGGACGCCTTGTTCGCCGATGATTCTGTGTGCTACTCTACTATTACCTAGGAGAGTATGACGAAGCTCTTTCGTTCGCACTTGCGGCGGGGAGCGCATTTGAGGCACACGCGGCCACTGCTGGCGTAGGCGAATGCGTCGAGACCGTGATCAGTGAGTAATTAACTTAATTACTGCTCTACGTGAAGCTGAAAGGCTCTGCGATCTCAGCGAAGGGTATCGACTGTTACATTAGTGCACGATCGGCGGAGTAAGCTGGGGAGGAAAAGGTTGACCTTAGGCTTCAAGGCATAATCGAGGGTATTTTCACGCGCTGTATCTCAGACGGGGGTTCAAGCAGGTCGGTGAAGCCCCTACGCCATAACGTACATTTACCTGACCTATATTCTTCACAGGCAATAGGCATTGCCCTTGAGTCGCGACGTTTGGACGTGATAGTGCACATCTACGAAACGACACGCGACGTCAACCTCCTCTCTTACACCATGGATACCGTACTCGACAATATCCGCTTGTACAACTGCAAGCGTGCTCAGTCGCACGGTGAGCATGCACCTACATGTTCGCATATTACGCTCTCATCTATTCGTACATGCAGCTCAACAGGTGGCCTCGAGTGATACTTGGTGATCAAGTTGACCACCCCAATCCACCTGCAATGTCTTGCGTGAACGTATGTCGTCCCCACTCCTCCGTCTCCACTGGCCCATAACACGACATGCTAGTTAGTTATCATCTCGTTGCAAGTCCGGCCGCATTGTCTTCCGCAGCCGTCTTCGACAGCTGCGGCTGCGCATGTTCGTGGCCGAGCAATGCAAGGTTCCATCATTTGTTTAATGTCTAACCTACTGACTGCTTGTTGCTATAGTGTTTGCTTGCATACCTCGTTGACTCGGGGTGCTCGTTAAGGTAACGACCAATTGGTATACGAGTCAACGACTGTACGGAGTTTGTAGAGAGCTAATAGTATACCTGGTATGTTGCGTACAACTTGATGTATACTATAATTTGCAATGGATATATATCGTGTACACAGTTCTGTATGAGATGGTGTAGTGGTTAATCTGAAATTTCGGTTGATGTCTATGGCATGATTATGGTGTACTACAACTGTCGATGGCATGGTTATGGTGTACTACAAACTCCAGGCATGGTGCTATAGGTTGCTACAGGCTGCTACAGGGCCACATGCCAGAGCTATCACGGACTACAGAGAGGGGGGGTATGCAACGGTGCCATGGACACTATGTAGGCTATGTTGTGTCATATGGCAATCCTTTTTTTTCCTGATGTCGTTGCATAGTGGGCTTATTGGATACAGATTACTCGAGGAGATTCGTCCCGGCCAATTCTACGGACAGATCGATTTCCAAGGTTCATCTCATGAAGCTCATCCACATGCTTCGACAAGTGCGAAGCGGAAGCGCGGGGGAAGTGTAGGCGGGTCTTCGGTTGCGCGCAATACTCGGAGAAAGACAGGAAAATAGGTAAGTTGTCTAAGTACTACTGTATCCGTCTTCATCACCGCTTAGTTCCTCATTATCATACTCTTGCTCTAGGTCTGCAATAGTGACATGCTCGTCTGCGAGAATGACATGCATTCCATCACTGACATCCACTCGCCCGTCTGCCATACCATCCTCGCCTTCACCGTCATATACTGAGTCGTCTTCAGCATCATGTGCCACATCTGGTATGTCTGACTGTTCCCCTCTGTGTGCTTCGTCATCACCTGGCGTGACTGCCTCAGAGTCGATAGGCTCAGGGCCTCCGGCGCCGTGTTCGTTGGTATGTCGAGCCTGAGTATGCGCAGTTTTACTAACAAATTCTGCGAGCTTCCCATTAAGCATCTGGGCAACACCATGCCCAAAAACGTCGGTTTCCTTTGCTTGCGTACCATAGCGCCGACCAGCACGGAAGCGATGCAGGTCGGCGCCAGAGTCGGTGTCCTTGTACGACTGCAGCAGGATCTTCACCTCGGGGTTGCTGTGCGGTTCGGGATGATTGCTGCGTCGTGGTGCGAGCCCGACGCCTTCTCGCCATTGATTTTTGAGGTCAAGGAAGTGAATGACATTTGGCGAAACAACTTTGCGCATGAAGTCGGAATCCCACGGTATGTCGTTACGTCCTATGAATGACTCGAGCTCACGGTTGTAATGCTCTTGTAGCAGGTCTCCGGCCTGGTAATGGCCTTGCTTTCCGGATGGGTTGACGAGCCAGTTCCGCAGGAAGAATTCACGGAGTGCAGGGCTTGACTCGAGCTCCAGGTTGCAGACCATCTCCAAGAGGTACGTCGCATATTTGTGGTGTGATGAACCTGCGAAGCTGAACAGCATCCGCTAAAGTGGTCGAACGAGTAAGCCCGCAAGTCACTCCGAGTCTGTTGCGATCAATACGAGACTAACCTTGAGCCCTTCCCAGACACGCCCTATCTCTCCCTCAGCAACCGACTGTGTGACAATGCGGGACAAGAGCCCATCGTGTATCAACATGCATGAGTCGGCAAGGCATTCATCGCCTTCGAAGGCATCTCGTGAGTCTGCGCTGTCCTGTGATGGTCGGGTGGCATTACTACTGCTGTTGTCGATGTTTGCTGACGAACTTTCACTAGGTGCACTCCATGGGCGACCCACAGGTATTGTGGTGTCGCTGTCTCGCGCCTTCTGGCCATGACGCGCACGGTGGTATGCTTCGCGACTCGAATAGCGCCGATGCAGAACTCGGGCTTGTGCGAAAAGCCTATCAAGCGAGGGCACCGTTGATGAGCCCTTAGCTCACCTACCCACCGAAAACGCGATTTACGGTCGGTACGACAGTACACCAAGTCCGTATGGTCGACGCGCTATCCGTCCGTTCGAGGGAACCGCCCGATGTTCGAAGCTCAAGCGTCAATGTTCGGAACCCTTAGCGGCGAAGTCACACGGTTTAGAAGAGTCACTACATTGGTAGGACTACGGACAAGTACACGGCTAGGTCAAACTAACTAGTGACGGCCTCGGCAACTCTCGTATCTATGGCCTCGACCTCCACACCCATGACCACCACCCCTACCCCTACGAACAGACGGACCGGCGTCGAAGCTACGGTCAGTGTTGACGCGCTCGAGCAGGTTTTCGAGCAACCCGACGAGGGTGCCGTGCGTGCGGCGCTGGTCGACTGCGATGTTGTGAATCGCTCGACCCATGGACTCGAGGTTGTCGGGCAGCTGGCGGAAGTCGGACAGGATCAACGTCTCGCGCTGATACTGCGGGTTCGCGAGAGGACGACGCTCGGCCTGGTTGACTTGTTCGAGCAGTACCAAGGTCTCGGACCACGCGATCGTAGGGTAGGGCGAACCTAGGATGTCTCCCTGGTTGCCATCGCGGTGAAAGACCTCGTCGAGGTAACGCATCAACTCGTCGATCTCGGGGAACGACCTAGGAGCGGGAAGCGTATCGTTCGCCAGCAGGATGGCCCGGCTACGGGACTCGAACAAGAATCGCTGTTCGAAGGTCGGTTCGATGGTTCGAAAGATAGTCTAAGTTCGGAGGCACGTACGATCATCCAACGGACTCCGTGAGCCCAAGCCAGCCACTCTCCGGGACTGTTGGCATCGTATCGCGGCTCGACAAGTCCCTCGGTCTTGAGGACCTCTAGGAGGCGGTAGTAGCGGGCAGCATACGCTTCGGAAGTTGGGTCGAGGTGCGGCATGTTCGTGTAAGCCAGGCAAACTCCTGCGGCTGTCTCATATCTTCGAGGACTGTCACCGGCTCCGGTTATGACCTTCACCGTTCGGGGACGGTCGCCCGTTATTCGGAACTTGCGGAAGGCCGAGTTGGATTCTCTCATGTGTTAGTAGGTCCGGGTCGAGCGTTGTGACAGTCTCCGATTGGCTATTTTCCTTATCACTCTCATTCATCATTTCTTGGATTTCTCTTGGCTCTCTTGGTCTTCGGACCGTATTTTCCTGTATATACTCTGGGACTTGTTCCCTTCGAATCTCAGAGACCCCCCTACCCTCTCAATCTCACCTCGCGCCGGCAAGGTTCGTCAGCCAGTCAGTACGTTCGAAAGTCAGCAAGTTCGCCAGTCAGTCAGTACGTTCGAAGTCAGTCAGTCAGTACGTTAGTACGTTCGCCAGCTCGTAGTTGCCCCGAGAGGCTCTACACTTCTTCTCCTGCCGTCGCTCGCCTCTCTTGTCACCGTTCGTTCGACACGTCTGTCGAAACCCTCTCTCCTACTTCCGAGGCTTAGCCCTCGTCTTCGAACAGTCTTCGACATCTTCGAAGCTCTCCCACGTCGTTCGGAGTCTTGTCCGTCCTCCTCCTTCTTACCTAGACCACTGTACAGTCCCCCGTAATCTCATAGACGCAGAGGCCTCGCATACCACTGCTCGACCTCACGGTTGGGTTTTTGTGTGGCTTTTGTGTTCTTTTCGGTCGCGTCATCTTGGAGCCCACCGCGAGGGGGATATAGAGCAAGATTCCGCCGCGTCGGAACTTCGACGTCAACCCTGAAGACTACCGAGACTACGAAAGTCCTCTTCTCGCACTTGCTATCGACAGTCGTCTAGGTCCCGGATCCGCCGCCGCCTTTCGCAGGCATAGCAACCCTCTACCAGGACCTTCGACTATCCCCTCTTCGTCCGAACACGTCGAGCTTGTCCCCGATCACGACGATCAGGAACGCTCCGTTCGAGACCAAGTACCTACTACCCATCCCATCCCGGACGTGCTCGAAGACTTTCGCTCTCAGACGACCTAGAGTCTCGAGTCTTTGGCTCTCCTCTACCGTCCCTAACGCCGTCGCCACCTCTCGAAGGAGAGGACCTCAGTTCAGCCACGCCGATCACGACGCGTAGTGGAGCCACCACCTCACGTCTACCTTTACCCACTCGTCGCGAGCGTCGTTAGCCCCTCCAGGACCAGAGTCGTCCGAGCCGCGAAGGACTTCGACCAGCGACAACCAAAACCCTTCGAACGATCCACCAAATCCTTCGAACCCTCCGAACACCGATCGAACATGTCCGAAGCAGCAGCACAAGCTTCGAAGGCGGCTTCCATGCCTGCCCGCGGTCACTCGACTGCGCCGGTCTTTGATGAGTCAGAGCCTTCGCGTTCAACCGTTTCTTCCAGGACCTCGAGACCCACTTCACGCGATGCGGGATCATCACCAATGCGGACAAGAAGTCATGGGCCGTTCGGTACCCGCCGATACGGGTCTCGGACCTGTGGATGATGCAGCCGACGTACAAGGACGCTACGAAGACGTACGACGAGTTCAAGACAGCTCTTCGAACACTCTACCCGGGTGCCGACGATCAACACAAGTATTCGACGGACGACCTCGACAAGGTGGTCCAGGAACGTCAGAGGCTTGGTCTGAGCAACGCGCTTGACCTCGCCGCTTACTACCGTGACTTCTACATGATCTCAGAGTACCTCATCGCTCAGGGTCCCTCTCGACGCTCGAACAAGATCGAAGGTTCCAGCAAGGCTTTCCCCCAGCGCTTTGGGGACCGATCGAGCAACGCTTGTTCATGAAGAACCCCGACCACTCGAGACGCAAGCCATGGACCTTCGCGCAGATCTACATCGCCGCTCAATGGGTCCTAGACGGCCCTACCCCCGCTTCGACGTTTCAGCAAGTCATAGTCCAATCTTCGAACGTCCCCTCAGGTCCTTCGAACGTCGCACCATCTAATTCGTCCGGCGTTAAGAACGAAGACCTCCTACCAGTCTTGCAGACGCTGATCAAGACTCTCGAGGCTCAGCAGTTTAGGAGTCGGTCCCCGGACCACCAGGCGGTAGAGACGGCCCTCACTGCTTCTACTGCGGTCGTTCGGGCTGTCGCATCAACGACTGCGAAATGTTCGAAGACGACGCGAAGAAGGGCTTGTGCCGGAGGAACCCAGACGGCAAGGTGTGTCGTTCGACGGTCGATTCATGAGCAGGAGAGAGGCGAGACCCTCCGCGACGCATCTAGAGTACGCGCGCCGCACCGGCAAGGTCGGACTTAACGCGAACGCTTCGAACGGTTCGGGCGGTGCCGCCCAAGGTTCGACTACCTCACAGCTACTATACGAAGCGATCGAGACCCCACCGACCGCACGTATGCCTTAGACATGGCGAGACCCTCGAACGTATGCGAGACCAGTTGTCACATATCACGGAGGTCTACGCCCAGGAGCAGCGGAAGAAGCACGTATTCGACGGCGTCATGATGACAAGAGGCCGCAGCGTTCACGGCCCGCCTGCGAACTTGCCCACCGATAAGTCACGAGCTCCGGACTCCCGAGGCTCTTCGAAGGAGCGTACCGTGCGCTTCGCTTCGCCGCCTGTGTCGAGCCAGCAAGCAGCACCGATCGAGACCCCACCACGCGTTCGAAGAGTGCAGAGCGTACCGGTCCACCGCCGAGAGCTTCGACGCCACCTGCAGACTCTAGGCCGAGCGTCCAGGCCTCGGCGCCACCAGCGCAGTCAGTGCCCGACAAGGAGAGTCCGATCCATCCCTTCGCAAATGTCCGGACGCGACCTATGCACCGCCGACGACCCGAAACTTCGGAGCAGCGCCTACGAAGTTTAAGAACCGGGACGGCTCGTATACGAATCTTGCACCCGTAGTTCAGGCCCAGCTGGCCGAGTCCGTCTTCAAGCGGTCGATGAGCACGCCAACGGTCCCGCTGACCATCGAGGAGCTGTTGAGCATCTCGCCCGAGCTTCGCAACCGCTATCGCGAAGCGGTGACGCCCCGAAGAGTGACGCATGACTCGAACCCGACCTCGACGAACATGGCTGCGTTCGAAGAACTTCCGACACACGACCCCGCGTTAGTAGACTGCCACGACAACGAGCTCGACCCAGACGCCACCATCATCCCAGACTCGTACGAGACGTACCTGAGGGTGTTGCCTCGAGGCGCGATACCTAGCGAACTCACTGTCGCGGCTGAGTCCCATTCGCTTCGAACGATCGACCTCACGATCGATCGTAAGGAGAAGGTAGCCTGCATTCTCGATCCCGGTTCTCAGGTCATCTGCATGTCGGAAGCACTGTGCTATCATCTCGGTTTATCGTTCGACCCGACCATCGTCCTCAGCATGCAATCCGCGAACGGTGGAGTGACCGCTCGCTCGGCCTTGTTCGAAACGTACCATGTCAAGTCGGCCCGATCACCTTGTACCTCCAGATCCACGTCATCAAGCGCGCGTCGTACGACGTGCTGCTAGGTCGACCATTCGACGTCATCACTGAGAGCCTGGTGAAGAACTTCGCCGACGAGAATCAACCATCACCCTGTTGTGCCCGAACACGTCCGAACAGATCACGGTACCTACGATGCCTCGAGGACGCCGAAGTTCCAAGAGGTTTTTCAGAAGAGGCAGTCGGGACTTTTGAACACGTAGTTCAAGCCGACGATGACGAGCAAGTCGCGCTTGTGATCGACTTCGAAAACGATACCCCGTCCATTTCTGCCTATGCCAACATATCATCTCTCGAAGACCCAGTTCTCGCGGCTACGTATCTCTCCGTTCCACATACCTATTCCAGTTTTGTTTTCGATGAAGTCAGGACAG